CTGGCTTTGCGGCTTCAGATGACGCCGTCAGAATATTTAGAGGCACGTGGCAGAAAAAATTCCAGTAGAACAGCGCCAATGTTTAGTGCCCAAGGAGCAGAAGATCTTTATCATCATTTATACACTGCTTCTTGTATTCTGAACCAAGGGCAAAAAATTTTTTCTGACATGGTTAAGATACCTGATGGTGATGATCAAACAGAAATCACATATTTGTTGTCTGATTCTGACAAATTTGTGATAGACAGAAGGCCCTCTACCTGGTTCCCTGTAACCTCACTTCTCGCAATGAGGGAACCGCCAGAAGGTCCTCGGTGCTGGACCTCAGCTCTGCTTTCCTTTGGACCACATCAGTGAGGCTGGGGGGGGGGTCTTGTCGTCTGGGCAGCCCAGCACCCCCAGACCCACTGCCCAGACTTGCACCCCAGGGAGGTCACTTTACTGCCCCTAGCACGGCAATCTGGCTTTACCCCTGAAGGCAGACTCCATTGTCTCTCGAGACAGACGGATGCCAACGACAACCAGAGTATAGGATTATTATTTCCTGTGGTTGCTATGACCATAATGGTCAAGACGACAACAGCAACCTTGCGCCTCCAGATGGTGTTGGACTACATTTCCCATCATCCCTGACTGTTATAAGAAAAACTGCTCCCTTTCGCTTATGGGGTATTCCAGAGCCCATATAGAGTATTTAAGTGGGTTCCCTATTGGTAGGAGAAAATAACAGAGGCCAGCCAGAGAATATTGAGATGCAAAGCGGCTAGGAAGCCTGATATTTATTAAAGGAACTTTTGTCACAGGGTCCTCACTCACCACACGCAGGAGGGAGGAGAACCCAGTACATTGGTGCACAAGCCCCTATATAGATTTTTGAAATTGCCCACCCTGTAGCCCAATACCACCACCCTTCAAAACATCATACATTCATCACAGAAGGAGGCAGTCTATAGCAGAAATCCTGTCTGCCAGGACAGCTGATAATGGTCACTGATTGCATTACCTGGGTAGTCTGGCCATTCTTTTGTGATGGTTAATACTTTAGTTCCTGAGTCCAGGTCACAGGCTCACCCTATTCAGACACAAATTCGCCCTTAAGACAGGATTTGCAAGCAAAAAGACAATGGGAAGGCTTTCTCCCTTACTGCAGAGGAATATTTGAGGTCATTGGGAGAGTCAAAATGGCTTCAGGAATGCTCTCTCTTACTATTTCAGACACATGGTTCATATATTTAGATATGTGTGCGTTTATGAATATTTATTCTATATTTGAGACCTTAAAATTCTTATAACACTGACCATTGGCTAAGGTGGCCAAATATGATGGACGGTGATAGATGTAGTCCAGGAGGTTTCTTGATCTTGTTTTTATCTTGTATTTTGTGTCTGTATACTTTATCTGGCACGCGGGTGGCGCTGTGGGTTAAACCACAGAGCCTAGGACTTGCCGATCAGAAGGTCGGCGGTTCGAATCCCCGCGACGGGGTGAGCTCCCATTGCTCGGTCCCTGCTCCTGCCAGCCTAGCAGTTTGAAAGCACGTCAAAGTGCAAGTAGATAAATAGGTACCGCTGCAGCAGGAAGGTGAACGGCGTTTCCGTCCGCTGCTCTGGTTTGCCAGAAGCGGCTTAGTCATGCTGGCCACGTGACCCGGAAGCTGTACGCTGGCTCCCTCAGCCAGTAAAGTGAGATGAGTGCCGCAACCCCAGAGTCGGTCACGACTGGACCTAATGGTCAGGGGTCCCTTTACCTTTACCTTTCCTTTATCTTAAGCTGTGAACGATCCTGAGATCTACAAATGAAAGGTGGAATACAAATTTAGTTGATGGTGACGGTGATGATAAATTTAGGTGACGGTGATGGTAAATCTTGGAACCCAAGGTGGAGGACCACTGTGATAGATTGCCATGTCAGTTCAGCTGCTCTCTTGAAGCAACTGAGTAAATCATTAAATTTGGCCACTTAATTCATGCACATCTGGCTCTGCCTGCAGATGTTGAGGACTGAACCTGGGATGTCCCTGTCCTGAAGCAATAATTAAAAAAGAGAGTGAAATATTTAAGTCACACCCATCACATCTCACCACTCGAGGTTCCAGTCCCGATTGGATAAATTAATATACTTGGAATGTAGTTTCCTCCTTGTTGGTGTTCCCATGGTGTTCCTGACTCAAAGATGGCTTTATTGCTGGGTGTGTACTAATTCAGGGCAATTAGGACCCGCCTTCTTATTGACATGTTTGTTGTCCATTTAAGGAGGGAAGAAGGCAGTTTGCAGCTACGGTATTTTAAGTGGGGAGGAAGGGTGGAGGTAGGAAATGAAAATAAACTAATTAGAAAGACATGTCTGGCTTTATCACATCTGCTCAAGAACTATATGGGATGAAAAGGAAGGCTGAAATTGTCCTATCTGGGCACTAGATTAAAACCTCCACCACTGTTTCCAGAATATTATCAGTGGGTGGAAGTTAAGAGTGCACTAACATTAGCCGGAAAATTGTAAGTGAGTGGGAATCACTCACGACCCTAACCAAGTTTTTGTGCCACGGAGATTTCTGCTGTAATCAGGTTTGGATAATTGCAACTAATTACAGTGGTACCTCGGGTTACATACGCTTCAGGTTACAGACTCTGCTAACCCAGAAATAGTGCTTCAGGTTAAGAACTTTGCTTCAGGATGAGAACAGAAATTGTGCTCCGGCAGTGCAGCAGCAGCAGCAGCAGGAGGCCCCATTAGCTAAAGTGGTGCTTCAGGTTAAGAACAGTTTCAGGTTAAGAACGGACCTCCGGAACGAATGAAGTACTTAACCCGACGTACCACTGTATTCCTGCAAAGGTTTCTTTTAGGGGGTGGGTGGGAGACTGGTATCTGGCTTATCATATATTTAGACCAGGGATATGGAAGCTGTGGCCTTCCAACTCCCATCAGCCCCAGCCAATGGTCAGGGGTGATGGGAAATGTAGCCCGACTGCAGATTCTCTCCCCCCCCAAAAAAAAACCTCAGCAAAAAATGCACATTTTTTAGTGATCAATGTTTCTTAAAAAGCCACTGCAGAGAACAAATTCCATCAAGCTGTGCTGGCTGAGCCTGATGGGAGATGTAGTGCAAAACATCCTGAGGGCACCCAGTTGGGAACGGCTGGCATCTATGTGCCACTTAAGCCCTTTTTATATTCCTTATTCTGTTTGATTTCGGCCCCCCAGCCTGTGGACGCAGGCTCAAGTTGCTAGACCTCAACATGCAGGAGTCCTCTCTTGTCCCTTGAGACCAAAGAGACAGTCACTTGTGAAATGAACTGGAGTGTTTTGTGTAGCTGATAAGGACGCCTAGTGAAAGCTAGTAGAAGAATTACCATAGCTCCACTCCGACACAGGAAGACAGCCTTAAACTGGGTAAGACTATTGGTCCATGTAGCTCAATACCATTGACACTGACTGGCAGAAGTTCGCTGGGTTATCAGATGGGATATTCCCACCCCACCCCCCACAACAGCCTTGGTGGAGGCCTGCGCTCATAGGCTTTGTAGTCCAAAATATCTGGAAGGTGTTAGGTTGCGTAAGGCCTAGGTAAAGGTAAAGGGACCCCTGACCATTAGGTCCAGTCGTGACCGACTCTGGGGTTGCGGCGCTCATTTCACTTTATTGGCCGAGGGAGCCAGCGTACAGCTTCCGGGTCATGTGGCCAGCATGACTAAGCCGCTTCTGGCGAACCAGAGCAGCGCACAGAAACGCCGTTTACCTTCCCGCTGGAGCAGTACCTATTTATCTACTTGCACTTTGACATGCTTTTAAACTGCTAGGTTGGCAGGAGCAGGGACCGAGCAACGGGAGCTCACCCCGTCGCGGGGATTCAAACCGCCAACCTTCCTATCTCTGTGGTTTAACCCACAGCGCCACCCACGTCCCTTGCGTAAGGCCTGCTCTAGGGCAAAATCTGATTACGTTTCCCCCAAAGATTACATTTAATGGGTGCATTGTTGCAGCGTGGCGCTTTGCAAACAAGGAGACAGCAAGTCTCTGCCCCAAGGGGCATACAATTTAGAAACTGGAAGACAACAGAGCAGAGGGCAGGGAAAGGGAAAATAAGAGATAAACAGAGGACGCGTAGGTGATTCTGCCTGAACACACAAACTTCCCACCAGCTGCCAAGGTGGATTTTGAGCTGCCACCTGCAGGCTGGCAACAGGCTTTTGACAAAGCTTGATTCATGCGTGGACAGCTGTTTTATTTAACAGGAGAGCAGAACCTAGTGCTTACATTCAGCGGTGGTGATGTGATCATGAGGTTGGTCAGGTTTCCTCACCCGGGACGCCTTGTTACCTTGCCAGGATGGTATGTGTAGCTTGGCAATTCAGTGTTTCTCAACCCCTCTGATTGGGTGGGTGGCAATAGGTATCATAGCTAGGAGCACTTAAGACCTATTTCACTATACAGTGGTACCTCCGGTTACAGACGCTTCAGGTTACGGACTCTGCTAACCCAGAAATAGTGCTTCAGGTTAAGAACTTTGCTTCAGGATGAGAACAGAAATCGTGCGGCGGCAGCAGGGGGCCCCATTAGCTAAAGTGGTGCTTCAGGTTAAGAACAGTTTCAGGTTAAGAACGGACCTCCAGAATGAATTAAGTTCTTAACCCGAGGTACCACTGTAAAATGTATTTGTGTGGGACACTCTCTCAGTGATTCCTTGACTTGTCTCATACTCTAAAGCAGACTTTCAGTACAGTGGTGCCTCGGGTTACAGACGCTGCAGGTTACAGACTCCGCTAACCCAGAAATAGTGCTTCAGGTTAAGAACTTTGCTTCAGGATGAGAACAGAAATTGTGCGGTGGCAGCGGGAGGCCCCATTAGCTAAAGTGGTGCTTCAGGTTAAGAACAGTTTCAGGTTAAGAACGGACTTAAGTACTTAACCCGAGGTACCACTGTATTTTGATTCTGGACAATACTTCAGGAGGGTTGCGAGATGTTGGCAAGGCAGCAAGGCCCAGAGATCCAGCATTACTCACAGCACTGGAACGACTTTTTCTCTCCATGGGTGTGGATCCAGGGCAGGAATCAGCTGAGTTGGCAAAGGATGGCAGAGGTGGATGCCTGCTCTGCCCATAGTCACTCTCTCTCACTCCACCTGGCATAGTCGAAATGCAATTTGTAAGCTCATTGGGGCAGGGACCTATGAGGTGACAGCTACAGCCCAATCAAATTCATTTCAACTGATTACACTTGCCTATGTGTGGAAACAATATTCCCGGAGGCAGAATTATGGGTGGTGCTCAGCTAAGCTTTGCTCAAGAGTAAGCACATAGAAAGGAATGACCCCTCAACAAAGTCAGACTCATTGAAGTCAATGGGTCTAATTTTGCCATTGTCATTATTTGAAGTGGGTCTGTTTTTGATTAAGAAAACATAGTTGACTGCCAACCTATATTTTCTTCGGCTGTTCACACACCGCACATTTAAAGCACATTTCACCACCACCACCAAAGTGTACTGGGAACTATTTTTTGTGTTGGGATTTGTAGCTCTGTAAGGGGTAAAATACAGTATTATTGGAGGGGTGTGTGTGCAGCTTTAAATATTTGGAGTGTGTACAATGTATCTGCCTTGGATTAAAATTTGCATTTAATCTATGGAACTGTCTTCACATATGGATTTGTTTTTAACTGTCTCTATACAGAGAATTTGATATACATTTTTTTAAAAAAAGATGAATGGAATTGCATTTAATTGGGGTTTTTTGCATATGAAACTGCAGTTTAATAGCAACTGTGAGATTGCTGTGAGATATGCTCGTGAGAAGCAATTAACACAGTCAGGTACATAAAGGAATGATTTTACAAAAAGAATAGAACAGGTAGGTGTTTTGAAGTCTAAGTGATGCCAGTTTTCTCTTGCCCGTGCCAGGCCTCGCTGGCATCAGCACGGTGCATCAAAACACAGTGGTGTCGTCCAGAGATGGGGAACAGCCAGACCCGTCTTGCCACTTCTAGATTCCGAAGCAGGAATTTCTCAGCAGAGGGAACACAAGGCTCTCGTGATTGGCACACCCACAACGGTTGTCCAGCCGTGTTTACACTACACAGGAGCTCATGGTGGCGTTTTATAAAAAGCCGGCCTTTTGCAAGAGTTTGATCCCTCAAATAACGCTTTGAAAGAGGTGAGCAGAGAAGAGGTTTGAAAATGGGTTGCCTTATTGACTAAGAAGGGACGTGGGTGGTGCTGTGGGTTAAACCACAGAGCCTAGGACTTGCCGATCAAAAGGTTGGTGGTTCGAATCCCCGTGACGGGGTGAGCTCCCGTTGCTCTGTCCCAGCTCCTGCCCACCTAGCAGTTCGAAAGCACGTCAAAGTGCAAGTAGATAAATAGGTACTGCTTTGGCGGGAAGGTAAATGGAGTTTCCGTGCGCTGCTCTGGTTCGCCAGAAGTGGCTTAGTCATGCTGGCCACATGACCTGGAAGCTGTACGCCGGCTCCCTCGGCCAATAAAGCGAGACGAGCGCCGCAACCCCAGAGTCAGCCACAACTGGTCCTAATGGTCAGGGGTCCCTTTACCTTTATTGACTAAGAACAGGGGTCAGCAAACTTTTTCAGCAGGGGGCCGGTCCTCTGTCCCTCAGACCTTGTGGGGGGCCGGACTGTACTTTGGAAAAATATATATGAATGAATTCCTATGCCCTGTTGTAAACAAAAAATTGCCCTTTCCCCTTATGGGGTATCCAAGAGCCCATATAGAGTCCTTGTATAGGTTCCCTATTGGTAGGAGAGAATAACAGAGGCCAACCAGAGAATACTGAGAAGCAAAGCAGCTAGTAAGCCAGATCTTTATTGATCTGTTGCAACAGGGTGCTCCCCTCACCCGCAGGAGAGAGGAGGAACCCAGAACAATGGTGCGCAAGGCCTTATAAAGACTTTTGAAATTGCTACCCTGTAGATCAAGACCACCCCCAGAAACATCACACCTACATCACAGAAAAGGCGGTCTAAACAGAAATTTGAATGCTGTTTTTCTCCTGTGGTTGTTTATCTCCTGTCTGGCAGGTTACTTGATTGGATTGCCTGGGGAGCCTGGCCAGTCTTTTGTAGTGATAAATACTTAGTTCCTGGGCCAGGTCACAGGCTCACACCCCATTCATATCTTAAATGTGCCCTTAAGACAAGATTTGTGAAGGAAAAGACAATGGGAGGTTTCCCACTTTGACCTTGCAGAGAAAACATTTGCTTAGTTTAGGAATCAAAATGATTCCAGGTCGGTCTTCCTGTGCTGATCTATGTATGTGCTCAGTTGGTACGCTTATGAACATTACCATATATCTAAGACCATAAAATTCCTATCACAGCCCCACAAATAACCCAGAGATGCATTTTAAATAAAAGCACACGTTCTACTCATGTAAAAACAAGCTGATTCCCGGACCATCCATGGGCTGGATTTAGAAGGCGATTGGGCCAGATCTGGCCCCTGGGCCTTAGTTTGCCTACCCATAATTAAGAAGCCCATGTTCATGGTTCTCAGCCCTTGTCATTAGTGGTGTTTGATTGGCAGAGGCTTAAATTTTGACGCTAAGATGGCAGAAAAACCCTGGAAAGCCTACTGAAATCTTGCAAAAAGCCAGGAAAGATGGGGAAAGTGCGATCTTATTTGTCCGATCTCTCCCCCTTGCTCCATCCTGCCGTGGTTTCTGGTGAAATGGCTGCCATGGACCAGCAAAACACAAAAAAATAAGACAGTATATATGCAGGTCTGGCTGTTTGGATATCTGAACCTGCAGTGTGTTTGGGTACTGATTTGGATAAGTGAATTTTTGTATAGCGGTAGCAAGACCTGTGCCTATCGTTCAGTCGCTCAGAATATAGAGTTTTATATTCTAGCATTCCCTTTTCTAGGCTACACTCTATGATCTCTGGCACAGCAGGCAGCCTTTCCACTCCCCATTCCCTTCTAATCCACATTTTGCAAGATCTGTAGGTGGTTTTGAGATCCAAATCGAACTTGACAGCTTACCCGCCTTCGCCTTCCTCCTCAACAGTTTTAAATATTAACTGGGGCCATTTCCACCCTAGCCCCGAGAAGGGAGATATCAGAACCAACTCCTTTTCAGGAATTAGAAGAACAGCAGTTATAAAGGATCGGAGTAGGATCAGGAAAGTTGTGAAGCTCAGTGGGTGGCCCTGGGCCCTTTCTGAAATATGGCAACCCTGGGTGATAGAGGACAGATGGGGAACTTAAAGCCCAGGGGCCTAGTACAGTGGTACCTTGGGTTAAGTGCTTAATTTGTTCCGGAGGTCTGTTCTTAACCTGAAACCGTTCTTAACCTGAAGCACCACTTTAGCTAATGGGGCCTCCTGCTGCCGCCGGAACACAATTTCTGTTCTCATCCTGAAGCAAAGTTCTTAACTCGAGGTACTATTTCTGGGTTAGCGGAGTCTGTAACCTGAAGCGTATGTAATCCGAGGTACCACTGCACAGTACAGCCTCCCAGATGCTCCTTAGGCCACGCCCCATTTCTGTAGGCCACGCCCCCACCAGCCATGCTTCATACCCTCCTCTGGCGCTTTGCCCGACTGGGATTTGTCGCTAAAAGGTGCTTATGTCTCTTTCTCGCCTGGATGGAGAATGGACGATGGAGAGGTCTGTGCGTAGAGAACTTTGCTTTGCTTAAATGCAGTCACCTCCAACACTCCACCCCCTTTTGCCCCTAGCCACACCCACCATTGTCCTGGCCCGCCCCCGCCAAAATGAGGGAATGCGGCCCTCGGTCTGGAAAAAGCTCCTTTCCTGTAATTTTCTTCTTCTTTTAAGTGCATCTTAGCCATCCTTGTTTTAAAAAACGAAACTAAAACACGCCAGGTTAGAGGGAGGCTCTTGTTGCGGGGGGTGCATTCATTTAAAAATAAACTAAATAAGCCTACAAACCTGTTTGCCCAACACCAGAGGCGCCTCTTCCTTAGTATGCACCAAGTAACACTGCGATCTATCCCAACACCCACCCGGTACACCCCCTTTCCTGGAAACTATCCAGCGGGGAAAATGGAACGGAGTGTTAGCGACAGGGGATTCGGAAGTCTCGGCGGCCGCAGCCCACGCGGTTCGGAGCGCGCCGTCAACGTTCCGTGAACTCTACGGCCCCGCCCACGCCTGGGGAGCGGGGCAACTTCTTCAAAGCTCCGTGGAACGTTGGAACGTTTCGCGCGGCGGGGTTTGGAACGTTGAGGCCGCCGAGCGTTCCATCGCGCGGAACGTTCAGGCAGCCAGCGTTCCATCAGTTCGGGGCAGCGGCGGCGGCGGCAACCGATCTTGCAAAGGGTTCAGCCCCGAGGGGGCGGGAGATTTATTTAATTTATTTATTTCGAGGGGACGGACAACACAGGATCCTCCTCCTCCTCCTCCTCGACTTCCCTGCACCCCACATTGACGCTCCTACCGGCTCAGGGGGAGGGAAGGGCCGGCCGCTGCAGAAGGCGGCCCACCGCCCGCCCCTTCCATCACTCTCTCACTATCTCTCCCGCCCGACGACGACGGCGGCGGCAGCTCCACCTCCTCTTTCGCCGCCGCCGCCGCCGTCCGGCCTGCTGTTGATAAACACGGCGTTCGAGGCGGGCGTCCTGTTGGCGAGCGCCTCTTCTGTCTCCGGAGCAGATCCCCGGAGCGCCTGGGCGGCCGGCAGCCGGGGAAGGGCTCGCGGGGAGCCGGGGAAGGGATGTGGCAGACGCTGGCCCTCGGAGCTCTCTTCTTCCCGGGGCTTTTCGCAGTCTCCGTCCGCAGCCTGCGCTGGCTGGCGCCGGCATGGAGCCTCAAGGACCGGATCGTCCTCAGCGGCAGGTACCGGCTGGCACCGAGGGGGGAGAGAGAGGGAGGGAGTCCGACGGGAAGCCAGAGGTGCGGGGAGGGGGGAGAGGTGGAGGAAAAGGGAAGGCATTCCACCCGGATCCTCTTATGCAACCGGATGGAGTTGAATGAAAAGCCGGCGCAAAGTTCTTGCAGGCGCGGGAAGCCCGGGTTGGATCCGGCGTAAGCCCGACTCAGAGTAGACCCGCCGGCCTCAACAAGCCTCACACTGCGGTCTATTAACTTCCATGTGTGTAGCCCTAGAATTGGATGCTACCCTCAGACGGCGCGAACTTTCAGAAACCTCTTCTCCATCCAGGCTTGGCAAAGCCGGCTGCTTACGAGCCGCACAGGGTTCCTCGGCGGGCGGGCTTTGGGAAAAGGCAAACGGGGCCAGTTCGACCCCTTAAAAATACAGAAGGATCCCAGATAGCGGGTTCGGGGGAAATTGGAAGGCCCCCCGATGTTGTTGGACTCCCTAACCATTGGCCCTGGAGTTGCAATCCAACAGCATCTGAAGAGCACCAGGTTCCTCAGTCCGGATCGGTTGCAAATGCAATTGCTCTAGTTTTGCTTTTTTGCCTCTTCAGTTTAGGGGATCCAGAGGGGCTTGCGGGGGGGGGGGAGGGAAGAGGACCCCTTAAGGCCCATGGGAGGAAGGGGAGTCTCTCCCTGCCTCCCTAAGAACAGCAACACTGGTTTAAGGGTAGGGCAAAGGCTTTCAACAGGAGTTTAAGGGCAGGGCAGCGATAAGGCAGGGACATTCCTGTCCAGATGAAAGAGAAGATTGCGAGGCAGGCAAGAGTCTATCTATCCTTAGGGAGCCGTAGGGAATGGCTCCTGTTGCTTAGCAACAGAGCATCTGCTTTGCATGCGGAAGGTCTCAAGTTCAACCCCCAGGGCTGCCTGAAACTCTGGAGAGCTGCTGCCAGTCAGTGCAGTAAATACTGAGCTTGCATGCAGAAGAATGCAGGTTCAATCACCAATAGCATCTCCTGCCAGGGCTGGGAAAGGCTCCCTCTCTGAAATCCCAGGGAGCTGCTGCAGGTCAGTGCATGCAGTAGGGCCCCCTGAATCTCTATAGAGAGGGGCTGCCGGTCAGTGCAGGCAATACTGAGTCAAATTTACGGGTGGTTTTGCTCTGTAGAAGGCTGCATATGTTGAGCGAGTGAATCTCTTCATGGTACTTTTTTCATATATATATATATATATATATATATATATATAAAATTCATATAATGATATAATTGCAATTTAGGAACCAGAGGGGGAGGATCCGTGTTTATACGAATTCAGTCATTGGAGTCATGGGAAAGATGGCAGGAAGTTTTAGCTATGGATTGCACAGTGTGTTATGTGGGGGAAGTTGGGAACAGCTCTGTCTGGTGCAAAGTTGGGATGGAAATGTCATCAAGGAACAGGACAAGAGAAGCAAGATCGTTCCGAAGCCAGATCCCCAAAGAAAGGCTTATGTTTATTAGTAGGACAGACATTTCGTGGAGTTGGGACCCCCAATGGCCATCTAGTCCAACCCCCTGCAATGCAGGAATTTCAACTAAAGCATCTGTGGCAGATGGTCTCTGCTTAGGGAGTCCATTCCACTGTCAAACAGCTCCTGCTGTCAGAAAATTCTTCCTAATGTTTAGTCGGAATCTCCTTTCTTGAAACGTGAAGCCACTGATTTGAGTCCCACCTTCTACAACAGGAGAAAACAGGCTTGTTCCATCTGACAGCCCTTGAGATATTTGAAGATGGCTATCATCTCTCCTCTCGGTCTCCTCTTTTCCAGGCTAAACAGACCCACCTCATCAGGCTTGGTTTCCACACCCCATGATAATCTTTGTCTCCCTCCTCTGCACACATTCCGGCTTGTCAATATCCTTCTTAAATTGGGGCACGCAGAACTGGGCACAGTCTTCCAGGTGTAGTCTGACCAAGGCAGAATAGAGCAGTACTATTCTTTCCCTTCCGGGTGGCGCTGTAGGTTAAACCACAGAGCCTAGGACTTGCCGATCAGAAGGTCTGATCGGCGGTTCGAATCCCCGCGACGGGGTGAGCTCCTGTTGCTCGGTCCCTGCTCCTGCCAACCTAGCAATTCGAAAGCACATCAATGTGCAAGTAGATAAATAGGTACCGCTCCTGTGAGAAGGTAAACGGCATTTCCGTGCGCTGCTCTGGTTCGCCAGAAGCGGCTTAGTCATGCTGGCCACATGACCCGGAAGCTGTACGCTGGCTCCCTCGGCCAATAAAGCGAGATGAGCGCCGCAACCCCAGAGTCGGCCACGACTGGACCTAATGGTCAGGGGTCCCTTTACCTTTATTCCTTCCCTTCATCTGGACACTAGACTTTTGTTGATGCAGCCTAGAATAGCATTTGCTTTTTTTGCTGCAGCATCACACAGTGGACTCATGACCAGCTTGTGGTTCACTAAGACCCCTAGATCCTTCTCACATGTCCTACTGGCAAGCCACCTTATATTTGTGCAGCTGCTTCTTCCTGCCTAAGTGTCCCTTATTGAAATCCATGTTAGTTTCTGCCCAGTTCTCCTGTCCGCTGTGGTAATCTGGATTCCCAATTCTGCCTTCTGCAGCATTTGCTACCCTTCCCAGCTTGGTGTCATCTGCAAATTGGATTCCACTCTCTCTTCACCAAAAGGAGAGTCGCTTGCGAAATTGGTTTGGGTGTTTATTTTGCTGCAGAGGAGGCTACGAGTTCGCAGGAACAGTGCCATGACCCTCACTATTACACAAGAACACAGCCTTCCTCGCAGTCAGGCTGTTGGTTTCACCATCCTCCGTATTACTGACACTCGCTGCTGCTGGCTCTCCAGGATTCCCTGGCAGGGAGCATTACCCAACCCTGTCTGGAGATGCCGGGGGTTGGATCCAGGACCTTCTGGATGCCAAGCAGATGCACTGCCACTGTGGACAAGTTACAGGGAACCAGGCAGAGGGCCTTCTCGGTGGTGGCACCCGCCCTGTGGAACGCCCTCCCACCAGATGTCAAAGAGAACAACAACTACCAGACTTTTAGAAGACATCTGAAGGCAGCCCTGTTTAGGGAAGCTTTTAATGTTTGATGCATTGCTGTATTTTAATATTTTGCTGGAAGCCGCCCAGAGTGGCTGGGGAAGCCCAGCCAGATGGGCGGAGTATAAATATATTATTATTATTATTATTATTATTATTATTATTATTATTGACACGGTGCTAAGGCGAAGTCTCTGCCCCAATGCGCCAACCTCCCCTCGGGTTGTGGACGCTCCTTCCTTGGAGGTTTTTAAGCAGAGGTTGGATGGCCGCCATAACAACAACAACAACTATTATTATTATTATTATTATTATTATTATTATTATTATTTATACCCTGCCCATCTGGCTGGGTTTCCCCAGCCACTCTGGGCAGCTTCCAACAAAATATTAAAAATACAACAAAACATCAAACATTTAAAACTTCCCTAAAATTTCTGTCATAGATGCTTTAGCTGAGATTCCTGCATTGCAGGGGGTTAGAATGAGTGATTTGATTCTATCTAGGTCAGTATTGTCCATGCTAGGTGTGGGGTGCCCTCCAGGCTCCTCTGCCTGGCTCTGGGAAGTCTACCTAGGCCACACACCCTATTTTTTACCTGGCTATCAAGTGTCTTTGACCACGCCTAACGCTTGGAGAGAGAGCGGAGGTGTGTGTAATATTTATATGCATTGCTCCGCCCACTTTTGCTTCTGGCCCCTCCCACCAGCTGAACATGGCCCCCGGAAGCTTGCTCAGAAGGGAATGTGGCCCTCGAGGCTGTAAAGCCTTCCCCACCCCTGGACACAAGCTATTGTCCTGCCTGAATCGGCCCTCTTGGATCAATGGAGGCCACTCAGTGCAATTCAAGGTGGCGGGATTTGAACGCAGGCCTCGCATGCTTGACCCCAACACACTAAGCACTGCGTCACACTAGCCTGTGACTGGGGTGTGGAATGGTTACCCCCCACACACACACTGGAGGAATTCAGATTTAGAGGCGGCCGCAACTGACCGGTCAGTCCTGATGGCTGTCGCCTCACTTAGAAATGCGTCGTTCCTCATCTCTGAAAAGAAAACCCTTTGAAGATTCAGCTCAGGACTGGTCTGGGAGGGGAGAATTCCTGTGTATTCATCACAAACCTCCCACCCAACTGCTGAAAGCAGAGCTTCCCAAACCGAATCGTAGGCTGCATGCTTGAGATGCACGGTGCTCTTTAAACATCAAAAGACTTTCGACATTGAACTCCAGGGCACACTCGATTCCTACATCCATTTAACAGACTGTGTCAAGTTCATAGGCGGCTCTCCCCAAAAGGAACACACCAACCTCTCTATATTGTCCCAGGATGCTAATTTGGGAGTGCTTCTGGATTGGGAGACGGGAATCCTGGAGCAGGGATTCGTGCAGGGGTGCAACGGGCAGCCTCATCCTAGGGGAGGCAATTCCCTGACATTTGGAGTGAGAAAGAACCAGTCACAGCAGGTTCAGAGGTGTGGCCGAACTTGCAGAGGAGAAGAACAGGGACTCAGCGTTTTGTTTTAAAGCAGATTTCCCAACTGCACAAATGCCCCATCACACACCCAATGATAATTTTCAAAACAGTCATTACAGACAAAAGCATACTTTGCTCCTTGCTTACATCCTGTATCAGTGGCAGCTTCTCCTTACGGATCAGGGTTTTTTTGTGTCTGACTGCACACACAAAAATAAATCCCAGGGTATCACCCAGAGATGCGCCAGGCAGCCTCCTATGCAAAATCGCAGTTTGGCCCTGTGGGAGCCTTAAATGACAATTTGTTTCTGATCTGGGAATGCACTTCTTGATTTTGAGCGAGGGGAGTCTGGAGCAGCAATAATAAGAATAATAATAATAAATTTTATTTATATCCCGCCCTCCCCAGCCGAAGCCGGGCTCAGGGCGGCTAACAACAATAAAACAGTACAAAAGTACAGCACAAACAACACTCTAAAATCATTCATTATAAAATTAATTAATTCAAGCCACTGGCAACCATTGGGCCAGAGCTCCGCGAAGATTGCCGAGGGAGGGAGTCAGGCTGTGCCCTGGCCAAAGGCCTGGTGGAACAGCTCTGTCTTGCAGGCCCTGCAGAAAGATGTCAAGTCCCGCAGGGCCCTGGTCTCTTGTGACAGAGTGTTCCACCAGATCGGAGCCACAGCCAAAAAAGCCCTAGCTCTAGTTGAGGCCAGCCTAACTTCTCTGTGGCCTGGGACCTTCAAGATGTTTTTATTTGAAGACCGTAAGTTTCTCTGTGGGGCATACCAGGAGAGGCGGTCCCGTAGGTACGAGGGTCCTAGGCCGTATAGGGCTTTAAAGGTTAAAACCAGCACCTTAAACCTGATCCTGTACTCCACCGGGAGCCAGTGCAGCTGGTATAGCACCGGGTGAATGTGATCTCGCAGCGAAGACCCCGTAAGGAGTCTCGCTGCAGCATTCTGCACCCGCTGGAGTTTCTGGGTCAGTCTCAGGATCTGCAACCCCTGCAGAGTTGCAGCAGGGAACCTCCTCAGAAGACCCAGGTGGTTCCCTTGTGTTTCTACATCAAGAGCAGGTTGACCAATCCATTCACACCAGACACAGAGAGGTTTGGTTGAGTTACCTGCATCCTGGCAAGAAGTTGAATTACGACGACATGTTTCTCTCTCTCTCTTGCATAACAACATGAGAACAGGATGGATCGGTGTGGGGAAAGTATGTAGAGAAAAGCTTTCCTTGCCTCTCGTAACAGTTGAACCCGTGGCCAGCCAATGGAGCTGAAGGTTGGGAGATTCAGGGCAGATAAAAGAAAGCCATGGTGGCAATTTTCTCCCTCCACAGCCAGGCGCAGTCTACCTCTGAATACCAGTTGCTGGGAATTGCAAACTGATTGCCATGGTTCTCAAATCCTGCTTGGAGGCTTTGCTTGGGGACATCGTGTTGGCCACTGTCAGAACAGGATACTTGGCAGCCCGCCTCCCTTTGACTTCTTCTCCCGCCCCCCAATTTTTTAAATTCATTTTATAACACAACTAAGACAGCATCTTAAAAAGCAGAGACATCACCTTGCCAACAAAGGTCCGTATAGTTAAAGCCATGGTTTTCCCAGTAGTGATGTACGGAAGTGAGAGCTGGACCATAAAGAAGGCTGATCGCCGAAGAATTGATGCTTTTGAATTATGGTGCTGGAGGAGACTCTTGAGAGTCCCATGGACTGCAAGAAGATCAAACCTCTCCATTCTGAAGGAAATCAGCCCTGAGTGCTCACTGGAAGGACAGATCCTGAAGCTGAGGCTCCAAGACTTTGGCCACCTCATGAGAAGAGAAGACTCCCTGGAAAAGACCCTGATGTTGGGAAAGATGGAGGGCACAAGGAGAAGGCGACGACAGAGGACGAGATGGTGGGACAGTGTTCTCGAAGCTACGAACATGAGTTTGACCAAACTGCGGGAGGCAGTGGAAGACAGGAGTGCCTGGCGTGCTCTGGTCCAGGGGGTCACAAAGAGTCAGACACAACTAAACGACTAAACAACAACAACAACACAACAACTAAACAACACAAACAGGAAAACAAACAATACAAACAAATTCTTGTCTTATCCTTATTTTTTCTAAACATTGTTAGGTGAGCTTCCCCAAGTCCCCGCTATCTGATTTTCATTTTACCTCATCTTTAGCAGTTTACATATATCATAATTGCTAGCCATTTTTTTATCACGCTTACTTTTACCATAAAAATCTTCACATTTTATCACTTACAAATAATACTATTTTAAAATACACTGTCTTCTACTTCTAACCCTACAGCCTATATCCACTTCCAGAGCTATTCTAAGATTTAAATAGTAACCTATTTTTTCAAATATTCTTTAAACTTCTTCCGGTCTTCTTCCACCATCTCTTCTCTCTGGTCTCGGAGTCTCCCGGTCAGTTCGGCAAGTTCCATCATCTTCATCTGCCATTCTTCGATAGTTGGTACACCTTGTTTCTTCCAATTCTTCGCTAGTAATATTCTCACAGCTGTTGTGGCATACAGAAAAAAAGTAACATCCTTTTTGGGAGATTTCACCCACCACTATACCAAGTCAAAAGGCTTCTGATTTCAACACTTTTTTCAGTTCATTATAAACCCTTTCCCAGAAGTCTTTTACCTTGGGGCACGTCCACCACATGTGGTAAAAGGTTCCTTCTTTTTCCTTACATTTCCAGCATTTATTATCATGAGTATGAGACATATTTGCTCCTTTTGCCTTCTTCTGGTGGGGAGAATGCCCCCCCCTCTTGCCCCAAAGAATCACCCTCCACTCCCTTGGAGAATAGACAATTCATGATTTTCACCCTTTCTGCACATTTCTTGCCCCCCGCTAATTCGCACCCAACACTTCCCTTTTTTAACATTTCAACGTCCAGGAAATCCTTGGAGGTATTGGGGGAAGACAGACGCCCCGTGGCCCACTAGTAAAAGCCCCCCACCATTCTTTCCCCCCCCAAATAAATTTTTATTGTTTTCAACATGTACTTCTTTTTCCAACAATCCTTACTGTCACATTATAATCCCTTTGACTCTGCCGAGTCCTGACTTCCCTCCCTCCCGACCGGTGGTATATACATCACATACTTTTTGCGTCTATTATTGTCATAACTCTACTGTTTTACATTGGAGCTGTTATTCCAGTCCGGCTAGTGTCTTAATATTTTTGTTGTTCTCCTTATATAGTCAACAAATTTATTCCAATTGTTACTGTATCTCTGGTCCTCTTGGTCCCGGATCCTTCCTGTCAATTTGGCAAGTTCCGCAAAATCTATCATCTTCACCTGCCGCTCCTGGATGGATGGTAAATCTTGTGTTTTCCATCTTTGGGCCAGTAAAGTTCTTGGGGCGGCTGTGGCACACATGAACATTCAAAATAGTTGGCTATTGTAGCTCTTCTTCTCTCGGCTCACGAGTCGCCCAGCAGGACCCAGACGCAAACTGATGACTCAACGGAAGGCCAAACTCAACCAACGACACGACCCTGCCGGAGAACCAATGTATAAATACGAGAAAGGGAAACCACTGTTTATTGAATCAAGGGTATTTACTTTGTCTCTCGGGACGTGGTGACCGTGCCAATTTCAGTTTGAACCTCTTTGTGGCAAGACTGAGCCTTTTCCCCGCCCCACCCCAAAGTTCAAACGATAAGCTGCCAGTCAGGAAGTCGCAGAATCCTGGAATTGTAGAAATGGGTCACAAAAAAATCTCTGTGTCCACTTTCTTCACCCTCATTTTAGGCACCCCCTAAGTTCTAGGATCCTGCAGGTCTAGCTCCGGGGAACCTCTAAGCCAGCCTTCCAGACGCTGTTAGACTCCAATTCCCATCAGCCCCTGCTGGCCAAGTCCATGGTCAGGAGAATGATGGGAGTTCAGCTACAGTGTACAGTGGTACCTTGGGTTAAGTACTTAATTCGTTCCGGAGGTCGTTCTTAACCTGAAACTGTTCTTAACCTGAAGCACCACTTTAGCTAATGGGGCCTCCTGCTGCAGCCGCACAATTTCTGTTCTCATCCTGAAGCAAAGTTCTTAACCTGAAGCACTATTTCTGGGTTAGCGGAGTCTGTAACCTGAAGCGTATGTAACCTGAAGCATATGTAACCCGAGGCAGCACTGTACTGATAGTCTGCTTTAGAGTATGAGACAAGTCAAGGAATCACTGACAGAGTGCCCCACACAAATACATTTTACAGTGTACCTCAGGTCAAGAACTTAATTCCTTCTGAAAGTCCGTTCTTAACCTGAAACTGTTCTTAACCTGAGGTACCACTTTAGCTAATGGGGCCTCCCGTTGCTGCTGCACGATTTCTGTTCTCATCCTGAAGCAAAGTTCTTAACCCGAGGTACTATTTCTGGGTGAGCGGAGTCTGTAACCTGAAGTGTCTGTAACCCCAGGTACCACTGTACAAACATTTCCCTTGTTGACCGTTGTTTTCTCCCTAGGCTGGTGTCGTCTGTCCAGGCCATGATGGCCACTCTTTCCGGGATCATTGTCATCTTCAGCTGCGAGGACGTCGTGCACGACAGGTAATTAAAGAGAGGTCTGTAAACTGAAGCCAGGTGTGCAGATTTTCATCTGCCCTTATCTGAGGACTTTCACCTGCCAGAGATAAGGATGCCTGGACTGCAGGCCTCTTCCTCCTCAACAAATCGCAGAGAGGCATGCTTCCGAATAAAGGTGCTGCTGGGTTTGACGTATTTCGCTGAATCATACAATGGATGGGATCCCAGAGATCATCTAGTCCAACCCCCATCCAGATTGGAATTAGGGTGTGTTTGTGATGGGGAGAGGGCCCTAGTTTAGTGGCAGAGAGAATTTGCTCTGCATGCAGAAGGACCCGGGTTCAACCTCCATTGCCAGGTAGGACAGGTTGAGACTGCCTGCCTGAAATTCTGAACAGCTGCTGCCAGCCAGTGCAGACAACACTAAGTCCGATGGACCTCGTGGTCTGACTCTACAAAGGCAGCTTCCTTTGCTGCTGAGACCCGGATCCAGACCTGGAGTGCAGGTTCTCTGACTCAGATGCCCCTGAGTTGCAGGAAGTGCTTGGAGGCTGGCACTGCTCCTCATAGGAAGCTGTCCATCTAGATCAATACTGCCTACTCTGGCTGGTAGCAGCTCTCCGGGGTTTCAGGCAGGGGTTCAGTGTAGATAACTGCCCTGGACTGGCTGGAAGCAGAGGAATGATGGGAGGAACCAGCTATGGGAACCACTAAGGCAGGCATCCCCCAACTCTGCCCTCCAGATGTTTTGGGACTACAACTGCCACCATCCCTAGCTAACAGGACCAGTGGTCAGGGATGATGGGAATTGTAGTCCCAAAGCATCTGGAGGGCCGAGTTTGGGGATGCCTGCACTAAGGGAAGAAGGCTCAGAGCCTGGAGGTTGGTGGTGTGACAATGATGAGTGATCAGAGGGAGAAGACTAGGAAGAGGAAGGGCTGGAAGCTGAAGAGGTAATAGACCTTAGTAAGTTGATAGAGTCTGTGGTAGAGAGTAGTGCAGAAACAGAGGCAGAAGCTAAAGCAGGGGAGTGGGATGCAGGAGGCTAAGAGACAGAGATGGCTGGTGAAGAGTCATGGGTGTCTCGCCCTCTTTCTGCGACAAGCTCCCCCCCACACTTAGTTCCTAGAACCAGAAGAGGCATGAAAAGGGCACAGGAGAGATTGGGCATGCACAGGCACAGTCTCTGAAGAATATTATTATTATTATTATTATTATTACCCCACTCATCTGGCTGGGTTTCCCCAGCCACTCTGGGTGGCTCTCAACAAAAGATTAAAAACACGATCAAACATTAAAAACTTCCCTAAACAGGGCTGCCTTCAGATGTCTTCTAAAAGTCAGATTGTTGATCTATTTCTTTGACATCTGATGGGAGGGCGTTCCACAGGGTGGGTGCCACCACCGAGAAGGCCCTCTGCCTGGTTCCCTGTAACCTCACTTCTCGCAAGGAGGGAACCGCCAGAAGGCCCTTGGCGCTGGACCTCAGTGTCCAGGCTGGACAATGGGGGTGGAGATGTTCCTTCAGGTCTACTGGGCTGTTTAGGGCTTTCAAGGTCAGCACCAACACTTTGAATTGTGCTTGGAAACATACTGGGAGCCAATGTAGGTCCGGTGTTATATGGTCTCCCAGTCACTACTCCCAGCCACTGAGTCACGATTGCTAGGAAAAAACCCTGGAGAGGAAGGGACTTAGACGGCTGTGGGGAAGCGGGGACCCTCAATCTGCAATAATAATAAATAATAATAATTATTATTATTATTATTATTATTATTTATTTATACCCCGCCCATCTGGCTGAGTTTCCCCAGCCACTCTGGGCGGCTCCCAATTGAGTGTTAAAAACAATACAGCATTAAATATTAAAAACTTTCCTAAATAACTTCATGGTGGCAGGACCTACCAGAAATGAGTTGCTGTGTTTATTAAGCTTGACACTCTTGTGCAGATTGTGGTTTTGCTAATAAAGAGTTAACTCCAACTTGCTCAGTGTGATTTATAGCTGGCCCGCTCCAGACAACAACAGCCACAGCATCTCACACAGCCGGTTGTCAGTGTTGATGGGAGTTGGAGTCCAACATGAGGGTCACAGATCTGTGCCGCCTCTAAACCTTCACTCTGTTCTCCCCCACCCACACAAATTAACATATCTCCACTGGCTCATATTGTCTCCAAACTTCCTTTCATTATCTCCTCCCTTCTTGGAAATATCTATTGCAAACTTCTGGGAGCAGAGACCTGCACTCAGTTGCTCAACTTTAAATTCCATGCCACCGTGTGCACCAATGGCACTCTGCCACTTTAAAATAAAAAATAAAAATCACGAGGACTAGGAATGCTTCTCTTTTGCTGGAGAGACTGCTGGATATGAATTATTTTCTAAAGGGGTTGCGTATTGTGTTGGCTGAACTCATCTTGAGCTGTGCAAAGCTCTGTCCCAGAAAAATAAGGGGAAATGTCACCACTTTTGCAACAGGCAATTTTGACAAGGCAGGCATTGCATAATTAACTGCAAGGGAAGCTTTGCAGAACGAATTGCATCAAGGCACCAAAACAAAAAAGTACCTCTCTCCACCCTTGAAGACCTGAAGCTGCAGATTCCAACATTTAAAATAAAAAACAGCTTCGTGGAGGAAGATGAGCCCTTTTAGTGGAAATTAACCAGGATACCACACAGTGCTTCCTTGTGTGGAGGCAGTCTGAATGCAAGAACAATGCCACCCCCACCCCCAAGACAGCACTTGCCTGCAGCCTTGCAATCTTAGACACAACACAAGAGGGAAAAGGGATGGGGAGGGAAGAGGGGTGAAAGCAGACTCGCGTACCAATTCTTAAATGCAGCGGTAGTTCTTACAGCCAGCTGGAAACATTGGTGGGGCGGGGGGAACTTTTGCCAAATGTTGAATCTAAAATTTGAACCCATGGTATCTGACTGAGTCCTACTCAGAGTAGACCCAATGAGAACAAGGAACCCGGGTTTCAGTGGGTTTGCTGCACACAGGACTAGCGTTGCACAACCTGAAGTTTAAACCTATTATTATTATTATTCTTGGGACGCATGTTTCAAATTCGAAACGAGGCATGCGAAATTAGGGATTTCCAGGTCCTTGGCCCTCGGTCCGTGCTGCCCTCAAATGCCCACCCTTAACCCACCCCTCTACGCTCTTCCTTCTCCTCCCCAAACAGGCACTGGATTGCGCGTGAGTACATGTGGGTTGTGGTCTCCTACATGGCCTACGACATCTACGTCATGTACCTCTGCCACTGGCACAAGGGTGAGGAGAAAGGGGAGGCGCACCCGAAGTATTCTCTGGCCAGCGTCAACAGCTTCCTGCAGAGAGAAAGGCTGATGGTCACACACCACCTTTTCATCCTCATCGTCCTCACGCCAGTGGCTACGGTGAGAGCACTTGGGTTTTCTCAAGGAGTTTGGCGCGTTCTGGGTGTTAATAATAATAATAATAATAATAATAATAATAATAATAAAATTATACCCCGCCCATCTGGCTGTGTTTCCCCAGCCACTCTGGGCGGCTTCCAACAAAACACTAAAATACAATAACCTATTAAACATTAAAAGCTTCCCTAAACAGGGCTGCCTTCAGATGTCTTCTAAAAGTTTGGTGGTAGTTCTTCTCTTTGACATCTGGTGGGAGGGCGTTCCACAGGGCGGGTGCCACCACCGAGAAGGCCCTCTGCTTGCTTCCCTGTAACCGCACTTCTCGCAGGGAGGGAACTGCCAGAAGGCCCTCAGCGCTGGACCTCAGTGTCCAGGCAGAACGATGAGGGTGGAGACGCTTCTTCAGGTATACTGGACCGAGGCCGTTTAGGGCTTTAAAGGTCAGCACCAACACTTAGAATTGTGATCGGAAACATACCTGTGTGCGCTCTGCCATGCTTGCTGGGAGATGCCCACCCGCGCAGGCACAAGCGTGGAAACTTCCCGGAAAGTGTCTGTAATCGCCATGATTAACTAGCAGCCTTGCATCTATGGTACAAAACTGAAAGCTTTGGGCCACCATCTTGATTCAAAATGGCGACCAGTGGTATCCAAAGGCAGCCGAAAGCCTGTTCCTTGATCTTGGGCCCACTTGCAAAATTTGGTTAAAATCAGTGCCGTTTTGAAAGGTCCAGCCTGCCATCTCGATTCGCAATGGTGCCCGATTATTTTTTAAATTTCTATACTTTTTGTATTTTTAAGAAAAATCTCAGAGCGGTTTAAAAAAAGTAAAGGATACCTGACAGTTAAGTCCAGTCGCGAACGACTCTGAGGTTGCGGCGCTCATCTCGCTTTACTGGCTGAGGGAGCCGATGTTTGTCCACAGACAGTTTTTCTGGGTTATGTGGCCAGCACAGCACATTAAATCAAGAAAACATAAACAAAACAATCTGAAGAAAGTCAAATACAGTGGTACCTCTGGTTACGAACTGAATCCGTTCCAGAGGTCTGTTCGTAACCAGAAACCGTTCTTATCCTGAGGCGTGCTTTCGCTAATGGCGCCTCCCACTGCACGCGCGGGCCTCTGGCACACGATTCCCACTCGCATCCCCGGGCAAAGTTCGCAACCAGGAACAGCTACTTCCGGGTTAGCGGAGCTCGTAATCCAAAGCGCGCGTAACCAGAAGGGTTCATAAACAGAGGTACCACTGTATAGAGTATACAGTGGTACCTCAGGTTAAGTACTTACCGTATTTTTTGCTCTTTAAGACTCACTTTTTCCCTCCTAAAAAGGGGAAATGTGTGTGTGTCTTATGGAGCGAATGCAGGCTGCACAGCTATCACAGAAGCCAGAACAGCAAGAGGGATTGCTGCTTTCGCTGCGCAGAGATCCCTCTTGCTGTTCTGGCTTCTGAGATTCAGAATATTTTTTTCTTGTTTTCTTCCTCCAAAGGCTAGGTGCGTCTTATGGTCTGGTGCGTCTTATAGAGCGAAAAATACGGTGATTAGTTCCGGAGGTCTGTATTTAACCTGAAACTGTTCTTAACCTGAAGCACCACTTTAGCTAATGGGGCCTCCTGCTGCTACCGGGCCGCCGGAGCATGATTTCTGTTCTCATCCTGAAGCAAAGTTCTTAACCTGAAGCACTATTTCTGGGTTAGCGGAGTCTGTAACCTGAAGCGTATGTAACCTGAAGCATATGTAACCTGAGGTACCACTGTACAGTCAAAGCAACGTAACAGAAAACTAAAATACTATCTTAAAGATTTCAAAATAAAACATTACAAAGAAGGTCAACTACAGAATACATATTTAACATAGTAGCGCTGGTGAGTGTGTGCCCTGCTCCCTAAGGCCAGGTGGAAAGGGCCTTGCAGGATGCGGCCTTCACGCTTCACAGCCGGGCGATGTTCCTCTGGCCTCATGAGGAGCCTCTACTTGGATTATATCCAAGCATAGAAGGGCTCCTTGATTCGGGAACCATCGTGCAAAATTCTGTTTGAAACAGCATCCCAGGAATAGCAAAAGCCTGTTCCTTGATTTCAGGAACTGTGGTGCAAAATATGGCTGTGATACCTTCAGAGCTGTCCATGCAGGCCCCGGAAGGCTGCCCGGAAGGGAATTTGACCCTCAGACTGAAAAGCATTCCCTACTGCTCCTCACCAACGCCAGAAGGAGCTGTTTAGGGTTGCTGGGTTGCAAGCCGCTTGCACAGACACACAAATCCCTGAAATTCTCTCCCCTGCTTTCGTCCACAGCACTTCAGAGGTGAGCTGGGAGACTTCTTCGTTGGCTGTATCTACACGGCTGAGCTGAGCACCCCCTTTGTATCGTTGGGCAAGATCCTGTTGCAGGTAAAACCACAACCCCAGGCTTTCTCAGACACTCGGGGTCCGATACCCGTTTCTTTTACTCCCTGGTTAAAAGTAGAGATGTGCTTTGCTCTGAGGCTCAGGGCAGTTGTGTTTCTGATGGCAAAAGACAGACTTTCCTGCCACCGCAATCACCTGCCTTCATTTCTCCACAAGTCACTGGTTGGTTTTTTTTAATGAAAAACAAAAGCAGTGCAAAGCAGTACAATCGTGCAGAGAAGCAACAGGCACACCCCCGAGAGAGATGCTAAATGCACTGTACCAGTGACTTGGAAACGTGCTGCAAATGCAGGACTTTGTTGTCCTACACAAAGGAGGAGGATGTTGCTGGAAATATGGTGCGTGGTTTTATAATTTGTTGGAAGCCACCCAGAATGGCTGGGGCGACCCCGTCTGATGAGGATTATTAATACAGTGGTACCTCAGCTTAAGAACTTAATTTGTTCTGGAGGTCCGTTCTTAACCTGAAAATGTTCTTAACCTGAGGTACCACTTTAGCCAATGGGGCCTCCCACTGCCGCCGCCCGATTTCTGTTCTCATCCTGAAGCAAAGTTCTTAACCTATTTCTGGGTTAGCGGAGTCTGTAACCTGAAGCGTCCGTAACCTAAAGCGTCTGTAACCCGAGGTACCACTGTAATAATTTCCACAGCTCTAGGGTTTTCTGGTTGTTGTTGTTGTTTAAATACAGTGGTACCTCGGGTTAAGTACTTAATTCGTTCCAGAGGTCTGTTCTTAACCTGAAGCACCACTTTAGCTAATGGGGCTTCCTGCTGCCGCTGTGCGATTTCTGTTCTCATCCTGAAGCAGAGTTCTTAACCTGAGGTAATATTTCTGGGTTAGCGGAGTCTGTAACCTGAAGCGTCTGTAACCCGAGGTACCACTGTAATAGTTTCCACAGCTCTAGGGTTTTCTGGTTGTTGTTGTCATTTAGATAGCTGTATAGAACCGATTTTACCTCCCGCTTTCTCTTCCCCAGCTGAAAATGCAGGATTCGGCCTTGCACAAAGTCAACGGTGTCCTCGTCCTGGTGACCTTCTTCCTGTGCCGCATTGTCCTGTTCCCCTTCATGTACTGGGCCTACGGTCGCCAGGCCGGCCTCCCCATCTACAAAGTGCCTTTCCACATCCCCCTCCACTGCAACGTGGCCAACGCTCTGCTCATCGCCCCTCAGCTCTACTGGTTCGCCCTCATCTGCCGCAAGGCCCTGCGGCTCTACAGAGCCCCGCTGGCCCCGGACCGAGCCCGATAATGGCGGCCTGAGACCTGCTCCCTGCGGCTGGGTCCTGCCCGCCCCGACTTTCTGCGCCAGCCTCTGGGGAGAGACCTCTCAGTCGGGACGCCGTGGGCTTTGCCCAGGAGTGACAGGCGACGCTACCTCTGCAGGTGGCCCCTGGGTGAAATCCGGTTGCCATACGGTGCCAGCAAGGCCGGGTGGTTTTGTGTTTTGTTCTGTTCTGAGGAGTCTACTGCCAGAAGAGCGCTGCTGGATCTGGCCACACACCTCGCCCAGCACCCCGTTCTCACATTCGCACCCGCCAAGGTGCTCAAAATAGGCCGGGACTCCTGGAAGCTGCTTCCAGTTTGCAGGATGGGGGCAGTGTGCCAGGATCCGGCCCCCTGCCAGCGCTGGCCTCTCTTGGGACAAAAGGGTGGGCAGAGAGGGGGCACTGGGTATGCCGTCTGTAGGTTTCTCGGTGGCTTCTGTGAAATGGAGGGTTTATTGCTTCCCAAGTCATGCTCTGAATAGGAGCAAGAAAACGATTCCCCCCCCCCCCAATTATACTGCTGAAGTGAAGAAGGCCGGGGTGGGGGGAGAGATAACCCAGAGTACATTTTCCGCAGGGGGGGGACTGTGAACTGTTTCGCCCCAGGATTCGAATCGTGGGCTTGGGACCCAAGCGCCGGTTTGGGAAAATCAAGCTGTCTTTCCATCCACTCCCCAAGCTGTAAAAATGGGGTGGAGGGTATGGATTCTATGCTGGGGAAGAAAATGGGGCATTGGGCAGTCTGGTCATCATATTCGGGGGGGAATGACCAGGCAGCTGGAGGTCTCGGGGCCAAATCAAATGTGTTGGTATTTCTTTGTCCTGCCTGTAAGATGAGTATTTTTGTCGAGACCCTGCAGGGGTCGGCCTAAAATCTCCGCGCCAGCAACGCCAGCGTCACACAGGGGTAAAGCTTCCCCACGCAATTCGCACCCGGCTCCCCGTTGACGGTGGCCCTCTGTTTGGAACACAAGAAGTCTGCCGCAGGTGGAGCTTGGGTCTAACCCAGGGGTGGTTCGGCTGGTAGAACATGAGACTCTTAATCTCAGAGTCGGGGATTCAAGCTCTGCCCCACCTTGGGCAAAAAAATCCTGCATTGCAGGGGGTTCGACTAGATGACCCTTGTTGTCCCTTCCAGCTCGACAATTCTATGAAAAGCCGTGGCCTGCCAGATGGGGCTGGACTACAACTCCCATCATTCCCCTGGCCATTGACCACGATGGCTTCTGGGAGTTGAGAGTCCAGCAGCATTTGGTTCCCCCATCACTGGTGCAATCCATTTTCCTGCAGGGATGTTTCCCCCCCCCACCATCACTTCTTGTGCCCATTTTCTTTCTGGTCAAGCTGGTCTTTTTTCTACCTCCTTGTTTATGTCTGATCTTTCCGGAACGCCTTTGCAAGTACCACATTGGAGCAGCCTTCGGATTGATGCGGCTACAACTTCTCCTTAACAAACCGGCGTCTCCTCTGAGGTTGTGGTGCTCTCCAGAGGTTCCCAAACTTCAGAAGCGCCTTTCACTTCATCAAAAGTGGCTTTTTACTGCCGACAGTCTTGGGACACCACAGCCAGCCTGCCTTGCCGCCAGCGATAAGCCTTAACCCTCACAACTATGCCTCATCCCCTTTTAAAAACAACCAATATGGCCGCCCTCACGACAACTTAGGGGAGCGAACTCCGTAGCGGCGCTGGGCGACGTTCTTTACGCTCAGTTTTCCAGCTCTCAACTTCATTAGATGTCCCCATTGGATTCTAGTACAGTGGTACCTCAGGTTAAGTACTTAATTCGTTCCGGAGGTCCGTTCTTAACCTGAAACTGTTCTTAACCTGAAGCACCACTTTAGCTAATGGGGCCTCCCGTTGCCGGAACACAATTTCTATTCTTATCCTGAAGCAAAGTTCTTAACCTTTCTGGGTTAAGCGGAGTGTATAACCTGAAGCGTATGTAACCCCAGGTACCACTGTACAGTGGTTTACCTCGGTTGTCGAACGTAATCCATTCCGGAAGACCGTTCGACTTCTGAAATGTTTGACAACCGAGGCGCAACATCAATGGAGAAAATTGGGGGGGGGGGGCTCACCGGAAGCCATTCGACTTCCAAAAAGCATTCGAAAACGGAAACAATTCTGGGTTTTCGGCGAAAACCGCAATGTTCGGCTTCCAGGATGCTTGAAAACCGAGGTACCACTGTGTTTGGGAGGTTTTCTTCCTCATATCCACTGTTCTCCACACTGTGCATTGTGGAGAATAGAAGATGGGGAGGTTATCTTCTCCTCTACCTCATATAACCCTCCTTTTTTACTTCCTAAACTAAACCCTCACCCCCCAAATGCTGTCACTTTTCCTCGCTGTGGAGTCACTCAGAAACCTCAAATCTCTTCCCACAGTCCTTTTCAGGGATGATGGGAACTATTGTCTGACGACAGCCCCCATGTGGCCCACCCCTGCCAGAAGCTCTGACCATGCCTATATGTCCCAGACTGTCCTTTATTAATATTATTTTCCTTGAGACCAATAAGGTGCCTTGTGTACAACAGGACGGGGAACAGCCCTCAAATGTCTCTGAAATTGCACAAATCCCAGGAGATATTTTCCTTTCCCCTCAGCCAACTCGCTGGTTTACAATATCTGCTCCAATATGCCTGAATGTCATTTTTATTTGAAAGGAAGATCATATGCCAGGGATATGAGAGAGGTTGAGGGAACAGCAAACTCCATCCCTGTTCTACAATATTTAAATACTGCCTTTTGACTTCCAAACGATGCTACGAGACGTGGCTAGACGTGCCAAACATCTTAAAAATGCCTTTTGAAGTCGCCCGGTGGAATTGGCAGCAGGGAGGCCGACAGACGCATATTTCCCTCCCTGGGAACCTTCGACGTTATATTGCAAAACCAGAAAGGAATGTACTGTAAATAAGTATTCACTGTGTCCCTCAAAACCAGAGGATTCTACGGGTTTTGGGTTCTCCAAAAGATCACAGACAAGTGTCTAGGAGCTGCCCAAAACATTATAACCACTTGCAGCGTTTACACACTACTCTTTGGGGGACGGCGTCAAGCAACTCTTGAGGACAAGTCTCCTCTCACTGTGACACAACCCTGCCAAAATGGGTGAGGAAGGACAAAAAGAGAGACTCCATATTAAATGGTTTTATGTCACTGGATTCACTGTTTTCTCCTGCAAGACTACAGGCCTGGTATATATATATATATATATATATATTTGAAAGCAGACAAATAAAAGATAACCTGTTGAGAAATTTGAATTGTTGACTCTTGTTCAGGGCTTGAAATAATCCTGGCGCATTTTGTGACCAAGTGAAGATACCTGGGGGCCAGGATGGTGCCTGATGTCTCCACAACTTGGAGATGCATGCCTGGGGATCACTGGATCTTGACCATGGGTAGGCAAACTAAGGCCTACTTTTTGAACCATGAAACTCTGCTGGTTAAGGATTTAGTAAAACACTAAAATCAAGTGTAATGGACAACTGATTAAAAAGCTAAAAGCAGAACTAGGGAGGCGAAAGACAAGCCTTAAAGATCTGGCCCAACTAAAAGAGTGCAAATACAAGGAGCCCTTCAAATTTAGTGGCCAGGTGCCACAGGTTGGCATTTTCTTTTTGACCACTTTTTGTGGCAATGCTTTGGTTCAGCGCTGCCTCAATTTTTGCAAAGAATGCCTGGACAACTCATCTTGCAGAGGCTTTAGCCGTTAAATGATGTGGTGCAGAGGGGAATATTGGGTGCCTAACCATTTTAGGATAATCATTATTTTGCTATTACAGGAGAGACCACCAACAGGTGACTGCGTTCTGCGAGAAGGCTTTTCCTCCAAGCCCCAGAAATAGTAGCTGACTCCGCAAAAACTCTCAGCAGGGTTTGCAGTGAGTTACAGAACAGATAAATTAATGGGCCCAAGTCGAGCCACGTCCATTAATTTCAGCGGGTTAGCTCTGCACATGGTTAATGTTGCATACTAGCCAGAGATTTTAAAACCCTTAGCTCTTTCAGTGTTAAATCTATAAAATCACCTTGAGACCTATGTAAAAGGCGATTGATAAATGAACTGGTAACGACAAGCTGCATCCAACATTCGTCCTACTCTGAGTAAACCCACTGAAATTAAAGGATGTGACTAGCTTAAGTGCTTCAGTTTCAGGAATCTGAGTTGAATTTAGTAGGAGATACACTCCAATAACCACAAAATAACAACAAACAGGGATTGCCAAAATGCTTATATCCCATCTCGACCACAGAGGTCATCTGAAGGAGTGTTGTGGGTCATCCCCCAAGTCGGCGAGTCTCATTTGACAACGGCAGCTTTCAGTGCCATGGGCCCAGTCCTGTGGAACTCTCTGCCACTGGAGACTCAGCAGGCACCTTCTCTGCCAACTTTTATGCACCTGCTGAAAATTTTTCCAATTCCACTAGGACTATGGAGGTAATTAAGAGTGCACCCTTCCACAATGGTTTGCTGCTGCTCGTTTTTAAGCTTTTTTGTGTTTTTACAATACACGTTTTACGTTTTCCTTGCTATAAATCACTTTGATATGTATATTTATGCATATGGCAGCATACAACTTTTCCCACAAATAAATACCGATTAGCCGGTTGCGAAAACCATCAACAAGGAAAGTGATAAAAAGGTTTATTATAGAGGTTCCAAATCTCCCACCCTGCTCCTTTGGGGAGAGACGCCTGCAGAACGAACCAGGGTCTTGAGGTTCAGAAGGCACCTTCAACTCCGTACGGACCGTGCGACCTGCTTCCCAGTTCTCGAACCGCGGCCGGCTTCACAGCTTCCGGAGCTTTTGCAGGAGCATCGTTCGCAGCTCCTTGTTGGTGACGTTCTCCGCGATGGACTCCAGGAAGTGCCTCTCGTTGGCCTTCCTCAGGGCGCTGCCGAGGGCCTCGTCGGCGTCGTAGAGCATCTCGTACTGCGAGAGGATCTCCAGGGAGAGGAGGAGGAGGGGCTCGCCCGTGCCGTCGTCCGGCAGCATGGCGGCCACGTGGAGGGCGTGGCAGAAGATCTGGATGTAGACGAAGGACAGCTCTCGTGTCACGTTGTTCTTCTCCTGGGCCGGCTGCCACTGATTCCGGGCAATGCCCTTGACCGAACCCAGCAGATCAGACACGGCCAGGCAGTAGAGCCGGGCCACGTGCCTCCACGCCTCCGCCGGCAGCCAGGTGGAGCCGCTGGCGCCGCAGAGGAACTGGAAGGCCCTCAGGAGAAGAACCGAGAACTGGAGATGGTAGGCAAACGGGCGGAAGTTCAGCAAGGGCAGGAACTGGACGTACTCCAGCGAATAAGGCACGTATAGCACTTCCTGGTCTAAGAGGCTCTGAACCACGCCAACCAGCCTCCGCCACTCGCTGTGGCTGCACCAGGGGAAGACCTGGACCAGGGCCACCAGGAAGCCTTTGCTGAAGAGGTTGACCTCCTCGGGGTTGTCCACGTTGACCGTGAGCAGTGTCAGCATCTCCTCCCGCAAGGCGGCAGAGACGCAGCAGCACTCCATCCAGGCCAGTAGGCCGCTGCCCGCGCCGTAGTTCGGGAGCGGACAGGAGGTCCACTCGCCCTCCGGGAGCTTGCAGACCTCAAAGAGCGTGGCCGGGACCTCGTGCTTGAAGTGCTCCCCGTAGATGCTCTTCAGGCGGAGGCCGACGGTCCAGTCCAAGGCTGCCACCTTCTTGTGCAGCCAAGCCACCGACTGCGCCCACAGCTCGGGCGACAGGGAGTCCTTCTGCGCCAAGAGGGCGTCGCAGAGCTGAGCTAGGTTGGCGGCCACCAAGTCCTTGGCTTCCAAGGAGAGGCAGTGCTGGTCTTGTGGCTCGTGCCAGTACTGGGCAAAGCCGTCGAGGAGCTTGCAGAGGCAGAAGAGGAGAGGGAAAGGGTGGCAGCTGTGGAGCCAGCTGCCCTCCTCGGCGGGCAGCGGCACTTTCAGGACTTTGTTGAGGATCTGCAAGCACAGCTCGACGAAAGGGGAGCCCACCTTCAGGAAAGGGAGGACGAGGGCCTGCGTCACCTCTGCCGGAGAGAGGAGAGGCCTTGCTCCACTCGGCTGCAAGAAATAAACCAAGAACTCCAGGAACTGCTCCTTCTCCTTGGGCGACGAGAGGCGGTCCCAGACGGCTTCTTTCAGGCACCCCAGCAGCAGGCTGACGGGCGCTTCCTCCGAGTCCAGAGTCTCCCGGAAGCTCAGAGCCGGGAAGGAACACAGGATCTCCGCCAAGAACTGGTGCGTCCCCAGATTGGCCACGGCTAAGTTGCTCATTTTCTTGATGGTGGCCTCTGGGTTGAGGACGACCAGCCGGGACACGGAAGCCACGGCCTTCTTCAAGCCTTCTCCGGAGGCGCTCTGGATGATCTGGTTGAAGGCCACGTTGAGGTCCTCCTGGAACCCCTCTGAGAAAGCCGGAGACACCTTAGAGAGGCCTCGCCTGCCCCAAGCAGCCAAAACGCCCAAAATCACTTTGTTCTTATCGGGCAAGGGGAGGTCCATGTAGCACTCCAGCAGGACCCTCGCCACCGTGGCTTGCTGCTCCTGCTTCCCTGAGGGGTCGGCAGACGCCAACGTCTCCAGCAGTTTCGAGACCAGCTCTGGTTCCCGGAACAGGTCTTTGTTCCGAACGAGGCAAGCGACCCACTCGTCTGTAAACGCCCAGCTTTTCTCCGAAGCAAAAAGGGAGCACATCTCTTGGTGCCTGTCCATCTTTTTCTCAATGACCACCATGGCCACCGACGGCAGGAGGTCGCCACCGGCGCTCTTGCCCCACAACTCAGGGCTCACTTTCTTCAAGAAGCCTGCGATGACGTCACCCAGCGCCGACATCTCCTGCGCAGCATCTCTGTTGTGGTCTTCCTGCTTGGAGCAGTCTGCCAGCTTCTTCTTGAGAGAAGCCAGGGCCTCCAGGAGCCGGTAGCTCTCGTAGCAGATCTGCTGGGGGTCGTTGAGCAGCTCCTGCAGAGCAGGGGACCACTCCTCCAGCAAGGCCCGGAGGAAGCCCACATCGACGGGCAGCGCTTCGCCCGGTGGCCTCGTGGCGTTCAGCAAGCTGATGCTCCTCTCCGCCTCTTTCACCTGCTCACTCAGTTCCTGCTTGCTGTATCGACCATCGCAGTCGCTGCTCCAGAGTGTTACCACGGAGGAGATCTTCTCCAAATAAGCCTGGACCGGCAGCGAGTCCGCATTGCGCTGCGCCGCGAGCGACACGGACAGCACGTCTGCCAGGTTGGCGAGAGCGTGGCATTTCATCCTGGCTGGGTTGACATTCTCCTTGATGAGCTTCAACCCTTCGGTCAAGACTGGGAGGACGCCAGCGGCCACGGAGGAACCTAGCAAAGACGGGGCGTCGCTCTTGAATCTCTTTGGGGGCTGCCCCACCTCGTCAGGCTCCAAGAGATACTGGTGGGACACCGAGCGGAAGAGGAGCATCAGCCTGTCCTCCTGTCCCTCCTGATGCTTCAGGATTTCCCACCAGACGTCCAAGAAGAACGAGACGTCGGCCGGGGAAGTCTCGTTGGCCACGTACCCCACAAAGGTCTCCAGCTCCTTCCGGCAGACGTGTTCCGGCAACACCAGCAGCAGCTGGGCGAACAGCCGCGGGGCGTTGATGGCCTTGAAGAGCTCAAAGAGGACCGTGTGGTTGATCTCCGGGATCATGTTGCTGGCAGAGAAGAAGACATCTTCCTTCCACCTCTGGTTGGGGGAGACCGAGGGTGACGAGAGGAGGATCTTGGACCAGAGGACCACGGCGGCTTTCCGCTTCCAGGCGCCGGGTTCGGGCGGGTACGATGAATGGGACGTGCAGATCTCTTCCAGGGCGTCGATGATGGGCTTCCCCACTTGGGGCCAGTCGGACTTGGCCAACTCCGACAGCGGTTTGGGGTGGCAGATGCTGGAAGCCAGCAGGAACCCCCCGTGCAACACACTCAGTTCTCCGCAGATGGTCACTGGCCCTGTTTGAGCAAAGACAGGCATACTGAGAAGGCAAAGACTTGCATTTATCCATCCAGCCCTATACGGCCCACTCTGACTGGCAGCAGCACTCTTCGCTCCTGAGCAGAGACACATTGGAAGCTGCCTTATAGAGGGTCACACCACTGGGTCCAAGTAGCTCAGTACTGCCCACACTGATTGGCAGCCGCTCTCCAGGGCTACAGGGAGAGGTGAATTCCCAGCCCTATCTGGAGTTGCTGGAGAATGAACCTCAGATGCCCTGCTGCTGAGCCTGAGACTTTCCCACCTACTCCACGATCCTTTGAGCTGGAAGCATGGAGATTCGAACCCAAAACCCTTCTGTGACAAACAGTGTTAGTCAACAGGACCCCACCTGTACCCTTTCAACGGTCTTGATCTATGGAAATGGCAGCAGTAAAAGTGCCACATAATAGTCGTTTTGCACTTGTATGGAATAGGTTTTTCAGGGTGGCAGCATCCAGACTCTGGAACTCCCTGCCTCTTGATGTTAGACAGGAGCCTTAGCTGCATTCTTTTTGCCACCTGCCAAAAACTATTTCCATTTAGGCGAGTGTTCCAGGGGGGGCATACATTTGAATCCATTTCAGCTTAACAGCCAGTTTTAATTATATTTTCAATTTTTAAAGAAACACCTTTTTTATTTCTACCTATCATTTTAATGTATATTTTTAATGTGGGGTGAGGTTATCTTTGGTAAACGCCTTACGAGACTTTGCTTACAGTTAAGTGGAAGACAAGTTTCCCCCAATAAAATAAAGAAAACAGATAACGCCATTGAGCACACCTGCTGCAGAGTGTGGCAGAATTTTATTTTATCTTAAAAGGAGCTAAAGGGGAAAAGGAGCACCTGAGCTCAGGCAGAGTGCCTTCTGAAAGGCAACAGGGTTGTTTTGTCTGCTTTAGAGAAGAAGGAAACTTATCAATGCTTCTGAACATGTGCAAAGTTCTTCTCCAATCTGAAGGGCACCATCGTTTCTTCAGAAAAGCAGATAGGCAAGGAAAGAAGGATGATAACAGTAATTCCCTTAATAACCACCATCAACTACTTTGTCATCATCTAGCTGACAATCAGAACAACCCTGCCGGCAAGGCAAAGTCAGTCTTATAATCAGCCCGTATTCCAGGGATGCAGTGACTGAGCGAGAGACACACCTGGCTTTGCTTAAGCCTCCAGCTGTTTTGGGACTACAACTCCCATCATCCCTAGCTAACAGGACCAGTGGTCAGGGATGACGGAAATTATAGTCCCAAAACATCTGGAGGGCCGAGTTTGGCCATGCCTGGAAGGCCACTAAGTGGGCTCAGGGTTCAAACCAGAACCTTCCCTATTCATTTTGATTAATTTAATAAAACTGCTTGATGTGTGTGTGTGTGTGTGTGTGTATACACACACAGAGAGAGATATATATATACAAACGCACACACACATCTCAAAACAGTTCACACCACACAAAAAGAACAATAACATTGTACAGTTAAAAGCAGCTATTTAAAATATCCAGAAGAGAGTTAAAATAGACGATAAGCTTAAAACACACGTCCACTGACTACACTTCTGGGTGGGTTTCCCCAGGCTCTGAAAAGAGGACAGTAGGAGGCGTGTTCAAAAGTGTGCGTGTTGCCCTCGCTAAAAGACTGATTTCTTACAAATGAGCTCCTTGGCAGGAAAAGCCGCTTAAGAAAACCCAAGTCCTACTCAGTGCAGAATCCCCTGAAACGAACTGGGCTCCGTTCATTCCAAAAGGGTCTACTCCGAGTAGCTGGAAGCGAGAGAGGAAGGCCAGCAGCTACCCAACTACCTAGCTCCATGGCTTCGGGGCTGCCTCCTAGCCCGGCTCCGGCAGGCGAGGGGAAGGCGGCATGGCCGAGAGCGGGGCTCCTCCGCCGCCTGCCCGCGCCGGGATCCTCGACGGCGGCAGCGGCTCGGGCGACGGCGCCCTCCGGGGCTCCGCAGTTGGAGACGGCGGCGGCGCCGTCCATTGTGCGCTCAGGGCGCACGGCACAAAGCTTTGGAGAGGGGCGCACGGGCAGGCTCGCCAAATTGCGCCACGCCGCGGCCGCAATACTGTAGTCGCTTTCCAACCGCGCGGGCGCGCTGGATCCCGGCTCCTCCTCCCGGATCTCTCGGTCCCTGGGCGGATCCCTTTCCAGCCAGCGAGACGGGGCTGCGCAAGCAGAAGCGCCGTCGGAACAGCTACCTCTGCAGGCTCCTGCGCAACACTGCACGGCGCAGGGGTCGCCGAGCCATCCTGCTGCCCGCCTACACCGGCTGGTAAAAAAAAAAAAAAGCTCCTGGATGGAGGTTTTTTGGGGGGGCTCTTTCTCTTCCTCCTTCCTTACTAGGAGTAGCAAGCGCCGGGGCTCCCCGATTGCATAGCGAGAAAGGCGCCGGGGTTTGGGAATATTGGGGCAGGAGACATTCTCCTCCAGCTCTCGACGTTTCGCACCTGCCATCTTTTAAATCGCCTCCTGGGGATAGCTTGAGGGAGGCGTCTCTGGGCATGTGCAGAGTGCTTTCTTGCATTTCTGTCTGCATGGTGGCACTGCAGAAGCCTTTGCAAGCAAATAAAACGCATACGGGTCGGCGCTCAGCCCCGCTGTATTTTGGGGTGAGTGGAGATTTAATCCTAGGCTGCCCCGGTCCCGATCCGAAACTCTAAAGGAGTGCATAGCTGTCAACTTTCCCCTTTTTTAAAGGGAAATTCCCTTATTCCGAATAGGATTCCTCGCAAGAAAAGGGAAATGTTGACAGCTATGAGAGGAGTGGGGAGTCTCCGGATGCTGATAGACTACAACGCCCATCATCCCTCACTGCTGGCCATTTTAGTTGGGGCCCATGGGAGTTGTAGTGGCACAGCTGGAAGGCCACAGGGTTCCCCCTCCCGGTGTTCGCCTCGTGTAGTCTAGGACCATCGGCCATGCTGGCTGGTGTCTGAGTCCGACACCATCCAGACAAGGGTATCTCTCTGTAGGCTACCAATTTCTTTGAGGCATTGCAAAAAAAAAAAAAAAAAGGTTCAACAGCTTTTCTGTCCAGATTTTCACTTTTTGAAATATGGCAACACTAGAATTACAGCTTTGGGAATCTGAAGCGAGGGGGCCTTTTACCTCTCTGGAACTCAACCACTTTACAGGGGTGCTGTGTCAAAAGATAATTATAGGCGATGCATTTTTAAATCCATGAAAGGTCCTCCCACAATTCATCACTGCTCTGTAATACTGCTCTGAGCAAAACATACACTGTTATTGTCATCATTATATTATTAGAACAACCTCACTGCTGTGATTTTTACGCCGTCTTAAACTGTCCTTAATATTGTGTTTTAATTACTGTAACCCTGGGCCGTTAAGAGTGAAGGGCAGGTTAATTAATTATTAAATTATTATTATTATTATTATATTATCATCATTATTATTATTAATATTATTATTATTCCATAGAATGTATATCCCACTTGGTTGGAGAAATCCTCAGTTTACAAAAAGAATAAGATTACAAGTAAAAACAATTAAAGCATTCAAAACATTTCGCAACAAACTGAACACGCATCAGCATTCCAAATATCTGGCTAGGCTTGTCTAAACAAAAATGTTTTTAGCAAGCGCCGAAAAGAGTATGGTGAAAATGCCCGCCTCGTATCACTAGGCAGGGAGTTCCAGAGTGTAAGTGCTGCCACACTAAAAGCTTGAGTTCTTACAAATGGCCGTTATGTGGCACCCGTTACAGGGCCAGTTCTGCAGATCAAAACAGCCAAGAGGGCATATACAGTCATACCTCGGGTTGAATACGCTTCGAGTTGAGCGCGTTCGAGTTGCGCTCCGCGGCAACCCGGTAGTAACGGAACGCTTTACTTCTGGGTTTCGCCGCTTGCGCATGCGCAGACGCTCAAAATGACGTCACGCGCAGAAGCGGCAAAAAACAACATGCGCGTACGCAGATGTGCCATCGCTAGTTACGTTTGCTTCTAGATGCGAACAGGGCTCTGGAACGGATCCCGTTCGTATCTAGAGGTACCACTGTACAGTGGTACCTCAGGTTACATACGCTTCAGGTTACAGACTCTGCTAACCCAGAAATAGTGCTTCAGGTTAAGAACTTTGCTTCAGGATGAGAACAGAAATCGTGCTCTGGCGGCGCGGCAGCAGCGGGAGGCCCCATTAGCTAAAGTGGTGCTTCAGGTTAAGAACAGTTTCAGGTCAAGTACGGGCCTCTGGAACGAATTAAGTACTTAACCCGAGGTACCACTGTATGGGGTAAGGCGATGCTAATAATAATAATAATAATAATAATAATAATAATAATAATAGGCTCCTTTTCCTGCCCTCTGTATGGAACACAGGGACAGCCCTTTCAAGCATGACTCGCTCCTGATCTCGAGAAAGGCCCTGTGCACAGGTCAGAAGGAAGGCGCGCTCATGACAACATGTCACAGGCTGAGCTTGAGAAAGCCACTGGCCTGGTCTCGCAAGTGAAAGGGTCCGTCTCCGTCATGGATCTGCTGCACAAGAGGGCTGCCCCCTGCCTGGCCAGCCACGACCTAAAATCCAAAGCGACAAGGGAGGCAGGGAGCGACCACCGAGACCTTTCGGAGGAGGAGGCCGCTGAGGAGGTCCACATCACCAGGGTGGAGGAGCTGGAGAAGAAGGACAGCAGATGACTGCGGAGAGGGCTGCGCAGGCCCCGGCTTCCAGGTCGCTTCAGTCATCTTCCGCCCCGACGATCTCTGGCGGTTAAGGCAATAAAGGGCCCCTTGAGAAGCTCTCCAGTGTCACCTTGCGGTATTTTGTCGTTTCAAATTGGGAGCAGTGCACTGGGCTTAGTTTTGTGGTACAGCCCTGCTAGGGTTGGAGGACTGTACCGCCGTGGGGGTGGTGGCCTAAAAAGGAGCACCAAATCTGCTCCTTAAACCTTTTCCTGACATGCTTAAGCAGCTTAGGGAGCAGCCTTCTATAGGTCAGACACTTTCTCCATCAAGGCCACTGCTGCCTGCCCTGACTGGCAGCTGCCGCCCATGTTTCAGGCAGCTCTTTCCTCATCACCTGCCGCTAACTAACCCCTTTAACCTGGAGGTGCTGAGGATCAAATTGTGGGAGCTTCTGCATGCAAGACAGGGGCTCTGACATTTGTTTTCTGGCAACGGTCTGCTAGAATTTCTGGGTGCAGAGAATTTAGTAAAAATGCGGCACTTAAAAACATACATTTTGCAAGATAGAGTGGTACGGTCCCAACAATTTGGGGGAAGGGGCCTGTCCTTTTAGACAGCAGGAATGCACAGTAGGATAGACTATCTATCTATCTATCTATCTATCTATCTATCTATCTATCTATCTATCGCTGGCTGAGTCGCACAGAAAAGTTGTCAAAGGGGTGTGTGCATTTGAAACACTGGACAGGACAGTGACATGCAGCAGCGTTTTGCTTTGGCGAATCATCACACTTTTGCAGGCTGCATCCGTAGCAGCCAAGAGGCCTCCCCCCGCTCCATGCACACACAAGAAAGGAACAGATTCAAAAGAGGAAGGAAGGAAACCATAATTAATTTAATTAAAAGAGAAGGAGTTCCAAGCGATAGCAGCACTACTCATCCACGTGCGCAGAAAGTATGGCCGATGGCCTCCTTTCCCAGGTCCCCACAAAAGACACTGCCAACCAGACGATTCCCCACCCAGGCTAAGCGGAAGGCTTTGGGGTGTTACGTTTGGCAAACCATTCGTGGCTCTTGTCGGCCGCCATTGCCTGCAGGAGAGTAGAGAAAAGCCGTGAGGCGCATCGCGGAGGAGAGAAGCTGAGCCCTTGGATCACCTTTAATTTGGAATAAACGTTGAAAGGGGGAGACTCACCTCGTCTAAGAGTTTCCCGCCGTTTGGGTCCACCTTGGAAAGCTCTCTGAAAGCCTCGTCCCCGACGAAGCAGATCTCGTGGCCGTCCTAAAGCAGGTGGAAGAGGAGGAACAGCTGGAGTTATCACGAGGAGATAAGGGAAATTACAGTTATAAGTATGAAGAAGAGCCGCGGAAGGGCCATGGAAGTGACTTGAGGGCCTCGGACATAAGGTTACCGGGTTAATAAGGACTGACAAATCCCGGAACCAGGAGAAAGGGACGTTGGATAAAGATTGGACTTGTTTATATCTCTCTTTCTTTCTTTTTTATTATTAGAATGTTTTACAAAGTTGATGAATGATAGAAAAATGTTGGAAGAAATTACCTGGCTTTAGTAAAGATGCATAAAGAATTATGAAAGAATATTATGATCACAAGAAGCTGGTAAGGTTAAGACTTAAGTTTTAAACTTTAAGGTTTATTTTATTATAGAAAGATAGGATTAAATTAGTCGAGGGTAATGTAATGATAGAATTTTATGAAACATGGAAAGGAAAGGATTTGCTGGGATAATTAATAATTAGAATACAAAGGAAGGGAGGAGGAGGAGGTCTAAGAAAGAAGGTAATGACAGTTAAGGGTCTGAAAATAATGAACTTGTTTTGTTTTTTCTTTATTCTTTTTTCTGTATTTTCTTTTTTTTTGTATTTTTATTTTTTGTACTTTTACTTTTTGTTTTTGTGTAATCTTTGTATCCTTTGAAAATTTTAATAAATATCATTAAAAAAAAAAAGAGGAGGAACAGCAAAGGGGTCAACTGAAGGGAAGCGACATTTGCCACGGCGGTCGCAGTCACTACTCAAGGCAGCTGGCAATTATTTGGGGGATATACTGTCAGTTTCTTAGTACAGAAGGTATTGATCTGATGTGTAGAGGTCTTTCCTGTTCTGCTTAGTTCAAGAGTGTTCTGGAAGGTTTCTTTCTACGTGAAAGAAACAGGCAGGTGGTTTCTGGTGTTTGGGTTATTCCTTCTAGGAAGCCGAGTACAGCTGGTTTAAACTGGTTCCTTCTCCTTTCTTGTCAAGGTCCTGCTGACTATAATAGTCAGGCCAGGAGGAGCCTGGGTTCTATTTCACACTTTCTCTTTTCTCTCTGTATGTTCTGGTGTGGTGTTCTGTTCTGTTCTGTGTTAAGGTTTAGTCTTATTATAAGTTATTGTTAAGTTTAAGGTAAGACTGCTGTAACTGGAATTCTTATGGCCTGTGCCAATCCTGAATGTATTGGATCTGTCACCATTGTGCTCATTTGCCTTCAGTAGCAGTAAAGCTCTGCTGGATGAAATTGCCTCTGGTTTATTTTTTTGGAACTTTGCGATGTGTCAAAAATTTCCCTTCGCATGCACTACATATACAGGAACCCATAGAGATGGCAGGAGTCGGAAGTCCTACATTTGGAGGTCTACAGCTTTGTCAATTGTTGCTCTAAGAAGAGGAATTCTCCTCTCTCAGGAAGGACTTCCTCTGCTAAACAGAGACATTCCTTCACCTCTTGCACACAAGTAGGGAATGCTGCTTCGTGGGATAAGGGATAGGGGACCCTGTGGCCCTCCAGATGCTGATGGACTACAACTCCCATCGCCCCTGACCACTGGCCCTGCTGCAACCAGGGCTGATGGGAGTTGGAGTCCAACGACACCTGGCCACAGAGCCCTCGTTCCTGACCTACGTTGGAGGCACGAAAGCTGTTTTGAAGCTGCACTCACGGGATCTGCCAGGATGACCACCTGAACCGTCGCTTTCCCAGGCGTGTCCAGGCTCACGAGGGGGGTCAAGATCTTCTGGCCTTCCTTCTTCATCAAGGCTTCGATGCCGGGCAACTTGGGAGGACAAACAAAACGGGGAAGGGAAAATCAGAGTGCGAATGCATCCATTTTGAGTGAGGGAACAGAAGAGGAAGCTCATTTCTCTTTTAGAAAATCTTTGAGCACCTTTAATGAAAGAAATCTAAAACTTGGATGCCAAATAGTTTTTGAAGAATCCCTTCCAGTTGTGTTTAAGGTGTAGTGGTTAGAGTGCCAGACTGGGAGCTGGGAGATCAGGGTTCAGATCCTCACTTGGCCACAAAGCTCCTTGGGCGACTTTGGGACAGTCCTTGTCTCTCAGCCTGACCTACCTGGCAAGGTTATTGTGGGGATAAAATGGGGAGGAGGAGTATGGATGCCACCTTGTGCTCCTTAGAGGGAGGTTGGGATCCAGACGTCATCAAATAAATAAATAAGCCAAATGGATCCATTTACAGTAGTCAAGAACTAGCTGAATTAAGACTGTAAGAAGAGATTTAAAATAAACATTCACATTATTAGTATTAGAAAATGTGTAGAAGATAGAGAAATAATATGGTGTATTCATTGTTATTTTTATGTTTTTAGGTTTGATGTTATTGTATATGTTATTAGTAGTTTTTTCTTTTAGGAGGGAGCAAAGTGGGTGAAAGGAGAAACAAATCAGAAGTTGGGGGAAGCCCAGGAGGGGAGGGACGCATAGTAAATGTTATGAATATGAGATGTATATAATGAATGAAAAAGGGAAATGAATAAAACAAAATTTAAAAAGACTGTAAGAAGAAGGGGCAGCGGCCCCTCTAGCCCAGCACCCTGTTCTTACAGTGGCCTCCCAGAGGCCCCTGTGGGGATTCTGCAAGTGGGACCGAGCACAAGAGAAACTCTCTCTTCTTGTGGTTTCCAGGAACTGGCATTCAGAAGCATTGGGAGGCAGAGCCCAGTCATTGTGACTAGTAAACATTGGCAGCCTTTTCCTCCATGAAATTGTCCAATCTTTTGAAGCCATACCTGCCACTGCAAAAGTGAGCACCACAGCTTCACTGGGTGCTGCGTGAAGAAGGACTTTAATGAACATATTGGTAGCCATTCATCATTTTTATTTATGAACAGGTGTCGCACGCCTTTGATATTTCCCCACTAAGCATTTATTTCAAGGTAAAGTTGCCTTTGTCTTGTTGGGAATATTAGGAACCTGAGAAGCTGCCTGATGGAATGTCCAGGCCACTGGGCCTACCTCAGTGTTCTCTACTCTGACTGGCAGGGGCTCTGCAAGATTTCGTGCAGGAGTCTCTCCCAGCCCGACCTAGAGATGCCGCCAGGAACCGAACCCGGGACCTTCCATCTACCACTTGAGCGGCAGGCCCTTCCTGACAAATCTTGTAAGCAATCCCCACTGACCTCTTCCTTGGGGCAGGAGAAGGCGATCCTCCCAAAGGCTGCCCCGTGGTCCACGGCTTGGCCGATGCCCTGCAACTCCAGCTTACACTGGAAGGGGGAAATAAAAGGAAAGGAAATCAGACCACTGGGTTTGCAACAAAGACTGGTGCCTCAGCAGCAGCAGCAGCAGCAACAGCAGAAGTGGGGCTTGCGAAGAGAGCGGTGGCATCCATGACATCCATTTAAAGCACATGACTTCCCCGATGGAATCCTGGGAACTGTATAGTTTGTTAACAGTGCTGGATAAGGTAAAGGGACCCCTGACCATTAGGTCCAGTCGCAGACAACTCTGGGGTTGCGGCGCCCATCTCGCTTTATTGGCCGAGGGAGCCGGCGTACAGCTTCCGGGTCATGTGGCCAGCATGACTAAGCCGCTTTTGGCGAACCAGAGCAGCGCACGGAAACACTGTTTACCTTCCCGCTGGAGTGGTACCTATTTATCTACTTGCACTTTGAGGTGCTTTCGAACTGCTAGGTTGGCAGGAGCAGGGACCGAGCAACGGGAGCTCACCCCATCATAGGGATTTGAACCGCCGACCTTCCGATCGGCAAGCCCTAGGCTCTGTGGTTTAGACCACAGCGCCCGGTACCCAGTGCTGGGTACTGAGAGCCATAGACGCCCAACCACTGCAGAAGCTGGAATGGTGGCCCCTGTCTCTGCCACATATACCTGGAAGATGCCCTGAGGATCCCCTCAGCTGCCTGGTGCCCCTTCAGCCTCACCTGGTTATCTCCATAGCCGAGCAGAGCCTTCTGCTTGTCTTCGTCCTTCTCGTACAGCTTCATGCCCAGGAACTTAGACCAGTAGTCCACAGATTTCTGCAGGCTGGACACGGCCAAAGTAACCTTCAGCACAGGATCTGAAAGAATGGAAGAGCTTCAGGAATGGATGGACTTTAGGAATAGGATTGAGGATTGCAAGAAATTTGGGGCTGGTGGCTGGTAGTTGCTCTCCCCAACTTTATTGTTATTCTTTATAAAAACTGGTTATATACAGGCAACGCCTCTCCCCCACCCGCATTTACGCAGGGGTTATGTTCTGGGCACCGCACGTGTCAGTGAAACTGCGTATATTTGAAACACCTTTTTTAAAGCCTGCAAAAACCCTATTCTGACCCAGTTCCACCCCCACCCAGCCGAGTTCTGCTCCTTTTTGTGACATTTTTAGGTCACTTCCGGGGGTTTGGCATGATGAGCATATGCACAGTTGCACACATATTGAACACACGTCAATAGGGGGTTGCCTGTACTGCTGATTCATTATTTTAAAAAATCTGAGCAGTTTGCAACAATTGCACATAAAAACAAAAGGATGGAAGCCATATCAAATACCGTATTTTTTGCTCTGTAAGACTCACTTTTGCCCTCCTAAAAAGTAAGGGGAAATATGTGTGCGTCTTATGGAGCTAATGCAGGCTGCGCAGCTATCCCAGAAGCCAGAACAGCAAGAGGGATTGCTGCTTTCACTGCACAGCGATCCCTCTTGCTGTTCTGGCTTCTGAGATTCAGAATATTTTTTTTCTTCTTTTCCTCCTCCAAAAACTAGGTGCGTCTTGTGGTCTGGTACGTCTTATAGAGCGAAAAATACGGTGATTAAAATCAGAAATCAGTTAGCAATTGTGGAAATAGGCATTCTTGCCTGCATGAGCTTAAAGGAAAAGAATTTTTTTTCAGAAGCCTGAATCTCCACGGGCAGAAAAATCCAGTGTCATCCTAACTACAGAGTATCACATGGCACCCCTCTTTACCTTCCTTTGATGACGTTTTGTCTTCCAGGCAGAACTTGTATCCTCCTGGGGCTTCCGTTTCGTAGACGCCTGCTGAGATCTCTTTGAGCGGCCACTGCAGCTTTTTGGCATTGCTCACAGCCTGGCTGGACACAATAGTCATCCCCTGGCATGGCAAGAAGAAGAAGAAGAAGAAAATAACCCCAGAATCACAGCCCTGGATGACCTGGGGCCGACTGCTCTTTCTCAGCCTAACCTGCCTCACAGGGTTGTGTTTGCAATAAAATGGCAAGAGGAGGAGGGGGAAAACATGCTTACCGCCTTGAGCTCCTTGGAGTAAAAGCGGGATATAAATGTAGGAGTTGTAGCAGTATAAAAAAATAACACCCGCCTGCCACATTTGACCCCTGAAGTTTCTGAAACCGCCCAAGCTGTTGGATAGGCTTCAGAGGTCTCACTTTCTGACCGGCCTCTGTTGACAAGACAATCTTTCTTTACAATTTTTTTCGTTTCATAAAACTTATACACTGCTTGATTGTAAAAGAAAAACCCTCAAAACACTTTACAGAAAGAATAAAATCATCAATAAGAAAAATTAACAATAATTTAAGACTTTCAAAAAGTTAAAATAAAAATCGACTAAGAACAGATTAAAATCGTCCTGGAATATTTTGATGGAGGGCATTGAGGAAGATCTTAACTACAGCTCCTAGCCTCTGTGCCCATTGGACATGCTTGCTGGTGCTGATGGGACTTGTAGTTTAGCAGCATCCGGAGGGCCAAAGGTTTCCTAACACCTGCAGTACACCTAACCCTACCACAATCGAAGACTCCAAGCCTCAGAACACACAGTCCACGAAAGCTCACTGATCTAGTCCCTTTGCTATGCAAACTCCAAAGTCCCCCAACAGCAACTGCAGAGCTTTTTACCTTTTCTAGAATGAGAAATGTGGCCCACCGCACTCCCAGGGCCTACTCAGTGCTTTGTTCATTTCACCCGTTCTTTTGAGCAGAAACTAAGCCTTAGCGATCCCAGAACCAACATATTTTGCAAACCTTCTCACTTATCAACCGAATGAAGCGGTGCCTACCAGGAAATCGTTGCCGAGGCGGTAATCTCCGATTCCGTAATTGTAGGTTAGCTCCGCGACGAAGTGATTGTCTTCGGGACCGTAGCCCACCATCGTTTTACTCCACTTGCCGTCATAGGGGCTAGAAACACAGCTGCCTTTTATTTGTATTGCAATAACTCGGAGGGGGGGGGAGCCTACATCTTCCTCTCCTCTGGGGAGCTTCAGCTCACTCAGATGCCAATGTAATGGCAGAGAACATGCCTTGCATGAGACGGTCCCAGGTTCAATCTCTGGGTAGGGCTGAGCGAGACTCTTGCCTGAAACTCTGGAAAGCCAGTCAGAGAGGGCAATAAAGGGCTTGATGGGCAGACATACCAGGTCAGATTGAGGCAGCTTTTTCTATTCTATTCTAGCTTCCCACCCAACGCTGCACTCATTTGAAGGGCAGCATTCTACCCAGACACCGGCACTATAAAGGTAAAGGGACCCCTGACCATTAGGTCCAGTCGTGGCCGACTCTGGGGTTGTGGCGCTCATCTCGCTTTCTTGGCCGAGGGAGCCGGCGTACAGCTTCCGGGTCATGTGGCCAGCAGGACTAAGCTGCTTCTGGCGAACCAGAGCAGCACACGGAAACACCGTTTACCTTCCCGCCGGAGCGGTACCTATTTATCTACTTGCACTTTGACATGCTTTCGAACTGCTAGGTTGGCAGGAGCGGGGACCGAGCAACGGGAGCTCACCCCATTACGGGGATTCAAACCGCCAACCTTCTGATCGGCAAGTCCTAGGCTTTGTGGTTTAACCTACAGCGCCACCCGCGTCCTAGTGTCCTAAGGCATTCTACCCAGACACCGGCACTATACACAGGTAGAATTGTTGCGCCCGTCCCATGATGTCACAGAAGGTCAGACAATGGGAAGCGAGGGAGCATTTATATCGCGGGCACTATTGGCAGAAGAAGCTTGCGTTGCCAGGCAACAGCACCTGCCTCAGAGCTCTCCATCCCTTTGGGGCTACCACCTCCGAACACTCTTGAGGAGGCCTAGGCAAACTCGGCCCTCCAGATGTTTTGGGACTACAACTCCCATCATCCCTGACCACTGGTTCTGATATCTAGGGATGATGGGAGTTGTAGTCCCAAAACATCTGGAGGGCCGAGTTTGCCTAGGCCTGCTCAAGAGTGTTGAGTGAAATGTCCGCTTTGATGAGAAGCAACCAAAATGAAGACAACGTACCCGTTACAAGTGGCCTTGCAGCCTTCTTCAAATTCTTCATGCCTTAGAACCTGTTTGTTTAAGAAAAATAAGTTAACATTCAGGAACAAACAAGGCGGCTTTTGACACTTTTGACGTGCATGGTTTGGGGTCACTTTATTTTTAAAATTGTTTTTAATATTGTATTTTAACTCAAGGTGCCCGCCCTGTGGAACGCCCTCCCTTCAGATGTCAAGGAAATAAGCAGCTATCTTATCTTTTAAAAGACATCTGAAGGCAGCCCTGTTTAGGGAAGTTTTTAATATTTAATGCTGTATTGTTTTTAACAGTTGGGAGCCGCCCAGAGTGGCTGGGGAAACTCAGCCAGATGGGCGGGGCATAAATAATAATAATAATAATAATAATAATAATTATTCCAAAGTGATCTTAAACGCAACATGTGACTATACAGATAGAGTCACATGTTCCGTTTAAGATCACTTTGGAATAATAATAATAATTTATTATTTATGCCCCGCCCATCTGGCTGAGTTTCCCCAGATAGATATACAGATATATACAGATAGATATACAGAGACACACACAGATTTTTTCCTGACGTTTGTTACTTGTATAAAATCAATGCATTCCTGAAAAACTAAGTGCGCCGCACTGCGGCGTAATCAGGAGCGACAAACGTTCACGAAAGCAAACGCCGCCTCCGTAGGAAAGATTGGGCCAAAGAGGCCGCCGTAATTAACTAGCCGCTCTAGGGGAAGATGCTCAAAAACCAAACCAACTCGTTCCCGCGTGGCTTGGGACCCTAGGGCACCCGTAGCCGTGACGTCACCCCTGCCACAAAAAGCCCTCCCCGCAAACTGCCAAGGCCATTTCCTAACCGCCCACCGTCTCGCGCCCCCACTTACGCGCATGCCCAGTACATCCCGGTAGAAGCGCGCGGTCTCGGCTCGGTCGCCCACTTTGAACACGAAATGCAGCGCCCGCCGAGCCTTCATATTCAGGGGCCTTGTCTTTCTTCCCAAACTCCACCTCACGCGCAAAGCCGCCCACACAGAAGTGCTTCGCGAGCAAGCGCGGTCGCCTGATTCAGGGGGGTGGGGTTCGTTTTGTAATTATCCTCTCCCCTTTCTGGCGCGTGGAAATGACGTCGCGACACGCCGCCTAAACCTGAGGCAACTTTTAAAATGAATTATCGAAGCCTTCAAAAACAAGTTTTATCTTTTTCAAGAGCGCTGTCGCCTCAAATCAGACAGCGCTCTTGAAAAAGATAAAACTTATTTTTGAAGGCTTCGATAATTCATATTTTTCCACGAACGTTGACTGGCGTCTCTATAACTTTATACATCTATGGTGAACACCATGTCGGGTGCGTCTTAAAAGTGTGAGCCTAGAAATCGCAACAATAACTCTACCATGCCATATGTCTACAAGGGACTGTCAGCCAATGGCCGCTTCCGAATGTGCCCCGGAAGTTGCGGGCAAATGTTTTTACACCCCTCTTCCATCTCTATGGCTTTTTAGGGCCGGTATATAAAAAAAGGGACGCTGTTGCCATTAATAACGGAGATCTCGCGATAGTCTGAGAAGGGGAAATCCCGCTCGACGCCCGCGCCAGGAACCAATATGGCGGCCTTCATGAGGGGAGCGCGAGCCCCCTTCTTGCTGCTGAGGCCGGCCTTGGGCAGCGCGGCCGGGCGGCGAGGGGTCCGCGCGCTGAAGAGGAGCCCCGTCCGCGTGCTGCCCTCCGTCGCGGAGACGCGGGAGGAGCAGCGACGGGTCGTCCCCGGCCCCCCTCAGCTCAAGGCCGGCCCTTCGAAGAAGCCTCGAGACCAGGCCGGCTGGGAGAGCAAGGCCCCAAAGGCAGCGGCCGCGAAGGAGGAAAAGAAGGTGCCGGAACGCAAAGAAGCGGAACTTTGCTTCGAGAGGGCGCAATCCGGAGACAAGAGACTTAGGCAAGGCTTCCGTGCGCGCGCGCAAGGCATTCTGGGGGTTGGTGTTTGGCACGGGCGGAGCCGGGAAGCGACGAATGGGAAAGGGACTACAACTCCCACCAGGCGCCACCAGGGCAGGCGAGAAAGGCCGCGCGCAAGGGCTTCTGGGAGTTGCAGTTATGGGTGGATGGGACACAGAAGGATGGAAATGTTTGTTGTATTTGTTGTATTTAAACCCCACCCTTCCTCCAAGGAGCAGGGTTCTTTCCCCATTTTATTCCCACACGAACCCTGTGAGGTTGATTGGGCTGAGAGAGCATGACTGCTTCACGGCTGAGAGGATTTGAACTCTGGACTGCCAGTGCCTAATCCAACACTCCAGCCGCTGCAGCACACTGGTTTAATATAATACTAATATTATTTAAAATGAATAAGAAGCGATTTTAAACTACCTGGAAAAAAAGTGACAAATGTATACTAAAAGATCAGGCAGTCTTCTCTGTCTGCTGATTCGCAGCCTTGAGTATTTGCAGTGTGAAAGAAAAAAAAGAAGGGAAGGGTAAAGGTAAAGGGACCCCTGACTATTAGGTCCAGTCGTGGCTGACTCTGGGGTTGCAATGCTCATCTCGCTTTACTGGCCGAGGGAGCAAGCGTACAGCTTCCGGGTCATGTGGCCAGCATGACTAAGCCGCTTCTGGCGAACCAGAGCAGCGCACGGAAACACCGTTTACCTCCCCGCCAGAGCGGTACCTATTTATCTACTTGCACTTTGATGTGCTTTCGAACTGCTAGGTTGGCAGAATCTGGGACTGAACAACGGGAGCTCACCCCGTCGTGGGGATTCGAACTGCCGACCTTCTGATCGGCAAGTCCTAGGCTTTGTGGTTTAACCCACAGCGCCACCCATGTCCCTTAGAAGGGAAGGGTAGAGGAAAGCAAACGAGCTGGGTTACTTGCCCCCTTGCAATGATGCTTTCTGGCAAGCAAGGCAGTGCAACTTCCCAATGTCCCAAAGTCCACATGGCTTTCATTTAGTCAGTCTTCCATGTGGCTCTGGAAGCAGGGTAAGGTTTGCTTCCCTCCCTCACCATGGATACACAGTCTCTCTAGTTTGTTTGTGTGTTTTTTTTGGTGAAAAAAGGCTGCAGAAGGATGTGACAGAGATTGGATGGGTTGATATAGAAAGCTGCCTTATAGCAAGACAGAGCAACCCATCCATCTAGCTCAGATTTGTCTGCACTGCCTAGCAGTGGCTTTCCATGACTTCAGGAAGGCAACACTCCCAGGAGACGCCAGGGATTGAACCTGGAGCCTTGTGAATGAAACGCTGAGGCTGTACAGTGGAGCTACAACCATTCTCCTGGTATTGTAAATGGAAACAGTTGTGCACATTTTGGATTTGTTTCTGTTGGAAGAACCACCTCTGGTCTTCAAATAAAAACATCTTGAAGGTCCCAGGCCACAGAGAGGTTAGGCTGGCCTCAACTAGAGCCAGGGCTTTTTCGGCTGTGGCTCCGATCTGGTGGAACGCTCTGTCACAAGAGACCAGGGCCCTGCGGGACTTGACATCTTTCCGCAGGGCCTGCAAGACAGAGCTGTTCCACCAGGCCTTTGGCCAAGGCACAGCCTGACCCCCTCCTTCGGCAATCTTCGCGGAGCTCTGGCCCAATGGTTGCCATTGGTTTGATTTGAGTTAATTTTATAATGAATGATTTTAGAGTGTTGTGTTGTGTTGTACTGTTGTACTGTTTTATTGTTGTTAGCCGCCCTGAGCCTGGCTTCGGCTGGGGAGGGCGGGATATAAATAAAATTTATTATTATTATTATTATTATTATTATTATTGAGCAAGCCAATGTGCTCTATCGCTTTTGGTGGTTGTCATCCTTTGGGGCCACAGATAACATTTGTCAGCCAGGCTGGGGAAGAGGGGGGGGAAAAGCTTGTGGGCTTGACGGATCTGTTTCTCTGCAGCAAAGTGGTGACGCTTGCCAAGTCCAGGTCGTTTCGCGAGAGACACGGGAAGATCCTGCTGGAGGGCAGGCGACTCATCACCGACGCGCTGGCAGCTGGCGCCATTCCCCAGACACTCTTCTTCAGCGCCATAGAGCATTTGAAGGAGCTGCCAGTGGACAAGCTGAAAGGCGCCAGCCTTGTCAAGGTGAAGTTTGAAGACCTCAAGACCTGGTCTGATGTCATCACATCTCAGGGTGTGATTGGTAAGTTCATCAGGAACTGCCTTATACACAGGCAGACCATTGGTCCCTCTGAGCTCAGTAACGTCCACACTGGCTGGCAGCAGCTCTGCAGGGTCTCAGACAAGAGGATATTCCCAGCCCAAGCTGGAAGTGCTGGAAATTAAACCAGGGAGAGGCTGATACAGTGGTACCTCGGGTTACATACTCTTCAGGTTACAGACGCTTCAGGTTACAGACTCTGCTAACCCAGAAATAGTACCTCGGGTTAAGAACTTTGCTTCAGGATGACAACAGAAATCGTGTGGCAGCGGCGCAGCAGCAGTGGGAGGCCCCATTAGCTAAAGTGGTGCTTCAGGTTAAGAACAGTTTCAGGTTAAGAACAGACCTCTGCAACGAATTAAATACATAACCAGAGGTATCACTGTACTTTGTCTCGGAGTCACAGCTCTTTTCCTGAAATTAAAACAAGATTCTAGTCCTTATGAGGGGCTGGTTTAAAGAGGAACATGGGAAGCTGCCTTATACTGAGTCAGACTGTATTGACCCTTCTAGCTCAGTAGTGTCTACACTGACTGGAAGTGGCACTCCAGAATTTCAGGCACTCATGGAGTGTGTGACACAGGGCCAGTAGGGAGTGTGGCCTGGGGAGAGGCTTTGGGAGAGTCTCGAGGGACCCATTTGAGGCTGTGGGTCCACCCTTGTTCTAAAGGAATCTTCCCTGACTGCATTTCCTCCAGGAATCTTCTCCAGACCAGACCACGCCAAAATGGCATACCCAGAAGTCCAGCGAGAACATGCGCTGCCCCTCTCTCTGATCTGTGACAACATCCGCGACCCAGGGAACATGGGCACCCTCCTGAGATCAGCAGCTGGAGCAGGCTGCAGCAGGGTGCTGCTTCTAAAAGGTGGGGAGCGTCACTCTATGGATAGATCAGAGCTGGGTTCCAATTCCGCTTCTGCTCCTTGGGCAGGACCTGTTTGCGGTCTTCCCAGAGGCAGCTGGTTGGTCCCACAAGAGGCAGTGACTGCCACCAACCTGGACAGCTTTAAGAGAGGATGAGGCAGAAACTGCAACATGCCTTTGAATAATAGTTGCTGGAAATTGCAGATGGGGAGAGGACTCAGAAATATTACCTGTCCCTGGCTCTCAGGCTTCTTTCTCTTTCTCTGCATTCTGTGGCCTGATGGGAATTAATTGTCCCAAACTTGAAGGCATCAGGCTGGGAAAGGTTTATATAGAATAGAACCTGATGGGTTTGGGGCGGTTTGGCTCCAAGGAGATAAGACTGATGAGTAACTGAGTTTTCTTCATCAACATGCCTGTTGCCATTAACCCTTTAGCAAAGCAGCTTTTGTTATGACACATTTCCAAACCTATGGCTGTAAGATATGCAGGGCCTCTCCAAAGCTGACCTGACTCAGGGACTTGATAAGGCTTCAGATATGCAAAAGGGGCAGGCTTTGCTTCTGGAAAGCTTCCTCCTTTAATCTTTTAAAGAGATCTGTAGAATTGGGATTGCGACCACTTTCATCAAATGAGAATCCACCCCCTCCCCAAAGGAAGTTTACTTTTCTATCTATATTTTTGAAGCATTTGTTAAATTAAAAAACAACAAGACATGCCTTTGGAAACGCCGTTTACCTTCCCGCCAGAGCAGTACCTATTTATATACTTGCACTTTGATGTGCTTTCGAACTGCTAGGTTGGCAGGACCAGGGACCGAGCAACGGGAGCTCACCCCGTTGCGGGGATTCGAACCGCCGACCTTCTGATCGGCAAGTCCTAGGCTCTGTGGTTTAACCCACAGCGCCACCGGCGTCCCACCCCTATTGTCCTTGCAGCGTGTCATTCTCCACAAGACTGCGCCAGACTCTTCTAACATTTCTCCTTCTCCATCTCCCCGTACTCCAGGCTGCGTCGACGCCTGGGAGCCCAAAGTCCTCCGGGCAGGGATGGGAGCTCACTTCCGCCTCTCCATCCTTTCCGACCTGGACTGGGGGGTCCTGCCAAGCTACCTCCTCCCCGACAGCTGTATACATGTGGCCGACTGCTCCCAGGCACAGGCCGCACCGGCAGTGGCAGAGAACGCCGCCAGCCATGGCTGGGTCTCCCGGCCCTACAACCTGAAGGCGAAGCCAGCTCTGCAGGATTGGGACCGTGATTTGGATGGCAGCGAAGACGAGAGGCAAGAATCGGGCCGGCTGGAAGTCCAGCCTTACTCTGAGCCCTGGATGGAGGGTCCCGCAACGGCGGTGGTGATTGGTGGGGAGACCCATGGCGTGAGCGCGGAAGCCAGGCAGCTGGCCCAGAGCACTGGGGGGAAGCGGCTGGTCATCCCAGTGGTCCCTGGCATGGACAGCTTGAACTGTGCCATGGCTGCCAGCATCCTCCTCTTCGAAGGAAAGAGGCAGATGAAGCTGTCAGAGGCGGGGAGAAACCCCATTTCCGGGATCCGGCAGAACTGTTGAGGAAGAGATGCCGGAGTCTTGCCTGTGGGTGTGTTCAGAGAAACAAACATTGCCCTTTGGTTTTGGCCCCTCCATCTTGGAGAGGCCCTTCTCTCTGACTTGGTGGGACCGTACTCTCAGTGCAGCCCTGTTGCCGAAGACAATGGAAGTGAACAGGAAGGGAGGGGGCAAGTGTCTCTTAAGAGACTGTAGTTTACAAAAGGCTGTTTGCCAAGAATGGCTCTCCGGGGGAGACGGGTGTGATTGCAAGAAAGCCCAGCAGAAACATTCAACCCCATTTTTTACACTTTTTCTGCTTCGGTCGGTTGTTTTCCCACATTGCATCACTGGGGCTTATGGGGGCATATGTACGTGGCGTGTCTGTGCATTTGAATTCCTACCACCCCTGCTGGGAAAACACAAAAAACACAGGTCCCTGCATCTAGAAAACCAGCACTTCAGGGGGAAATGTTTGGATCTTGAGGTTCTAGCTAACTCCAAGCAGGGATACTTTGATAGGAAAAACAACAACTATAGAGGGGCATTCCAGAATAGGACCCTGCCCCAAGCGCACATACCTGGCTGGCTAAAGTGGTACAATCCAGACTCTCAGATCTTGCATGCATTTTGAATTCTGAAACTCAGAGATAACAAAGAAAGCATTTCCTTGGGCTTGGAGGCCCTCACCCTGTGAAGCTGGCACAAAATCAATGTAGCCAAGCGCCCCAGGGCTGTGGCATCTGCCAGCGTGTACCTTTTAAAAAGTCAGCTTCATCCCCACCCCATCTTTTTTTTTTCTCCTCCCTTTTCTGGCAGCGAAGGTGCATTGCTGGGTGCGTGACTCAGCCTCTGGCACAGCTTCTAGGGTGACCTCACCAGGTCCTCTCTGATCCCTTGCCAAGGGCACGGCACAGCTTGTCGCCTCTGGCGGGCGACCTCAAGCTGCCACAAGCTCCCTTGCCGTAGTCCCTCCTCACAATGCAATGTGTTTGTTCAGGCCTTTTTCCGGTTGGTGTCTCTCCTGCTGAATGACCCTTCCTAGCTGAGCCTGTAAACAACTGATTGGGGGGGGGATCTCCATCTATTTCCTTCCTAGCCCTCCCAATCTCTTCTTTTGTCCAAATCAGATGCTCAGGTTTCTTACCCAGATAGCATTTTAGTGCATTAAGCCAATAAGTTAAAAGACAAATCTGCCAAACGGTCATCCTGGTTAAAGATCAAGCTTTTAAATTTCTTTCTGCTGGGAAAAGAGATCTTCCCATTGTTTATGTGGAGACCAGAGTTGTACAGAATAAATTCTCGATTTGCTCCCCTCTCTCTTTGTTGAGTGTATTTCTAATAAGCCACGGAGGCTTCTCCTCATTTCAGATTGCCAGCAAGGTTTAAACGTTCTGTAAAAGCCAGTTTGGACTGACAGGTGGCTGCTCTGCTCTGCTCTGCCCACCCTTAATGGAAGCCTGAATGCTGCCATCTGCCAGAAATGTCTTTTAAATGTTTCCCCTCTTTTTGAACCTCCAGCTCTGACCTTTGCCACTCTGGCTCCTCCAAAAGGAGCTTTTGGAAAATTATTAGTACCATATACAGTGGTGCCTCTCAAGACGAAATTAATCCGTTCCGCGAGTGTCTTCGTCTAGCGGTTTTTTCGTCTTGCGAAGCAACCCTATTAGCGGCTTAGCGCTATTAGCGGTTTAGCGGCTATTAAAGGATTAGCGGCTTAGCTGCTAAAAGGCTATTAGCGGCTTAGAAAAGGGGGGGGGGAGCGAAAAAAAATCTCAAGACTCGCAAGACATTTTCGTCTTGCGAAGCAAGCCCATAGGGAAATTCGTCCTGCGAAGCAACTCAAAAACGGAAAACCCTTTCGTCTAGCGGGTTTTCCGTCTTGCGAGGCATTCGTCTTGCGGGGCACCACTGTACGTGTGTTTCTCAAACTGCTAAGATTCTTTTTCACCAGAAGGTGGCAGAACACTCACAGAAGCACTTGATGGCAAAAGGGTGGGGACTCTACATGGAGTAGTTAGCACTGCCAGATTTCTTTAACCTGCTTTACTCCTGGACAGGATCGGTGCACCTGCGACGCCCCTGGTGAAAGGCTGGTCTCCTATCAGCTCTGGGCAGTTTGGTCAAATGGTCAGGGATGAGAGCAGCACTCCTCCAAGATCCGGAAGGCCAGAGCTGCCATCGCCCCCTGCTCTGGATGTTGTTGGACTTCAATTCCCATCAGCCACGGGGTGGCTAAGGATCATAGAGTTGGGGTTCCAGCTAGAGGGCCACAGAGTCCCTTCCCCCACCCTTGCTCTAGGCAGTGGCAAATTCAGCTTCGCCACCCCATCCTGGTTTGCATCCTGCAGAAAGAGGGCCGTCTGGAGGAGGCAGGACTTTCTAGCTATTGGACCTGTGGCCTAAAGCATCACTCTACTTGTTCAAGGCCTTTTTATAAACTCCAGGCTCCTGGGTATTATCTACAAGCAGAGGTCCTGGAAACAAGGTCTCTTGCATATGATAATTTAACGGGGTGAGCAAATCCGAAGCCCCTGCGAATGGCTGTGGGACTCAACTCCCAGCAGCCCCAGCCAAGGATCATGGGACTTGTAGTCCAGCAACATCTGGAGTAACACAACAAATCACCTCCATGTTGCAAGAAAACATGGAGGGGGGCGGATCTGTCCTGAGGCCCCTTGCCATGAGTTTCTCTCAAGAGTTTTCTCCCACGCTATCCTGCCCAAACACGTCCCCACATTCTAGCAACCTGCCTCTGCAGCCTTGACAGCAAAACCACACTCTGGGCAAGCTGACGTTACTAGAACGGGTTTTATTACAAAGTTCCAGTCACCATGTACAAGTTTGTTTGTTTTTTACAACGTCCAACTTTGCCAGGGAGAGAGAGAGAGAGACGATGGGGTTGGGGAGAGAGGATCTGGCTGCGCTATCCCAACGTAATCCCAACCCAATCCACCTTGCTTGCCAAAACGGCTAAAAACATCACCGTCACCTCTACCGAGAATTGCTCAAGCTTTTATCAGCTGCATGTTTAGGGGGGGGATGTATTTAACATGGGATTAAGGAAGAAAAAAAGGCGAGGGAGGAGAAAAATACCTAAGAGAGTCCTGGGTTTTATTTCAAAGTCTGTAGAAAGTTGGTTGCAAAGCAGAAGGTGGAATTCAACAATTCAGAGCAACTGGAAAGTTCCCTACTTGCTAGTGGCCTGAAGGTTAGGATGGAAGCTACAGACCCCTCTCACAACCAGGGAGCTTGTTTTACTGGGGTCCCTGACCAGGCAGAAGCTTCTGGTTACACTTGAACAAATGTGACTTAAAAGCTTTGCATATCTTTAAGCCACACAACGCAGTAGGGTGGGGAAGTTGGGGTGGGGTCATGTGTGCTCCTCTCCTTACTCTGAGCCCTTGAAAGTTTGGGCAAATGGCGGACTACACCTCAGGCGACACCCCACTTAACTGAGCCAGTCTTGACTCGCTTGAATTTCTGAGGGGCAGCAAAATGGTGCTAATTTTAGCAAAAACAGGCCACTACCAAAACACCCCACCAACCCACGGTTGAAAGTTTTAAACAGTGGGTGAACAACCTTCCACTCGATTTAGAATTGCGCCTGGTCATTCCTAAAAGAAGTCAAATTGCTGATTTTCAAAGCTAGGCTAAAAAATGCAAGAATACCTCCTCCTCCCCGGGGCAAAAGCTAGCGCAAGAGGATGCAAACATTTCCCAAGGCCTCTAATTTGTCCTCCTACACCGCCCATCTCAATTTATACGGTCCAGTGGCAGCACCAGCAAGATCTCACACAGAGACCCCACGGGCACATCCCATGACTCCCCATGTGCTTTAAGCCCTGCATGGCAGATATGAGGCTCGAGGAAATCTCATTATCCCAGGGCTCCCGAGTCTTTAATATTGACCTTTCAGGTGGCTTGGCAACTACAGGCTCCCAAGATGCAACTGTTGTGTACAAATTGCCAAAGAGAGAAAGGCATGGACAACTGGATTACGATCCAAGTTGTATGAAGATTCAAGGGGAAGAGAGAGAAAATTCGATTCGATTCGCAATACAGGTGAACATTAAATGCTTTTGCATTTTGAACCCGGAGCATTCCAGCAAACCTGGAGAGGTGACCCTCACCTAGGAAACCTGATGCTGTTTCCCTGCTGAAAGACACCCTAAGGGAGTGCAGCTGGAAGAAGATACAGAGTATTTGTTAGAGGATCCTAGCTTCACTCCCCTACCCCTCAAAAGAACATAGCCAGGAGGGCAGTGGCCTGCTCTGCAAGCTTTTATTTTTCTTCAGCCTCGAAAGGCAAACAGTTTTGATGGGTTAACTACCCTACCCTTTCCCCAAAATATTACATATGCCGGATTTAGGTGTGGGTGCTTGCATGTCACTTGTCATCTTGGAAAGATGGAAAAACTGGGCTTTGATAAAGGATCTGCTGTGTTTGGACTGGTTACATGAGTGACCAGTAGAGATTTTTTTAAAAATAAAAAAACAGAATGCAGCCACAGCTCTGGCTGGGACCGTGGGAAATCCATCACTTCTCCACCTGGGCTCTTGGGAAACCTCCCACTTCCCACCTCCCCTCACAACCCCGAAAACTATAAGCCAAGCCTCTTCTGACCACCGCCTCCCAGCTGAAATGCAGCACCTTTTAAAAAGAGTTTGGTTAAGGAGGGGAAATCAAGAAGAGAGAAACTTGCTGTGTTTGGAAAAAACAAGGCACCACAATAACGTCAAGAGTTAACGTTGTGCACAGAGCTGGAGAGAGGGAAAAAATCCTGCAATTTTTTAAATAAGGTCCAAGCTGGGAGTGGGGGCAGGAAAAAAGAGGCCCCCTCCCCTTTTCAACCCTGCCTCTGCTTCTCTTCAGATGGGCTCCGGTTTAAGCTTGTCCATTAGAAAGTCATTCACAAAAGCTTCCACGATGTCGGGTGTGATCTCCTCGACGTCCTTGACGTACTTGGCACGGGCAGACATGTCCAGGATGGTGAGAAGAGGAGCAGCCTCCGGGAGGTTGGTGTAGTCCCGAAGGGAGTCGGTCATGTCATCCTGCAAAAGATGGACGAGAGAGATCCGTTATCCCAAAATCTAAGAGGCAGGAACACCGGAGGTTTCCTTATCCCCTTGCTCCCTCTAGTTCGGTATTGCTTGCGCTGACTGGCACCCGCTCTCTAGACAGGGGATATTTCCAGCCCTAGCTGGAGATGCCCTTTGGGGAGTGAGTCTGGGACCTTCTGCCTGCAAAGGGGAAGAAGAGGCTGTAGCTCAGCAGCAGAGAGCCCCTGCTTTGCATGCAGAACGTCCCAGGTTCAATCCCCAGTAGGATCTCTAGGCAGGGCTAGGGGAGACCCTTTGACCCAAACCCTGGAGAGCCCCTGCCCGTCAGAAAAGGCAATTCTGGGCTAGGTGGAGTAGCAGCAGCTCCCTGTGTCCCCCCTAAAAGATTCCAGTCCTCGTGGTTCTGAACAAAGGGACGCTTTAGGAAGGAGTATGGGAAACCACCTTATACAGACTGAAAACGATGGGCCATTTAGCTCACTGTTGTCTACACTGACTGGCAGCAGCTCTGCAAGGTTTCAGGCAGTAGTCACTGCAATCCCCAATCCACTGTTATTCAGGGGCAGTGTGCCTTTGAAAGCAGAGGGGGGGGGGGCACAGTCATTGCAGCTAGGAGCTCCAGAGGGGCCTTTGATCCGATTGCAAACCCTTTTCGGTGCGGGACATTAAAAAATACCCCAAAACAACCCCACACATTTTTTTGCTTATGTGTAAAGCATCTCAGGAACTGCTGGTACCGTGTAAAATAAATATGATCATCAATTAGGCAGGAGGGTCTTGTGTTCATTGCGGCCTGGTGTAGGGGGGGGGGAGGAGAAAAAAGAAGCTGCCCTTTGTCTGTACTTGCAGCACCCTCACACCCTGCCTGTCAGTCAAGCCACAATGAAAACCCGGGGGGGCAGTACAAAGGGGGGGGTGTCTGCGGCATAGTGCCCCTGCCTCTCCTCTCTGCTTAGAAAGGGTGAAAGCCAGGCCAAAGGTTAAGGCCTCCTCCCATTCTCTCTCTCTCTCTCTCTCTCTCTCTCTCTCTCACACACACACACACACACACACACACACACACACACACACACAGCTGACTGAAGCCAGTAAGAGTTCCCCTATCTATTTTGGCTCTGTTATCACCCAGACGGGGGAAAGGCTGTGAACAGAGAGCGCTGCAAATTGTGGTTAGGTTAAGTGGAGTGACAGGTTGCTCTTTAGCAGCTTGAGAAGCTCCACTTGCATTTTTTTTTTTAAAAAGCAAGCCAAGGATCTAGTCCTCATGGCTGAATTAGAAAAGGAAAAAAGGACAGGCTTAGAACGGTGCAGGAGACAGAATCACAGGAGGGGACCCAAAGGTTAATCCAGTGCAACCCCCTGCAATGCAGGAATCGCAGCTGAAGAATCCCTGACTGACGGCCAGCCAACCTGTTTAAAAACCTCCAAGGAAGGAGTGTCCACTGCCTTCCAAGCGAATCCGCTCCACTGTCGAATGGCAGAAAGCTCTTCCTAATTTTTAGTCACAATCTCTTTCGCCGTAATGCGAATCCATCCCAAACTCCCTCATAAGGCTTGGTTAGAGATACCTGAAGGCATCCACACGCGCAAAAGAGGTGTGCCCAGGCACCCGCACAGAACAGGCGGCCTGAACATCGATATCCCGGGCAGATCAGCCCACCCTGCCTGATAAAGGTGGAGTGCCAAAGAAATGGGCAATAAAAACCTTAATAAAGGAGATGGATGCAAAGGATCTGTTTGTGTGTAACGTCTGTGTGTTGCTGAAGGCAGTCTTTGCTTTGTTTGGGTCTTGGCACAGTGACTGCAGCTAGCGTGGGCTGAGACAGGATTCTGAGCCATGAAGGCCCTGGTGAGATTTATTCCTTTTTTCCCCTGGTTTTCTGGCAGGAGATGCAGGCAGACGCGACAGCCACGATTAAAAGAAAAGCAAAACACACTTCCTCAGTGCCAGCAGCACAAACTCTCTCTGCTTTTCACCCCCAGCCCTGTCTGCAATATGGCCACTGCTTACCTTTGGGGGATGTTGTTGAGGGCTAACCTAGGCACATGGAGGGCTTAGACTCTCCTACGTATTAACTGCATCAATAGCCCACCTTTCCAACAAGTACAAGGCAGCATACAGCTCCTCGTTTTACCCCACGACACCCCTGGAAGGTGGGCTAGGCCAAGGGAAAGTGTGAACTTCATGGCTGAGTGGGAATTTGAAGCCGGATCTCCCTGATGCTACTCTCTGAGCCCAGAGATGGCGACCCCAGGGCCTCCCAGAGAGCCCCAGGCTCCAACTTCCATCATCCCAGACCGGCATGCTAGCTGCTGGGGCTGCTGGGAGCTGGATTCCAACGTCCCTTGGCAGGTTCATCAGCTAACCATCACGACACAGTGGATCTTGAACTGCTCCTCTGCTAAATAGGCAAATATTATTTATTACTCGTCCACTCTTATCCAACCCTGAGCGCTCCCCTTTTTCTTCGACCGCAGCTCTCCCCCACCACCCACCTCCATCCATCTTGGTCTGCCTCTCTGCCTCGACAAAATGGCGGGTGCCCATCCCTCCACGCCCAAAATCCCATCAATGTCTGGAGCACGCAGGCGCGGCAACAGGGGGGATGGGGGGAAACGCAGGAACTGACAACGAAGTCCAGGGGTGCTCAGGGACGCTGCCCCTTCCCCAGTATTGTCTGCAACCAATCGTCCTCAGACCGACCCAACGGTGCTGGCCGCATTATAGAGGATGGAAGCCGCATCTTGGAGAGGCTTTCTGGACGAAGGGGGCGAGGAGGCATTGTTGCCAGATGCCGGGATCAGAGTTCTCCGAAATCTCCGATTCCCCCTCTCCGACCAGCTCGGAGGGCCTCAAAAAAAGGCTTGACATTTGTTCTGTCTTCCACAAAGGACCCTCCGTGCCCCAAGAAGCCCCCCGGGGTCGCCGTGTCGGGTCCCCAGAGGCAAGAGGGCGTTCCCAGCACCTTCGGGGGCCAAGGACAGCTGGCGAGGGGGCGGGTCCCGCCAACCCCCTATTATCGGTGCCCAACAGGTGCGGGACTGGGGAGTCTCCCCCCCTTTCACTGCCCCCTATTTATTTCACCCCTCCCTTGTCCGTTTGTTATTTGCTTTTAAAAGGGGGGAGACGGCACAGGGAAGCTCCGCCCACCGCAAAAAAGCGCAGGGCCCGTAAATCAATGCGGTGGACGTGGTGGGAGCCGCCCTCCCCCTCCCCGCTGCGCATGTGCACGTTACCGCAGCCCCCTTTCGCTCGCAGGGTTAGCGCAAAACAACGCCGGGGGGCGTCATCCAGGAGCTAGAGCGTGGGTGATGAATGGGTCATTCAGGCGGCTGTCAGGGAGCCTGCAAGCAGATGGCGTTGGAAATGAATGAAGGGCTGTGTTTGTCAATGTGGGGCTGGTCCGCGGAGGGGCTTTGGGGGGAGAGCGAGAGGGAGAAAAGCAGGAGGAAGGGGGGGGGAGAGAAGGGAATTTCCCGGGGCTATCTGGGAGGGAGGGAATAGGGTGCTGGAGACCTTTGTTTTAGAAGGCATTTTTTTTACAACAAGGAGCGCATTCAGAAATCCCCGGGGGTGGGTGGCAGGCAGGCATCTCAAACATGTTAGGGGGTCGCGGGGCAGGGGGAAGCGTATGGACGGAGGAGCAACAAAGGTCTGGAAAACGAGGGGTGGTCTCTGGCAGGAAGGGAACGCCACGTTCGTTTGGCTCACTCGGGAAACAAGGGGAATGGCCACATGTCCCATTGGCCCCCTTGGAGCAGAAAAGCTGAGCCATGTCTCGGTCAAGGCCCCCTAATTTACATACTCAGCCCCCAAAAGTCCTTAAAATAAAAAGGAGTGGGGTGAGAGAACATAAGAATCACATTGCTAGATCAGGCCAAAGGCCCATTTATTGCAGTGTCCCCGGAATCTGATATTCAGAGGTAGACTTTCTGTGGACAGGGAGGCTCTGTTCCAAACTAATTGTGGCAAATGAGTTACAGTCATACCTCGGCTCCCAAACGCCTTGAGAGTTAAATGTTCCGGCTCCCAAACGATCGAAAACTAGAAGTGAGTGTTCCGGTTTTTGAATGTTGTTTTGGAAGCCGAACGTCTGATGGGGCTTCCAACTGGCTGCAGGAGCTTCCTTCAGCCAATCAGAAGCTGCACTTTGGCTTCCGAACGTTTTGGAACGTTTGACTTCCAAGGTACGGCTGTACATGAGAAGACCGGATGGCTCCGATCCAAATGGAAGCCGGTCAGCAAAAGCTACGGAGGGGAGCCAGGTTGGAAGGGAGACGGCAGTCAGCAGTCTGGAAATGTCCTGGCACACAGGGGTTACACACAAACCCCTTTTGACTGCCAGCAGCCCACACATAAGGAGACAACAGGACACCTGAGAATGTGCAAAGGACCAGATTTGAGTTTGGTCCAGGGTGCTGAAAATTCTCTTAATGATCCCTTGCAACTCTTTGGCAAACAAATGTGCTCTCTCTTTGTCTCTCTCACATCACACACACACACACACACACACACACACACACACACACACGCTTGCCACTTCTGAATATAAGTAAACATCTGAGCAACTGTGTCAGGTTTCCAAGTTAAATCTCAACAGACACGACCTCATCTTGTTCCCAAAAGCCTTCAACTTAACCATGCGCCTGGGACAGTGTTTGGACTGTGTGCTTCTCAAACAATTGAAGGCGCATAGCTCAGTCAGTAGAGCATGAGACCCTTCAAAAGATTCCTGCATTGCAGGGGGTTGGACTAGATGACCCTCGTGACACCTCCCGGCTATGATTCTATGATTTAAAAAGCATCTTTTAAAATGGGTGCAGTGTTTTGCTGACATTAGCTTTCTCAACCCTTACAAACCACCCTGCGAGGAGCGCCAGTATTATTTATTGCAGATTGGGGAGGCAGGTGGAGGCCTAAGTTAACAGTCTGTAAAGCCTCGCTTGCTCACCGACAGCAGACAAAATGATAAAGTTCCCTTTTCTGGACTGAACCACATCAGACTGGATACGAGAAGGGAAGGGATCACATGGTCAAATGCTCCTCCAGACTAAATTTGTTCCACATAGAAAGCTGGCATGTCAGGGAAAAGTGGTCTAGCCTAAGCTTCTCACCTGATAGGCAAGGTTTCCGTTTATTCATTGAGAAAATATTGAACTGTATGAAAGCCACAACCATGAAGTGTAATCTGCGATGGTATATTCTACGGAGGACTTCTATTTGGTAACTTGCTGTTGGCATGATATCGGCCTTAGTCAAGCTATTATCTAAAAGTATTGCGGGAAGGAGGGCAAGGAAGTGCATCCGTAAAATGAGGATAGTAGTGCTTTCCTACCTTGCAAGAAAGTTGTAAGCCCACCTAGAAAGTTCACGGCTGGCCTGAGATTTGAACCAACAGCTTTACAGCTTGCATTCTTTGACCCTGAGATAACAGTCATGGCTTTGCCTAAAGCAGCAGGGGTGGGGAAGCTCAGATCGGCCCTCAGGGCTCCCCTATGTGGCCCTCGGTCCTCTCCCTAGGCCACATCCCCTCCCCTCTATGAATGTGCAGAGAGTGAGACACCTCTGACTTTGGTGCAGCTGGAAAGCAACTTCCTCTACAAGTTTATGCAGCATCCTTTGCTCCGCTCACTCTGGCCTCGCCCCAAGCCCAAGCCTATGGCCCTTAGAAGATCACTGACAAGAGAATGTGGCCCTTGGCTGATGACACTTCCCTCGCCTCTCCCCTGAGGAATTCTGGGTCTTGTAGGCTGGTGAGGATGCTGAGTTCTGTTAAAGAACCCTTGCCCCTTTCCCATCACAACAGTTCCCAGGGTGCACAGGGGAAAGGGGCAGACAGCCTAGTGTTGTGGCTTTCAGCTTTTAACAGATGCCCTCCCTAAGAGGAATCAGAAGCCCACAAGCATTAGAAGCCAGCTATGCCCAGGGACGCAGGTGGTGCTGTGGTTTAAACCACAGGGCCTAGGACTTGCCGATCAGAAGGTCGGCGGTTCGAATCCCCGCGACGGGGTGAGCTCCCGTTGCTCTGTCCCTGCTCCTGCCAACCTAGCAGTTCAAAAGCACGTCAAAGTGCAAGTAGATAAATAGGGGCCGCTCTGGCAGGAAGGTAAACGGCGTTTCCGTGCGCTGCTCTGGTTTGCCAGAAGCGGCTTAGTCATGCTGGCCACATGACCCGGAAGCTGTACGCCGGCTCCCTCGGCTAGTAAAGCAAGATGAGTGCACAACCCCAGAGTCGGCCACGACTGGACCTAATGGGGGGTCCCTTTACCTTACTATGCCATGTGCCCATGCAAGACCCACCCCTTTCCCCCACTGCTGTGGCTCCCCCTTCCCTGGCCGTACCTCTCCGGCAACGAAAAACAGCAGAGGAGCCTCTTCGTCTTTGGCTTTGTATTTGGCAATTATTTTCTCGGCAATGGGCTGGATCAGCTGCTTGGCGGCCTCGGACTCCCCGTCGTCGTCAGAATCTGCAGGGCAAGAGATGTGGAGGAAAATGATACACATCAGCTTCAAGGTTCCAGTCCTCACTTTTTAAAAGCAACTCCTGTCTGTGTATCCTGGGAGGGCTTTGTGTATGGTGCAGTTTCAGCTACATGGAAGCTGAATGGCACAGCAAAGACAACACACACACACACACACACACACACACACACACCCCAGGTGCTTTCTACACTTATGTGAAATTGTGGCATGCATGTGTTACTGGAAAGCGTCGAATACACCCCAACACACTTCTTCAATCAGCTTAGAACATTATAAGAAGAGCTGGGTCAGACCAGAGGCCCATCCTAATCCAGCATCCTGTTCTCACAGTGGCCAACCAGATGGCAGATTTGACTCCATGCTGCCATCACTGACGGCAAGCGAAATCAAGTACATGAAGAAAACAGCCCTGCTTGATAAAGCCCGTGGCCATGCAGCCTGACATCCTATTCTCACAAGGGCCAGGGAAGCCCACATGGGAAGTGGGGTGCAATGGCAACAGCCCCCCCTCATTTGTGATCCCCTCCTCCTGGTGATTCACAGGCCTACTGCCTCTTGCACTGAAGGGAACTGAATTTAAAGCAATCTCTAAAAACAAAACTAGCCAATTCCAGGTAATTTCTAAATATAAATGAATACCTATCAGGGCAATCTGTATAACAGGGTCTGATATAAAGTTATCGCTTCCCACGTTCCTAAAAGTTGTACGATAGATCACTGCTTTGGGGGTTTCTACAAACAGTCCCCTGTTCCGACCTGCTCCGAGTTAAGGGCAGCGGTTTGGGGCTTTGACAGTCTCTTTGTCTAAAGCCGGGTGGAATGCGCAGGCCTCATCCGCAAGAACCCCGAAGGCCAAAGCCACATTGCTGACTCGATTAGGAACGTTTTGAATGTTGCGGTGCTTGTGTCTGGATTGGCTGTGTAATTTCAACCATGGGATGTCAGCCTGCAAAGACCCGTGAGATGAACTCCCTATTCCTCTCGCTTTTTAAAAATTTAAACAGAGAACAAGAGAGGCTGGAGACACAGACAATCCCACCCACCCTCTGTGTTTGCATTCGGGGAGAAAGATTAATAATGGGATTAATTTTTTTCTCTCCCCTTCTCCCCCCACCAACAAAGCTAATTGGCTGCGCTCCAGCTCCTGTGCCTCCAGGGTGACCTCCCAAGTAGGTGGCAAATATATACGGCACAAAGCTGATTAATAATAGTCACAGATGCAGCTCTGTGTAGAGACACATACACACACCCCTCCAAGCTGTTCTGAGGCTCCTGCTGTTTAATTTAAAGGAGGGGGGGTCATGAGGAGAGAGAGATGGAGAGACGGGGGACTGTAAAACGGGGCTTTGCTGTCGGGCTGGATCGATAGGGGAGGGTGTCCCGTAGCTGAAAGGACAGCTGAATTATCTGGGGAACTTTCAGAGCAGTTTTTTTTTGGGGGGGGGGGGCATGTCACAGGAAGCCAGGTCCTGCGTCTCATCACAACCCCATGAAAATACTGGCAAGAATGCATGATGTTGGACCTGGCTCCAAAATTTAGATTCCAGAGAATCAAAAGCTTCTTTTTAAAAAAAATAATAATCAAGTTTCTAGTCCATTTGGGTGCAAAGATGTTCAGAAAACACGGGAGCAATGCCTGCTGGAAACTCAGAAGCCACAGGGAGGGAGGGTGTCGTTTTTGGTATCTAACTTAATGCAGCAGCAATTCAAGTGTCAGAAGGCACCTGTAACTTGCTCGTTGATTTTCACGACGACTGTTTCAAAAGTTCCTTGTCCCTATCCCTTGTTGTTGTTGTCCTATCCCTTTTTGTTGTTCTTGGTGTTAAGTTTGCTGCATTAAATGTGCATTCTGCAGCTGACCTCCCTTGCAATGTTTAATTTCAATTTAATTATGTCGCTTTGAATGTATACTTCATATTTGACTTTGTTCAATCACGCTTCATTCTGGATTGTTTTATTTGGTGTTTAAATGTGTTGTAAACAGCTTTGAGATTTTTTCCCTTAAAAATAGAAACCGGCATAGAAATGAAAATGATAATGATAATGATCATAATAATAGCAGCAGCAGCGCCTGAAGAGGAATTTCAGGAGCCAGAGTGGTGCAGAGGTGAGGGGGGGGCAGCTGTAGAGCAGCAAGATCTCTATAGAGTTATAGATGCTGTCAGGCGACAAATCCCATCAGCACCTGCGAGAATGGCCAATGGTCAGGGGATGAAGGGGTTTGCAGCTGACAAAATCTGGAGGAAGCCACAGTGGCTACCCCAATCTAACTTTATTTATGTACTTTGTAAAAAAATTACAAACCTCAAAATAGTTTACAAAAAGAATAATGCAGTAATGCTATAACCCACCTTGAAGGGTGGGTATATAAATAAACAAATAACCAATAAAATTATCAGTACAGTAAAAACCGTTCTCTGAAAAGCATTCAAAAAAGAACTAAAATCAACAATAAGCTAAAAACAGATCAAAACACATCCCAGCATTCTACATGTCATATCTGGTTTTGCCTAAACCAGAGGTCAGCAAACTTTTTCAGCCATGGGCCAGTCCACCGTCCCTCAGACCTTGGGGGGGACTGAACTATTTTTTTTGTGGGGGGGAATGAACGAATTCCTGTGCCCCACAAATAACCCAGAGATGCATTTTAAATCAAAGGACACATTCTACTCATGTAAAAACACGCTGATTCCCAGACCGTCCGCGGGCCGGATTTAGACGGCGACTGGGTCGGATCTGGCCCCTGGGCCTTAGTTTGACTACCCATGGCCTAAACAAAAAGGTTTTTAGCGGGTGCTGAAACAATGAAGATGCCTGCCTGATGTCAAGAGCCAGGGCGTTCCAAAGGATGGGTTTGCCACATTAAATGATGGATTTCTTACAAAGGCGGAACAAGTATTATGTGGCGCCTCTAATGGTGCCAGTTCCACAGATCGAGGCAATATATTTACTAGGGTAAGGCAAAGAAGCTGAAACAGCCTCATCAACCATAGCTATGTGCTAACTCCCATATCGTCTACTTATTCTTTTTTTCAGAGAGCAGGGTATAAACAAAAATAACATGAAATAAACCATATAAGGAAGATAGAAAAACAATTTATTTCTTTGGATTGTTGGAATACTTTGTCAGTCTTGTTTGCTACACGTATAACAAGTAATGAAATAAAAAAGAAGGATACTGTATTAAGATTTTTTAAATAACTGGGTGTTATATATAAACTACGAAGAAGAGCTACAGATGAAATATTAACTGCTGTCATTCATTCAGGCTAATTTAAAACAGCATTTGTGAGCCATGTGCTGTTGTAGCTAACGACTGCATTTAAAAATTTGGACTGTCTTGCAGTTTTATTATGTTTACATTATCATTTCAGTACACTTTTATTGTATTAAGGGGCCATTGTCTGGTATTTTAATATGCACTGGTCTAGAATCAATCAGGGGGAAAAGGAAAATATAAAAAAGTGGAATGAAACTGGGTAAACTGAAAGGTTTTCAAATATTCAGATGAATTAATTGCACAATTAGCATAGGTTCCTTTTGATATGAGATGGCTGGATTAATTGAATTATTGATCGCCGTGATTATATATATACAGGGATGGAGGTTCACTAGAGCTTTCAGTATACATGTATATATAAATTTATTTTTTTAAAAGAAATACAGAAACAACAACAGCCCTAAACCAGGCAAAAAAGGAAAAAGGACAAGGTTTTCCCTAGGCAGAGTAATGACAGGTACTCATTAGCAGAGGGCTTGACATTTGTCATCATGGCAACAGATAGAGTTTTAGGTCATTTTCACCCCGCAAGGACACAGCACGATCCGCCCTCTAACCGAACCCCTGGAAACGATTCCTGGATTATTTGTCCCCCCCGCTGAATTTCTGCCCCACAGGCAAGCATGGAAGGGGGGGGTGGATGTTATTATGCTGCTGGGATAACTCTCTTGCAGAGTGGTCCATCATTAGCCAGACGGGGCCGCCCTATCAATCATTCCCCACTCACCCGCAGGGAGCGCAACAATCTATTCCCACCCCCGGCTACAAGAGTCGGGTTCCCGGTGGGCTGGAGGACCCTCACGCAGCAGCGCTTTGCTGAATAAATAAGAAGGGTCACAGTGAGCTCAGCTTGAACAGAGAGCTAGAAAGCGGAGAGGAGAGTGAATTACTAGGGGGCAGCGGTGAGGGGGAGAACTAGGCTGACGAGCAGAGCTGCCCCATCCCAGTAGGACAAAAAAAGACAGCTTCGCCTAAGACCAGAGACTATCGTGTTTGTTTCACATATAACACACCTCGAGAACTGATGATGACATAGATAAAAACGTATTCCACTAAAACGAAGGCAACTGCTATACATGCTTAAAGCCGTAATAAATAAAATGATCTATCTGAAGAGATACCTGATCAACAGACATGAATTCTGTTGATCAGGCATCTATTTGGATATATCATTTTGGGGGTTTTTAAAAAACAAAACAAAAACAAACAAACTGACTGTCTCAGTGCTATTTATTTCTGTAATGAAATCCATATACTGCTTGATTGCAACATAGCCTCCATTAAGCACAATCCGTCACACTGATTTTGTTGGACGTTATCATTTTGTTTTTGTTTTTTTTGCATTTAAGCATGTATAGACATTCCCAGTCAGAATACATTTCACCTACAGCATTGTGAAAAATTGTATGACTCATTTCGTTGTAGCATTTTAAGCAGCAGCAAGTCTTAATTATCTATCTAGCTCCCTGATCCAGTTCACTGTATGAGAAACAATTTTTGCATTTTCCTAAACACTTTTTGGGGAGCTGGGGGGAAGGTAACATTTTAGAGCGAAACAAACCTCAATGGTGCAATCTGAGCGCATTTAAACCCAGATTTGGTACTGTTACAACCAGAAAACAGGAACAAAATGGCGAGAGCCTAGTTTGAATATCCACGTGTCCGTGGGTCTGTCAGCTTCGTGTGTGTTTGTGTATGTGTGTGCCTAAGCACCTCGCAAGGGAAGGACACAATTGCGATAAAGGCAGGAGATGTACAGCTTACACAAGCAGCGTTGCAAAAGACGAGCCGTTCCAAGCACTAAACGGTCTCAAGTGTGCGCTCGTGCGAAAAAGCGTTTGTGTATTTTCAAGCACTTTGCAGACAAAACAGCGCTTTACAAAAGGTTAAGCGTGAGATCAAATCTAAAGCAAAAGAATTAATTACGTGGGGAGGTGTTACGCTCACCGCCCCCGTTTTCCCCCACGGTCGCCGATACAAACCGAGAACTGTTGGGGTTGGTGGGGGGGCTTAGATGTACGTGCCGTGAAAGAAGCGCAATTGGCCCCGCACTCCAGGGGGGTTACAGACAACCGCATTCAGACACAGCTTGAGTCCTCGGTTGGGTGGAGGGGGAGAAGACTCCAGGGGCAGAAACAGGAAACGGATGAATGTGAGGCTTGGAGTGCCGCCATTGTAAGGGAACTGATCAGGCACAGCATGGCTGCAACAGGGGAACAGCTCATCCGATTAAGGTACCACATCACCGTGGGTGGGTGGGGTGTTGCTTGCAGGGGGGAGAAGTAGCCTCATGCTGAACGGAGATTTCCACTGGGCTGGAAGCCCTAACCCAGATTCAGAACCGGAAACGACAGCTGTGTTGCTAGTGGGAACACACCGGGGAAGAGAAGATCGCAGCTGCTTTGCTCTTTCCTGGGATTTCCAGAGCAGGGTGGCCTCCAGATGTTGGACTACAACTCCCATCAGCTCCAGCCTGCGTGGCTAACAACCAGGAATGATTGGAGTTATAGCCCAGTGATGCCCAAAGAGCCACTGCTTCCCCATGCCTGGGATTAACACGTCACCCAAGCCCGGGAACGGAGTCACAGTCTCTCCTCCTTAACCCTAGACTTGTCCTATGGCTGCAGGTTGTGGTCACGGAGGAGAAAGCCTAACAGCGAACCCAGGGTTTGGGGAGCACACTAAGCCAGGGATGGGGAACCTTTTTCAAGCTGAGAGCTGCATTCCCTTCTGGACAACCTCCCAAGGGCCACATACTAGAAGTGGGCAGGGGCAAAGGGGAAAAGTGGGCAGAGAAAGAAATGCAGATTTTGCCTTTGTATGGTATGCTAGTTTCTAACACATTCACATTCTCTCTCTCTCTCTCTCTCCTCTATTCTCCATCCAAGCAAGCAATAGGCATGCTCAGAGTTCAAGGGCACATTTCCAGCCAGGCCCATTAAAAAACAAAAACGAAAAAACAAGGAGGGTTTGAAACTAGCCCATGAGGATCATGGCTTGGAGAGAGTCCCAAGGGCCAGACAGAGGCATATGGAGGGCCACATCTGACCCCCAGGCTTGAGGTTCCACCTGGTATGTTGCTTCTGGCTAGAAACAGGGGGGGGGGTGTTGCCATCTTGAGGACTGGAAAATTTCCAAAGCCACTTCTACAACTTTCAGGAAGAGGTGCTGTTTCTGATCTCTGCAACCTTCTGGGGGCGGGGGGAGAGGCAGGAGTGGAAGCGGCTGCCACAGTTGGGGGAATCCCTTACCTACGAAGAGGACGAGGCAAGGGCCCTCGTTCAGCTGGACGGCGTTGGAGTCGGTCAGCTCCAGGACGGGTTTGGGGTGCCAGGGGAACTCCCGGCACTCGATGTCGTTCAGCACCTCCACCCGGCCTTGTCGCGTGATCACGTCCCCCTTGGGGTCCAGGACTATGAGGGTCGGGATGCCTGGAATAGGGAAGGGACAAAGATAAACAGCAAGGTGAGCCTCTGTGTGGGCAAGATGCATACGAAGAAGGAGACGGTGATGCTCAGTAACAGAGGATTTGCATGCGGACAGTCCCAGCTTCAATCCCCAGTGGCTGGGCAGGACCCCTGTCTGAAACCCTGCACTGCCAGTCAGTGGAGGTAACACTGAGCTAGATGGACCAATGGTCTGATTTGGTATAAGGAAGTCTCTTCTGCTCTGTGGGGAAGAAAACCACAACTTAGTTGCAAAGCTCTTTACTCAGAACCATAAAGACTGCAATCTTACTGCATTTGCTCTCAGTGATGGCAGCATATAGCTCAATCTGGCTTCTGGCTGGTCACTGTGAGAGCAAGACTAAATGATCCAGTGGCCAGCCTCTTCCTACGCTGCCCTCACTCGCCATTTGACTTCGCTTGCCCTCAGTGATGACATCACATAGGGAAATCCAGCCTTTGGCCTGATTCCACAGCTGGACTCTTCTGATGTTAACTTTCACATACTGAAATGTTCAGCCACTTGGGCGTTTTCCTACCCTCCTTGCCAGTCACTTTGGATCTCTGGATTGCTTTTGCCTACTGCCCTGATCCCCCTGCTGCCTTGGAAAAAATAATCTGACAGGTGTCAAGCGATGTCCCGCCTGCAGCCACCACCTGCCACTTAGCTGTCCAGGAATCAGGTTTCCCTAAATTGTGGCTAAACAGTGATGAGTCTGCCTACTTCTCTAGTAGGCGGCGTGAAACTGGTTTCATGTAGGATAGTTAATAAAACTGGGTTTTTTTGTTTTGCGGGGTGAGGTAGGAGAAATTCATTCATGAGCAAGATCTATGTAGCACTAAGCCAGAAGGATGGAAGTAACAACTCAAGAGCGATGGGTGCCGCAGGGCTCAAACCTGCAGCTCACCAGGACAGGAGCTGCTTCCTTGCTTATTGAGCCCCTGCCACGTTGGCCAGTTTCGAGGAGGGACTGACACCCCACCTCACCAGCCAAGGAGTCAGTCAGGTGAGCCACAGGATCACAGGAAGCAACCTTACACTGACAAACAGACCACCTTTGCAAAAAGCAAAGTCTTCAGCTTTCATAAGGACTAGGAACTTGCTTTTTTTAAAAAGAAAAAAAGTATGCTGTAAGTAATGTGATGAAATGTGGTATATACCAGTGCATATACCGAGGGCCTTCTGGCGGTTCCCTCGCTGTGAGAAGCCAAGTTACAGGGAACCAGGCAGAGGGCCTTCTCGGTAGTGGCACCCGCCCTGTGGAACACCCTCCCACCAGATGTCAAGGAGAAAAATAACTACAAAACTTTTAGAAGACATCTGAAGGCAGCCCTGTTTAGGGAAGCTTTTAATGTTTAATAGGTTACTGTATTTTAGTGTTTTGTTGGAAGCTGCCCACAGTGGCTGGGGAAACCCAGCCAGATGGGCGGGGTATAAATAAAAAATTATTATTATTATTATTATTATTATTAAGAATGAATGAATAAAAAATAAATCTGAGATGGAAATTGTTTTTGAGGTGCTGAAATTGGTGAGCAACAGTTATTGTTTCTTTTATATGGTGCTTTATAGGCACATCTGTTGCAATCAAGCTCTCTCAGTCAGCAGATCATGACTCTCTTAATCTCAGGGTCAAGGGTTTGGGCCCCACGTTGGGCAATAGATTCTTGCATTGTAGGGGGTTGGAGTAGATGACCCTTGTGGTCCCTTCCAGCTCCCCAATTCTATGAGTCCTCTGGTTCTGTTTTAAATTTCAATATAATATCCTCACCCCTGGCCAAAGAATATGGAGCAGGGTTCACAGCCGGCTGTTGCCAGCCAAGTCTTTGCCAGGAATTTGCCCCACAAGCCGGCTGCCTTCAGAGCTTCCAGCTCATTCCCCACATTGTTTGCATTCTTCCTGCAACAGCTGCTTTTGTGCGGTGACCTACACCAAAAAAAAAACCAAGTGATGATTTGACACGCAGGGAGAGGGGAATAAATCCCCAAACTTTGTGCTGAGAGGAAAAGCAAATTGAAAAAAAGCCACACAGGAGCACAGCAAAGCTCAGATCTGCTGAGGAGTCTAAGTGCTGCCACTCTGCACGATACCCTGATCTGGAAGAAGGAGGAAGCCAATGATGGTTTCATGGACTAGGAACTGGGGAAACTGGGTCTCTAATCCCTGCTCAGCCTTGAAACTCTCACTAGGTGGAAATGGGTCAGGCTAGCCTACCTTGGAAGGTCACTGTGAGGATTAAATGGGGAGAGCCATGTAATAATAATAAATAATAGTAATAATTTCAGCTCCATTATAGGTGAGAAAAGCCTAGGGAACATGAAGCATTCAGTACCACTTGGCACAAAGCCAGCTATGTTTTATTTAGAGCAGACCCACTGAAGATACACTTCGGCCCATTGATCTCATTGGGTCTACTCAAAGTGAAACGTAGCTGGAGGCAAGCCGAAGTCTTTCATTTCATCTACTTCACACCTGGCTTCAGGTTGGCAGATGTCTGGGTTGTAGCAAAAGGCAAAAGAACTCTGAATAATCTTATTTTCAGGGAATGAATGCGGCCCTCCAGACCTCTCTATCTGGCCCTTGGGTCTCCCTCACAGGTCACAGCCCTCACTGTCCCTGATTCAGTATTTTTGCTGTGCTGAGAATGTGCCACTGAACTCTGAACATGCCTCTTTGCTTGCTTGGATGGAGAATTTAAGAGGGGTGGGTGTCTATAAACTAGCCCACTGTACAAAATTTTTTGTTTGGTGTTCCACCCACCTTCCCCTCTGGCTCTGCCTCCCACTGGCACACGGCCCCCAGAAGCTTGTCCAGAAAGCAAAGTGGCCCTCAGGCTGAAAAAGTTTCCCTTTTTGCAATTATTTTGGCAACAGGGAACCCTGAACATAGGAACCTAGAAAGTGACCTTCTACAGAGTCAAATCACAGACCCATCTAGCTCAAGATTCTCTCTAGATGTTATTGGACTCCAACTCCCATCAGCCCCAGGCAGCTTGGCCAACAGAGAGGAATGCTGGGAGTTGTAGTTCCAACATGATGGCCTATTCCTTCCCCCAAGTCTACAGCAACTAGCAATGGCTCCTCAGGGTCTCAGAGAGAGAAGGGTCTTTAACCCACCACCTGCCACCTGATTCTTTTAAAGGGAGATTATGTCAGATGCAGAACTGGTGGCTTTCAGCCTGCACAACCACATGCTCTATCGGTGAGCTACAGCCCTTCCCAAGGTCAGGGGCTTGTGGGGATGAGGGTGGAGCCCTCCCTTCCCCAGCACTGTGAATGGAAGCTTTCAGACACTCCCCAAATTAAGCCCTCGGGGTCTGTGTACAATTTCCTCCTGCAGATTTGATTTTCTTTTTTCCTTTTGGCAGAAAAAAAAATAAAGTTAAAGCAAAAACCACCTCCAGGGCACAAGGCCAGAGGAACAAGAAAGCCTGTCGTTACCCTACTCAGGAAGGAAAACAGAACCAGACACACGCAGCCAGTTTGGAACATCTCTAGCATAGCCTTCCTCAGCCTGGTGCCCCTGCCAGGTGCTTTGGACTCCAGCAACCATCAGCCCCAGCTGGCACAGCCATATTTTGGGCTGCAGATGCCCCCCCTACTTACGCGCTACCAACTTGTGCGCAGCGCTGGAATTAAACAATTCCATTTGAACCCAGAAATGGCAAGAGAACTGGAGAGTCCTCGTGACTCATGAGAAGACCCTCCTTGGAGCCCAAAGAGGACATCAGTGAGGGTGGAGGAAGCCCCAAAGAGACTGGAGGCACAGAGGAGCTTTGTTTATGCCGCTCAGCCTCCCCATCTAACAACTGATGTGCAGGGTAGCACAGCAGTCGTCTTGCTATGTGTCCTCCAGCCTTTAGATGACCCCAATTCTCTTTGTGGATGTTTTCGGATACAGTACTTTTGGTATGGATTGAAGAGAGAGCGGCAAAGAGGGTGTTTGGAGGGGGCTCCCCGCTTTACACAATTTCACTTATGCACGCAGGGCCCCAGAACATTACCTCTGTGTTAAGTGGGGAGTCGCCTGTGCAGCTCCCACCAGCCTTGTCTAACACGGGCCCAAATCTACTCCAAATAGCTCCAGTTTACTTTTGGGTGGGCTGAGAAAAAGGGGACTTTCGTGCCTCCCTAGCCATGCAAAGCCACAGCCCGTTCTTTTGTCCCTTAATGGGAGCCATAGAGTCAGAAGGTTGCCCTAATTTGCATAGCCACACCCCTTCCTCTCCCTTTCTTGATCACTCAAGAAGAAAAATGAAGGAGCTTTTTCTGCTTTCTCTTCCACAGGTCACCTGCCAATAGTGGGTGGGGCCAGAGATGAAGTGGGCGGAGCAACAAATGCAAATGCAAAATTTCGCTCTTTCATTCATCCAAGGAAGAAAGAGGCACGAATCAGAGTTCAATGACACATTCCCAGGGCAGGCAAAAATATTCAAGGAGGGACTTTTGCATATTCTTTGAACCGTTAAATTCCACCCACCCCCAAGATCAAAGGTTCATTAAGATGAATTCAAAAATTTTGTTGATAGCCCATGTAGCATTTTTTTAAAATGGTTAAATCATTGTTCAGTGTCTTTTGGTTCTTGGCAGGGGTGTATTGGTTTTGAGTGTTTATCATTAACTATTTCATGCTTCCTTAGAAATCCCCTAAGGTCATTAGCAGGGCACAGCGGTGAAAATGATAAAAGGAAATGAGCAAATGACAAAAGCCGAGCAAAAGGTAGCTCCAAGAAAACCTCCCTCTTGGACAGAGTTAAAAGAAGGAGGAGAATGAGGCGAGGAATGCACAGAATGTAAGATGCTGCCTTCTACTGAGTCAGACCATCAGTCCATCTATTCTCAATAATGTCGACACTAACTGGCAGCAGCTCTCAAGGATTCCAGACTGGGACACCTTCCCAGCCCTTCCAGGAATTGTGGGAAATCAAATCTGGAACCAAGTTGAGGGTTGGTTTTTGTTTTTTTACTTTAAGACGTTTATAAGAATTTCATACAAGTAAACATTGTATAAGAGTTTTACACAAATATCCCAATAACTGGGATATAAGGAAACATAAACATTACACGTCAATACTAAACCTAATCAATGACCTTTTTGTTTTGGCACTACCTTTTCTAGCAAGGGCCAAAAGTATGTTATGCACGACACATGCAATCCTAGGAACGTTAGTTTTCGAAGAGGCTTTTTGTCCCACCTTGGATGCCGTAGAGCCGGTTGAGACGCGAGCGGCGAGAATCATCAGCGTACGGGACGGCTAGCCAGGGCATCTCGCTGAAATACTGCTTGAACGATTCCTCCGACCTGGAGGGGGCGAAGCAAAAGGAGGCAGCCTTTTAACCTTTCCAGGTGGAACACCAACCCTGCAGTGCGGAACGAGGTCTGGACTGCAGCGGACAAAAGCAGTCTGGTTGCAGTAGCCTTCACAGGGCTGCTGTTGTGAAATGTGCTCTTTGCGAAGGGCACATCCGTGAAGCTGATCCGTGCTGTGGATATGGCACGGGGGGCGGCCAGGCGGCAGGGCAGGGAGACTGTGTGCACCCTATGATTTATAAAAGTGTAACAACCATATTCTCCTGCCAACCTAGCAGTTCAAAAGCACCTCAAAGTGCAAGTAGATAAATAGGTACCACTCCGGCGGGAAGGTAAACGGCGTTTCCGTGCGCTGCTCTGGTTCGCCAGAAGCGGCTTAGTCATGGTGGCCACACAACCCGGAAGCTGTACGCCGGCTCCCTCGGCCAATAAAGTGAGATGAGCGCCGCAACCCCAGAGTCGGTTACAACTGGACCTAATGGTCCGGGGTCACTTTACCTTTTAACAACCATATTAAGGTTGATACTAAGGAAACTTATCCATCCATCACTCTGGGGCCAGACACTCCAACAATGGTTCCCCGCCCCAAGTGTACTTTCCCCACTGTAATGAGGACTAGAATCTTGCTCTTCTTCATATACTGTATATATAAATAAGGCAGGGGTGAATGGGATGCAGAGTTTCTAAAAAAAACCCCAACGTCTGTAAAATTGTGGGATATATAAAAATACTGCCTAGGAAGTGCCACAGGGATTCTAAAAGCCACAGGAAGAGGCCACCAAAGAACAGCCTTGCACAATGGAAATGTAGTGCTAAGGGTGTCTGCTGAGTTTGGATTCGAACGCCAGGAGCTGAGCAGGACCCCTGATCTCAAAGCCACACTGCAACTCATTGGAAAAGGACACGCAACTTTACTGATATTACTGATAAAAGTTGCTGTCTTTGAATTCCTTTTACTGTGGATGGGTTTTGTTAATCTGCAGCTGAGAGCCATTTGTTGCATTAGATTCCTTCCCTTCCTTTGCTCCTGACTACCTTCCTGATGGGACGCGGATGGCGCTGTGGGTTAAACCACAGAGCCTAGGACTTGCCGATCAGAAGGTCGGCGGTTTGAATCCCCGCGACGGGGTGAGTTCCCGTTGCTCGGTCCCTGCTCCTGCCAACCTAGCAGTTCAAAAGCACGTCAAAGTGCAAGTAGATAAATAGGGACCACTCCGGCGGGAAGGTAAATGGTGTTTCGGTGCACTGCTCTGGTTTGCCAGAAGCGGCTTAGTCATGCTGGCCACATGACCAGAAAGCTGTACGCCGGCTCCCTCGGCCAATAAAGCGAGATGAGCGTTGCAACCCCAGAGTCGGCCACGACTGGACCTAATGGTCAGGGGTCCCTTTACCCTCCTGATGCTTCCCTTGCTCTGCAGGCTCTTCCTCGGGTGTTTCTGGCTCTGCTCTCAAATTCTCTCTCTCTCTCTCTCTCTCTCTCTCTCTCTCTCTCTCTCTCTCTTTCTCTCTCCATGCCTGCCTTACCAATCCCTGATTACCTTCTAGGAACTAAACTTTGGCACCTCTGTAGTGAGGGCACAGAACCCCTCCAACAGGTAACAAGCCTGGGAAAATATGTATGCAAGTGCTTATGTGTAACTTAACATTTCACCAGGCAACGGGTCACATGCACCTTTGAACTCAATCTTAGGGACTAGAAACTGTGCTTTAAGAAAACCGAAAGCTAAGGCTCTCCAAATGCTTGATTCCACACTAAGAGCTGCGCTAATGACCTACAGCCCCTGCTACTGTCCCGCCTGCTTCTGGCACCCGCTTCCCCAGTGCCATGGACCACCTGCCAATCCATTCTGACTGGCCAATAGCCGATCGCCTTTCATTCCCATGTCCTGTCCCTTCCCCGCCAAGCGTAGCAGGAGCTGGTTCCAATGGCAGAGAGGCAGCTCTTACCTGTCTGCGCTGACAAAGACGATCTCGAATTTATGACCGGATTCCTTGATCTTACGATAGGATTCCACTAGTACCCGGGTGAGGCTTCTGCAGGGTGGGCACTGCAAAAGAAATAGCATGTGAAAGGAATACATTACTATTACACAGGCAGTCTCATGGCAAGTTGGAATTGCGTACAGGGAAAGGGTTTGGTCAACTGGGAGCAAGTGCTTTTCTCCCCTTCGGGCTCTCTACGTGCCAAAAATGACTTACCGTATTTTTTGCTCTATAAGACTCACTTTTTCCCTCCTAAAAAGTAAGGGGAAATGTGTGTGCGTCTTATGGAGTGAATGCAGGCTGCGCAGCTATCCCAGAAGCCAGAACAGCAAGAGGGATTGCTGCTTTCACTGTGCAGCGATCCCTCTTGCTGTTCTGGCTTCTGAGATTCAGAATATTTTTTTTCTTGTTCTCCTCCTCCAAAAACTAGGTGCGTTTTGTGGCCTGGTGCGTCTTATAGAGCGAAAAATACGGTAAGTAGGTATGTGTAGGCAGGCAGGCTGCAAAACAAGAAACGCTGTGGACTACAACCTTCAGCACAGGTAAAGCCGGTGCAATGCAAATAAAGGGTTTAACAAGTGTTGGGCAAAAGATTCCTGAACTGCAGGGGGTTGGACTAGATGACCCTTATGGTCCCTTCCAACTCTACAATGCTAGGATTGTATGAACACACTCCAAATGCACTTCATATACATTGTTGGGGGATGCTGGCAGTCACAGCTGCTGTACAAAAGGAGTCTGAATCATAACAAAACTTTCTGAGTCACAAACCATACAAAAATCCCCGCTATTAATTAAAAATAGAATTCTTCCCATTACAGTGGATGCTCAGGTTGCAAATGTGATCCATGCGGGAGGCACGTTCGCAACCCGCAGCGCCGCGTCTGCGCACATGTGGGTCACGATTCGGTGCTTCTGCACATGCGCAAAGAGCGATTTAGCACTTCTGTGCATGCGCGAGCACCGAAACCTGGAAGTAACCCATTCTGGTACTTCCGGGTTCGGCGCGGTGCGCAACCCGAAAACACGCAACCTGAAGCGTCTGTAACCTGAGGTATTACTGTACAATCACTGATTATTCTTTACTTATAATTCATCACTATGTTAGTCAATACATGGCTCTGCTTGTGATGACTCAGTTGTAAGGGGAAGGCACTCTGCACATGCTCACATGCACCCTTGAGCTCCATTCGCCACCCACACCCCCAAAGTGGTAAAGTTAAGAGCATAGCTCACCCAGTGTGCAGAGAAGTAAACGCCAACGTAGGAGCCCTCAAGGGTGCTGCTCTCCTGGCTCTGGCCATTATTTCGGAGGAGAGGCCCAGCAACCACGTCGCCGAATGGCCGGGCCCCCCAAGGGAACTCCAAACCTGGAGCAGGAGCGGGAGGAGCACAGCATAAAGCAGAGAAACGACTAACAACATCACAGCAGCACCCCATCTGTCTCGACCTGTATCCCCCCCAAAAGAGAATCCAAAATGGTGTCTGCCATCATGCAGGCCCAAGACTGGTGTCATTGCAGGAAAGTGCATTGTGGGAAATAAATATGGCAGCTAGGTTCAGTTGCCAAGCACTGCTTAAACCCTCACAATGGCCCAGGAGATGGAGAAGGCAATTGGCCCACACTTAATCCTCAATGGCATCTCCACGTGGGGTGAGGAAGACTCCCTGCCCCAAACCCTGGAGAGCTGCTGCCAGTCAGTGTAGACAAAACTGAGCTAGATAAACCACTCCTTATAAAGCAATATATAGAGATTCTAATTAAATCAGCCTGTAATTCCGAACAATGAGGACTTGAATCTTGCTTTGTTCTTAGGAGAAGAGCTGGAGCTTCCTATGCCTCCAAGAAGTCTTCGGTGAGGTTCGCCTGAGTGCATCGGCTTGCCTCAATCTCTGCCATGCTCTCAGAAAAGGGCAACCGTGACCCACGAGAGGCAATGGCGTGACAAGCAAGAGCATTAAACACACAGCCTTACCTTCTGGGTCATCTCGAATTACCAAGAGGCCGTTCCGGCACACAACCTTTCCCGTAGTGGCATCTATAAATATCAGCGAGGGAATGTTGGACACTCGGAACTTGTTCCAGAGTTTCAACTGGAGGGAGGGGGGAAAAAAGAGAGAGAGAGAGATGTGGTAATGAACTGCAAAAGCAAGGAGTGAAGTTATACTTAGAATCTTCTTGCCCCTTCCACTCTCCCTCCTCCCAGTTGCAGTCTCATGGTTCAAAAGCTCAGACTGTAAGCTCCTTGCGGCAGGGACCTAACTGGCTTTCCCGGTTACAATCAGAGGCCATTTTGAATCGAGATGGTGCACGGAACTGTTCAAAGCAGCGCTGATTTTAATAAATGAATTCAAAACCACACGGATTATTTTGGGTTTCTTAGATGTCCCAAGTGGCGCCAGGTATGATAAATTAATTTTTTTAAAAATAAGGTAAAAAGAACAAATGAAGAGACCTGCTGGGTCAGGCCAATGGTGCACCTAGTCTTCTCACAGTGGCCAACCAGATGCCCCAATGGGAAAGCTCACAAGCAGAACCTGAGCACAACAACAAGTCTCCCCACTCATGAATGGCAGCAACTGGCATTCAGAGGCATGAACTAACTGCCTCCAGCAATGGGAGTGGAGCATAGCTCTTGCAGCCAGTAGCCATCAATAGCCTATCCTCCATGAATTTGTTCAATCTTCTTTCAAAGCCATCCAAGCTGGTGGCCATCGCTGCCTCCTCTGGCAGCAAGTTCCATTGTTTAACTATGTGCAAGCTGTTCTCTGGCCACTCTCCCCATTCCATGCATAAGATTCTATCATGTTGGATGGCGGTGATACTTAAAAACGCACCATTTGAAATCGTTGGCCTTCCACCAACATGACTGTATGAGCCATGTGCAGATTCATTCAGAATTGATTCACGAGCAAAGACAACAGCCCTGCCAGGTGGTCAGTTCAACCTCGTAAAACTTCAGCTGCAGGAGCTGAAGCAAGGTGGGGTTGCGGGGAAGGACACACTCTGGAAAACGCAGTCCTCACTCAACCAAGTGCTCACCCTGACAACAGCAGGCCTGCACTTTAAAACATTTCCAGAGCCAAAAGGGTGGGTTTTTTTATGGAGTTTCCGCAGTCTTTAGAGGAGCTTCGGAATGTGTTTGCAAAGGCTCTGGACGGAGTGTCCACTTAAAGGCGGCTAAAGCCTTCTGTTTATTTGGCCGGGCTTTGCAGCCCTTGAGACCCAGAGGAAGGGCGGCTGGGGTTGCATCAGCTTTCCTTGGCTGGGAGACAGGCGAGCGGGTTTCTCCTCCCGTCGCAAGTCAAGCGATGTGGCAGCAGCTCAGATGCTTAAGTGAGCTGGAGAGGGCCTGTGCAGCTGGATCTCAGGAGGGTCAAGAGAAAAAAAATGTCAGTTTTGCCAGAGAGAGGGAGAGAGAAGAGACAGAGGAGGGTGGAGAAGGAAGGGGAACCAGGCAGCCAAGAAGATCAGGTGGGGGAAATAAGCTCCACATTTGCTCCATTCACTAAACGGATTGATACTGAGATCACATCAAACCCAAGTTCTTTCTAGGCAGGGAGGCTGCAGCTGCTGTCTTTCTGAAACCAAGTGCTCTGCTGCAACTAAACAATGCAATTCAACGCCCGCAAGCTTCATTCAGCATTGTGTCAGCGAATAACACTTACAATCTGAACTGTATGGAATTCAAACTGTAACACACTAAAATACGAGAAATAAAAGCAACATTTTTTCAAAAAACCCTCAAAACATATAGCATCTAGCACAGGGTAGGATAATTGTTATTAACAGGCAGAACAAAAAAAATTCAAGTGGTCCATGGGGCAGGGGAAGTTAAGGGTATCAATGCCTTGATGGAAAGAAGTACCGTATGTGTCATTTGGACTACTGCAGGGGTAAGCAAAGGATAAACTTTCCTGCTTTTTTCCTCTCCCCACCTTATCCCTTTTTCCTTTTGTGTCACGTACTTTTAGAATGCAAGCTGGTGTTATTTAGACTGATTTGTAAGCAGCTCTGTAAGCTTTTCTGGCTAAGCAGCGGCATATAAACGCTTTCGATAAATGGTCCAACTTTCTAGTCATGATTAATATGGCAGAGAATACATGAGCAGTGGTTATTTCCTCTCAGCCTTCCAGGCTGAATTCTCCCAGCAGTTCTTACAGCAACCCTGGAAGGTAGACTGCTATCCAACCCTCCACCCAGTGCCACCAGACCACAACTCCTCATGGCACTGGAAATCTCCAGGCTAGACTACTGCTGTGCAATGTATATGGGGCTGCCTTTGAAGGTGGAATGAGTAAATCAAATTGTCAGTCTCTAGCATCCACCCTAGGGACGCGGGTGGCGCTGTGGGTTAAACCACAGAGCCTAGGACTTGCCGATCAGAAGGTTGGCGGTTCGAATCCCCGCGACGGGGTGAGCTCCCGTTGCTCGGTCCCTGCTCCTGCCAACCTAGCAGTTTGAAAGCACGTCAAAGTGCAAGTAGATAAATAGGTACTGCTGTGGCGGGCAGATAAATGGCGTTTCCATGCGCTGCTCTGGTTTGCCAGAAGCGGCTTAATCATGCTGGCCACATGACCTGGAAGCTGTACGCCGGCTCCCTTGGCCAATAAAGCGAGATGAGCGCCTCAACCCCAGAGTCGGCCACGACTGGACCTAATGGTCAGGGGTCCCTTTAACTTTAGCTTTAGCAGCCACCCTAGCTTGGTCCCTAAGATATGTAAAAATGGACGATCCAAACAAGACATGCTGAAATTCCTAAAGGTGAGCCATTTTCACTATAATCCCCCCAGAGACTTTTTTTTTTGGGGGGGGGAGAGGGGGAACAACACAACAGGAATTCCTCCAGCAGAACCTAAACTCCAGTGGCTTATTCCATCATTGTTCCCTGAGCATACTAGAGGGATGCCAAGATCCCTCTCGCTCCGTCTTTTCTGGAGGCTGGAGAGATTCCTGCACTTTTTAAAAAAAATTAGCTGTTCCCGTTAAAAAGGAAAAAAGGTCTCATCCAATATTGCTTAAAAAACTCAAGAGAACAGGGTGTGTGTCTCCCTCCCCACTTCAACTCTTTCCGTTGCTAAGCTACAATAATCGCTTCAACAGCTAAACACTCTTGTAGTTTGCCTCGCTCGATGGTCTGAAAACACCACAGCTCATAGCTGGTGCAATCCTGACAGTATGAGTCTCGTAGGGGGAAAGAGGGTGTGTGTGTGTGTGTGTGTGTGTGTGTGTGTGTGAGACTGGTGACTGATATCAGCTTTCCAGAACCCGGAAAGCATTGGATTTTTTGGACTACAACTCCCAGCAGCCCTGACAAGCAATGGGGCCGACAAGAGCTTGAACTGTAGTAAAGAAACCATGGCTTCGGATCGTGGTTATAGAAAGCCAGTGTGGTGCACTGGTTAGAGTGCTGGGCTAGGCTCTGGAAGACCAGAGTTCAAATCCTCATTCGGTTATGAAGCTCACTGGGTGACCTTGGGACAATAAGTTTTGTTGTGGGGATGAAATGAGTTCCTTGGACCAACAGGTGGGACATAAATGCAATTAATAAATATATAGCATGTGGCTCTATATTTATTATATAGAGTTTGGGCAATCAGACAGACCATGGCGTAAAAGCCTTAGGTACCTCCAGCCCTGAATAAGCTGTTTCCCCCAAACCACACGCACCTGCCTCACACCTGACATCATATGGGATGCAGGTAAGACATAACTCCTTTACAAGCTGGGCTCTCAAACAGCTGGGATCATCTATATTATGGTGGGGCGGTCACTCTCAGTGCCAATGACAGAGAGTCCCTCTGAACTTTGACGGCCAGGCACTCCTCAAATGTTTGACCATAGGGCAGTGGTGCAATTAAGGATCTCGCCTGCAGGCCAGATGAGGCACTGTGAGAACAGAATGCTGGACGCGTTGGTAGTTCACAAAATGGGTATAACAAAATGCAAGAGAATGCTAAACTGCAGATATCACTGGGAACACTGTAGTCCTAAACCCATCTGCTCCTATTTATTTTTCCTCCTCCCTCCTCCTTGCCCATTCCTCGTTTAAATACATTAAACCTTTGTATTATATATCTGTTGTTGACTTTGCATCCATATTGAAGTTGTATTTTTTTTTTGTAGATGCATAAAACTTTTTTTTAAAAAAGTTTTTAAAATGGTATCAGGGAGGGGCAATTACTTCCCCAAACATGTCCCTTGAGCCCCCTTTTTAAAAAAACATACACTAAGAAAGCCATTTCCAGAACTATCCCAGATGCAAGAGATTTTTCTGCTTCTAATTTTCTTTGAAATAAACATTTAAAGAAACATTTTGGGGGGTGGGGGGAAGAGAGAAAGCACAGAGGTGCCTTGCTGCTTTGGAAGGAAAGCTCAGCTGTTTTCAAGCTTCACAAGAGGCTTTTTTGTGCTGGGGGGGGGGGTAAGAGCTTAACCATAATGGTAACAGATCTTTTCTTCTGTTAATTCTCTTTGCAGCAACCATCACTGGCCAGGCGGGAGAAAGCGGATTTGGTCTCGTCAAGGTGTCCAGAGAGACCTCCGAGGAGACGGCCAGAGATCTTGCATGCTGACAAAACCCGGATAGGGCAAACAGGATGGGGAGCTTAGTAAGAGCCAGCCAGCTTCAACAAGGAAAGAAAACAACTCCGGAAAAGAAAAAGGGTGAGGGGACACTTACGACATTCACACGGTGGGTGCAGGTCTCCTGACAACTCTCAGCCTCTTTAACAAGCTAGCATTCCCTTTAAACATGCCAGGCAAGAGGGTCTAGGATTGGCGTCTTGGGCAACATTCACACCACATGTTTTAAATGATGCCACTTTAAACAGCCATGGCTCCCCCAAAGGATTCTGGGAGCTGCAGTTTGCTAAGGGTGCTGGGAGTTGCGAGGAGATACCCCAACTCCCCTCGTAGAGACACAATTCCCAGAACGATTTAAAGATCAATCCCATGTCACAGGAAACGCTGGGAACTGTAGCTCTGGGAGGTAAACAGAAGTCTCCTAACCACTCTCTGCACCCTTTACAAACTACAGCTCCCAGGAATCTCAGTTTGAAACCATACCAAACCTTGCTTAGCTTGGCAAATGTGCTAGCAGTTGTATTAGGGTTGCCATATTTCAAAAAGTGAAAATCTGGATACAACACAGTTGCTGAACTTTTTTTGCAAGTGAAATCTTTCCACTTTCCGATGGCCGAATCCTGGCTATGTTTGGGAACTTCCGGACGTATGGCAACCCTTCTTTTATATCTGCTCAAGCCCAACAGTAGGCAGAGCCAAAGACAATGAGAGGCAGAGCCAACTGAAGTCTGGTTTTGCCCCCATACTGCTTCCTGCTGAGTTTGGAGTTTGGATTTGCTATCCCGCTTTATCACTACCCGAAGGAGTCTCAAATTGGCTAACATTCTCCTTTCCCTTCCTCCCCCACAACAAACACTCTGTGAGGTGAGTGGGGCTGAGAGACTTCAGAGAAGCGTGACTAGCCCAAGGTCACCCAGCAGCTGCAGGTGGAGGAGCGGAGACGTGAACCCGGTTCCCCAGATTACGAGTCTATCACTCTAACCACTACACCACACTGGGTCACGGTTCTATTGAGGGGGGAAATCAGATTAAGGAGGAGGAGGATGACAGCAAATTCTGGGCTGGTTACAAGTATGGTGTAGTAGTTAGAGTGTTGGACTAGGACCTCAGAGAGCAGGGTTCAAATCCCCCACTCGGCCACGAAGCTCCCTGGGTATGCCCTTGGGGGCCAGTCACTGTCTCTCTCAGCCTAACCTGCCTCAGAGGGTCGTTCTGGGGATTAAGCGAGGACAGGGAGAACCATGTATGCCACCTTGAGCTCCTTGGAGGGAACGTAGTAAGCAAATAAAAAGTGCATAGCCGAGCATGTAAGCTGCCCACGTGGGGTGGAAAGCCCAGAGAGAAAGTAAGCCAAGGGGCCTTTCCCCAGGAAATGGCTTCGGAGATCGTAGCCAAAACATGAATCACAAACACCCAGGGTGGTGTGTAAACAACAACAAGAAGAAAATATGAAACAGACGTAAACCCCCCCTCTCCTCCAAACGCGTGCACAAACACCCCCCCTCCATGGATCACAGTAAACTTGGCTCCACGCACCGTTTTCTTTTGATTTGTTTGGATACCACTTCAGCGAGCGCCAGGAAAAATCTGTCCGATTTGTCATAACAAACCAAAGGTAAACAGAAAAGCATTAGCCAATTAAGCAGGAATGTGGCGTCTTAGGACAGGGAGGTGGTGGCGGCTGCTCGTTGCCAACCAGGGCCGCTTTTCGGGAGGGAAAGACACAATAGCGGGGTTCGTGGGCAGAGGGCAGCGTCCCTGGGAAGCAAAGAGGGGAGTCTCACTGGACCCCATGAGCCGTTTGCAGTGGGACTCTTTGCGAGGGTTTAATGCCACCTGCCGCAGAGTTGGAAGGCCCAGACGGGGAGGGCAGGCGGCTGACAGATGCCCTCCCTGGGGACCTTGGCCTTACAACTTGGAAGGATGCCTAGGAAGCCCAAAGCCAGACCACAGAGAGAGAGAAGGCCAGGCCAGGTGGCTGAATGGGGCCTTTCCGCTTGCGTCTGATTTAACAGAGGCTTTCGGCATCCACTCCAGGGTAGGATACAAGGGGAGATTTATGGAGGGCTGGAAAAGGAGAATAAAAGTACCGTGGATGATTCTTTTTGGAGACTCAGCAAGCCAAGCTGCAGCATTGCAAGCCAATCCCCTGAATCTTCCTAGACTTTTTCCCAACCTTCACAAAATCCTCCAGAGGAGGTAGGGAAATGATTCTAGTCCATAAGAAATGCGCCTGGCCTACACTCAAGGTCAGTATCATCACAGAGCAGCACACTGAGGGCCTCAAAGGCAGAAATGAAACAGCAGAGGCATCTTGAAAACTTTTGCAGACTCCACAACTGGGAGGCAATAATGTAAGAATAACATTGCTGGATCAGACCCAGAGGCTGTTGAAGTCCAACATCCTGTTCTCACAGAGTGACATGAACGCAACAACAGCCCTTTCCCCATTTGTGATTCAACGGGTAAATTCAGGGATAGACTGCTCCTAAACTGGGAGGTTTCACATAGCCATTGTGACTAGTAGCCATTGATGAGGCTTCTCCTCCTCCATCTTTGCCATATCCCCTCTGAAAGCCATCTAAACCTGGCAATGTTCCCCACATGTTGCAGCCATGAGTTCCACAAGTGTTGGGTTGTGTGTCCTGAACGCCCCGGCCTTGAGTTTCTCTGGATTGACTCCCGAGTTGGAAAGTGTTACAGGAGAAATACTTCTCTTCCCCCCTCCCTATTAATCTGAAAAACAAGAGTTCCACACCATTTTTCACAAGTCGTATAAAAAGTGGAAGTCGAAGTGTTGGCAGGTTGCAGCATCCACAGTGGCTGTAGAGACTGATATAGGAGAGACATGTTTTCTTGCAGTTGGGGCAGAGGAAGGTGTCCAGTTGTGCTGCTGCAGATGCACCATGGCGTTTCTTCTCTCTGCACTCCTCCCAGCAGTCATTTCTCCTCCGGTCACTGCTACAGATACATGACCTGGCTGCCTATCTCCAGGCACTGTGGTCGTCTGCAAGGAATCCTACAGGGTAGGGTTGATGTTGCCAGCCTTCGTGTCACATTTGCAGACATTTCTGCAGCACAGAGTTGGTCTGCCAACGGGCCTGGTGCCTGAAGTACCTGCCATCTTCTATTCTGTGAACATGACCAAGCCAGTGTAGACATTGCTGAGACAGGACTGCAAACATGTTGGGAATCTGGGCTTGGGAGAGCTCATCTTTGTTTGAGTCTCTGTCCTGCCCTGTGGTGCTCAAAATCTTCCTGACGCAGCGCACATGGAAGGGCTTGAGGCATCGCTCCTGGTGGGTGTAAGTTGCCCACAACTCGCCTCCATAAAGCAGCATGCTCAAAACACAAGCCTAGTAGAGCTTCATCTTGCTATTGGTCGTCAGCATCAGATTCTCCCATACCCTTTTGGAGAAGTGACCTACTGCCGTAGCTGCCTTGCCAATACGCTTGTCCAGCTCACCACTGATAGAGAAGTTGCTGGTTATGGTGGAGCCCGAGTAGACAAAATCATCTATCAAATCAAGTGTGTGGTCACCAATGCTGATGTGTGGAGGTGCTGATCCAGGACGTTAACTACACAAGAAAACAAATGCCACGGAGCAGACCTAGAAGGCACGTGTATAGAAAGTAGCCCAAGGCACAAAGGTAGACATTTACCTTCATTGCTCCACTCACTTTCCCCTCTGGCCTCGCCCACCACTGGCACGTGGCCCTTGGAAGGTTTCCCAGATAGAAATGTGGTCCTCAGATTGAAGAAGGTTCCAGAACATTCAGATTGACTTTCTTTTCCTGATCCAGCGAGGAAGTCCCCACATTCAGATATTACAAACATATTCCTAGCCTGGTTACTTGGGAGGCAATTGGTACTTGTCACAGGCAACCAAAAGCCACTTTATAAAATATAGCCAGCCTCCTAGGTCTGATTGAGTGCATGGAAGCAAAACTCCCCAAGATCCAAGGGTGAACTGACAGCTAACCCCTTAAATTTTCAGATATGCAATACCCAGGTCTGGAGGAACTGGGGAGAAGCTACAATTCTCTCTCTCTCTCTCTCTCTCTCTCTCCCCGTTCCCCTCCCCCCAAAGATAATTAAAGTCAGTACATTCCGGATTCAAAGAGGCTCTTGCAAGCTCTGACAATCCCGGCCTATAGCAGAAAAGCAGGCAGGCAACAGTTGGAGCCAGAAGGTCTATTGAATGCATCCAGACACCGTCTGGCGTGCTGGATCCCAGCCCGTTCCCTTGACTCCAGAGGCCCCCAGGATCCTAGATCTGGATTTGTCAAAACAGCTCTGGGTCTAAAAGAATAGCAGCAGTTAGCACCTCCTGTCTAAGGAGGCTTATTAAAAGGTGGTTTTTAAAATATATCTATCTATCATCTATCTATCTATCTATCTATCTATCTATCTATCTATCTATCAGCTCAGTGATTCTGATGTACTCACCCACTTGAAAGCAAAATTTCCTTCTCTCCAAACCGGAAAAATCTTCCGTTCCCCCTTCTCATGGAAGCAAACAGGTGATGGCGAGTTGGGATTCTGATCAAACTCATTTTGGGCCCCCAGGTGAACACCCCACTTTGCGGTGCTAGCACCCACCTGACTCTGCAGAGGAAAAATCTGGGAAACAACTTCACTCTAGAGCCTCTCCAAAGGGAATCAAGATGAGGAAGCTTCATTCAAGTTAATTGAAAGAGAGATATTATATTATGGTGGATTTTTCAAAGGCAGTCTGTCATCGGAAGGGGATTCTGGTCTAATCCCCACCCACCCTTGGCTTTTATCAGGACAGGGTGACGTTTCCTCACAAATCCTTCTCTAGACAAGAAGGAAATTTACCAGAACTCTGGTTTAGAAATGCATGAAAAGTGTCTTGGAGGAACAGTGCAATCTACGGGAGTCCCCTGACCTGGGAGACCCAGGAGACCAAAGTTCAAATGCCCACTTGGCCACACAACTTGATGGGTGACCTTGGACCCCTCACCTTCCCACAGCCTCAGCTTCTCACAGGGTTGTTGTGAGAATAAAATGGGGAGGAAGAGAACCACAGCCACCACCCTGGAGGACACAGTGGAGTTATGAATGCAATGTTTTTATATATAAAAAAGAACTGGACCCTCAGAGCTTTGATCTTGCCAAAGCAGTTCCCGGCCACCATCTTCCTGCATCAGAATTCACTGCGTAGCAAAGGAGGCGTTTTGTGCGCTACGGAACATCTTTTCCCTCAAATCCGACAGTGGGAGTAAGCGAGGGAGGCTTTTGTTCAAAGTAGGGCAAGTTCATTCATCCCTGCTGTGCGCCGTTTCTCTTTATCCCCATTCCCTCCTTTCAAGCTCAAAAGGGCCTCTGAAAAGGCAGGATCCACAGCTGGCTCCAAACTCACCTGCTAGCAAAAAGAGACAGGCCTACCACAGGGAAGAAGAGTGGGGGAAAACTGCAGCCCTGCGGCAGGAACTGACCGGTAACACCCACAGGCTACACTCAGAGCATCAAAGTTTATTGGGGAGAACACACACACACACACACACACACACACACACACACACACGATTTTAGAGTTTGATTTGGCTCTGTAACTGGAATATTGAGGGAAAGGGACATAGCTCAGTGGAACAGCATTTGCCTTGTGTACAGAAGGTCACAGATCTGACTATAAGGCAACTTCCTATATTCCTAATCAACCAGTCTTTAATAAAGAACCATGAGGACCAGAACCCTGGTTCATTTCCAGGGGAACAGCTGTTGCTCAGGGATACAGCATGGGGAAGGTCCCAGGTCAAACCCTCATATCTCCACATAGGGCTGGGAATGTCCCCCATCTGAAAACCTGGAGAGCTGTTGCCAGTCAGTGCAGACAACCCTGAGCTAGACAGAACAATGGTCTGACTTTGCATAAGGGAGTCTCTTCTGTTCTGTGGGGGAAAGAACCACAGTTGTTTTGTTTATGTTTTTGCTATCCTGACCACAGCTATTTGGGGATCATTAAGACATTAATTATTCCCAGAACATAATTTTATCAGGAAATCCAAGTGCTTCTAGGTAACTTCTGGTCCTCCTGGGTCACAGAAATGTGACCAGAATGGCAAAGAATTTGTAATTTTCCTCTCTCTTCACTATTTAAACTAGAACAGCTGTTTTTGTTTGTTGGTTTTGTTTTGTTTGTTTGCTTGCTTGCTTGACCTTGAGCCTAGCTGAGTGTTCCCAACAATAAAATAAAATGAAATGTACCCAAGGGCACCAGGCGAATAACACAACAGGAATCTGCATCCCCTACTTAAATTCTGAAGTGGTACAATTCCAAGGAAGGACTGTACCATTTAATGCACTGGGTATCCTTCCTTCTCCATTTTCAACCTGTAAAATGGAGAACAATGCAGCCTACTTCACAAGGGTGTTGCAAACTGGGAAAGGGAAAGACAAAAGTACATTACAAGTGCTTCATCATCAATAAGACGTTGAGATCCAATCTCACACTGAATTTAAGAAAGAGGCAATCGTCACCTGTAGAACTGTTCAAGACTAGAAGTTTCCCAAGAGTTAAGAACACTTATATAAGCCTCCTAGCCAATCAGGGATCCAAACTAGGAACCAGCCAATCAGGGAGCCAAGCTAGAAACCAGCCAATCAGGATTCCTTGCTGGAATCTAGCCAATCAAAATATATCAGCAGGGCCTGAAAAAGGTGGGAAAGTTCCACCCTTTCTTGGTCCCGAACAATGAAATGAGTAAGAAGCGCTGTCGCCTTTGGGCCAAAAGGAACTGGATTTGAGCCAACGGATGCCAGTAGCATGAAAATGCAAAGAGCTGAGACTGCAAAAAAAAAGGGGCGAAGTTGCAGAAGAGGAAGGCACTGGATTTAAAAAACCAACCCCATTAGCCAAGGAGGAACAACGCACCGTGATACAGTAGTTGTTGGCTATGGAGATCCCTGGGTTGGCGGGCCGAGAAGGAAACGAGCTGACATGAGTCCAAAGCCCACAGAAAACCCTGCTAGCGCTTTTCAAAACAAAGCCGTCAGCCTCTGTTCTAAAAAGGAAGAAGAAAAAAATCTCCCACTTACCGGAACTGGGAGGAACTCCAACTCAGCAGTGGCCAGGGAGAATGAGGCAATAAAAAAGGACATTACAGAGAGCCTGGCTGAATCAGATAAAAATTCAGCTTTCTATTCCCAGACTGGACAGGCAGATCCCCCAGTCCTGGGAAGCTCACAATCAGGACATCAGTAGTGTAGTGGCAAATTCAGCAGTGCAGGGTCCGTTCACGATAGTCACAGCCATGCCCCTTCTAAGTTTATAAAACTCTCTAATAACTATAATAATTAGGGGTGCATTGCAATGCTTGGTGCAGATCTCCATGTGTTTGCTGCCTTTCAGCTAGATCTACTGTTTTCTGTGCAGGCACATGGGCAAATGATTTGAAGTGATCAAATACCTTCTTTCAGTGGGACTCAAGTTGTGTTTTCCATGAAATTCCCTTGTAGGGAACAGAACTTGCACTCTCCATTCCCTTGAAAACCCCTTGTGTTTTCAGTGTTCGTAAATGCTTAGGTTTGCAGCATACAGAACAACTCCTTCTCAGTGTTCTTCCCATGCACCATCTCCAGAGTGACCCTAGGAGCCCGTCCTCAATGACTGGCTCACCTCCTTTCACTCTGTTTGGCTCCAATCAGTTACAAAGGAAAAGGAGACATAGACTTCTTAGTGGCTAATAAGCTCCCATTCCATGCTGTCTAGGCTCTAAGATGCTGAAGATGGGGACCCTGCTGCAGAATAGTATCAAGAGTTTTCAACATCCTGGATCACTGTAGGACATGAAGGCAATAGCCATCTTCAGCTGGAGGTTCCATTTACCCCTCATGACTAGTATACATTACAGAGGACACAGCTAAGGCCAAAGAAGGGTGAAACCAGCTCTGTGAGGGGGGGGAAAGCAATATTTCAAAAGGTCACCATTCCCCCATCAAGACCTCTCATTTTGCCTTTACTGATCCAGTAATGCTCTATATCACTTACCGTATTTTTTGCTCTATAAGACTCACTTTTTCCCTCCTAAAAAGTAAGGGGAAATGCGCGTGCGTCTTATGGAGCGAATGCAGGCTGCGCAGTTATCCCAGAAGCCAGAACAGCAAGAGGGATTGCTGCTTTCACTGCGCAGCGATCCCTCTTGCTGTTCTGGCTTCTGAGATTCAGAATATTTTTTTTCTTGTTCTCCTCCTCCAAAAACTAGGTGCGTCTTGTGGTCTGGTGCGTCTTATAGAGCGAAAAATACGTATTTAGGCATTTGTACACTGCTTTTCCATGACACAGCTGTCAGGGTTTCCCCCTCTCCCATTCAATCCTCACAAAAACCCTGCAAGGTAGGAGAGGATGAGAGAAAGTGACTGGCTAAAGGTCACCCCAACTCAGCATCTTGGCCAAATGGAGATATGAAACTCAGGGCTCATAGACTCTAGTTCAACACTCTAACACTACACCACACCGGCTTTCTGTTGCTTAAAATAATGCAGAAAGTACTGTACTCTTTTTTCAAGGGGTATAGTTCATTTTTAATTTGCAGGATGTTCCATTAAAGCAGAGGGCAGTTCAACAATAACGCACATCACACACTCGTGGTGTGAAGTGATACAGTCCTACTCTCACACCTCAGGATTCTACCATCTCAGGCACCGAGTCTCAGAGCAAGTTCCTGAGATGTATGCAGGCCTTTTGATGTTTGCCACCAGCCCATCCTACTTTTCACCCCCCACCTCCCTCAACCATCTCTGCTCCTGTCCAGGCTTACAGGATTTCTTGTACATTCAGCAGATGTTAAGTTAGGACATGCTCAGGCAGAAAAAAGAAGTTTGGGTTTAATTTGCTCTAATTATTTGCATTCTTGGCAGAGGCTCCCAGCAAGCCAGCAACAGAGCAAGACGTCTGTTCGAAAAAAGGAAAAGGGAAAAAAGAGGTCCTTTTGCAAAAAAAATGCCAGAGATCCACCCCACCACAAAGATGGGCTACAGCTTTGCCTGCAGATGTGCTCTCCCCTTTAAGTCATTCACCCCAAAAATGTGTTTCAGGGTTGCAACAGAACTTGCACCCCCCCCACACACAAGACGTGCATGAACAAGAACCAAACCTGAGGTTGTGGTTTTTTTTAAAAAAAGCCCAAATAATCTATCCAGGTGGAGGTTGCCCACTGTGTTTCTGTATGATCTACTATTCTGGGCTTACCTTCTTTTAGTCAGTGTCTGCTGGGAGCAAGGCAGGCAGCGGATCTTTATCTTCTGCATCAAGTGCCGTTGGATCATGTAACCACTCTCAATGGACAGGAGCAGCAGCAGAGTTTGCCCCTTGTGTCTCTGCATGAGTTGCTGCTGTAGGTCCTAAAATATCTACACTGGCTCTCTTTACATTTCTAAGCACAGTTCAAAGTGTTGGTGCTGACCTTTAAAAGCCCTAAACGGTTTCGGCCCTGTATACCTGAAGGAGCGTCTCCACCCAGTCTGGACATTGAGGTCCAGCTCTGAGGACCTTCTGGCAGTTCCCTCACTGCGGGATATGAAGTTACAGCGAACAGGGCATAGGACCTTCTCGGTAGTGGCGCCCGTACTGTATTGGGGAACGCCCTCCTATCAGATATCAAGGAAATAAACATCTATTTGACTTTTAAAAGACGTCTGAATGCAGCCCTGAACTGGGAAGGTTTTTTATGTTTAATGTTTCACTGTGTTTTTATATTATGTTGGAAGCCGCCCAGAGTGGCTGGGGCAACCCAGTCGGTAGGGCGGACTATAAGTAATTAATAATAATAATAATAATAATAACTAGTTGGGGCCCTTTGGAGGTGGATAATTCTCACTCTTTCACACTATGGAATCAATTATGTTGCTGCTAACCAGGAAGGGAAACTGGAAAATTAATGAATACCATTTTGTTCCCAACCTGTGTTTTCTACCCCAATAATCAGCCTGCAACCCGTCCTTTTTATGAACCATTTTCATGTATGTTTTATGCTCTACATTTCCACCCCAAGGAAAGCTTGTCACGGTGCATGGGTTAGCCTGTATTTTGTCCTCTCAACAACCCTGCAAGGCAGGCTAGGCTGAAAGATGGCCGAGAGTCACACAGCCAGCCAGCATCATGGCCAGCACAGTGTGGTGTAGTGGTTAGAGTACCAGGGTTCAAATCCCCTCTCAGCCATGAAGCTCACTGGCTGTGACATTGGGGCCAGTCATGTCCTCTTCCGGCCCAGCCAACTTCACAGGGTTGTTGTGCGGATTCAACGAGGAGGGGGATAACTACGTATGCGTCACCTTGAGCTCCCTGGAGAAAATGGCGGGATACGGATGCCATCAATAAGTGGCCAAGAGGGGATTTGAACCGGGTTTGGCCCACATTGCCTTCACCTGTCAGCAAACCTGACTTGAAAACGGGTTCGCTGGCTTAGGAAAGCGTCACCCTTTCTCTCTCCCCTGCCAAATTTAAGGATCAGAGAAGGAATTTCCTCAGTCGCAGAGATGCTAACGGATGTGTTTTTTCTTTCTGCCGGAGGGCTAAGGTGCGCCCAGAGAGCCATTCCCTCCCTACTCCCCGGAGGATCTGAAGCGCCATAAAACCACTTCGCATGTTTCCGGCTGGCTCGTAAAAAGCAGCAGCTCCGAGTCTGACATGAAAGAAACCCCTCAGGAAACAGCCTCTCTTCGCCCTCCCCTCAGCCACCCGGACCACCGGAGTAACACGGAGGCAACACAATGGCTCATCCTGCGCCTTGTTCCCAAGGGGACGGGCGGGAAGGAAACTTGCCACGTAATGGGACCTCTTGTACCAGAGGTGGACAACCCCCTCCGCCATTATTGTTCTGTTGAGGGCCACATGCCGGTAGTGAGGAGGGCCAAAGGCAGTAGTGCAATATCAAAGGGCAGGGACACACCTTTCTATTATTCCACCAGTTCTACTTTTCCTCCCTCCCTCCTGTTTATCACCTCCTTTTCTCCCTCTCTCCCCATCACCCCTTCTTTCCGTCACCCCCTTTTCTCTCTCAACCATCGCCTTCCATCGCTCCTTTTTCCTTCTATTCACTCTTTTCTGTCACCCCTTCTCTCTCTCTCCTTTGCTATCCCTTTTCTCTGTCCTCCTCTCTCCATCAACCCTTTTTCTCTCTCACCCCTTCTCTATTTTCCCTTTCACCATCACCCCTTCTCCCCACTCCCAACCTTTTTCTCTCACACCTCTTTCCATCAACCACTTTTTAATGTCACCCCTTAGAGAGAAGTCACCTGTTTCTCTCTCCGTTACCCTTTCTCCCCACACCTTTTTCTCTCCATCAACCCCTTTTTCTCTCTCTGAGGAAAACTCGGCACAGGGGTGCCATTTTGAGGAGCAACCCTGCTTCACCTCAACCAGATTCTGCCCTTAATTTGTCAAGGAAAAGAGCCCAAAGCAGCCCTTAAGCACACGCTCAGTCGCCACAAAACCAATCCGTTCCCTCACCAAAATCCATGTTTTCTGGCTTTTATATACACGCACACACCCCACCACGACGACAGATACAACCACAGATATTTTAACTGCCTCTTCAGGAAACGCCGTCGCCTTTGTCCGGCTGAAATATGAACGCCATCCAAAAAAAATATGGCCATGTCAAGAATTTTCTCCTCACAACGAAGCTTCACTCAATTTCCTCCCTGACACAGCCTGTCAGGGCATAAATAAATAAATTTCTCTCCCTCGCTCCCTTAAAAAAAAAAGAAGAAAAATCTCACAGGGCCTAGGGTGAAGACACCAGGTTGAAAAACGCAGGGGCTTAAAATTCAATTAAGCGAAATAATAAACGAAAGATGAGCCCTACTCCTTCGATGGTTTCCTGAAAAAATAGTTAGGCTGCAATCTGATACATGCTGACCCTGTGAGTAGCTCTCATTGAGCTCACTAGGACTTACCTCTGAGCAGAACAAGGCAGGTTTTCTTGTGACAGCAGCACATTTCTAACAAGAAATTATTTTGACGTTTTAAATGTTTTTAGAGGCTTTTGAATACTTTCAGGCCGCCATTTTTTAAATTCAAAATGGTGTCCTATCGTATCCAAACACAGATGAAAACGTGCTCCTTGGCTTCAGGAACCATCGTACAAAATTCAATTACGGTATTTCAAAAGGTGTCCAAATGCACAGAGAACAGGCAGAGAAACAACTTCTCAAAATGTAGAGCATGCTCCAGTTTTATTTAAGTACACTAATAACTTGTTTTGCTTCATTTTTGTAATGGGACTCACAGCTCCTTGCCACTTTTTCTTTTTCTTTTTTTGCTGACCATGGCAGCCATTTTGTGCTGACACCCCAAAACAGTTATGAGTGCTGGGCACCTCATTTTTTACCAGGAATAAGTAACAACAACAACACTAGCTTATAAATAATCTCTTAACAACATCTCTACATCTCTTCATTTTCTTGTCTTAATTTACATGTCAGAAGCGTAAACTCAAAATCTCCTAACTGTTCCTTTCTTCCTTTTCCATCGCCCTTCTTCTCCCCAGAAGCTAAGAGCGAGTGGTACGCATGGTCCCCCTCCATTTTAACTTCACATTGACCCAGCAGAGCAGGGCAGGCTGAGAGCAAAGTGAATGACGTTAAGACCACCCAGTGAGCTTCTTCGTGGCTCCAGTGGGGATTTGAACTCGGGTCTCCCTGAATCCTGCCCGATAACTAGAGGTGGAGAACCTATGGCCCTCCGACTACATTGCTGGACTACAACTCCCATCATCCCTCACCACTGGCTGTGCGCAGGGTTCCCCTCCCTGCTCTAAGCACTACAGAACAGTGTCCAGGCACAACGAAAACTGTACTAAGCTATCCTGAATTGGTGCCTTCTCGGTTAAGGATGTTAAGAGATGGTCCGCTGGGTCAGCCCGAAGTCCCCTGCGACGAAGGCAACTCCCGTTTGCTAAATGAAAGCAGGCAAAGTTTGTATGGAGGAGAAACCTAAAGTTGAAAGGGGATGCAGAGTCTTTATCTCACAAAAAGGGCCCCCTCTTGTTAAAGCAAGTGTAATAAGATCTTGCCATCATTTTGGCACCAGATGTTTGCTTTGGCCGGGATGCTCTCGGAGGAAACTCAGGCCAAGCCCATTCCGACGGGGTGCTGATGCCTTTAATAGGCTCTAAGCCTCGATAAAGGAATTTGTTCCGGATAATCCATATTTCTCCAGTTCTTGCTGTTAATATTTCACAGGGACAATAGGAAGGGTTTGCTTTCCTGTTGATCAGAGAGGAATCTGTGAGAAGGATCAGAGGTGTCTCCTTAGGCGTGGTGGGTTTCAGGTGACCTTCCAGACAGCAGAGAGAAAACAGCCTTATTCTGGAATCAGACCACTGGGACTATTTAGCTCAATACTGTCTACACTGATTGGCAGTGGCTTTCCGGAGTTTCTGATAGGAGCATTTCCAAGCCCTATCTGGAGATGCTGGGGGCTGAACCCAGGACCTTCAGGTGCTCTGCCTCAAAGCTATTGTCTTCCCCGCAGAGGGATGCAACTGTTGCATGTGATTGGGAAACATCTCTGCTAGACTACTGTCTCTTTGGGGCTGCCCTTGAAGACTGTTTCAAAAGCATAAGTGGGCCTAAACACTGCTGCTATAGCATTGTTCGGGGCAGCTTACCTGGAGCATACAATTTGCGCACTATACAGACTTCCTATCCATTTCTGGGCCTGATCCTTTTAAATCCCCAAAGACGGGATCTCAAAGACAATTGCTCCCACACAATACTGCCTTCACATGAAATCTTTGTGGGAAGATCTCCTGTGTCCCACCATTACCTGAGGCCATGTTCGCATGTTGCAATAAAAGCACTATTATACCACTTTGAAGAAGCTTGGGAACTGTAGTTTGTTAAAGGTGCTGAGAGTTGTTAGGGAACCCTCATTTCTCTCAGGGAGCTACAATTCTCAGAATACCCTGGCAATGGGAATTGATTGTTAAACCACTATGGGAACTGTAGTTCTGCAAGAGGAATGGGGTCCCTTAACAACTCCCAGCACCCCTAGCAAAGTACAGTTCCTAGAAGCAGCAAACAGGGATATAGAGTGTGACAGAGTGAACCCACAACATGGGAATGTGACTTCTCTCAGAAGCGGTGGTTGCAAACCTCAAGAAAAACTAGTGCCTTATTCTTATTTATATATTTTAAAAATGAGGTTATTTTCCAAAGCTCAGCAAGAACAGGTTAAAAACCTCCTGGCTTGCCTGAATGGCCCGTAAAACGATACCCTCGCTCTCCCACTCCCTCCCTGAGCAGTGGGATCCCGTCTTATTTGCCTTTTCGTGCAGGATTATTGCAGAGAAACCAAAGCCATCTGCCTGAGCGCTGCGTCAGCTGCGGGGGAAACCGAGGCCCAGATGGACTGGCATCCACGGCCGCTCCCTCTGGCTGCAGCCCTGGTGCTTCCATGTATGGAAATCCCAGCCGGAGGGATGAGCTCCATCGAAGGGCAAAGAGAGAGAGAGAGAGAGAGAGAGAGAGAGAGAGAGAGAGAGGAGAGAGCCTCAGGGAGAGACCTGCATTCAGTCAGTCTTCAACACGAAACATTTGGGGCCAAAAATAGAAGACAAAACTATCCCAGCAAGGCTCCCGTCACCAAGATCTTCCCTTTTTCTCCCCATGCAGAAGAGTTTAGGAAGAGTCCGTTGGATTAGGCCAATGGCACATCTAGTCCAGGGACTCTCTGCCAGGCCACACCAGTCATGAACCCTGATTTGCGGCCAAAAGAAGCATCTGAACTCTGGTAATGCTCCTAGCTTGGCCTGAATGGAGGGGGTGTGGCCAGTAAAAATTATCAATTGTTGCTCCACCCACTTTTGCTTCGGGTCCTGCCCACTGGCATGTGGCCCTCGGAAGATCACCTAGGAGAGAATGCGGCCCTTGGGTTGAAAATGTTCCCCACCCTCTGCCCTAATAGGAACAGCGCAGGCTTGGGTTCAAATTCCCATTCGCTCGGCACAGTCGTTCTTCCACAGCCGAGCCTGCCTTGTTGTGAAGATAAATTGGGAGGACAGCACCTTCTCGGAGGATGGTGCAAAAACGACACAGCCCAGTTAACTGCCTACAAGGGAACAAGGAACTGGGTGGGAATTGGGAAGGCCAAATGCTCATTTAAGTCTTCCTTCCTAATGCAGATAATCACAGAATTGTAGAGTTAGAAGGGTCATTTAGTCCAAAGCCCAGCAATGCATCTACCTTCTTGAACCATATTTCCATTGCGCTTTTCCCCATTCTTGTTCAGACGCAGGATATCCTTTCTCATTTAAAATAATAACAACGGCTGCTCGGTCCTAAATCTTTTCAAACCATCATATTTCCGTACAAAACACCAGCTACATGTGCCAGTTACGGGACAAAGACGCAAGGAAGCCTCGCCGCAGCCATAAAACGCAACCGCACGCGTTATTCAACCCCCCTGCACTGCTGCCATTAACAGATTTAATACGTTGATGTCTATTTTTCCGTTGCATCAATGCCATCTCCCTGCTCCTTCCACCCGCCTCGCATTGCAATGGAGCAATCATTTTTAACAAGGCTTTATATCAGCCTCCAGGAAAGCAGGGACATACAGCGATTTTCTAGGCGGGCATCATGTTCTGTGTGGGGACAAAGGAGCAATAAATCACCCCCACCCCGCCCCCTATGTCTTTGGGAGATGGCCTTGAATCGCAGCAGACACAACCGGCCTCAGAGGCAATGTCCTCACGCAAGACAATTTCTCTCCTGGAAAATCTCCCACAATGCACCCTCCCAAGGCCATGGAAGCGAATGCCGGAGGCGGCTGGTTTGGTGGCGGCGCTGCATTGGCCGCGAAAGCTCAACAGAGGTTGCTTTAAAATAAAATTTAACGACCCACCAAGTCATTTGCCCAGATGCTGTGGGCAAAAACTGGGCGTGAAAATTGGTACCCAGGTTACCAAAGAGTTCCAAAAATCTCTTTCAGGGCTAGGAAACGACTATGGTTTTATATAAATAATAATAAGTCTGGTGTGGTGTAGTGGTTAGAGTGTTAGGAACTGGCAGACCAGAGTTCAAATCCCTACTTCTCCATAAAGTTCAATTGGGAGACCTTGCTCAAGCTACTGTCTCTCCCAGCTTAACCTACCCAAAAGGGTTGTTGCGTGGCGAGGAGGGGGAGAGCCATGTACATGAGCTCCTTGTAGAAAAAGGTGGGATATAAATGCAATAAAATAAATGCATCTCCATCCATGTTTTTTTTCCAAAAGAATGACTCTGGACAGACTCCCTTCTCCTGATAGCCTTAACCCCCTAGAGCAGGGGTCAGCAAACTTTTTCAGCAGGGGGCCAGTCCACTGTCCCTCAGACCTTGTGGGGGGCCGGACTATATATATATTTTTGGGAGAGGAGAATGAACGAATTCCTATGCCCCACAAATAACCCAGAGATGCATTTTAAATAAAAGCACACATTCTACTCATCTAAAAACACACTGATTCCCAGACCATCCACAGGCCAGATTTAGTAGGCGATTGGGCCAGATCCAGCCCCTGGGCCTTAGTTTGACTACCCATGCCCTAGAGACAGAAACAAATTAGACAACGGAGGATAATGAGAAAAAACGAAGCAGGGGTAGACTCTGATTTCACTTGCACCAGGGGTTGGGTAATGTTTCCCAGCCCAAGGGCCACAATTGCTGTGGAGCAACCTACTGGGGGCCACATGCCAAAGGCAGAAGCGGGTGAAGCAACAAATGCCCTTTTTTTTTTAACCTTTGTAGAATAGGCTGCTTTTTACAAACACTCACAAGACAAGAGCGTTTCTCTTCTCCATCCAAGCGCCCAAGAGGGATGCTCAGAGTTCAAGGACATAGGGCAGTTGGGAGGTGTGGCCTTGGCACAAATACAGAGGCCGTTGTTAGCCAAAATCTGCTTGTCTGCAGATTCCCACCCGCTGCTTCTAATCTGCCCTCAAGCTTAATTACCAGAGACGTAATGAGGAGTATATAGCGAGTGTGGACTAAAAGCTGCAGATCAAGCCCTTTCTTTCAGCTGGCAGCATTTTGCCCCCGCAATTGAAGGCACAACTGCCCCCCACCACCACCACCACAGTGTGGCCCCAACAGAAAGATCAGGTTGAACCAAGATTCCTGCATTGCAGGGGGCTATGATTCTAAGACGATGACAGGGTTAAAAATTAAAAAGAAACAGGGAGGGGGACATGGACTGTTGCATTTGCTGGTTCACCGGCACTTCCTCCTTCCCAAACGGTTTTTCCAGAGGTTTTATACCACAATGGATAAAAAAATGTTGGCATTTCCCTGCTGAATCAAACTGCTCCAGGATCTTGCCTCTGGGCGACAATCTCAAGCAGGTCCCCTCTAAGTTGTTGCCTGCCAAACTCCCCCACCCTAGCCATCTGGAACTGAGATGCACTGCCTCTAAACATGGGGTCTTCCCTGAGCTGCCACATATCGGGTTGATGGACTTGAGTCTTTCACATACTAGGAACTCCGCCCCCCACAAAGCCATGTAATCTGGGCAGTGGCTGGGGATGGGGGGGAGCTGAGAACCATTTACATCCTGCAATAACCAGCTCCATATGTTAATGATGTTCCTACGCAGAAAGGTCCCCTTTTGCCAGTTTTCAAATCTTCTGCCCACCGCAGTATGGTGTGGGTCTGCCTGCCTGCCTATATGTGCTATTTAGCCTCTCTTAAACGGTGCTCATAAGGGACGCGGGTGGCGCTGTGAGTTAAACCACAGAGCCTAGGGCTTGCTAATCAGAAGGTCAGCGGTTCGAATCCCCACAACGGGGTGAGCTCCCGTTGCTCGGTCCCTGCTCCTGCCAACCCAGCAGTTCGAAAGCACCTCAAAAAGCAAGTAGATAAATAGGTACTGCTCCGGCGGGAAGGTAAACGGCGTTTCCGTGCGCTGCTCTGGTTCACTAGAAGCGGCTTAGTCATGCTGGCCACATGACCCGGAAGCTGTACGCCGGCTCCCATGGCCAATAAAGCAAGATGAGCGCCACAACCCCAGAGTCGGTCACGACTGGACCTAACGGTCAGGGGTCCCTTTACCTTGACCTTCAAACAGTGCTCATAATTTTGTTGTATCTCATCGTGTGCCTCAGATGCCTTATTACCCTTCAAACCAGGGTTTGGGGAACTTCTGCAAATGTGGCGGCCCCTACTCCAAGCCTACTGTCCCCAGGCCCCTTAGTGCTCCTGATCCACACCCTTGAGGGTTTTTGCCTGGCTGGGAATGTGGCCTCGAACTCTTGAATGCGCCTCTTTGCTTGCCTGCACGGAGGACAGAGAGCGTAAGCCTACATATACATTTAAAGCTTACAGTTACATTAGTGGCTCTGCTCACTTTTCCCTTTGCTCTCGCCCTCAAATAGAATGTGGCCCCTGGGAGCTTTCCCAGAAGGGAATTTGGCCCCCTGGTCTGAAAAAGGCCACACCCTCTTGCTCTACGCACCAGGTAGCTGCGATTTGGCACCAGTTCCAAATGTAGCTAAGAGTTCGTGAAGCGACTTTAAAAAAATAAAAATCCCTGGTTCATCCTCAATAACTAGTGGTACAAAATTGTGAAGGCTTGTCTTCAGCTTTCTTAAAGCCAGACTTGGGGGGGGGGGGGAGAGAGAAACGAACTAGGCTGCTGCCACCTTTAAAAAGATGCTTATGTAATTTAACACACACACAAAAGCATCAGCAGACGGGAATCCAGACGTCATCTCACAGACCACAGAAGCCACAAAGTGCTGTCGAGCGATCAGGTTGTGGGCTGCAGAGAGTCTTAACACTTCCGTTCCTTTGTGTAGGTTACAGAGCCAAAGGGATGTGCTTTGGTTTGTTTGTCAAGTTGCTAAGCATCTCGCTCTCTCCAGATCTTGAACCCCAAGCCAAAGACGGGTCTCTTGGTGCCACTGGAAGTGCCAATGTGGCCAAGTGTCAGGTATAGTGGGACTTGTAGCCTCGCAACATCCAGGAGGGCCGCAGGATTCCCGGTTCCCTAGGTTACAGTAGGGATGTTCGCACATTACATTCAACCAGTGTACAACCTATGTATACAAACAGATGAGCTGTGCCCTTGCACAGGTATTCACATGTAACTTTCCAACGAGTCTATAGCCTGCATACCTGTGTACACGATAATTGAACAGTAAAAATCAACACAGGTACACTCATTCCCACTTGTGTATGTGTTAGCCACCCTATTCCTGCGGCTGTACAGTCGTACCTTGGTTCTCGAACGCCTTGGTAGTCGTACGTTTTGGCTCCCGAATGCCAAAAACCTGGAAGTGTTATGGTTTTCTAACATTCTTTGGAACCCGAACATCCGACACAGCTTCTGATTGAGTGCAAGAAGCTCCTGCAGCCAATCGGAAGCTGTGTCTTGGTTTCTGAACATTTTTGGAAGTCGAACGGACTTCCGGAACGGGTTACATTTGAGAATGAAGGTACGACTATAGTTTGTTTTAACTTTTTAATACTGAGTGGTTTAGCTATCAATTGCTCTTCGCAGGGAACTCTGAGAATTCTAGCTCTGGGAAGGGGATATAGGGTCTCCTAACAACTCTCAGCAGCCTTAACAAACTACAGCTCCCAGAATTTAAAAAAAAAATTTTTTTGGTGGTGGGGGAGAAGCAAAGACTGTTTAGAGTGGTACCGTAGCCCTTTAAATGCATGTGCCTATAGTCTAGCAACATCCAGAGAGAACCATCAAGGCAATACCTGACCCAGGGCAACAGAAAAATAACGATGCAAACTTCATTTTTTCTTATGTCAATTATCCTGTGCAAATTATCTCAAACGGTTTCCACGCACCCCAGGAAACCTGTTAACAGCCATGGATTTTACAACCATAAAATCCCTTCAGCAAGGACCTCTCCAAAGGACATCTAATGGGGTAAGAGAGGGGAAGCAAAATTAGCTGAGCGAGATCTGGGTTCAAACTGTACCATTCCCATCACACATGAGGAAGGACCGGAATCTTGGCTTTTTTTCAGGAGAAATGTAGCTCAGTGAGACAGCACCTACTTTATGCACTAAACATCTGATGGGTCAATCGCCAGCATCTCCTGGCAGGCCTGGGAGAGAAACCTCTTGCAAGATACGCTGGAGAGCTGCTGCCAGTCAGTGTAGACAATACTGAGCCAGATGGACAAAGGAAAAGACCGCTCACGTTGTTCCTATGTTACTGAAGGGAAGGAAACGCCACCTCTCTGGCGGTGTCACCGAGAGGGCAAAATAGACATAGATGTTCATCATCGTATCCGTTTGGCTCCGATTCAAATTTTGAAAAATGCAAGATGAGGAAGCCATAAGAAAAATGTTTGGGCTTTCTAGCGGCTTCCTCGGGATGCGAGGGGAGGGGAGTTAACAGCTTTTCTGCCACTTGCAAACGCCTCAGAAAGCCTCTTTTCTTTCCAAAAATTCCCACCCCCAAGACCCACTTGGCCTAAATTCACGCTGGATGTTGAAACCTCATTTCCTATGATATTCTCTTCTCTGTTGCTGCCAGCTGATACGAACACATTGCTGAGATTTCTCAAGGATCTCACAACAGAATATATATATATATATATATATATATATATATATATATATATACACACACACACACACACACACACACACAGAGAGAGAGAGAGAGAGTGTGTGTGTGTGTTTGTATGAAAAAACAGAACCATTGTTCAGATCCTTGCCCCGGAAGAATGAACTGGCCTGCTTTTCGAATGCAAAAAAAGGGGGTGTTTCCTTTCATCTCAACAGCGAGATCAAAATGCCACAATGGGAGAATCGACCCAGAAGATGCAGAGCCTATCATCTCCTAAGCTACTCTGCAGCCTCCAAAACAGCCTAGTGACAAAACACACACACACACAAAAATACCCAGTGGGTTGCGGCTGTCACATTGTCACCCAATGAGCCATCCTTTTGTGGAAAGGCTACACAAACTTGACCCCAAAGGGGTCCTACAATCAGCTCTACTCCAATACTGTATACACCTCACTGCAGAAAGTATTGAAGATTTTCCAAAGCTGTTCACCTGCCTGCCCTTCTCGGCTGATTGAATGGAGTAGATTCTTACTCGCCCCAGGCGACTAGTTACATACAAGCTTCACCCCTGTGAACTACTGTGAGCTTTAGGGATGATGTATGCTAAAAAGCGGTGTAAATAATACACGACCTGGCCACAGTGATCCATGCGACGGTCTCCTCCAGGTTTGACTACTGTAATTCACTCTACGCGGGGCTGCCCTTGAAGCTGTCCCAGAAACTCCAGCGGGTGCAGAATGCTGCAGCAAGACTCCTCACGGGGTCTCTGCCATGGGAGCATATTCACCCAGTGCTTTTCCAGCTGCACTGGCTCCCGGTGGAGTACAGGGTCAGATTTAAGGTGCTGCTTTTGACCTTTAAAGCCCTTCACGGCCTAGGACCCTTGTACCTACGGGACCGCCTCTCCCAGTATACCCCACGGAGACCCTCAAGGTCCATAAATAGCAACACCCTAGTGCTCCCTGGCCCTAAGGAAGTTAGATTAGCTTCAACCAGAGCCAGGGCCTTCTCAACACTGGCCCCGTCCTGGTGGAATGCTCTGTCTCATGAGACCAGGGCCCTGCGGGATCTGATTTCTTTCCGCAGCGCCTGTAAGACAGAGTTGTTCCGCCTGGCCTTTGGGCTTAGAATCAATTTGACTCCCTCCCCCTCCCCCTCTTTCTCTTTTTTCCTTTCTCCTCCTGTGATGAGGCTGCATTTTAATATTTTAATGTTTCAATATTTTAATGTTGTATTTTAATCTTGTTTTTAAGTTGTATTCATTCAATTTGTTTTTATTATTGCTTGTTAGCCGCCCTGAGCCCGGCCTTGGCTGGGGAGGGCAGGGTATAAATAAAAATTATTATTATTATTATACAAGAATCATAGAACTGTAGAGCTGGAAGGCACCCAAACGGTCATTTAGTCCAACTCCCTGGCAAAGCAGGAATTATTAATATGCGGTACAGTTTGCCAGGAATTCCTTACTGATCTGGGATTTCATATCCTAAATGTCATTTGAGAATTCCTCTGTAGCCCAGCATCAGGCTGCTGCCTCTCTGTGACATCACAGCAGTTCAGCCAATGGGAGTCATCCCAGGGTGGGCAAAATATTCAGGGCAGACAAGTGAGAGGTGCATCTTCGCAAAGCACACTAGTACAATTCTCTGCCGATAGATGTGCACTGGTGACTGCCACCAATTTGGGATGGCTCCAAAAGGGAATTAGGCAAAGGAAAACAGCGAAGCCTCTGCATACATTGAGCTCTTGTGGGCGTCAGTCCGCCTTTTTCTTTAATAAAAATAATAATAATAAAGGCAGCGAGGAAGTGATCAGACATCTATCTTTTTATCCTTTCAAGCCTCGACATTGCCACAAGAAAGCCGCCTTATGAAATAATCCCTCCTGCTCAAGTCGAGCCGCCACATCTGGCCTGACCGCCGGCAGTCCAGATTTCAGCCAGATGTGAAAGCACAAGGCCAGATAAAAAAATATGTGTGTGTGTGTAGCCTTCCTGGAAGGCGGTGGGGTGGGGGAGAGAGATTATGAGAAAAACACAGCTGAGGATTGTTAGCTCCCCTCGAGCCGCCCCATCATCGTAACCAGTAATATAGAGATGGAGGAGACAGCCAACTGGAAGGTGAGCAGAGGAGGACGACCAGGGTGATCAAGGATCCAGAAGCCAAGCCTGGTGAGGAACGGTTGAAGGAGCTGAGGACGTTTAGCCTGGAAGAGAAAAGAGACTAAGTGGAGATAGGGTAGCCATCTTCAAATTATCTCAAGGGCTGCCACATGGAAGATGGAGAGAGTTTGTTTCCTGCCTCTCCGGATGACAGGGCCTGAAACAGCGGATTCAAATTGCAAAAGAGATGAGATTCTGAATAAACACCAGGAAGAACTTTCTGGTGCTAAGAGCTGTTTCATGGTGGAACAGGCTACCTCGGAAGATAGTGGGATCTCTTTCACTGGAGGTTTTTAGGCAGAGGCTGGATGGTCACTGGGATTCCTGCATCGCAGGGGGTTGGCCTACCCTTCCACAATCCTAACGGATCAAATAACCCAAGCTGTCCTGCATGCCTTTAAGCCTGTTTCCAAAAGCTTTGGATAAGCACGAGACATGCCTTTGTCCACTGAACAAGAACAGAAAATCCTTCCTTAGATGCCTGCTTAGACACGTCGCTGTGGCATCTGAACTTTTAAGAAAGCTCTGCCTCTTCAGATTTCAGAATAAATACAGCCAAACTTCAGTTGTCCGAAACGTTTGATAACTGATGATCAAAGAGCAGTCAGCAAAGTCAATGGAGAAAAAAGGAAAAACATCCCCGGAAGCTGTTTGACTTCCGAAAAATGTTCAAAAACAGCGTTCGGGAGCTGAATCGTTCAAAAACGTAGCTGTTCAAGAACCAAGGCTTGACTGTACTGGGATTATTATTTTTTAAAACCCATCTACCAGTTGAATCAACAGCTTGATCGACAAAGGTGCTATATACCTGCTGCCTGGGAGCAAGTCCCTATGAGCTCCAAGTAGACCTGTAGAGAACTGCACTGCTAAGAACCCATCAAATTTCATCATTTAAAATTTCCTTCAACTGATGCAAACAACACCCCTAATCTCTGATCTTCCTGGGGGTTGGGAGGGTTTGTGTATCTATCAGAAGTAGGGAATCATTTTCAGCCGAAGGGCCACATTGCCTTCTGGGAAACCTCTCCGGGGCCACATGTCAGGAGTGGGCAGGGCCAGAGACAAAGGTGGGTGGAGCAACAAATGATAATTTTATCATTCTGCAGTAGGCTAGTGACTACACACACACAGCCAGGCAGAAACACTCCAGGAGGGTTCGAGGCCTTTGGGGGCAGAAGACGTGGCCTGGAGAGAGGCCCAAGGGCCAGGCAGAGAAGTATGGAGGGCCACATCCCCCCACTTGCTAACAAGCACACACCTCGTTTCCTCCCAGCTCCACAATTCTATGATCAGCCGTGTTTTTCTCCAGTGCAAAATCTCAGCGCAAAATCAAGGAAAGGAGGTTGCATTTCTGCTGAGCCGCAGGAGAATTTTAATCCCCTGCCTCACGTTAGTGCTAAACACATTTGGAATCTCTTCCCTTTGCAGGCAGGAAGGAGGATTGGCATTCCTTTCCACCACGGATGCTTACAACACAAAGCCACAAAAGGGGGGGGGGCGTTGTGTGCATGTGTCAACCAAAAACTAACAGGCTAAAGCATGTGGCAAGGGGGACGAGGGAGAAGAAATCTGAATTTAAGGCCCTCGTCCACATGCAAAAACAGTATTTTAAAAACACATTTATAAAAAGCAATTAAGCAATGTGAAGAGAGATGTACAAAATTCACACCAGTCATAAAAATACAGTGGTACTTCAGGTTAAGTACTTAATTCGTTCCAGAGGTTCGCTCTTAACCTGAAACCGTTCTTAACCTGAAGCACCACTTTAGCTAATGGAGCCTCCTGCTGCTACCGGGCCGCCGGAGCACGATTTCTGTTCTCATCCTGAAGCAAAGTTCTTAACCCGAGGTACTATTTCTGGTTTAGTGGAGTCTGTAACCTGAAGCGTATGTAACCCGAGGTACCACTGTATAAGGGAAGTCCTGCTGGATCAGGCCAGTGGCCCGTCTAGTCCTGCCTCCTGTTCTCACAGGGGACAAAGGAAATATTTCAGATCCTTCTCTAAGGGGCTTTTCGCTTTCCCCATATTCATTTACCTCCTTAATTTACAGAGCTGCCCCACAGCAGAAGAACTCTAGGAAGCCAGTGGGATTCAGTGGTTAAGAGTGTTGGAGAGATCAGGGTTTAAATCCCCACTTGGTCAGGAACCTCACTGGGTGACCTTGCAGTCAGTCACAGGGACACTGTAGGGATTAACCATGAACTCCCGAGGGAAAAGGTGGGATATACTGTAAATGCAATAAATAAGCTCACCTGCTTAAGTAAGAATTATTTCACGAGCACTGTTCCACAGCATTTGATATTTTCATTTACATACATTCATTCAAATTAAGATGGGTTTATGAAGCAATTCTATATCCTCCCACCATGCTGACGAAGAATTCTACGAAACAGTAGTCAATATCCGGAATCTCTGTTTAGTCTTGGACATCAATATTTGCTGAATACACAAAGCTTCACAGCTTATCTTTCATCGTACAAAGTCTGGTACCTTGCTTCATTTAAAGATTTTCAGAGACTTCGAGACTATAGATTTCATTTTGTACTTGTTATGCTTTGAAGGAATTCTATAAAGATTGTCTATTGCGTAGGTACATGGTCATCGTGTTGCCTAGACATTGCTGACGTTCTCTTTGCAACAGGGGGGGTTTGTTTGACGGCTTACTACCTGCTTAAGAAAGCTGGAGGGGCCAGCCAGGTGGAGACGTCTGTCGCCATCCTGGCCTCCAGAGATCTCCACATGGTCCCAGATGGACCCGCGCCAGTCACAAAACGCACCTGGTGAATTTCTAGCACCTGCTATAACCCTGAGTATATACCCCTTCACCCCACCCCTTTACACCTTTCTGGAAGATGCAGGACAGTTCAGCCAGCCTCCTTTTGCAAGCTTAGGGCAGCTTCAACCCAGCACTTTCTGAGTATTAAGGGAACAATAAATAGGCCCCATATGCCAGTAATATCATAATCGCCTTCTCTCTCTCTTTGGCTAAGCAGAACAACATCTGTGCAACATCTGGGAGCGACTAGGCCTGGCTCCTGGTTTTTCTAGATCTCCCAGAACAGTCATGTCTCTGGGTCCAACAGCTGGTATTAGCAGATAAGCCCCCGCCTACTTAATTTGAAAGGGGAGGGGAGGAGCTACCTGCCACCATTAAACTGCTGCTCAGAGAACCAACCTGGGGCAGCCAGTTTGACAGGACAAGGGAGTGATGCTGCAGTTGCCTAGCAACTTGTGCCGGGTTGGGTATCAGCACCTAGCAACCTTCTGTAGAGGAGATGTGGTGCCAGTCCAGCCCCCCACAGATCTATGGGGAAGGGTTGTGGTTCTGCTTTGGATGCAGAAAGTTCGGGTCCAATCCTGACAATTTTCAGATGGAGCAAAACGAACCAATGGTCTGACTCAGTATATATGGTCTGACTCACTAATGCCTATGAGAAATCTCTTCCTACTGGCTCAGGTCTTGTCCCGGCAAACCGCCAAATCAAACTGGGACATCTCTGCCAAAGCTCAGCTCCTCTGCAAGAGTTCAGCTGCAACTTTAAAATCAAGAATTAAAAGCCAGTACAGCAGAACTCCTCCTTACAAGAGCTCGTCTCCTCCGTAGACTAATTTCAGGAGAGCTTTGCAAGGGGTCAGCTGCAAGACAATTCAGAAACAAATACCTTTTTAAAACCAACTGTATGCATGGCTTTGGTAGGTACTTTACAGAATGTACACAGACTGCGCTACTCAGCCGAGACAACAGCACTCTTTGCAAGCATTCGGGTTTATTCAGGCAAGTAGCATGAGCTTCGCAAGAGTTCAGCTGCAAGTCGAGCAGGCAGAAAATCAGAGATCCCCAGTCATGCCACTGGGAAGCTATCAGTTAGGAGGGCTGGATTTGGTCCTGAGGCCTCAAAATTGCAGATCCATACAATAGATATCTGGGTTCTTTTTTTCTCTTTTTTAAAAACTAATTCCCCCCCATCCAGATCTCAGATGCACACTTCAAGCCTGCCTCCCCAAACTCCGAGTGCACCAAACCTTCCGTTTTTATAAACCTCCTGTTTCGAAACCTGATCCACCCAACGTTAATTGCCAGTTATAATCTTACAAGCGAAGCTCTGTTATCCCCAGATTAATAGGTCCTTACAAAGCAGAACCACATCCCCACACGCCTCCAAAATTACTCAGCACTCTGCAGGATCACAAATCCAAACCACAATACTGAACTTTCGGGGAATGCCAGCCCCTGCCCAACCCCCTTTCCCCCTTCTTAAAGACACCATCATTTATTTACTTTTTTTTTTAAAGTGCTATGTTCTCATAGAAAAAAAGCAGAACCAAAATATAAAATTTGCAGCCACTCCTAACGCTTCCCTAAAGACACTCAGGGGGCGCGTGGAGCAAAGGCAGGCCAGGATTCAATTTTCGATATTCCTCATAAAGTAAACTTATTAGGCTCTCCAGGGCCTGTCCAGAGTTCGCTGGAAAGGCTTTTAAAACAGGTGAGCGGACATAAAAAGATTTCATTGCTGTCGCTTGTGGATCAAACCGCGACAAAGGTGTTAGTTTTTTTTAAGCATGCCACGTGGTTTAATTGCTTTTCCAAGGCCAGGGTATCTTTCCCATCAAGAGCATTTTGAGACAGTTTCAACAAAAAAATGAGGTTTCAGGTACAGTGGTACCTTGGGTTACATATGCTTCAGGTTACATACGCTTCAGGTTACAGACTCCACTAACCCAGAAATAGTGCTTCAGGTTAAGAACTTTGCTTCAGGATGAGAACAGAAATCGGGCTCCGGCAGCGCGGCGGCAGCAGGAGGCCCCATTAGCTAAAGTGGTGCTTCAGGTTAAGAAGAGTTTCAGGTTAAGAACAGACCTCCGGAACGAATTAAGTACTTAACCCGAGGTACCACTGTATATCAGAATCAGCAGCATCTTCGTAGGAAGGAATTGGCCAGTACAGATTAATGCTGCTGGTGCAAGATGAATGTCGCTGGTAACCACATAAAGCGGGGGTGGTCAGGTCCTGGGCTTCCCAGAAGAGGCACCCGGTTGGCCACTGTACTAGATATTGGATCATGAGGACTAGAATCTAACTTCACTTGTAGTGGAAGGGGCACAGCTCTATGGTAGAGCGCTTGCCTTACCGACAGAAGGTCCCAGGCTCTACCTCCCAGCGGCATCTCCAGCTCAGGCTGGGAACGTCCCCCTGCCTGGAACCCTAAAGAGCTGCTGCCTGCCAGTGTAGACAATATTGAGCTAGGTGGACCATTGGTCTGACTCAGCGTAAGGCAGCCTTCCTGCGTCACACCAGAATAAATCTGTTAGTCTTTAAGGGGCCGCAAGACACTGTGGGTTTTGCTGCAAAAGGCTCAACAGACCTATTGCTTGGGAAACTGAGCCAACCAGGAAATATTTAACCGTGTTAACTAAAGGGCAGGAATGAAGGGCAGTGAATTTCAGGGCAGGTTGCGGCCCTGAAATTCACTGCCCTTCATTTCTGCCCTTTTTCTGCGGCCCTCCAAATTTTCTCCGTTTGGCCCCACAAGGATCCGAACAATAACATGCGCCTCGCAGCTTCCAGGACACCCTTAGGGAACTCAGCACTCAGGGCAAAAGCCTGAGCTTCGAAGAGAAGGTGCAAAAGATTTTTCACTCCCGCCTTCAGCCTCCTTCACATTCTAGCAATTCCTTGCATGCCTCGGTGGGCTGCCCCATTGTTGCTTCAATTTATTTGTTTTGTTTTAAGCAAACACCATCTGTACATTTACTGGTTTGTGGCTTTACCTTTCATTGGAGTTTATTTATTTATTTATCTAAAGGAGCAGAGATTTAGAAAGAGGAAAAAGTGGGTGGGGGGAGGGGAGATCGTCCAAGAATTGCAAAACCGCTCCAACAACCTGGGGCGGAAAGGGGTCTTGGAGACGTCACAGGCGCTAGCCAGTCGCTGCCTTCCACCAACCAGCTTTTTGCTACCGCCTTACAGGACCTTTCCGCTAACCTTCCACTTGCATCCAAGAAGAGGAAAAGGAAGATATACATAGGGACATAAGAAGCTGCCTCATATTGAGTAAGCCCATAGGGCCTATCTACATTGGTATTGTCTACACTGACTGGCAGGGTCTCTCCAGGAAAGGAGTGTTTCCCAGCCTTACTGGGAGATGCTGCCTGGAACTGATCCTGGGACTTTCTGCATGCAGGTGCTCTCCCACTGAGCAATGGCTCTTCCCCATGAAGATAAAACAGGTTTCCAGTCCTCATGGTTCTGAATTAAGGGCAGACAGAACAGGAACGAAGCAGGTGGCCCGTCACGGAGCTTTGGGCCATCTCCTGGCATCTGGAATAAAATGTGGCAAGGGCCCTGTCCAACACAGCCCTGCTGGTCTGCACGAATCTTGCCCACATTCTGGGGAAGGAGAAATACAAGACTCCCGCCGGACGCAAAGCAGGCAAGCATATCCTCCCATCGCATTGGCGTAAGCCCCGTCTTCTTCTAAAGAAGCTCCTTGCCACTCCACACGCAGAGTCCGGCCCTCTCTTGACGCTCAAGCGCATGGAGGTGCCGCAGGAAGAAAGGAAATAAAAGCAAAACATGGAACAACACGGCAGGACGCCGCTTTGAGCCGCCCGGCAGCTTTCAGAGCAGATTAGCTGCGAACTGAATCGGAAAGGGAGGAATTGGTTCTTTGCCGCCGCAAAAACCCAGCCGCACGCCAGCACACACTCCTAGAGCAGAGATCTCACCATGCAGACACCCTCGGAAGACACAGCAGAGCATGTTGGAAGCACATCGGTCAACACTGTCGACAGGAATCCCTCTCCACTCCCAACCTCGGCTTGGATGGAGGGAAGCTAGCAATCCGCAGAGCGACACAGAGCTCTTCCGCAGCCCTGGTCTTTGGGGAACAGGACAGATCCTTGGAGAAACTTCACGTAGAGTCTCTCTTCCCTTGTGATTCCCAGTTACTGGAATGCACTGACGTAGAATAAGATCACAGATCATAGGATTCCAAAGTTGGAAGGGACCTTGAGGGTCATTTAGTCCATCGCCCTGCAAAACAGGAATCTTTTGCCATATTTGGGGCTTGAACCCATGAACCTGAGGTTAAGAGCCTCATGCTCGACCAACTGAGCTCATCCCAAGTCCCAGATTCAGCCACTGTGGCGAGGAGTCTCCAGGAGTTTTCTTCTCCGTGAATCTCTCCCTCTTTTAAAGTTCTCTAAGTTGACGGCCAGCACAGAGCAACTTGGTGGAAAAGGTGGGCTGAAAATATAATATATAAGAGGAGTCTGCCAGTGGTCCATCTAGGGCTCTCTTCTGCCTGTCTTAAACCTCCTGATAATTTTTTGCGTGAAAAACAAAATGAATGAATGACATTTGGGTTTGAAGGCTGAAGATAATGTTGGTTTTCAGAAAGTAACCTGGCTAGGTGTTCTACTGGACAGACAAAAGAATCAGAAGTTCTTTAGTTTCTTAAATTAACCCCCCCCCTTTATTCCCTTTTCCCTCGTTTAATCATTTTTCTATTTATCTCTACCCCCGCCTCTCTCTTTCCCCCTTCTTTTTTCTTTCTCTCCCTTTCCTCTGGATCTGTGTTTTTATCTAGATTAACGTTTTAGTTTCGGATTTCTAATTTCTAATGAAATTTATTCAAAATAAACAAATCTCCCAATGCTGAGGATTGAACCTTCTGCAATCAAAGCAGGCGTCTTAGACCTGCGCCACCACAGCTCTGCAGCGCACGCCTGCACCCAGCACTAAACCCTGTGGATTACCGGCTCACCCACTTTCAACACCTGAAAATTAGGCAATTTCCCCGCACGTCTTCTTTTGTCCTCTGGGGTTCACGCCCAGCATCACACGCCACCGATTTCCCCATTTTTAAGCTCTGGCAGAAATTTCGCTTCAAAAGAGAGACTGTGGAATCCAAACACCTTTTGAGGGGGGGCGCAGTTCATTTTCAGAATCTCATCATCCTTCAACCCAAAAGCGCCCCGCCCCCTTCAATGTCAGGGTGGAAGAGGAAAAATATATCCCTCCTGTTTGGAAAAATAAAATTTGGGACGCTCCACATCGATCTCAAACGTACCCACGTCGCTTCTGAGTCGTGTCAGTGCGAAAGGAGCCCCGAGCCCCTGTTTCAAACCCGGTTTTGTTCCTTCCACGTGAATCAACTCACAGCCAGAAAAGAGTTTTCTGGTGGAGAACATCAAACCCTTGAAATTCCACACACCACTCAATTCCTCCCAATTCCAAAACACGTTTCTGACGTATTTGCCACTCAGTGACTGGCAGGGACCATTTGAAGCACTTTGTTCCACAGCGAACTACTTACCGCACAACGGTATCAATGTTTAATCAATGTGGCCCCCTAGACTTTTCTATTTGGCCCTGCAAACCCTCCTCTGATTCACTCACTGCCTCTCATTCGCAGCCTCATTGAGTGTTTTTGCCGGGCTGGAAAATCTCCTTGAACTCTGTTCTTGCCTTTTGCTAGCCTGCAAGGAGGATTGGGACGGGAGGTTTGAGTGTAAAAACTAGCCAAGTGGACAAAAAATTGTTACTCTGCCCCCTTTTCCCTCTGGCCCTGCCGACCATGGGCATGTGGACCCCAGGTACTTGCCCAGAAGGGAATGCGGCCCTTGGCCTTCAGAAAGCTTCACCTCACAAGGAGGCCCTGCTATAAAAAGCATCAGTTAGCTAAGAGTTTGGGATCAGTAGGCCCGTTTCCAAAGATGGCTGGACTGCAAGCAGACTGGGCCAGGTGTAATGCAACTGTTTTTACATCAGCAGACCAACATACGGCCTGGGATACAGGATAATAATAATAATAATAATAATTTATTATTTATACCCCGCCCATCTGGCTCGGCTTCCCCAGCCACTCTGGGCGGCTTCCAAAAAAATATTAAAATACTATAATACATCAAACATTAAAAGCTTCCCGAAACAGGGCTGCCTTCAGATGTCTTCTAAAAGTCTGCTAGTTGTTGTTCTCTTTGACAACTGGTGGGAGGGCGTTCCACAGGGAGGGCGCCACTACCGAGAAGGCCCTCTGCCTGGTTCCCTGTAACTTGGCTTCTCACAGTGAGGGAACCGCCAGAAGGACCTCGGTGCTGGATCTCAGTGTCTGGGTAGAACAATGGGAGTGGAGACGCTCCTTCAGGTATACTGGACCAAGGCCATTTAGGGCTTTCAAGGTCAGCACCAACACTTTGAATTGTGCTCGGAAACGTACTGGGAGCCAATGTAGGTCTTTCAAGACCGGTGTTATGTGGTCTCGGCGGCCGCTCCCAGTCACCAGTCTAGCTGCCGCGTTCTGGATTAGTTGTAGTTTCCGGGTCACCTTCAAAGGTAGCCCCACGTAGAGCGCATTGCAGTAGTCCAAGCGGGAGATAACCAGAGCATGCACCAATCTGGCGAGACAGTCCGCGGGCAGGTGGGGTCTCAGCCTGGGTACCAGATGGAGCTGGTAAACAGCTGCCCTGGACACAGATTTGACCTGTGCCTCCATGGACAGCTGCGAGTCCAAAATGACTCCTAGGCTGCGCACCTGGTCCTTCAGGGGCACAGTTACCCCATTCAGGACCAGGGAATCCTCCACACCTGCCCGCCTCCTGTCCCCCCAAAACAGTACTTCTGTCTTGTCAGGATACAACCTCCGTCTGTCAGGATGTGGGATTCTGAGAATCTGAGCTTCTATTTGCAAAGAAAAAGGCAAGGGCCTAGGCCTCATGGTGCAATGAGCAGTGCCGCCAACACTGGGAAGCGACTTGAATAAACTCTGCAGCGGATTATGCAATCTTAAGAAAGGCGTGATAATTCTCAGTCCGACACAGCCACTCCCTTTTCAGGATCAAGCCCAAACTCAGCTGCATCAAATCCGCTCATGTCTTTCGGATCAGCCAAGCTAGAGATTCACAAACAAATACAAACAAGCAGGGGATATTTTTGAGCAGGCGAACTAAGTTTCCTTACCTTTTAATTTTTTCTTTTTTGTCTGGAATGGATATACACCCAATGCCTGAGCCAAAAATCCACCTGTATCTGTAATCAATAAGGGTGCGGCCATTTTTGATCCACATAATTGTCTGCTTGAGTTTATTAATCACATTTTACATTTAGCCACTGCACTGGTGGGGAGGGCGTGTGTGGCAGCACTGCGACTGAGCCCGCAATAAATAAATAAACAAACTTACTTCATGATGAGTTCCCCCACCTATTTTTCCAGGGGCAAAAGAACTGCAAACAAGGGGTCGTTTTTACCTAAAATATTGTTTCGGTACCACCTTGAGTGATGCAAGTTTCATAAATTGAAGCGTCTCATTAGATCTAGCAGCCTTGCAGAGAAATCTGTTGGATTTTCATCGCCTGCCTGCAAAGCATTCCTGAGTCAGTCATCAGGGTAGAGAAATGAAGGGAATTCATTCCTGTAATGCATCCTGGTTGCCTAGAAGCAGCAAACTCCCTTGCCACCCAGGGCAGAGTGAAAATCCAAGCCCAGGTGTGACAAGGACTTGGGAACATCCTTCCCACTGCAGATGTGAAACACTCCCTTCTGGTTTAGGTACTTTTCGTCACATACAGTTTTCTCACCGCTGACCCTAAACGCCAGGGAACCTGTGGCCTTCCAAATATTGCTGGAGTACAACACCCATCATCCATGACCGTTGGGCATGCTGGCTGGGGCTGATGGGAACTGGAGTCCGATGCGACATGGAATGCCACAGGTTCACCACAGACTGCTATTTACATTGGAAGCCAGCAGAGAAATATGGCCCACTAGCTGTAACTCCTCCTTACACTGCACAGACCCAATATTTAGGGGTTTAGTTGTCCCAAGCCGGGGTACACATGCAAATTAGAAAACCACTTTGTGCATCTTGACTTACTACAGACTCTATGTATTAACCTTATGGATGATGTTGCCTTCATTTGCACAGATCTGCGAGGATGCCGGGCTCCTGAGTCAGGGCACTTGCAAAATCTGTGGCTGCCTTAAGGATGCAATCCTAGGAAGACACGGAGCTGCCTTTTACAGGGCCAAACCAGCTCAGGATCGTCCACCAGCGGTGTCCAAACTTTTTTCATAGAGGGCCAGATTTGATGAAGTGAAGGGCCGTGAGGGCTGGCCAAAGGGCCAACCAAAGTTCCTTTTTTAAGATTGAAGTTGCTAAGCTTTTTTATGATTTTACACCAAAGTTCTTGAGCTTTGTCATTACCTTGGGTTGAAGTAGCTTCGGGTTGAGGGTTTTCGGGAACGCATTATTTCCGGGTTTCGCCGCTCGCGCATGCACAGACGCTCAAAATGACGCATGCGCGGAAGCGGCGAGTCGTGGGTTGCGTTCTGCTCTGGATGCGAACGGGGCTCCAGAACGGATCCCGTCGGCATCCAGAGGTGCCACTGTATTTTACCCCAGGAAATAAACTGCCACAGGGGCCAGATTAAACTGACCAGCGGAACGAATTAGGCCCCCAAAACGGACTTTGGACATGCAAGATACACTGACCGGCAACAGCCATGCAGGGTTTCAGATGGGAGACCTAGCTGGAGATCCCGGGAATCGAAGCAGACACCTTCTGCAAACCAGAGCTACAACGCCTCACCTAAAAAGAAAGCCAAGGATCCAGTCCTCATGGTTCAAAATTAAAGGCTGGTTTAATGAGCAAGAAAGCTGCCTTATATGGGCCTAGGTCTGCCACGCAGTCGTGGCCTTTCCAGTCAAATACAGGGAGAGAGGAGTAACGTCAGAAAACCAGTTGCGATTCCCCTGCCTGCCCCCTCCTTTTGCACCGCTGACGGGGCCACAAATGAAATCAGCATAGATCCAGGTGTCACTATTGGTATGTAAAGCCCTTGACCGCTTGGGACCAGTTTACTTGCTGGATCGTCTCCATCTATACCCATTCACTGCTGGGATCTGTGTAACTGGCCCATTTACAATTGCCATGTCTACCTACACTTCGCAACTTCCCGCACATTGAAATTAGACAGGCTTCTTCATTGTACATTTTTGGCCCCTGCTGAAATCTTTTGTTTCCTGGTCAACTCAGTTTAGCATGGCATTTTGCTACATGGTCTCAGTTAAATGGTTTAAAATTGGTGATGTATATTGCGGTGCATGCTCTAGTTATCTCCGGCTTGGACTACTGCAACGCGCTCTACGTGGGGCTACCTTTGAAGGTGACCCGGAAATTACAATGAATCCAGAATGTGGCAGCTGGTGACTGGGAGTGGCTGCCGAGACCATATAACACCGGTCCTGAAATACCTACATTGGCTCTCAATACATTTCTGAGCACAATGCAAAGTGTTGGTGCTGACCTTGAAAGCCCTAAATGGTCTTGGCCCAGTAGACCTGAAGGAGCGTCTCCACCCCCATCACCCAGTCTGGACATTGAGGTCCAGCACCGAGGGCCTTCTGGCAGTTCCCTCGCTGCGAGAAGCAAAGTTACAGAAAACCAGGCAGAGGGCCTTCTCGGTGGTGGCGCCCGCCCTATGGAACGCCCTCCCATCAAATGTCAAGGAAATAAACAACTATCTTACTTTAAGAAGACATCTGAAGGCAGCCCTGTTTAGGGAAATTTTTAATGTTTGATTCTATTTTTAATATTCTGTTGGAAGCCACCCAGAGGGGCTGGGAAATAAATTCATTATTATTATTATTATTATTATTATTATTATTATTAATTTCTCTTGTAACTCTTGACTTTTTTTTGTATTATTTGGCATTATTAATAAATATTTTAGACGCTGCTGTACACTTATGAGGTCTTTTGTTCTAGCAAGCAAGGAACAATCCTTTCACCACTTTAAACTGTGTCTTACAAAGTTCCTCAATCCGAAAGCCATGCCACCTGGTGCCCTCCAGACCTTTTGGACCACAACTCCCATCAGCCCCCAGGGGATCAGCTGGGGATCATGGGAGTGGCAGTCCAAAAGGCTTAGGAGGTCAGCGCCCCGGCTGGGGGCGTCAGCTTTGCAGTGGATTTTACTTCCAGATTAAGGACTGCCAGTTCCTGCTGGTGCAATTCCACCATGAATGGGAATTTTCTTTTAAATGCACATAATCACACACACGCCAAAAAGGTGATTTTTAAAATCAGAATCAAAAGCTGGTCCAAATTCCCCAGGTAGAAAATGGTTAGCTGCTGTAATGTCACCCAAAGGCCTTGCATCAAAGAGAAGGCCTAGGTGTTGTTTTTTTTTAAGGGGTGAGTGGGGAATTGGAACGAATTACATGCATTTTTTACAGGTTTTTAAAAAATGAAATATTTTCCTTCCATCTGCGGTACAAAATTATCTCTGTGGGGTGTTGTATAGATTTTATTTTAACAAAGTCTTTCCTCCTCCTACAATACGGAGAAACACAGTCCATATACAACCCAATAAATATTCTTTCAGAGGATTCTCTGGGAATTATTGCAAAATGAAAAGATGTCCTGAAGGGCAGGGGTACCAAAATCCCATTTTCTGAATTTGATGTAGAGCATCCCCAACAGAACAGGAGAGCCAACGAGTAGATCCCACCCACCCAAAATAAGACGTGTAAAGAATTGAAAAATGGGTTGGGCGGTTTATGCCAGCTCCTTGCAACAGCCAAACATCCTTATCCGTTTCACTAAAACCGGAATAAAAAAATGGAATTTAATCTGGATTAACACAGCTGGAATCGGAATAGAGGATTTCGGGGACGGGGGGAGCCTTCAGCAAATTATTTAAAGACAGGATATCTGGTTAGAGGAGGAAATTTGGGGTGGGGGATTTTTTTTAGGGGTCTCTTGGCAAACTGAATACCAAGGCTAAGATTTGGGGGTCCCTGAATTACAACAGGATCCAAAGGGTGATTTACAACCCATTCACGCAGCACAGAAAACCCCATATATTTCTTTCAGCTACACCCAAGTTACTACACCCATTTGCCTGGTAGTAAACCCCACTGAACTCATGGGGGTTTACTTCCGAGTAGATGTAATTAATAGCTACCTTTTGACCCTTTCTGTGCCTCTTCTCCAAAAGGTGATGTCTAAGGTAAGGTCACAAGATACAGGAAAAACAAAGCCAGTTTAAAACGAGCCGCAAAACAAATAAGAAAACTTAAAATTCCTGCTAAAATAAAAAGATTTGTGCCAAAGCAAAGTTCAACAGGTAAAGAGACACATAGATAGGATTGCAGCATTTCTGGGCTTTGATTTTTGGATTCTTCACCCATCGCCTGCTTTAATATGGATTCCTTTTAGGACAGCAACCCCGCCCCAGCCTCGCATCTACTCGAGAGTAAACCGCGTTCAGAGCAACAGGATTTGTTTCCGAAGTAAGCGCGTGCTTACAGGACGAGGCTGCAAAAAAATTATGTTGCAAAGTGGCGGGTTGGGAGACGGAGCGGGCTAGTTTGGGTAGAAAAGTAAGGCCCGTTACGCGCTCCCTTTCCAGGCTACGCTGCGCTTACTTCGGAGCAAAGCTCCCCCCAACTCCACGAGGCTTACTTCGGAGTGAACATGCACAGGCAGCATTGTGCGACGGAAAAAGCGTTTTAGCGGAGTTCTCTCTGTCTACGATATATCGGGACAGTGATTCTCGGCGCCCAGAGGCCACGAACGATGGTCCCCCAATCCGGCCTCTCCAAACACCGCTTTTTGGAGAGGGGCGCACGGATGTGCGCTTGAGAAGGAGGGTCCGGGCCATCATGGACGCTTCCCAGAAAAAGAGAGACAGAGGGAAGGAGAAAGAGACGTGGCCTCCTGCCACCCACCCCCCTCCCTGTCCCAACACGCGTGTCTCCCGCTTCCCACGTTCCCCGCCGACCCGCGCTGCGCTCACCTTCCGGCGCTTGTCGGCAAAGGGGAGCGCCAGCCACGGCATGGCCCGCGTGGCTTCCTGCCAGCGCTGCTGATCCTGCTCGGCCGACACGAAGACGATCTCCAGGCGCTGCTGCTGCCGCTGCTCCGGCGCCGCTCCGGCTCCCACTTCGCTCCGGGCCGGCTGGAAGCGCGCGTAAAAGGCGGCCAGGCTTGCGGCCAGCTGCGCGCCCGGCCCGGCTCCTGCCGCTCCAGCGGCGGCGGCGGCGGCGGCGGCTCCGGCTGCGCTGCTGCCGGCGCCGCAGTACCCGAAGTAGAGCCCCACGAGCGAGACGCCCCTCGCCGGCAGCGACGCCACGGGCACCGCCGAGCCGTCGGGCGCCGCCAGCGCCTCGCCCAGCAGCTCGGCCAGCGGCGCCGCGGCGGCAGCAGCCGCGCACGGCGACGAAGACATCCCCGCCGAGCCCCACGCAGCTCCCGCCGCCGCCGCCAGCCAGCCAGCCGGCCGAGCCCAGCCACACCGAGCCAGGCAGCCGCCGCCAGCCGCCAGCGGGCGCTCCCGGCCCGGCCCGCCTCGCCTTCCCCGCGTGGCGCTCGCCGGCCCGCGACCCGCCCCCCCGACGCCGCGCAGACGCCGCCCCCAGCAGCCCCGGGCTGCGCACCGGAGAGACCCTCGCCGGCTCCCTCCCCTCTCCTCTCTCCCTCTTCCCGCTGGCAGCCCCGCTTTTCTGGGACCGGCGGCCCCGATCCTCCGTCGGCTCGGGAGTAAGCGCGCCCTGGGGATGGTGGTAGCGCGCGAGGCTGGCGCTCGCTGTTTTTTTTATAAAAAAAAAATTATTGATTTTCACAACATTATAAACAGACAAACACATAAAACAAACATAAATCATAACCTGATTAAAAAATACACTTATTAACATTACTAAGTGACTTCCTCACTTCCCCTTGGTTGAATTTCATTGCATGTCCTTTCAACGGTTTTCCAAATCATAGTTCTTAAAATAATTTAACTTAAACATTAACATCCTTAGATCTTCACATTATGAAATTAAACCTATTAATTCATCACTTAACTTAAATAAAATCCTAAGCCAATTAAGTATCTGCAAGCTGTTTTCAGTTAGTTTAACTTAACATGTTTAACTAAGTAATCATTAAATTTGATCCAATCTTCCTGATACTCCTCCTTCTGGTCGCAGACTCTTCCGGTTAGGTCGGCTAGCTCCGGAAAATCCATCATCTTCATCTGCCATTCTTCTATTGTTGGTAATTCTTGGGTTTTCCACTTTTTAGCTAACAAAATGCGAGCTGCAGTTGTGGCATACAAAAATAATTTTACATCTTTCTTGAACAATTCCAAACCTGTTATTCGAAGATGAAAGGCCTCTGGTTTCTTTATAAATATATATTTCAACATTTTCTTCAATTCGTTATATATCTTTTCCCAGAAGTCTTTCACCTTGGGGCAGATCCACCACATATGATAAAATGTTCCTTCCTTTTCTTTACATTTCCAATTTCAATGTAATGTAAAAATGAAACACTCGCTCGCTTTCTTTGTGTGTGTCTACTCGGGAGTAAACGGCAGGGTGCTTCTTTGGGATTTGCTCTCCCGCCTTCGCTGGCAAAGCGTGGCAGTGGGTTTGTTGGGCACGATCCTCTTTCTTTCGCGTATTCGCACGTGTTGGGTGTACCCTGGGGAAAGCGGGCAGTGGGTTGTGGGGCGCGATGCTCCCCCACTTTCCTATAGTGTCTACGTGGGAGCAAATGGTGTGGTGGTTATGGAACTAAAACTCCCAGGAAGGCGAACTTTAGGATTGTAGGGCGCGATCTTCTCTCTCTGCTTGTTTTCTCAGGAACAAATGGTCTGATGTTCCATTGGATTTACTCCCGGGAAAGCGTGCCATCGGATTGTTGCATGTCTGTTACATGTCTACTTGGGAACAGCTCAGGATTTACTCCCGAGAAAAGCACTCGCCGGGGATTGTAGCCTCCCCCCCTCCCTTAGAGGCTGAGCATGTTTTGCAGGTCTACTCGAAGGTAAGTCCTACTGTGGCCAAGGGGACTTCGTCTCAGGAAAGTGAGCATGGTAATATTTAGTTCAGGTTTTTGAAACTCCTGGGACGCGGGTGGCGCTGTGGGTTAAACCACAGAGCCTAGGACTTGCCGATCAGAAGGTCGGCGGTTTGAATCCCCGCAACAGGGTGAGCTCCCGTTGCTCGGTCCCTGCTCCTGCCAACCTAGCAGTTCGAAAGCACGTCAAAGTGCAAGTAGATAAATAGGTACCACTCTGGCGGGAAGGTAAATGGCATTTCTGTGCGCTGCTCTGGTTCGCCAGAAGCGGCTTAGTCATGCTGGCCACATGACCCAGAAGCTGTACGCCGGCTCCCTCGGCCAGTAAAGCGAGATGAGCGCCGCAACCCCAGAGTTATCCGCGACTGGACCTAATGGTCAGGTGTCCCTTTATCTTTACTTTGAAACTCACTTGTAAAAAATAAAAAGGGCCAGAATTTTGAAACAACTGAAAACCTTTTGAAAACATTGTATGTATCCAAATGTAGATCTGTGTTAGGGCCAGAGGCCTGCCATTAATGGTGCTATAAAGCAAGGCCAATTTTATGGTGTTGCTGCTTGACTCAGACCCAACAATAGCGCTCCTGAGCATGTACAGATTGCTTTCCCCCTCGCTTTCTCCGGACCTTTCTTAGAGGGAGGCCTCAGACCTGCAACATCTCGGAAGGTTTTACCAGGAAACAGTGTGCCCTTGAGCATGTCCAAAGCGCATTATTTCTACAGCGCCACCGGCACACGTGGTGTTTGACTGAGTGCACATCACACTTTTACAAAGGAGTAGACGGGAGGGGGACCTTTGACCCAAGGGCCATATTCCCTTCTGAGCAACTTTCTGGGGGCCGCAGGCAAAAGGGGGTGGAGCCCTGAACACATTTCCAGCTAGGCAGAAACATTTGGGGTGGAAACAGGGGTGTGGCTTTTGCAGGGTGACCCACAGACCCCTGTTTTCATTTCCCAGTATCAGGGCTGCCTCTGGAAAGTTCTCTACCACCTGCTGCCTGGAGGCCTTTGAGATTACCCCATAAATACCCAGATAATCGCCACCCCCCCCCCCTGGGAAGATGCCTCACGCTTATTAAACTCCTTTGTCTTCCTCTGCCAAGGCCCCAGGAGCAGTTCAAAGGGGAATTTGCCTTCTGTATGCTCATATTTTCAGGGGGTGTGTACCTCCTTTTAAAAAAGCCAGTACTGCAGGCCCAAGCCAATGTGCTTTCTTCAAACCAGCATCCAAACTTCACCCAAAGTCCAGCCTTTAAACATCCCCACAGTTTTTATAATTCGTCAGCAGAAACTGCGACAAAATGTTGCAGCGTGGAGTATTCCATCAGCCAGCCGCGCCCTTACACAGGGCACTCCATTCCACCCCCACGCAACATTCCGTGCCCACAGAGCATGCTCAGTCTGCGTTGGCCTATTTTTGGGGGCTCCCCACTTTTAAGATTTCCCCTCCTAAATACTTCACACACACTGCACCTTTACAAACCTTTGCCCCTGCTGACATCTCTTGCTTGTATCATTTTGGGTCCATAAGGACCCACGTTTTAAGAGTGAGTGCAATATTATTCCTAACAGTAGCACAGGAAACCCCTTCCAGAGCTAGAGGGTTATTACAGGGGAGGGCCCCCCTAGAATCTATTTCCCTGCTGGGTCACAGCTTGAGTTTGCAGTTGCTGGATAAATGCACCTCTGAGCATATGCAGAGCTCCCCAGCCTAACGTACCTGGTGGGGGTTTTGCTAGGATAAAGCAAGTTTGGGGCTAGAGGGAATGGTTATGCAGCCTAGAACTCCTTGTGGGTGGCTGGGAGCCGGAATAAAACTTTAAATTATTATTAATGTGATATCCCTGGGAACTGCAACGCAATGTTGCGGCGTACTCATCATCCCTAAGAGGGGTTTCTGACCACTGACACATATGATTCAAGAAGAGTTGTTCCCTTTGTGTAGTTTGGCATATATCAGGGGTCAGCAAACTTTTTCAGCAGGGGGCCGGTCCACTGTCCCTCAGACCTTGTGGGGGGCCGGACTATTTTTTTTTGGGGGGGGGGAGATGAACGAATTCCTATGCCCCACAAATAACCCAGAGATGCATTTTAAATAAAAGGACACATTCTACTCATGCGAAAACACGCTGATTCCCGCACCGTCTGCTGGATTTAGAAGGCGATTGGGCCGGATCCGGCCCCCGGGCCTTAGTTTGCCTACCCATGGCATATGAGTTCTTTTTGGGGAAAAGGCAGCAAGTTTCTGTATTCCATGTAGTCTTGTTCGCTTCCAAAGTGATGGGCCCTCAACCACCCGAGTTTGCTATTAGAAGGAATAATGGAACTAATTAATTCCCCGGCTGACTGAGAAACCAGTGGCATGGGGCAGACTTTTCACACACATGAGGAGGGGCTTCAGGAGCAAACCCCAGCACCTCTTGTGCAAAAGGGTCCCAAATTTGTTTTCAAAATCAAATTGCCAAAAAGATAAACAGAGCAGTTAAATGGGGCTGAAGCGACACCTAGTGGCCGCAGGAATGGTTGCAGCTCTATCCAGCGACTTTTATCCCTTTCACTCAATCTGTCATTCATATTTATCCACCTGGGTTTTACACCAGCTGTTCCTCAAATCATCCCCATGCAGGGTTCTCTTTTTAAAGTAAAGTCCCCCCCCTTCCCCCTGCAAGAAGGGAGGATTTTGAAAGCTTACTTGTAAGTTTTCTGACAGCTTTTCCCGCTTGCGGCTTCGGTCAGCGGTAACTACTTTCACCTTTAAAAACAGTGAAAAGGGATCGACCTCCATTTTTAGAATCCCTTTCGTTCCAAATTTTTAGCTCAAATTGATCTCTTTTTCCTTTACTCACAATTCAAATTGAACTGTTATATTTCAAATCATTTTTTGCTTTCCTATGACTAGGTGGTTCCTTGCTGGGGAAGGGCCTTAATTCAAAAGGAGAACCATGAGGACTGGAATCTTGTTTTAATTTTCGAGCTTAGGGTTGTAGCTCAGTGACAGAGCATGTTGGCTGGGGCTGATGAGAGTTGGACAACATCTGGATGTTCGAGGGTCCCTGTCTCCCCGCTCTATTTCTGCTACATACTAATAGCAAGGGATGCGGGTGGCATTGTGGGTTAAGCCACAGAGCCTAGGACTTGCCGATCAGAAGGTAGATGGTTCAAATCCCCACAAAGGGGTGAGCTCCCGTTGCTCGGTCCCTGCTCCTGCCAACCTAGCAGTTTGAAAGCACACCAGTGCAAGTAGATAAATAGGTACCGCTCCGGTGGGAAGGTAAACGGCGTTTCCGTGTGCTGCTCTGGTTCGCCAGAAGCGGCTTAGTCATGCTGGCCACATGAACTGGAAGCTGTACGCTGGCTCCCTCGGCCAGTAAAGTGAGATGAGCGCCGCAACCCCAGAGTCGGCCACGACTAGACCTAACGGTCAGGGGTCCCTTTACCTTTACTAATAGCAGCGTCTTTTAGACTGCAGCCAAAACGCTATCTGTGCCAGGAGCAGGGAAGGTTTGGCCCCTACAGGTGTCACTAAACTATAACTCCCACCAGTACCAAGCCAACAAGGCTAATGGCCAAGGATGATGGGAGTTGTAGCTCAGCAGCAACTGGAGGACAAAGGATTCTTACGCCAGGTCCATGCACCAGCAAGAGGCATTTGCAGAAATGCAAAATACAATCTGCAAAATGTAAGAAAATACAGCTGGATTAGTCCAATGGCCTGTTTAGTCCAGCATTCTGTTCTCACACTGGCCAGCCAGGTGCCCCAAAGGGAAACCAAGCAGGCAGGATCCGAGCAAAAGAGCAACTCTCCCCTACTGTGGTTACCAGCAAATGGTATTCAGAAGCATGGCTGCAGAGGGCAGAACAGAGCCATTCTGGCCAGTAGCCTTTATAAATCTATCTAATCCTTCTTTAGCAGAGACATCACCTTGCCGACAAAGGTCCGCATAGTTAAAGCCATTGTTTTTCCCAGTAGTGATGTATGGAAGTGAGAGCTGGACCATAAAGAAGGCTGATTGCCGAAGAATTGATGCTTTTGAATTATGGTGCTAGAGGAGACTCTTGAGGGTCCCATGGACTGCAAGAAGATCAAACCTCTCCATTCTGAAGCAAATCAGCCCTGAGTGCTCACTGGAAGGACAGATCGTGAAGCTGAGACTCCAATACTTTGGCCACCTCATGAGAAGAGAAGACTCCCTGGAAAAGACCTTGATGCTGGGAAAGATGGAGGGCACAAGGAGAAGGGGACGACAGAGGACGAGATGGTGGGACAGTGTTCTTGAAGCTACCAGCATGAGTTTGACCAAACTGCGGGAGGCAGTGGAAGACAGGAGGGCCTGGCGTGCTCTGGTCCAGGGGGTCACGAAGAGTCAGACACGACTAAACGACTAAACAACAATCCTCCTTTAAAGCCATCCAGACTGGTAGCCATCGCTGCCTCCCGTAGGAACAAGCTGCATTCTTTAATCTGCCCTCAATCATCCAACAAAAATAACCCCAAGCAAGAGAGCAGAGCCTCAAAACCCCGCAATGAGGCCCAAGCACAGCCAGTTAGTGGCCAGGGCCTTTTCAGTGATGGCTCCGACCTGGCGGAATGCTCTGTCCCATGAGACTAGGGCCCTTCAGGATTTAACCTCCTTCTGTTGGGCCTATAAGACAGAGCTATTCCTCCTGGACTTTAATTTGAATTAAGCCTGATCTTTTATTTCCCTTCTCTTTACTCCCCCTCCCCTTTTATGAAGATTACCCGCTCTGAGACCCCACAGCTAATTCTCCCCTGGTCTCCTCGCTGGCCCAAGTAGGACCAATTCAGCCAGCTAGCCCTGGGGATTATCTAAAGCTTATTTCCCCTAAATTGAATTTTATTGTTATTCATGTTTTTATACTGTATTTTATGCTGCTTTTATAATTAAGCATTTTAAATTTGTTGTTAGCTGCCCTGAGCCCGGTTTTTGAACCGGGAAGGGCGGGGTATAAATAAATTATTATTATTATTATTATTATTATTGGAGCACCAAGAGTCTTTGGGGGGAAAGGAAGGGAGTTTACGGCAGACGGGCTAGCAGCCTGAACAGCCAGCAGCACTTTCTTACAGTTCCCACTTGTTTTTTAGCAATGTCTGTTGGAGCAGAACAGGCAATGGGGAGCCTTTGTCCCCCTCCGGATGTTGCTGAACTACAACTCCCAACACCCTTGCCGCAGTGGAGGAGAGTTGTAGTTCAGCTCGGGCCGACGTTTCCCACACACCTGGGTCAGAACATTTGCCCGCGTCATCGAAGAAGCACTTCACCTGGCAATCTATTAAAACAACTCAGAAAAACTCGGTTTATTCATAAAAACCCTGAACCATACCAAAATGCAGAATTACTGGAAAAAAAGGGAGCACAGAAAAGGTGCGTTTTCGGCTAGAGGTTGCCAAAGGAAACTTAACGAGCCCTGAGCTCACGACGCATAAAACCGGCAGGGTCCACATCTCAAGAAAATAAAGTCTGCTGCATGAACCGAGTCCTTGATCTCGTGCCTCGGGGTTCAACAACCGCAGGCTGGTTATTGAAATATTTTTTTAAAAGGTGTGGGGAGAGACTCAAAAAAGATTTGAGCTGCAAGAGGGAAAGTCTGGTTGAAAATAAACTTCCAGGAAAAGAAGAACTGAGTAACAGTGACCCATCGCTTGAACATCCTCATAGTGGCATCCGATTAATTATCCTTTTCTTAAGTTGGCCAACTCTTCCCAACAAAAGCAGAGCGGCTCAGGCCAGCTCAGGAAATATCCCCCCATCCTTCAGGCCAAGGGCAATTGGCTAAGTGGCTCTCTTTGAGTTGTGTGACCCACACACACACCTGGCTGAGCCCCAGGAAGGAAAGGGGTTCCTCCAAAATTGAAGAGAATTCCCAGCCGTCTTCTGTCCTCGACGGGGTCCGTCTGCCGCCCCTCAGCGCCTTACCCGTTCTGCAACAGGAGGCGGATCAGGACGCCTGCGACCAAAACGGTGATTGCCAACGCCACAGCCAGCCCCCGGTGCAATAGGAGCTGCTTCCCAGACAAAACTTCCACGCGAGACGAAGTGAGCTCTTCTGGGGGAATCAGCTGGTCTTGCGGCGGGTGCTCCATCACGTGGTCCATGCCACTGAGAGCGTCTCCGTTGGGGACCTCCGTTTCCATCGTAAGGTAGGCTATGGGGTAGAAAACCTCGCCATTAGTTCAGGGGTGTAATCCGGGAAGGGGGAATGGGTTGCAGGCCGCATGCTGGCGGTGGGCAAGGCCGCAGTTGCAAAAAGGAGAGGGGTTCGCGCCCCTTTTCTCTCCCCATCACTGCTCTGGTTATCTCCCGCTTGGACTACTGCAATGCGCTCTACGTGGGGCTACCTTTGAAGGTGACCCGGAAACTACAACTAATCCAGAATGCGGCAGCTAGACTGGTGACTGGGAGCGGCCGCCGAGACCACATAACACCAGTCCTGAAAGACCTGCATTGACTCCCAGGACGTTTCCAAGCACAATTCAAAGTGTTGGTGAAGATCTTTAAAGCCCTAAATGGCTCAGTATACCTGAAGGAGCGTCTCCACCCCCATTGTTCTGCCCGGACACTGAGGTCCAGCTCTGAGGGCCTTCTGGCGGTTCCCTCCCTGCGAGAATTGGGGTTACAGGGAACCAGGAGGAGGGCCTTCTCGGTGGTGGCACCTGCCCTGTGGAATGCCCTCCCACCAGATGTCAAGGAAATAAACAACTATCTTACTTTAAGAAGACATCTGAAGGCAGCCCTGCTTAGGGAAGTTTTAAATGTTTGATCTTTTACTGTGTTTTTAATATACTGTTTGAAGCCGCCCAGAGTGGCTGGGGAAACACAGCCTGATGGGCAGGGAATGAATGAATAATTAAATACTATTATTATTATTTCCCAATCTTACTCACCCCTTTCATTGCTGTATGTCATTGTCTGATTGGGCGGAGAGATGTTGGGGGGAACCCCCAAGGGAAGAAGGCTCAGAGCCCAAAGAGGGAGAAGAATGGGAGGAGGAGGTATCCAAACAGGGCTTAATGAGCAGGAAGAGGCTGTGGCAGAGAGCAGTCCAGAAACAGAGGGAGAAGCAGAGAGGGTCAAGAGGCAAAGTGGAGGCCAGAGTGAGCCACCTGTCGGCGATTCCTGAGCTGCGATTCCGGCATGGCCAGGGGGCTAGGCCGGATGACCCTTGAGGGCCCCTTCCAACCCCACAATTCTAGGAACTTAACCCTTGGAAACCTGCCCCGGGCCACATATCGCACAGGGAAGAGCAGTCATGGTGATCAAGCTGTCTTGCGAGGAACTGAGTTTTAAAAGCGAAACTTTAGCAGGCTCCGCTCTCCTCTGTGTGTCCCCTGACCTTTATACAAGCGGGAAAAGGAATCCCTCCCAGCCCCATTCATCTCCCCCCCCAAAAAAATATATATCATACTCTCAACCCCATTCATTCCCACCCCCATTGAAAAATTACCTAAGGGCACCGGTTTATTAGCAGAAATGTCCTCAGAACTGCCGGTCTGTAGTCTGGCTGTCAGCCCTGCTCGGCTCTGAGCCTAGGAGATGAAAAATTTGGGATGGGGGGGGGGAGAGGGAGATAGGAGTTATCTCAGGGTTAAAACCCATAGCACACATTTTCCCTGACGTCCCAATCAAGGCTCATTGAGTCGCCCTTCGTCAGACACCTGAATACTTTCACAACTGCACATCTCTCCGAAAAGTACAGTGGTACCTCAGGTTACATCCGCTTCAGGTTACAGACTCCACTAAGCCAGAAATAGTGCTTCAGGTTAAGAACTTTGCTTCAGGATGAGAACAGAAATCGTGCTCCGGTGGCACAGCGGCAGCAGGAGGCCCCATTAGCTAAAGTGGTGCTTCAGGTTAAGAACAGTTTCAGGTTAAGAACGGACCTCCGGAATGAATTAAGTACTTAACCTGAGGTACCACTGTACTGGGCTCTCATCTTACCTAGAGTAGACCCCTTGAAGTTAATGGGTGCGCCTAATTAGGGCCAGCTAATTTCAGTACGTCTACTCCGAGGGCTGTCTCCCACGCTAGTCCTGCTCAAAACAGTCCCACTGGGAATAATGGGCATGGCTAGCTTAGGGGTCTCGATTTCCAACTTCTGAGGAAAGCTCGCCGCAACCCGTTGCCTCTCAGCTGGAAGCCGGGAGCAGAATCCCAACGTTTTAATTTGGATCGTCAGGTTTCTGGAGCTCCTCGTTTTCAGAACGGCACTTTTTCCACCTCGACAACACACCTTTGCCTTAAAACCACAAACTGGGGTGTGAAATTTCTGAAGGAAAGCAGAGCCCAAGAAACACACAAAAATCTTTTGTGTCTTTTTCAAGGAACTGAGGAAGGAAGAGCTCCTGTGAGGCTGAGAGTTCAGCGCCCCCCATGACAGAAGAGGACATTTGTCTTTTATGTGTTTTGCATCAATCCAGCAGGGGCCAAACGCTCTGGGCAGCTCTCAGACCACATGTTCTTTTTAATATTTTGTTGGGAGCTGCACAGAGTGGCTGGGGGAACCCAGTTAGATGGGCGGCATTTAAACAACAAAATTACTATTGATGATGCTATTGTTGTTACAGTCAAACCTCGGATCCCGAACGCCTCCGTTTTGGAACGTTTTGGCTCCTGAACGCCGAAAACCTGGAAGTAAATGCTCCGGTTTACGAACATTTTTCGGAAGCCGAACGTCTGATGGGCTTCTGCTCAAAGCTCCTGCAGCCAATCGGAAGCTGCGCCTCGGTTGTCAAATGTTTTGGAAGCCAAACGTGCTTCCAGAACGGATTATGTTCAACAACCGGGGTTTGACTATGCAGTCATACCTCGGCTCACAGCCGCTTTAGGTTGCGTTTTTCGGGTTACGCACCCACCAAAACCAGGAAGTACCGGAACGGGTTACTTTGGGTTTCGGCGGTCGCGCATGCGCAGAAGCACTAAATCACGCTTTGCACAGAAGTGCCGAATCGCAACCCGTGCATGCGCAGACACGCCACTGTGGGTTGCAAATGTGCATCCCGCACGGATCACGTTCGCAACCCAAGCGTCCTCTGTATTATTATTCTGCTGCTCCGGACGATAGGACTCGAAGCAACGGATTCAAGTTGCAAGAAAGCAGATTCTCTCTAAACATCAGGAAGGATAAGAGCCATTCAACAGAGGAACGGACAACCTTGGAAGCTGTCAGACGATCTCCTCTGGCTTTTAAGCAGAGGTTGGGTGGCCAGCCGTCAAGGATTCTTCCCCTGTGTTTCTTTGCAAGGGGTTGGGCTAGATTCCCCCAGGGGTGCTGGGACCCGCCCCACTTATGGAAACCAAAGGAACCGGTGCTCTCGAGCCTCACCTCTTCCGAGGCCTTTTTCCAGTCGGCTCGCAGGACGAGGACCAGGAAAGAGGCGGCTTGGAGGGAGATACAGACGATCAGCCCCGTCCACAGGCCTAAAAAGAGAGAACAAGAACAAGGGAAGATCCCTCAGATGAACCATCTAGTAAAGGTAAAGGGACCCCTGACCATTAGGTCCAGTCGTGGATGACTCTGGGGCTGCGGTGCTCATCTCGCTTTATTGGCCAAGGGAGCCTGCGTACAGCTTCCGGGTCATGTGGCCAGCAGGACTAAGCCGCTTCTGGCGAACCAGAGCAGCGCACGGAAACGCCGTTTACCTTCCCACCGGAGCGGTACCTATTTATCTACTTGCACTTTGACGTTCTTTCGAACTGCTAGGTTGGCAGGAGCAGGGACCGAGCAATGGGAGCTCACCCCATCGCAGGAATTCGAACCAGCGACCTTCTGATCAGCAAGTCCTAAGCTCTGTGGTTTAACCCACAGCGCCACCCGCATCCCTGAACCATCCAGTATTTATTTATTCTGCGTACACGTCAGGCTTCCCAAACCCGGTGTGCCCCAACAAAAGCAGAGTGGCAGATGAAGATGATGGACTTTGCAGAACTAGCAAAACTGATGGGAAGAATTCAGAACCAGCGAGACCAAGCATTCCAAAACGACTGGAACAAATTTATATCATGTTTGGAAGACAATTGTAAGCAGTTAACATCATTATAGCAGCGCTATCTGAAGATTTGTAAGAGGAAATTGCTACATATTCAGGTTGAGTAACTTAATATTTTAGGTACAGTGGTACCTCGGGTTACAGACACTTCAGGTCACAGACTCTGCTAACCCAGAAATAGTACCTCGGGTTTGCTTCAGGATGAGAACAGAAATTGTGCTCTGGCGGCAGCGGGAGGCCCCATTAGCTAAAGTGGTGCTTCAGGTTAAGAATAGTTTCAGGTTAAGAATGGACCTCCAGAGCGAATTAAGTTCTAAACCCGAGGTACCACTGTAATGATATAAAAAGGATAGGAAACAAAGCAAAATGTAAAGATGCAAAGTTTAATTTTGTAAACCAGGCATCCCCTGTTGGTTATTTTGCAGACTAGTTGCACTGCAGAAGGCAGAAGGTGCTGGGGAGACCACACATTCAAGAAACGCAAAAGTAACTTTTGCTAGGCTTGAATAACAAAAACAAAAACCCCTTTTACACTAAATTACACTATATCAATAAGCATGACCCATCCACCATCCCTTTCACCAGGGGACTGAGAGCGCTACATGCTGCTCTTTATATACAATACCCAATTGCTGACACAGCTTAATTAACACAACTTAACAGCACCTGCTGGGATGCGGGTGGCGCTGTGGGTAAAACCTCAGCGCCTAGGACTTGCCGATCGCATGGTCAGCGGTTCGAATCCCCGCAACAGGGTGCGCTCCCGTTGCTCGGTCCCAGCGCCTGCCAACCTAGCAGTTCGAAAGCACCCCCGGGTGCAAGTAGATAAATAGGGACTGCTTACTAGCGGGAAGGTAAACGGCGTTTCCGTGTGCGGCTCTGGCTCGCCAGAGTAGCTTCGTCACGCTGGCCACATGACCTGGAAGTGCGGACAGCGCTGGCTCCCAGCCTATAGAGTGAGATGAGCGCACAACCCTAGAGTCGGACATGACTGGCCCGTACGGGCAGGGGTACCTTTACCTTTACTTTTAACAGCACCTGCTATACTGCTTCACAGCTGTAAAACTAGGTCATGTTATTTGCTCTGGCCTTTAAAGAGACACACATCTTGTGAAACGATGACGAACCTTAATATTTAAAGAAACCATTCAACATCCCTGCCCTGCAGCCCTCCAGATGTTTTGGCCTACAACTCCCATGATCCCTAGCTAACAGGACCAGTGGTCAGGGATGATGGGAATTGTAGTCCAAAACATCTGGAGGGCCGAAGGTTGGGGGTGCCTGTTGTAAACCATCAGATGGGAGGGAGAGAAGTCGTCAGGCCCAGTTGAGCCAAAGAGATAAAATAAGAGGATCTGACGTTACATAATGTGATTATATGTAAAGCCAATGAAAATCATTTAAAAAACAAACAAACCTGGTGCACCGCACCCCAGAAGTTTTTGGAACTACAACAAATGTTAAATCGGCAGTTCCCAAAGTGAGTGGTGCTCTGCCAGTCAGAGCAGGTAGTATTGGGTTGTCCAACTTGACTTGGCATAAGGCAACGTCCTAATACACAGCCACTGTGATCCACGCGACGGTCACCTCCAGACTGGATTATTGCAACTCACTCTACGTGGGGCTGCCCTTGAGACTGACCCAGAAACTCCAGCGGGTGCAGAATGCCGCGGCGAGACTCCTTACGGGGTCCCCGCTGTGGGATCACGTTCACCCGGTGCTATACCAGCTGCACTGGCTCCCGGTGGAGTACAGGGTCAGGTTTAAGGTGCTGGTTTTAACCTTTAAAGTCCTATACGGCCTAGGACCCTCGTACCTACGGGACCGCCTCTCCTGGTATGCCCCACAGAGGAACTTACGGTCTTCAAATAGCATCTTGGAGGTCCCAGGCCACAGGGAGGTTAGGCTGGCCTCAACCAGAGCCAGGGCTTTTTCGGCTGTGGCCCCAATCTGGTGGAAGGCTCTGTCGCAAGAGACTAGGGCCCTGCGGGACTTGATATCTTTCCGCAGGGCCTGCAAGACAGAGCTGTTCCACCAGGCCTTTGGTCAGGGCGCAGCCTGACTCCCTCCTCTGGCAACCTGCACAGAATTTTGCTTAATGGTTGCCCTTAATTGGATTTAAACTGATTTTATAATGAAATGATTTTAGAATGTTGTATCATGTTACTGTTGTTAGCCGCTCTGAGCCTGGCTTCGGCTGGGATATAAATAAAATTTTATTATTTATTATTATTATAATGAATACAAAGGTGTGAGGGAAACTCTGGCCCTCCCAATGCTGCTGAACTACAACTCCCATCATCTCTGGCCATTAGCCATGCTTGCTAGGGCTGATGGGAGTTGTAGTTCCACAACATCTGGAGGAGCCACAGTTCCCCCCCCCCGGTCCGGCTGGATCTTGGAGACAGCTGAGCGAAGGGACCTAGTGGCAGGACCCAAACAAGGGCCTTGCTCTTTTTTTTTCATTTGTTGAAAGCATTTATATCCTGCTCTTCAATCAGCATGGCTCCCTGAGTGAGTAAAGACACACACACATAGTCCCTGCCCTCAGGCTTAGAATAATAATTTAATAATAATAATAATAATAATAATAATAATAATATATTATTTGTACCCCGCCCATCTGGCTGGGTTTCCCCAGCCACTCTGGACGGCTTCCACAAAAACCAAAAATACACTAAAATATCACACATTAAAAACTTCCCTGAACAGGGCTGCCTTAAGATGTCTTCTGAATGTCAGGTAGTTGTTTATCGCTTTGACATCTAATGGGAGGGCGTTCCACGGTGCGGGCGCCACTACCGAGAAGGCCCTCTGCCTGGTTCCCTGTAGCTTTGCTTCTTGCATTGAGGGAACCGCCAGAAGGCCCTCGGCGCTGGACCTCAACGTCCGGGCAGAACGATGGGGGTTGTCAGGGAACTGACATCGGAGCTAGAGGCGGAGGGAAGGCTCTCAAATGATGCTGGAGAAGGGCCCAGCAGGGAGAGAGGCAGCTCCGCAGATGGGGAAGCAAATCAGCGCAACACCAGGGATAAAGGGGGGCAGATGGGGGAATCGGCGAGAGGGCTCCAGGACTCTTCACCGGACACCAGCAAGGAGAGCACGGGTCCTCCGCTACCCATGCCCTCCCTGCGCAGAAGACTTCCGCGCAGAGAGAGTAGGAGGAGACTGGGTGTCAAACAACTTTTATGTTGGAAAAGATTTAAGAAACGCCCACTGACGGATTCTGCTAGCGACTGAGGCAGCCACGAAGTGAAGGGCTGCCCAGACTGAAAGGTTTAACAAGGCAACAAAGCCAGGAGAGGCGGCAACTTACGCACGAGCAACCCATACTCATTACAGAGGTGGAGACGCTCCTTCAGGTATACTGGGCCGAGGCCGTTTAGGGCTTTAAAGGTCAACACCAGCACTTTGAATTGTGCCTTAAAAAAAGGCACAACACAAAAGGAAAACAGGATGAGGAGGGAAGAGGTGAACAAGCACACCCAATCCTTGATGTCTCTTAGGAAAAAATGACCAGCAGGTATTAAATTAAAATTCTTTTTCTTTCTTTTAAAGCAGACAACATCAGCTTGCGTTGGCCTGCTGAGATACGTACCCATCACTCCAAGCTTGTACCTAAACATAAGTGTGATGCCAATGGGAAGCCCAATGGTGTAATAGCCGATGGCGTTGGCGATGGCACCAATCTTCTGCTTTCCAGCTCCTCTCAGTATTCCGCCGCACGTGGCCTGGAGAGGGGATGAGAAGGAGAGAGGGCTAAAATTATACCAGTTCAGCAAAAGTGTCAGCGTGGTAGACCGTCAAGACCCTGGCCTACCTCAAAGGGTTGTTTTTCTCCCTTAAAAATAAATAAATATTAAAGTTTGAAAAAATACAGAGATTAATATCCAATATCTTTTTATCAAAGATAAAAAAACTAATCCAAATAAAACAGAAACCAAAATGAAGAAAGGAGAAGGGGGAAAAGAAAGAAAGAAAGAAAAGAAAGAAAGAGAACTTCCGATTCTTCGTCTGTCAGCTATATATAGAAAATTATTTAAAACGGAGTGGATGTTATCTTGAACACTCAATGGTTCTATAAACCAATGTTTTATTTAAACCCAGATATCAACAGTTCCATTTTCTTTTTCACATAGTGACTGTAAGGGGTTACCAATCTTTTGTAAATATTGAAAAATGTTTTTCTCTGATTAAACACGCCAACTTTGCCACCTCAGCTATGTCCAATAATTTTAACAGGAAAGCTGCAGGAAGATTCAAGCTCAGAGGAGAGAGCTGCCTGTTGCCTCCCTGTATGAGTTCTCGCTTCTGTCCAAGAGGCAAGCTCAGAACAGGCTTAAGAACACGCATCAAAGTCCCTCAAGCGAGGGAAACGCTAACGTAAATAAACTAGGGTTGTGTGCACTTAAGATAATAACATAAATTAAGACCCAGTCCTAGTTCTCCTTAGCTGACAGCAAATCCCACTGAATTCAGTAGGAATTACTTCTGAGTAGACATGCTTAGGACTGCATTGTCAAAGTCACTGGAAAGGAAAGCTGCTTATATTGGGCAAGCTGAATCCATTTGCACAACTCCTCTCCCTTTACATTCCATCCGAAAATTATTTGTGAGCAGTTTTTGCTTGCTGGGGCTGGGGCAGTGTTGGGAGAATATCCACAGGACAGGAAAAAACTAGATCTCCAAACACTGGAAAGATTTATTTGGCAGCTGAAGACTATCTGGGCGAATGGCTTCAAAAATATGTTTATGAACATGAGGTCTAGAAGCTTGCTAAGTTTTAAACGTGAGAAAAGGAAAAGGAAGAACCACATTCTGTGCTTGTGCTGCCCCCTAGTGGAACTACGGGGTTTGCAGCCACACAGCCCTGGGTACCAATTCATGCTGTATTGAACTCACCGCTATTGCATCCAGCAGATGGAAAGGGGCGAAAATCATCATCACTTTGGCAACCAGGGCGATGATCTCTCTGTCGGGGAGGAAAGACAAGACTAAGAATGGGCAAGGAAAGAAGGTGAGCTTTTTTTTTTTGGTAGAGGTTTTTTTAAAAAAAAGCATTATTTCATTTTATAACGTATATAAAACAGAGATAACAACAGACAAAAATTAAAAGATGAAAAACAAAGCTACAAAATAGGCACGTAGGATGAGTCCAGTTTAACATGGGTTAAAATAACCAAGTCCCAGTAAAGAATATCAGTGTTATCAGATCGTCAAGTATAGTTTCACATTTTCCAGACTTACAAAAGGGTTGCTTTGAAAAAGATGTCTCTGTTGTATAGGTAATAAAAGAACGCCAAATCAAATAAATATATGTTTGGACGTTCTAGTCCCTGTCAGAATCTCAAGTTTTGTGTAATTTTCTCCACTATAATTATGTATTATTGGTTGTTGTTTCGTTCTTCTTTAATGCATTTTGTGTTTAAACTTCTTTGGCAACCACTCTTAGCTGAGTAAGATTGTCTTCCATAAACATGGTTTTAACAATGAGTCCGTAAGTGACTGTGGAGGCCAATTCTGGATCCACACGTCCTTCCACATTGGGGACATTGGTTTCTGGGTGGGAGCTGATCACGGTGTGGATTTGCCAAGCGTGCCTTCCTCCTAGCACGTTTCTCCCTTGCGTCCTGAGTTCGAGTGTCTTCAAAGCCCATGACACCTTTGGCAAAGGCTGTTCTCCAACTGGAGCGCTTGCAGGCCAGCGTTTCCCAGTTGTTGGTGTTTATACCACATTCTTTTGAGAGAGTCTTTAAACCTCTTTTTGTTCACCACCAGCGTTACGCTTTCCATTTTTAAGTTTGGAGTTTTTAAGTTCTCTCGTGGACTGCTGAGCGGTCTGCCGATTTGCCCAGATCAGTGGCGAAAGAATTTCTTGCTCCGAGTTTGAATGACCTACCTGTCGCTGGTAAAGACGTAGGCTACCACGTCCTTCACGGCTGCCAGGAGGCCAGCAAACACCATTGCAAACACACCTGGGACAGGAGAGAGAGATCAGATCAGAAGCGTTTTTAAATTATTATTATTATTATTATTATTATTATTATTATTATTATTTATTTGTACCCCACCCATCTGGCTGGGTTTCCCCAGCCACTCTGGGCGGCTTCCAACAAAGACCGAAAATACACTAAAATGTCACACATTTAAAAATGCAACAGTATTTAAAGAGCTCCTCTGAAAATGGTCTGAATGTGCCTCAGAGGTAGCACACCTCTCATGCCGGGGTGGGGGAACCTCAGGTCTGAATGCGGCCCTCCGTGGCTCTCTGTCTGGCCCTTGGGACACTCTCCAGGCCCCGCCTCCCCAAGCCACGCCCCCTTTCCCAAGATGGTTCTGCAGGACGGCCACTAGGAATGGGTGCGTAGAAACCCCTTGCACCTGTTCTTTCACCCTATCTCTCTCGATCGCTTTGTCTCTGGCCCTTCCCATCACTATCACACGGCCCCCAGAAGGTCGCCTGTGAGAATATGCAGCTTTCAGATGGGGGGGGAGAGGGTTCTCTTCCCCTGAGCTTAGGGGACGCTGCCCCTTTAAGGATGAACCCTTCCTGGGAAAGAGAGCTCCGCCCACTACCAGAGGGACTGGGACAGCCTTAAAGAGACATACACACCCGTGCAGAGGAGTCCCGTGATGCAGGACAGTTTGGCTTGCTGGACGTCACCGGCCCCCAGGGCGTTCCCCACTCGGACGCTGGAGGCAACGCTCATCCCTTGCGGTAGCTGGTGGGGGGACAGGAGAGGAGATTAACCAAGGGAGTTAACCAAGTGAGGAGCGAAAGCAACAGCCCCTTTAAGGCTAAAAAAAAAGGACAGTCGATGCTCGTGTTGTGAACGTGATCCGTCCGGGATGCACGTTCGCAACCCACAGCGTTCGCAACCCGTGGCAGCGCGCCTGTGCGGGTTGTGATGTGGCGCTTCTGCACATGCGCAAAGCGCGATTTAGCACTTCTACACATGCACAGCTGCCGAAACCCGGAAGTAACCCATTCCAGTACTTCCGGGTTTCAGCGGGTCCATAATCCGAAAAAACGCAACCTGAAGCGACTATAACCTGAGGTATGACTGTATTTGGAGAATTTCTTTTTTGAAATTGTGTGTTGGGGGGGAAGAGAGAAGATGGCCCCAACAGTGCAATTCTAGGGATGTTTACTCAAAAGTGTGTGGCGATGCTTATTCAGTAAGCACATTTATTTTGTTTCGTAAAATTTATACACCGCTGAATTGTAAAACAGAACACAAAACCACACACACGCCGCAAGGCGGTTTACAAAAATATCGAAGCAATGAAATTTTCAGCAACCGACCCCTCCTCCCAGTTAAAAACAACTATTTAAAAGGTTCAAAAATAATTAAAATCAACAAAAAACTTTAAAAAAAAAAAAAACACAACCAGATTAAAACACAGGTGAATATTCTACAGGACTGGACAGACTTGCCTAAAATAATGTTTGGAGGAAGCACCAAAATGTGTACGGTGAAAGAAGCTGTCTGATGTCTACAGGCAGGGAGTTCCAAAGGGTAGGTGATGCCACGCTAAAGGAACGATCTCTTAAAAGTTTGAAATGAGTGTAGCTGTGCCAGTTCTACAGATCGAAGGGCATATATGGAACTTGCGTTCCCACAAGTAAACTGGTCCCAGGCTGTTAAGGGTTTTATATACCAATAGTATTTGTTTTACTGTATTTTTCGCTCCATAGGGCGCACCTAGTTTTTAGGGGGGAAATGAAGGGGGGTAAATTATTTTCCCCCTCCCCCCAGGTCCAGGAGCGGCGGCAAGATTGTGTGCAACCTCGCTGCTGCTCCCGGAGTTTGCGGGGCTAGGGATGGGGGAAGCCCGAGCTTCCCCCGACCCCAGAACAGGCAGCTATCCGCAAGCCTTCCGAGCGCAGCGGGAACTCCCGCCGTGCTCAGAAGGCTTGCGGATGGCTGCCTGAAGCCCAGCGAGCGCAGTGGGAGTTGGCGCAGCGCTCGGCGGGCTTCAGGGTGCAGGCTGCTGTCCACAAGCCTTCGGAGCCCTCCGAAGGCTTGCGGATAGTTGCCTGAAGCCTGGAGAGCGAGAGGGGTCGGTGCACACCGACCCCCCTCGCTCTCCAGGCTTCAGCGAAAGCCTGCATTCGCTCCATAGGACGCACACACATTTCCCCTTCATTTTTGGAGGGGAAAAAGTGCGTCCTATAGAGCAAAAAATACGGTAATTTTCATGATGTTTTTTGTGCTTTTTCTATTGTAATTTTATTTTGTGAACCACCCTGAGATCTACGGGTATCAGGCGGCATACAAATTTAATTATCAACAACAACAACAACAACTTGAATTTGGCCTGGCTATGAATCAGTGCAGGTCTCTGATTGGGGTGATTCATGCCAAGAAAAGGCTGCAAAAATAGGGTTGCGAAGTATAAAAGCCCAAGTTGTGCAAACCACTAAGGTAGAACAAATACCTGCAATGAGAATTCAAAATAAAAAGGTGTCACTGGAACAACAGCGGCAATTTTTATAAAAACGGGAGACTCAGGTGAAGAGTTAACGGCACAGCGAGTTCTAGCCGGGAATGGCTCACTCAGTACAAGGAAATTCAATGCCTCACCAGATATGCGACCGTAGCCAGTTCGTAGATGATGGACTGAGCGCCCAATTCGACCACGCTGATCATGCCTTGGGGAGGAAAGAGGAAGAAAAGGAGACACGGAGGAATTATGGAGGAGAACTGAAAGCAGGTGAGTCATCAGAGGCCAAAAAGGAGGAGGCGGGAGGTGCTGGTCTTTAGACTTAATGGCAGACGTGTGAATGGGTAGGAGGTGCTGGCCTGGTCCAAATGGACAAATCTCACTGTCTGCACCAACAAGAATGAATGAATGAATCTTTATTCGTGTCAGCCATCGGCCATAGCAGTAAAACAACAATATGGTATACAAAGCATAGAAATAAAAAGTTAATTATATAAAATACATTTTTGGGTTTTGAATCAATAGTCAAATAGCGGATCTTATTCTGATTGCCCCAGCTAAAAACCTTGCAACCTTTGCCGTCACCTGCTCATCTTGATCTGCCAAGAGAAAGGACACTGGGGCAGTGGTTGGGCGACCCGGAATGGACAGCAAAAGAGGGGTGATAATCTCCTTCCTCAAGTCTCTATAAGGAGTGCAAGCCAGAAGGGCATGCGCCACCGATTCGGTACTGCCATCTCCACAGGGGCATAAGTGTTTTTCGTGTGGAATCTGTTGGAATCGTCCCTCGAGTCCAGCCGAGGGCAATACATTCAATCTTGCGAGAGTAAAAGCGCGCCTATATTTTAGAATTGCTAGGTTATGCAGATTGGGTGGCCAGAGAGTCAAAATGGGAAGGTGGAAAATAGTCATGCCATGGACAAAAATTCTTTATTGTGGCCAGGTTGTTCTGACGCTCGATATCATTTAAAGGTAAAGGTAAAGGGACCCCTAACCATTAGGTCCAGTTGTAGCCGACTCTGGGGTTGCGGCGCTCATCTCGCTTTATTGGCCGAGGGAGCCGGCATACAGCTTCCAGGTCATGTGGCCAGCATGACTAAGCCGCTTCTGGCGACCCAGAGCAGTGCGCGGAAACGCCGTTTACCTTCCCGCCGGAGTGGTACCTATTTATCTACTTGCACTTTGATGTGCTTTCGAACTGCTAGGTTGGCAGGAGCAGGGACCGAGCAACGGGAGCTCACCCCGTCGCGGGGATTAGAACAGCCAACCTTCTGATCTGCAGGCCCTAGGCTCTGTGGTTTGACCCACAGCGCCACCCGCGTCCCTCTTCGGTATCATTTAGGCGCTGACAAATTAGACCGATAGCTTTACTAAAACCCAAAGCGAGTAGCTGTTGTGGTGATAAACCACAAGAGTGAAGCTTTGGATAGGCAATTTTAGACTTGGGACAATCTTGTAGCGCTAGGGATATTACACCAGGGGGATTTGAGTTTAGGAGAAGCCAATAGTTAAAGTGTCTTGCGCCAGATCCGTAGTTCTACAGAGGGAAGATTAGCCTCTGGGGGCAATGATGCGTTTGGGACACCGGCAAGACTTGAGGGAACAGGGAGCCCGATCTGTGCTGCTCTGCAGTGCCGCTGCTGGTCGTGGCGAGAAAGGGGTACTGCGGTTTGTTGACGTGGCATGGTACGAAGCAGGGAAATGGAGATGCAGGACAGGGAAGCAGACAGAGACACGGCCTTAGCCTCATAGCCTCACCCGCCAGGAAGCTGCCGATCTCAAATGTCCACCACTCGATGCAGATCATCAGCATACTAGGGAGGGCCAGGCGGATGAAGGAGCCCCACTCCTGCAAGCAGTCGAGCGTCCAGCCTGCAAGAACCAGCAGAAAGAGGCTTCCAAATTCCAGAAGCTTGGATTGGGCGCACGTCACGTGACCCACCCTGACCTATCACTGCAAAGGGGCTCCCTTAAAAGGCTTTTTCCCCACCGCAGTCGCCCGCAAACTGCACAGGGCGTGGGAGTGTCAGGGGGGTTTCGTTCTCCCCTCCTTCCACGCCGCCTTCTCGGAGGCAAAAATTAAAAAATAATCCCCAGGTTAACGCCTCCCAGAGAGCCCAGGGGTGGGTGTCACAGTTATAGTGCTGGACTAGGGACCTCGGAGGCCACAGTTCAAAACCCGACTCAGCCACCGGGTGATCCTTGGGCTGGCTGCTATTTCTTAGCCTAGCCTACCTCACAGGGTTGTTGAGAGGAAATAAAACAGGGGGGAGACAGAATGGCCTTCTTTGAGCTCCTTGGAGGAATGGTGGTATATAAATTTTAATAAAAAGCCATTGATGAGTACCCCTGCCCATCATGGCCAGTCGTGACCGACTCTGGGGTTGCGCGCTCATCTCGCTTAAGAGGCCGGGGGCCAGCGCTGTCCGAAGACACTTCCGGGTCACGTGGCCAGCGTGACGAAGCTGCAGCTGGCGAGCCGGCACCAGCGCAGCAAACGGAAACGCCGTTTACCTGCCCGCTATAAAGCGGTCCCTATTTATCTACTTGCACTTAGGGGTGCTTCCGAACTGCTAGGTGGGCAGGAGCTGGGACCGAACAACGGGAGCTCACCCCGCCGCGGGGATTCGAACCGCCAACCTTTCGATTTGCAGGTCCTAGGCTCTGTGGTTTAACCCACAGCGCCGCCCACGTCCCAATAATAATAATAATAATAATAATAATAATAATAATAATAATACCTCCCCATGTCTCCTTGTGTATCTTCTTCCACCACACATACAGGAAGAGGAGGAGGGCCTGCAAATTCTGAGACAGCGTGTTGGCCCACGCAGAGCCCCTGTGAAACAGCAAGGGAAAATTGAAGCAAGTTAGGAGGAAGGAATAATTGAGAAAACATCAGGTTCAGTTTTTCTTTAGGCTGGTGGTCCTAGTAACACGTTGCCATGTAGTTTTATGAGTGGGTGGCAGGGCTGGCAGCAGATTTCTTTGCAATCATGAGAACTAGAAACTTAGCTTTCATTTTAAGAAAAAATGGGGAGGAGATAGTAGTAGTAGTAGTAGTAGTAATAATAATAAATTTATTTATACCCCTCCCTCTCTGGCCAAAACCGGGCTCAGAGCGGCTAACATCAAATATATAACATATTACCATAAAATCAAGCAATCAATTAAAATACAACCTAAAATCAAATCAGATTCAAAGTGAAATCCAATCAGATGGCAACCCGCAAATTAGGAATGGGGACCTTAAATGCACACAGATATGTGTGCCTGGGCCGTAACGCAGCAGATAAAACACTCCCACTGCCCCCGGTTGCCTAGCACTGAAATAAGCCAGCATGTCACAGAATCATAGAATTGTAGCGTGGGAAGGCACCCCAAAGGGCATCTAGTCTAACCCCGTCCACACCAAAATGGCTCACAGACTGGATATCAAAGAAGGAGGGTGTCAACAGCCTGTTGCTTCCCCTGTTGCAGAGGCAAGGGTTGGAAATGTTTTGGGGGTCGCAGCCCCATGATATCCTGTAGGACACGGGGTCACCATGAGCAAAACTTTCCCCAGCGATCTTACAAGTCTACACAAGGACAAACCGGATCCCAAGCTGTCCAGGAATTTCTGTGTTAGCAACAAGACCTGAACCCTGAACCCCGAACTTACACCACTCCTAGCCCAAAGGAGTAAAGGAAGACGGTGTTCATGATCACGTTCAGGATATTGGCCACGACGCCCGTGATCACCTGGGGCAGGAGGATAGCCTGGGATCCAGGGGGGAAAAACAGGGAAAATTAAGCACACCGCCCCAGCCAGCCAGCCTGTTCCCACACCCAGGTAAGGCTCCCAGTTTGCATCTCCCCACCTCCCTCAACCTCCAAACCCTGGAGGAATTGCCCTCAGGCATGGATCCCTTTGGGGAAAGGTTGAGAAAAGATTTGGAAAGTCTCTCCAGCATCTCTCTCTGCCCCAGCCCCCCCAGCAGTCTTTAACGGTTCAAAATGTGCTTGACTGTGTTAGGTTGCTAAGAATAAATCAGACGAGAAGCTGGGAAAGGGCGCCTGACCTCCCCCTACCCTACCCCACTCCAAAAACACGTTTAATAATAATAATAATAATAATAATAATAATAATAATAATTTATTCATACGCCGCCCTCCCCAGCCAAGACCGGGCTCAGGGCAGCTAACACCAGGTATAAAACAATTGATTAAAATACAACTTAAAAACAAGATTAAAATACAACGTTAAAATGCAGCCTCGTTTCAGTAGAAACTCGAATCAAAAACTTTTTGGGGATGAAAACATCAAATCTTCACCAAGGCCAACTACCCAGACTGTCCAAAATGCCAAAGGAAATGTTTGCACAACCCCCTTGGCGCAGCAATGACCCCCCCAACCTCCCCCTAAGCAGGCGAATGGGCCCATACCTGACTTTGCAAGTAGCGGGTTTGTAGCTGATAGATGAAAGCTGCCTGGAAAGGGTGGGGGGAAATAAACCACAAAACCGTGTTGGATTAGATTTCTTTCGGCGGCAGCTTGTCTCGAGCAACTGGGCCCCAAAGAGTCCTTTGCCCTTGCCCCAGATGATTCCCAGCATTCCCAGTTAATTCCCAGTTTGGACTGGGATGCCACAGAGTATGTCGGCAGATTAGCCCAGGGGGACCTCTCTCACCTCCTGTTCTCTAGGAGGCCAAACAAATACCCCAGTGGGAAGGCCCTAAGCAGGATTCGAACTCTCCACCCTCTTGCAATTGCCGGCAGCTGCCTCCGACCGCAGAGACGGATCATAGGTGTCATGGCCCATCGACAGCATTGCCCTCCCTGGATTTGCCTGCTTCCAAACAGCCATGACAGGGACGCGGGTGGCGCTGTGGGTTAAACCACAGAGCCTAGGACTTGCCGATCAGAAGGTCGGCGGTTCGAATCCCCGCGACGGGGTGAGCTCCTGTTGCTCAGTCCCAGCTCCTGCCAACCTAGCAGTTCGAAAGCGCGCCAAAGTGCAAGTAGATAAATAGGTAAGGTAAACGGGAAGGTAAACAGCCTTTCCGTGCGCTGCTCTGGTTCGCCAGAAGCGGCTTTGTCATGCTGGCCACATGACCCGAAAGCTGTACGCCGGCTCCCTCGGCCAGTAAAGCGAGATGAGCGCCGCAACCCCAGAGTCGGCCACAACTGGACCTAATGGTCAGGGGTCCCTTTACCTTTAAATAGCCATGACCCGCAAACCTCAAAATCCTGCTGTGCATTTTGACTTGCTTTCGGAAGCTGCCCAGAACTATGTGGGAAAATGCCGGGGTGTGAATCTGTTTCTAAATGAAGGACTAACATCCGAGCCCCACCTCTGAGACACAGCTTCCTGAAGCGAATTTAAGGCGCTTCTGAAATCTCAATTGTTTTAATTGCAAGTGTAAACGGGAACAAGGAATCTGGGGGGTGGGGGGTGCAGAGAGGAAAGAAGGGGAGGTTTTTTATTTTTTAAAAAACAACAACACTTACTGGGAGTGCTGGAATAAATATCATCACGTAAACCTGAGTCAACCTGCAATGAAAGACATAACAGAAATTTTATTTTTCTTCCCAGGCACAGCGGATACGAACTTAACGGGTTCATTGGTTGCATCGGAAGCTCACAGGTCTAGGAGAATCCAAAGCAGGGATTTAACTCTGCAGATAGTTATCCAGAGGTAGACTGCTCTCAGATCTGGAGGCTCCAGTTCATGCCATTATTCATCCGTCTATCATTCCGTTTATAGTTCACCTTGTCCTCCGAGGAGCTTGAAGTGGTGTGCATGGTTCTTCTCCCCTCCCTCTTTAAGTCTCACAACAACCGTCAGCGTAGGTTTATAGCAGGCTTCTTCAACCTTGGCCCTCCAGGTGTTTTTGGCCTACAACTCCCATGATCCCTAGCTAGCAGGACCAGTGGCCAGGGATGATGGGAATTGTAGTCTCAAAACAGCTGGAGGACCGGGGTTGAGGAAGCCTGGTTTATAGCTAAAGCAAACCAATCTTCTAACTTTCAACATGTTGAAATATACGTTTTTTAAAAAACCAGAAGCATTTTTACTTGGTATTATAGGTCAGGACATTGATAGGCAAGATGTTGAATTGTTTTTATATGCAACAACTGCGGCAAGAGTATTGTTAGCCCAGAAATGGAAGCAAGAAGAAATTCGGACGAAAGAAGAATGGCAGACAAAATTAATGGACTATGCAGAATTGGACAAAATGACAGGAAGGATTCGAAACCTGCGGGACCAGAGATTTACAGAAGATTGGAAGAAGTAGATGAATTATTTGAAGAGCAACTGTAATCAACAAATTACGCTAGTAGGACTACAATTAGTTTTTTAAGGAGAAATAGATGAAGTGTTACAAAGTAGAAAAAGATAGAGATATTGGTTATGAGTTTGAAATGTAATAAGGAAGATAAGAAATGCATACTGAGAGATTAGATTGGAAAATTTTCAGACAGGATTGATGGAAGTCAAAAATTTGAATAAGATGTAAAAGTATGTTTAATTACTGTTGACATTGATAAGTTAAAAAAAACTAATAAAAAATTATAATAACCCCCCCCCAAACCCAAAACCAATCTTCAGGTTTTTTTGTGACCGGGAGAGGAGAAGTTCTGAAAATGTTTTTGTTTTTTTTAATCAGGTGTTTCTGCTCACCTGAAGGCTGGTTTGAGGTCCTGAAGATGTCTCTTGAGAAAGAGAGAGAGAGGGAGAGGGAGTTCTCAAAGCCCAGGAAGGGGAGCAGAGATTTAAGCCCCGCATGTGAGAACAGAAGGGAGCGATTGCAGGAAGTGCAGAATTATGTATGTCCTGAAAACCGAATTACTCAAAAGCACAAACCGGCTACAAACTGGGGATCAGCTCTTTTTAAGTTCCTAGTCTTTAAGGACACAAAGACCAAACTTATGCTGAAGCGTCAGATTGTAAAAAAAAACCCAAAAGATTCTGGGAAAGGTGAATTTTTCAGATTGATGGGAGGCTGACCTTATCACTTTGCCCAGCTTCCTTCCAGATTCTCAGGACAGCTAGAAGAGGTTAAATCAAGCTCATTAAACAGTACAGGTGTGAGCATCCTTGCTCAAAAGTAGGTTGCTCTGAGTAGGACTAGCGCTCTAGCAAGTGTTAAGGACCGCAGCCCTTGGGCCTTGCACAGTGGCACAGTTTTGCTTCAGAACCTGTGCTTTATAATAATAATAATTTATTACTTATACCCCAGCCACTCTGGGCGGCTGCCAACAGAACATAAAAAACACGATAAAACATCAAACGTTAAAAACTTCCCTAAACAGGGCTGCCTTCAGATGTCTTCTAAAAGTCAGATAGTTGTTTATTTCCTTGACATCTGGTGGGAGGGCGTTCCACAGGGCGGGTGCTACCACCGAGAAGGCCCTCTGCCTGGTTCCCAGTAACCTCACTTCTCACAGGGAGGGAACCGCCAGAAGGCCGTCGGTGCTGGACCTCAGTGTCCGGGCTGAACGATGGGGGTGGAGACGCTCCTTCAGATATACTGGACCGAGGCGTTTAGGGCTTTTAAAGTCAGCACCAACACTTTGAATTGTGCTGGGAAACGTCCTGGGAGCCAATGTAGGACTTTCAAAACCGGTGTTATGTGGTCTCGGCGACCGCTCCCAGTCACCAGTCTAGCTGCCGCATTCTTGGTTAGTTGCAGTTTCCGAGTCACCTTCAAAGGTAGCCCCACGTAGAGCGTGTTGCAGTAGTCCAAGCAGGAGATAACTAGAGCAAAGAGCCTCGGCAGAGGAGTTTTCCAGTTTTACTTGCCGCTCACGTAAAGGCTGGAAAACCTTAAGGACTAGGAGCTTGGAACTGATTTGGAAAACAGTGTCAGGAGACAGGAAGAGGGAAGAGGTTTGAGGAAAAGCTGCAAAGGGTGGATCACAGCTCCCCACTCCCCACCCCCTCCTGAGATGTTTGCTATAAATGTGTGTGTGCATTTGCATGCAAGGAGCGAAAGCAACTAACCGGGAGACTTCTGGGTCCTGCCTGCAGAGAAGCAAGATCTGCTCCGTGTTGATGAAGAAGGCCCAGCAGGGGAAGCAGAAGAGGAGCAGGATGAGGATCCCCCGTTGCAGGATGGTCCCCACGCGCTTCACGTTCTTGCTCCCGTACGTCTGATTTTTTAAAAAAGCAGGAAAGCAAAAATTAAATCAGCCGCTGCTCCTTGCACCGCTGCAAAGCTTTGCCCAATTTTGGCTGTTATTCACTCAGGGGAAGGGGAGAAACTTGGGGATTAGGATGAAACCCTCCTGGCGTCCCTGATAAGAGGCCAGGTGGCCTCCTCGGGGACGTATTGCACCCCTCTCCGGGTGTGCCATGTGGCATAGTGGTTAGAGCCCTTGCTTTGCAAGCAGAAACTGCCAGGTTCAATAATAATACAGTGGTACCTCGAGTTACATACACTTCAGGTTACAGACTCCGCTAACCCATAAATATTACCTCGGGTTAAGAACTTTGCTTCAGGATGAGAACAGAAATCGTGCAGCGGTAGCGGGAGGCCCCATTAGCTAAAGTGGCGCTTCAGGTTAAGAACAGTTTCAGGTTAAGATGTTGGATTGAAATTAAGTGGCTTCTAGCTGTACAGGCTTTAAAGTTATAAATATATCAAGATTAAGGATTAGGATTAAAAAGGTTAAAAGAATGGAAAAATTGGTTTTTAATAGGTAAAAATTTAATGCTATACTATATTAAGATTAAGGATTGGGATTAAAAAGGAGGGAAAGGAATTGCTGGACTAACAAACTGAATTGGAATACAAAAGAGGGAGGTATGAGGAGGTCCGGGAAACAAGTAAATGTAAAAGTAGTGATGAAAAGAGGGAATTGTTTTTAACTGTTTTTCTTTTTTCTTTTTGTATTTTGCATTGTGTAATTTTCTTTTTATTCTTGAATTTTTCTTTTTTCGTTGATGTGATTCTTTCTTTGTGAAACTTTAATAAATATCATTAAAAAAAAAAAAAAGAACAGTTTCAGGTTAAGAACGGACCTCCGGAACGAATTAAGTTCTTAACCCGAGGTACCACTGTAATTTTATTATTTGTGTCCCAGCCACTCTGGGCAGCTTCCAACAAAATATAAAAACACAGTAAGACATACACCCAAAGTTTAAAACTTCCCCGTACGGGGAAATATAATCCTTGGCATCTTGAGGGTTTTTTAAAAGGTTCAGTTAGCCAGGTGATAGGGGAAAGAGCCTAGGGAGCTGCTGCCAACCAGAGCAGGGAATACTGGGCTAGGTGGGTAGAAGAAGTCAGACGTGGTACTGAGGAGCTCCCTATGCGGTGTCCGGACATACCTGGGACATGAGAGTGTCACACACAGATGCCAATCCAGTGCCCACGGAAATGCCAATCACATTGATGACCTGGGAGGCAGGAGTGATGAGAGAGAAAGGAAGAGAGGGAGGGTGTCAAGGTCATGCAGAAAGTCCCGGGTTCGGACCCCAACGGCATCTCCAGCTGCAGCTGGGAACGCCCCCTGCCCGAAACTCTGGAGAGCTGCTGCCAGCCAGTGCAGACAACACTAGCTAGGCCATTGCCCCAGCTCAGGATATATGACAGCTTCCTGGGTTCCTAACGAAATCAGCTCCCATTGTTCAGAACCATGCGGAGCTGCCACTTGACTCTTAAGATCAGAGTTCCATGTCTGGCATGTCCGCCATTTCTAGGTAGGGCTGAAACCTCGGCGGGCGGCTGCTGCCAGTCAGTGCAGGCAGTGCTGAGGCAGACGCCCCCCTTGGCCCGACTCGGCGCCAGCAGCTTCCTGCGTTCCTCTTGAAATCAGAACCATGAGGACTGGGACCTTGGCTCTGCTTTTAGCGAGAGGGGCTGCAGATCAAAGGTGGAGCATTTGCCCCAGCTCTCAGGGAGCGGGGCAGCCCAGGGCTCTGGCTGAGCGCAAGGCAGCTCTTGCGAGGCAGGGCCTTACTTACCGATACAGCGAGGGTGACGGCATCCAGCTCGACTTTGCCCAGGTGGCCGCAGAAGATGGAGCTCACCACGCTGATCAGGAAGCCCAGAAGCTGCGCCACGAACTAAGGAGGAAGGGTAAGGGGTGAGCACATCCCATCGCCAAGCACACAATTAAACTGTGGCGGTGGCGGCAGTGGTGTAGCATGGGGCAGCTGCCCGGGGCACAAAATTCTTCTTCTTCTTTTTTATTAAATTTTCTGTTTTACAATTTAAAATATTCATTTAAACAACCTTAAAATATCAGTTGCTTCCCTTCTTCTCTTTGGTTTTGCATAACGTAAATCACTGCGTATTTTATATTCTCAGGGGCGCAAAATTTCAGAAGGCAAAAAAGAAGTGGTAATAATGAATAAAAACATAGCTTGCCCTCCCCCTTGTTGCATAAATCTGTGCCACGGGCCCCTGGTGTCATCTAGGCCAACCCGCTACAACGTGCTAACCACCTGTAATTTTAATAATAATAATAATAGTAATAGTAATAATAATAATAATAAATTTTATTTATACCCTGCCCACCCCAGCCAAGACCAGGCTCAGGGTGGCTAACACCCGATGTAAAACAAATTGATTGAAATACAACTTAAAAACGAGATTAAAATACAACATTAAAACACAACATTAAAATACAGTCTCAATACTCCAAGCCTCAATATTCTCGCTCAGAAAATATCCCAGTGTTCACGTGAGTAGATTAAGGAGACGATTTGGGCGGTGGCTGGTTGCCAGGGTGCCCTCTGCAAGCTTTGGAAAGATTCCCACATGGGTAGATCACTGAGCTGTTGCCCCTTCGTCCCAGACTGTGCCAATGCTATCTGCCTTGCCCCGGGCACTGGCAACCCACGCTGCATCACTGAGTGGCAGCCACTAACTCAGACGCCTATAAAAGAGGCTTAGCCAAGTTTGCGGAGGTTAAGTCTCTCTGTTGCCACTAGCCACGGTGGTTCTGCTCTGCTTCTGTGGTTGGAGTCAGCAGTGTACAAGCCACAGGCTCTCGCACCCGCGTCCTGCTCGAGGTCTTCCTATTGGGGGGCATCTGCTGGACATCACTATGTAAACAGGCCGCCTCCCCACCTTCTGAACGCAAGGTCTCGGCGCACGGAACAACCCCGGGTGTTTTGTCACGCAGAGGCTAGCTTTCTACCTGCAGGGAGCCTGCAATGTTCCTCCAAAAAATGGTTCCCAAAAATTTCCACTCCCCCCTCGCGGCTCGCAGAACCTCTCCCGTGTGTCTTGGCCCTGTGGAGTTTGAACTGGCTTTTGGTTCCAGGAACCGGGGCCCGATCCAAAGCGGTGTTTTCTTGTACTTGGGGAAGAGCGCCAAGAGAAGCTGAACAGGTCCCAACAAGCACAGCTTACGCGAAGCTCGGCGCTACCCCAGGGCAGCAATCTTTCACCCTGACAAGGATCTGGGAGGGGAAAGAGAAAATAAGCATTTTGTTTCCTGACCGCGCGATGGCGGGAAGAGGTTTATGACAGCAGTCCTCTAATCCTGGACATGCCCTGACACAAATATGTGGATTTTTGGGGGGAGGGTGGGGGGAAGTAGAGAAGAGGCAACGTGCTGTTAGCTGAATGGCCCAATCCGGAACACGTCAATAGAGAGACCCAGCAGAGGACAAGAAAAACAATATTAAAAAATCAGATTATTGGCTCCTTTAGCCGAAGGATCAACGTTCCTGCTATTTCCAGAGTTCAGGCGCTGTGTGGAGTTGCAAAATACTCCCCCCAATTTTAAGGTGACCCAAAAACATCTCAGTGAAGACTGAGTGTGCTTGGCGATCCTTGAATGCTGATAGACTGTTGGGAGAAGGGGAAAAGGGAGTGGAGCTCAGTGATAAGAGCATCTGTTTGAACTCAGTCCTGGGTTCGATTTTCGGCATCACCAGGTGGGACTGGGGAAAGACTCTGTGCCTAAAACTCTGGAGAGCTGCTGCTAGTCAGTGTGGACAGTACTGTGCTGGATGGACCAAAGGGTCAAGTCATCACAAGGCAGCTTCCTAAGTTCTCATGGGGGTGGGGAGAGAGGGGCTAGAATCTGGAAGAGCAGCACCTCATGCTGCAACATTTTATCGCAGCACACATTTGTCCTGTTCCTCCCCCCTCAACTAGGATTGAACCTGGGACTTTTTATGCAAAGCATGTGCTCAAGGAACGAGTCAGACCGTCAGACACACACAAACCCTCAACCCCAGGGCATGAAAGTTTCCCTCAACCCCAGGGCATGAAAGTTTCAAAAGGTGCCCTTATCTGGCAGCAAAGAACTTCCGACCCAAAGTCAGATGCTTGCAAGATGGACAATGAACAAAAGGCTGTTTGGGATTGAAGGAACTGATCCCTCTCCCCCTGTTCCAGAGGGACAGGACAGCTGATCCAAACAAAAGATCACAAACACACAAGCACTTTAAAGTTCAGCATGCACAAGTCCCCAGGTTAGTTCGTTCTTTTTTAAAAGAGAAATGTTGTGATCCGCCGAGCAAATTCAAAATTTTAAGTTTGCGTTTGTTGTACAGTGGTACCTCTGGTTACATACGCTTCAGGTTACATAGGCTTCAGGTTACAGACTCCCCTAACCCAGAAATATTACCTCGGATTAAGAACTTTGCTTCAGGATGAGAACAGAAATCGTGCTCCTGTGGCGCAGCAGCAGCGGGAGGCCCCATTAGCTAAAGTGGTGCTTCAGGTTAAGAACAGTTTCAGGTTAAGAACGGACCTCCGGAACAAATTAAGTACGTAACCAGAGGTACTTCACTGTATATCTTTTTAGCCGAGTTAATTTCATGCGGATATATGCGCCATGCTGGACCACACGCAAACAAACAAATCTGAATCTACGGCCCAGAGCATTTTGCAAGGCTCCTTTGCAAGATAACCAAAATAAGCAGGCCTCCCAGGATCTGAGCAAGCTCCAGCCCCAGGGTCCTTTGCAAGCAGTGGGGGAGGCAGGGGGCATGGAGAGAAGCACACAAGTCTTGCAGGATCTGAACAGACAGGCCAGCAAGCAGCTCCCTGCAAAACCTCAGGTCCCTGGCAAGCAATCCAAAGAAAAGCTGGTGGACAACTCAGTTCTAGGTCCTCCTTGTAAAAGTTGCAAGAACTCTGCTGCTTTGCCAGCGGAGCCAAGGGGAGCGGAAATCGAGCATCAGAACAGCCAACGACAATATTAGACTAAGAGGCGACTGAGCAGAATAATAAAATATGGGAGTTTCAGTGTTTTTATTTTAGAAGGAAAGAAAAGAAAAAGTGAGATGTCATTGTGTGGCCCACCAAACGTATTTTAAAAAAATGTTTTAAATTATTGTTGTGAGTTCTTTTTATTGATAACATTTTAGCTCTTTTGTAAACCGTTTTGAGGTGGGGTTTTTCTTTTCCAATCAAGCAGTGTATAAATTTCAGGAAGTAGTTCCTTGGGAAGAGGGATTGAACCAATCTGGAAACGGAAGCTCCGTGAGGGAAACTGGGCTAACTCCTCATAATCCCCAGCCCCCTTAACAAACTACAGTTGCCAGGGTCCTTTGGGGGAAGCCATGACTGGGGGAAGCCCTAAACGGCCTCAGTCCTGTATAACTGAAGGACCATCTCCACCCCCATCGTTCAGCCCAGACACTGAGGTCCAGCGCCGAGGGCCTTCTGGTGGTTCCCTCATTGCGAGAAGTGAGGTTACAGGGAACCAGACAGAGGACCTTCTTGGTGGTGGCGCCCGCCCTGTGGAACGCCCTCCCATCAGATGTCAAGGAAATAAGCAGCTATCTTATTTTTAAAAGACACCTGAAGGCCCTGTTTAGGGAAGTTTTTAATATTTAATGCTGTATTGTTTTTAACACTCGATTGGGAGCCGCTCAGAGTGGCTGGGGAAACTCAACCAGATGGGCGGGGTATAAATAATAAATTGTTGTTGTTGTCGTTGTTGAGTCATTTAGTCGTGTCCGGCTCTTCGTGACCCCCTGGACCAGAGCACACCAGGCACTCCTGTCTTCCACTGCCTCCCGCAGTTTGGTCAAACTCATGCTGGTAGCTTCAAGAACACTGTCCCACCATCTCATCCTCCGTCGTCCCCTTCTCCTTGCGCCCTCCATCTTTCCCAACATCAGGGTCTTTTCCAGGGAGTCTTCTCTTCTCATGAGGTGGCCAAAGTCTTGGAGCCTCAGCTTCAGAATCTGTCCTTCCAGTGAGCACTCAGGGCTGATTTCCTTCAGAATGGAGAGGTTTGATCTTCTTGCAGTCCATGGGACTCTCAAGAGTCTCCTCCAGCACCAGAATTCAAAAGCATCAATTCTTTGGCAATCAGCCTTCTTGATGGTCCAGCTCTCACTTCCATACATCACTACTGGGAAAACCATAGCTTTAACTATACGGACCTTTGTTGGCAAGGTGATGTCTCTGCTTTTTAAGATGCTGTTATTATTATTATTAAAAGCTTAACATGAGTCCAGTGTGTGACGCAGCAGCAAAAAAAGCTAATGCTATTCTTGACTGCATCAACAGAAGAAGTCTAGTGTGCAGATCAAGGGAAGGAATAGTCTGACTCTATTCTGCTTTGGTTAGACCACACCTGGAATACTGTGTCCAGTTCTGGGCGCCACAATATGTCGACAAGCTGGAAGGTGTGCAGAGGAGGGCGGAAAAGATTATCAAGGGTCTGGAAACCAAGCCTGATGAGGAGTGGTTGAAGGAGCTGGGTATGTTTAGCCTGGAAAAGAGGAGACTAAGAAAAGATATGATAGCCATCTTCAAATATCTTAAGGGCTGTCTCGTGGAAGATGGAGCAAGCTTGTTTTCTCCTGCTCTGGGGGGTAGGACCCGAACCAATGGCTTCAAGTTACAAGAAAGGAGATTCCGACTAAACATCACGAAGAACTTTCTGACAGTAAGAGCAGTTCGACAGTTGAGATTTGTGCGGGTTGGACTAGATGACCCTAGGGGTCCCTTCCAACTCTATCATTCTATGAAAGTGGTATGATACAGCTTTAAATGCACTGTGAAGACGGGGGCCTTACTTTTGTACTATAGGCTGCACATTTCAGCCGCGCAGAAGCCAGAGGTTTTCACACACATCTCGCCATCCAAGCAAACAAGCGGATTTTTTATTTTTTTACAGTTCAAGGACACATTCCAAACAGTTAAAGAACTCCACAAAGGCAGGAAGTGTGGGGCGTGACCCGAGGAGAACATCAAGGGCCAGAAAGAGAGAGCCAGAGGGCCGCATCCGGACCCCCAGGCCTGATATCCCACCACCCCTAATCTAGTCTAACCTTCCCCTCTCAATCCGGCGCAGGATCTATAATGCAGGATAAACAATGTTTTCAGCTTTGCCTCGTGGTTTTATCCGGGTGGGTCTTGCTTATATTGTATTGTTCTGGTGCGAGAGGTCTGGGTAGGGGCCTGCCCTGAAAGACAGACTAGAAAATCTCTTTTTTTAAAAAAACAAAAGCACTTTCGGTTCCATCATGTGCCAATTTCCATGCAAAAATAAAGATTTTTAAAAACAGCCATTCGCGTAAGGTTTCATGCAAGAGGTCACAAGGCTGATCCGGAAAATGAAATGTGTACTTTAGTTTTTAGCGGGTCGTAAAAAGGGCTCAGGGTGGGGTCTCTGGGCCCCAATAAGCTCAGACTTTGGACCCCCCCACCTCCTTCCCTTATCAACTAGGGGCGAGTCCACCTTTGGGCAAGGACAAGATAGGGTGGGTCTCTTGAGACCACAGCTGTGGGGAAGACTACCTGCTTTGCACGCAGAAGGTTCAGCCTCCAGTGGCTTCTCCTGGAAGGGAATGTCCCCTAGCATGAAACTCTGGAGAGCTGCTGCCAGTCAGTGCAGACAACACTGGGTTAAATGGACCAATGAACTGACTCAGCTTAAGGCAGTTCAACTGAAATCAGCCCTTCCTTCAGAACCATGAGGACTGGAACCTTGTTCTGTTTTCAGAGGACGTAGTGCAGTTCTGTCTCTCAACTTCCTCCTTCCCCTCCTCTTCTTTCCTCTTCCCTTCCTCCTGCCTTTCCTCTATTCACCTCTCATTTCATTCTTTTCTTTTTCTCTGCCCTTCTCCCTCCCATTTTCTCATCCTTCATCCTTGTTCCATCCCACGCCTCCCATTTCATCTCCTGCGGGTTGCATCCAACGCTAGCTCTACTCACTCAGAGTTGACCCATTGAAATGAAGGGGCACGGCTGACTCACCCATTCTGACGGGGTTAAGCTTGGTCAGAGACAACCCCATTATTTCGTTCCGTCTTTCAAATAAAAACTATACACTGCTTGATTGTGAGAGGGAGAAACTCAGAGCAGTTTGCGAAAACAACGGAACAGTGAGATTTATCAGTAAAAAAAGTTAGAAACAATTATTTTAAAAAACAGAATTGGCGGTAAACGGAACACTAGATTAAAAGCCATTTCAGCTCTTCACATTTTTATTCCTCCCATTTCTCTCTCCTTCCCTCCCATGTTATTCTCCGCAGATCTCTCTCTGATCCATAGCTGTCAACTTTTCCCTTTTCTTGCAATGGAATCCTATTCGGAATAAGGGAATTTCCCTTAAAAATATTGACAGCTATGCTCTGATCTCTCTTTCATTTCTCAGTCTCTGCGCCTCATTCATTGATCCTGACGATCATTCATCCTGCTGCTTCCGCCCGCACAACAACGTTGCGAGGCGGGCCACGGTTGCTCTAACCACTGCACCACCGCTGCCGCCCCCCCAGATCGCGGTTCTCCTTCGGGTCCCCGCCCTCCCCGCCTGCCCTCCTTCCTCACCACGGGGCCGCCGATCTGGACCAGCTCGCGGGCCTCTCGCCAGGCGCCGACGGGGACGAGGCGGCGGAGGCTCCGGCCGCAGCAGGAGGGCGAGAGCGAGGGCGGTGGCGGCGGAGGAGGCAGCGGCCGGATCTCCTGGGGCTCGTCCCCCTCGGCGCCTCGCTTCTCCTCCAGCCTCTGCATCGTCCTCCTCCCCGGCGGGGCCAGGGAGCAGCAGCAGCAGCAGCAGCTCCGAGCGGCAGCGCCAACGGCCGCGCCGTCCAGCCCAGCCGAAGCATCGCTCCCCGGCGGCGGCCACGTGCAGCGCAGGCGGGCCAGGGGGGCGGGCGCGCGGAGGGGAATCCCCTTCCCCATTGGGCGGAGCCGGCGGTGACGCGCGCGCCGCGGGAGGGAAGGAGGGGAAACCCCCCGGACCCCCAAATCGGATGGGCGGGCGAGGTGGAGGGGGCTGCACCCGTCATTTTTATGAATGATTTCATATTTTGTTGTTGTTGTTGTTAATTAATTAATTACTTGCCCAGCCCTTCACCCAGAGCAGGTCACAACCATTAAAACAAAATATGAAATAACGATTAGCAAATAGAAAATGTTGATTTTCTATATTATTCGTATTAATTACCTGCCCTTCACCCTAAGGCCCCAGGGCACACCGCAACCATTAAAATACAATATTTAAATATTATTATCAAAGGAATGAATGAAGTTTATTATAATTGGTTTTATTTTTATTATTATCGATATTAATCTACTGCTATTCACCATAAAGTCCCTGGGCAGGTCACAACAATCAAAATGCAATATTAAATAATCATTATTAAATGTAAAAACAAAATTTAAAAAATTCCTTCCAGTAGCACCTTAGAGACCAACTAAGTTTGTTATTGGTATGAGCTTTCTGAAGAAGTGTGCATGCACATGAAAGCTCATACCAATAACAAACTTAGCTGGTCTCTGAGGTGCTACTGGAAGGAATTTTTTTAATTTTGTTTCGACTACGGCAGACCAACACGGCTACCTGCCTGTAATTAGAATTATTAAATGTATGAATATAAATGATTATTAAATTAAATTAAATTTATTGTTCATATTCATATTCCCTGTCCTTTCCTCCAAGGAGTTTGAGGCAGCATGAGTTACCCCTCCGCTATTTTTTTAAATCTTCACAACAACCCTGTGAGGCAGGTTCAGCTCAGAGAAAGGTGAGTGTTTAAATGTATGACTGGCCCAGGGTCACTTAGTGAAAGCGCATTGGGAGTGGGGGGTTTGAACCCTGTCTAAGGCCAATACTTTCACCCTTATGTCATATTGACTTCCATCTTTATATTTTTCTTATTACTGCTATGAGCATGGCCCACACCGCAGCAGCTTACACACCCTCAACGTGCAGAGGAATGCAATACAAAACTGCGAAAGCTGAACAGATTATAAGGCTGTGCTACAAAAGTGATTCCGGTTTTGATTTCAGAAGTCCTACTGGGTTTACTCCAAAGGACATTCCACTCAGTTGCATGAGGCTGACTCCCTCGTAAGCACCATCAGAGTCGCAGAGTTAGTGTGGAGCCAACCCTCTCTAGTCTATTTCATTGGATCACATCACTGAATAATTTCTGGGTAACAATCAGGCAAACTTCCTATGGAAACATTACTAAACGGCTGGGAATCAGATATTGGGAATAAAATCCAGATTCAATAAATTGTGGGATGTTCGTCCATTAAAATCCGTACCCAGTTCAATCCCTGATTGCTCAACCCAGTTCAATTTCTTCTGAAGTCATATTGAGCTCTGTCGATTTCAACAGGCTTGACTCAATCTACTCACTCGAAAGCAGCTCTTGACATGCTATATTGCACCCTAAAATATTGGCAGTATGAAAACTCTCTCTCTCTCTCTCTCTCTCTTAAAGCAGACAAACAGTAATAGTTGCCTCTCTCACGCAAGACAGATGCAATATGTCTGCGAAAACCTGCCCTCAAAAGGTCAGGGTTGTACGACTGGGGGATTTTTCTTTTCTCAATTTGCCGGTTGCAAATCTCTTGCAAATATTTGCCCTCATTATTCTTCAGCCAATTAAAAGAACGCAGATTCTTCCTCCTCTTTCCTTGCTGAGACAGCTCCTCGCTCTTTGCTTTGCTGCTAACAAACAGAGATAGGTTTTTGGAATCTTTAGAGCCAAAATATCGATTTCCAGACGTTATTTCCTCAATTCTTGTTTAAATAAGCGTTTGCTTATTTATTTAGAGGATTTGTGGCTTGTTCCTTCAGCCAAGAAGGCTCCCAGAGTGCCTTGGAAATCAATGAAAGCAAAGACAGTCCCCACAGGCTTATCATCATCATCAACAACAACAACAACAACAAAAATGGCACACAAGGAAAAGGGGCAGGGAGGGCAGAGGAAAAAAGCAAACCCAGGCATCAGTTCTTAAATCGTAGTTCAGGGTTGCCAGAGGCTTCTAATGGAATTGATCTTTTTGACAGAGTTCATGGAACAGGCCCTGCTTCCCAGTTCTTCCACTGAGGCAGCCTGATGGTCCATACAACACATACTTTTTTTTGTACAACAACCTGATGAGGCAGGACATGGTAGAGGGTTGTAAGAATTGCTGCAGAGCCCTTGCTGGATCAGGCCAAAGGCCCATCTAATCCAGCATCCACTGAGAGCCAGTATGGGATAGCAGTTAGAGCACTGGACTAGGGCCTGGGAAACCAGGGTTCGAATCCCAAGTCAGCCATTAAGCTGACCGGGGTACTGCCTCTCAGCCTATCCTACCTCACAGGGTTGTTGTGGGGATTAAATGAAGGGGGAGACCACATACACCACCTTGAGCTCCTTGGGGGAAAAAGATGGGATGTAATAATAATAATAATAATAATAATAATTTTTATTTGTACCCCGCCCTCCCTGGCCAGAGCCGGGCTCAGGGCGGCTAACACCAGTAAAATTACAGTAAAATCATAATAGGGGGAAAAAACACCAATTTAAAATACAGGTTAAAATGCAATTTAAAATGCAGCCTCATTTTAAAAGTAGCCCATAGATCAAAACCATAAGGGTAACTAAATAAAGCACCCAGTAACTAAATACAGTGGTACCTCAGGTTAAGTACTTAATTCGTTCCGGAGGTCTGTTCTTAACCTGAAACTGTTCTTAACCTGAAGCACCACTTTAGCTAATGGGGCCTCCTGCTGCTGCTGCGCCGCCGGAGCACGATTTCTGTTCTTATCCTGAAGCAAAGTTCTTAACCTGAAGCACTATTTCTGGGTTAGCAGAGTCTGTAACCTGAAGCGTATGTAACCTGAAGCGTATGTAACCTGAGGTACCACTGTAAACTAAATAATGCAGTAACTAAGTAAAGCACCCAGATTCACACAAGTTGCAAGGAAACAGCCCCAAGGAGCCAACGTGCTGCCTCCAAATACTGTTGAACTACAACTCCCTTCAGCCCCAGCCAGCAGGGCCAATGGTCAGGCAGGAGTGGGAGTTGTAGTACAGCAGCACCCAGAAGGCATCCTGTTGGCGACCTCCAACTAAATCCTGGTGCCCTCTAGATGGTTTGAACTACAAATCCCATCCTCGTCCCTGACTGTGCTGGTCCCTGGCCCTGATGGGAGTTGTAGTCCAACCCATCAGGAGAGAGCCAGGTCAGCAAATATCGAATCGCCAGTCGCAGGAGGCATGAAACGGAGGGTGCGCATTTTATAAGTGACAAAAACGAGCCTGTCTTGGAGGCGTCCATGGATGGCTGGCCAGCACAGAGATTTTAAGAATAATTAACTGAGCGGGGGCGTTTGAAGCCAATTTATGAGGAGGGAATGCAAACCACCTCAAGGCTTTGGTATGGCAATTCCTACAGGCCTTGGAATCTGGATTCCCTTGCAAGACTTCAGATTGTGCACCGAATGGGGAGGCGAGGGGGCGCTCAAAATGCGGCCTTTGCCCTCCCTTAATCCAGTGAACTTGGCCATTCATTAACACATCCAGGTCAAAGAGCACATTAATACGGATTGGCCCTTGCTGGCGTTTACACAGGCGGCTTATGGACCAGCTCCAGTATCACGTCCGGAGGGGGGTTGGGTGTCAGCGTGCAAAAGGTCTCCGGTAGAAGATCCTGCTGGATCAGGCCAGTGCCCCATGTGGTCGAGCATCCTGATCTCACAGAAGCTGACTAGATGCCCATAGGAAACTCGGGAAACCAGATCTGGGGGAACAAGCCCTCCCCTTTCCTGTGGTTTGCAGGAACTGGAATCCAGATAGTTGTCAATATCCTTTTCCTCTGCGAATTTCTCTAACCCACTTTGAAAGCCGTTCAAGTTGGTGGCTATCAGTGCTTCCAGTGGAAGCGAGTTCCATAGTTTTAACTAGGCGCTGCGTAAGATCTGCCCTGGGTCTTATAAGAAGAGCCAGGTTAATAAGAGTAATAGTCTTATTATTTATACCCCGCCCATCAGGCTGGGTTGCCTCTGAAATAAACGAAAACTTTCTCTTATTCCCTTATGAGGAACACAAGAGCCCTCATAGAGTCCTTTGTAGGTTCTCCGTCGGTCGGAGAAAAACAGAGGCCAACCAGAGAATATTGAGAAGCAAAGCAGCTAGTAAGCTTGATCTTTACTGATCTGTTGCAACAGGGTGCTCCCCTCACAAGCAGGAGAGAGGAGGAACCCTGAACAATGGCGTGCAAGGCCTTATAAAGACTTTTGAAATTGCCACCCTGTAGATCAAGACCACCCCCAGAAACATCATACATACATCACAGAAGGGGTGTAACCTAAGACCACCCCTCAGATACATCACACCTATATCACAGAAAAGGCGGTCTAAAACAGAAATTTGAATGTTGAATGTTGTTTGTCTCCTGTCGTTTATCTCCTGTCTGGCAAGTTACCTGTTAATGCTTACTGGATTGATACCCTGGGGAGCCTGGCCAGTCTTTTGTAATGATAAGTACTTAGTTCCTGAGCCACCCTATTCATAGGCTCACCCTATTCATACACAGATATTCCCTTAAGACAGGATTTGTGAAGGAAGAAGCAATAGGGAGGCTCCTCCATTTGACCTTGCAGAGAATACACCTGGTCAGCCTGGGAGTCAAAATGGCTCCATAGCTGCTTTCCTGTGCAGCTTCAGACATGTGGCCTATATATCTATGTACGTGTTTGCTTGGTACATTTATGAACCTTTATTATATACATAAGACCTTAATTTATTTATTTCACCCAGCATCTCCAGATAGGACTGGGGGGATGAACTGTCTATCTAAAACCCTAGAGCACCTGTTTCCAATGAACTAAGTACTACAGACCTTCTGTTTTTCCAAAGCCAAGCCATGGACTCCCTACTTTTGAATACCTGATACCTGGGACCTTCTCATGAGGACTGGCGCCTTGCTTTTACTTCTAAGGGGAAAGTTGGAACCGGGCAGCAGTGCACATGAGAAGGTCCCACGTTTGATCCCCTGCAATTTCCAAGGAGGGCTGGGAAAGGCTCCCTGCCTGGAAATACTGGAGAGCTGCTGCCAGTCAGTGTAGACAATACTAAGCCAGATGGAGCAATGGGTCTGGCTCAATCTAAATCCATTTCCTCTGTTCCTGTCACAAATCATTCCCAAGCAAACCAGCTCTTCATTGTGGACCGCTGACTATTTTGACTCCTCTAATGGCTTCCGGACTCCAACTCCCATCACATCTGACCTTTGATCTTCCTGGCTGGGGCTGATGGGAGTTGGAGTCCAGCAAGATCACGAGGGCAGCTCCTTCCCCATCTTTACGTATTGAAAAAGTGAGCTCTTTCCCCCACCTTACGTAGCTAGCTAGCTAAAACGGAGTCACATCCAGTGCCGGATTTACATGCAGGCTGAGCAGGCCGCAGCCCAGGGCCTCCTAATCTAGGGAGCCCTTGGCCTCTTGCAAAAAAAACCAGGCAGATTTTACAACCTAGGCCAAGTTGCTTGGTAACAGTAAAGAAGAGAACGTGGTTTTATTTCTCGTGATCAGATGCTGCTAAGTTTGGACCTCCCAAGGTCTCCCATTCCAGGGGCTCCAGTTGCTTCAATCTGGGCCTGGTCACCTGTGTAGAAGGGTGCTGTCAGCACGCCTGAGAGAACCACAAGGTACCCAGGAAAAAAATGGGTGTAAGGGGTGTTGGAGGAGCCTAAGAGGGGAAGAAGCCCAGAACAGGCAGGTGAACAAACTGAGCATCCTCTGTGGTCACAGAATCCAATTTTGCGTGGGGAGGCTAAATGGAATGGAGCATCAGAAGAGAGGGCACGGCTGGCTGGCTGGCCCACTGAACAGAAGCATAAAGGTAAAAAGGTAAAGGGACCCCTGACCATTAGGTCCAGTCGTGGCTGACTCTGGGGTTGTGGCGCTCATCTCGCTTTATTGGCCGAGGGAGCCGGCGTACAGCTTCCGGATCATGTGGCCAGCATGACTAAGCTGCTTCTGGCGAACCAGAGCAGCGCACGGAAACGCCGTTTACCTTCCCGCTGGAGCAGTACCTATTTATCTACTTGCACTTTGACGTGCTTTCGAACTGCTAGGTTGGCAGGAGCAGGGACCGAGGAACGGGAGCTCACCCTGTCGCGGGGATTCAAACCGCCGACCTTCTGACTGGCAAGTCCTAGGCTCTGTGGTTTAACCCACAGCGCCACCTGCGTCCCAAACAGAAGCATACCATGCTGCAAATTTTTGTTGCTGACCCTCTGTGTGAGTCTCTCTTTCTACCCAGGTCATGTGGGCGGGGAGGGGGGGGTTGCAGTGATTTTTAGGAAGTCACTAGCTTGCACCAGGCGTCCTACTGGGAAGATCCAGTTTTCTGAGTGCATGTTCTGGAAGTTGGGCAATAGGGGCAGTACAGGATTCCTTTTGGTGTACCGACCTCCCCGCTGCACCAAGGATTCCCTGTCCGAGCTGCTTCAGGTCGTGGCGGATTTTCTCCTGGAGACACCTAGTTTGGTTGTCCTGGGGGATTTTAACATCCACGCCGACACGACCTTACAAGGGGCTGCTCGGGACTTTGTGGAAAGCATGGCCTCCATGGGGCTGTCCCTGAATAAGTTTGGCCCAACTCATAGTCATGGACATGCCTTAGACCTGGTGTTCACCTCTATGGATGTTGGTGATCTGACACTAAGTAAAAGTGAAACAAAAGAAGTGCCATGGTCAGATCACTTCCTGGTGCAACTGGACTTCTCCACGACCCTTCCCCTCTGCAGGGAGGTGGGACCAATTTGGATGGTCCGCCCCCGCCACTTCATGGATCCAAATGGTTTCCAGAGAGTGGTAGGGGATGCTTTATCCCATGTTGATGGCCTTTCAGCTGATTCCCTGGTGGCCCGCTAGAATGCGGAGTTAACCAGGGCTATCGACTGTCTGGCTCCGAAGCGCCCTCTCCGATTGCATGGAGCCCGGACAGCCCTGTGGTTTTCTTCAGAGCTGAGGGCGATGAAACAATCGCTGAGACGGCTAGAGCGTCGGTGGCAGAAAACTCACTCCGAATCTGACCGGACACAGGTTAGAGCTCAACGTCGAGCCTACCAAGTGGCGATAGCGACGGCGAAGAAGACTTTCTTCACCGCCTCTATTGCATCTGCAGAAAATAGTAGCAGGAGACTCTTTCAGGTGGTTCGCAATTTAACGGAACCACCTTTACCACCGGGGCCTTGTAAAGACCCCAAGATCTCCTGCAACGATTTTGCAAAGTTTTTTTGCAGATAAAATCACTCATATTCGGAAGGAGCTAGACACCACCGTGGGGGCAGGGCCGGGGCGGGAGAGTGCTAGAGCCCTGTCTGGTCAAGTTGCATGGAATCAATTTCAATCCGTTACCCCCGAGATGTGGACAGGCTGCTTGGACGCGTGAAACCAACCACCTGTCTCCTTGATCCTTGCCCATCCTGGCTAATAAAAGCAAGCCGGGAAGGGCTGGGCGATGGGCTCTGCGGGGTGGTGAATGCTTCCCTGTGAGGGAACATTCCCAGATCCGCTGAAAGAGGCGGTCATTAAACCGCTTCTTAAAAACCATCTTTAGATCCAGCCAGTATGGCCAACTATCGCCCAGTCTCAAATTTACCATTCTTGGGCAAAGTGATTGAGCGCGTGGTTGCTGAACAACTCCAGGCACGCCTGGAGGATGCGGACCATTTGGATCCCTTCCAATCGGGATTCAGGCCTCATCATGGGACTGAAACTGCCTTGGTCGCGCTGGTTGATGATCTCCGGCGAGCTAGGGACAACGGTGAGAGCTGTTTCCTAGTTCTGCTGGATCTCTCAGCGGCCTTTGATACAATCGACCATAACATCCTTCTGGACCGTCTAGAGGGGCTGGGAGCTGGGGGCACTGTTATACAGTGGTTTCGCTCCTTCCTCCTGGGCCGTGTTCAGAAAGTGGTGGTGGGGATGAGTGTTCAGACCCCTGGGCCCTCACTTGTGGGGTGCCTCAGGGTTCCGTCCTCTCCCCCATGCTTTTTAACATCTATATGAAGCCGCTGGGAGAGATCATCAGGGGTTTGGACTGGGTGTCCATCAATATGCAGATGATACCCAGCTCTACCTCTCTTTCAAATCAGAACCAGTGAAGGCGGTGAAGGTCCTGTGTGAGTGCCTGGAGGCGGCTGGAGGATGGATGGCGGCTAATGGATTGAAGTTGAATCCTGACAAGACAGAAGTACTGTTTTTGGGGGACAGGGGGCGGGCTGGTGTGGAGGACTCCCTGGTCCTGAATGGGGTAACTGTGCCCCTGAAGGACCAGGTGCACAGCACTGGGAGTCATTTTGGACTCACAGCTGTCCATGGAGGCGCAGGTCAATTCTGTATCCAGGGCAGCTGTCTACCAACTCCACCTGGTACGCAGGCTGAGACCCTACCTGCCCACGGACTGTCTCGCCAGAGTGGTGCATGCTCTAGTTATCTCCCGCTTGGACTACTGCAATGCGTACGTGGGGCTACCTTTGAAGGTGACTCGGAAACTACAACTAATCCAGAAAGCGGCAGCTAGACTGGTGACTGGGGGCGGCCGCCGAGACCACATAACACCGGTCTTGAAAGACCTACATTGGCTCCCAGTACGTTTCCGAGCACAATTCAAAGTGTTGGTGCTGACCTTTAAAGCCCTAAACGGCCTCGGCCCAGTATACCTGAATGAGCGTCTCCACCCCCATCGTTCTGCCCGGACGCTGAGGTCCAGCGCCGAGAAGCATTGCGAGAAGCAAAGCTACAGGGAACTAGGCAGAGGGCCTTCTCGGTAGTGGCGCCCGCCCTGTGGAACGCCCTCCCATCAGATGTCAAAGCGATAAATAACTACCTGACATTCAGAAGACATCTTAAGGCAGCCCTGTTCAGGGAAGTTTTTAATGTGTGATATTTTAGTGTATTTTTGGTTTCTATGGAAGCCGCCCAGAGTGGCTGGGGAAACCCAGCCAGATGGGCAGGGTACAAATAATAAATTATTATTATTATTATTATTATTATTATTATTACACACACAAACATTCACAGTCTGCCTACACACATACATGGAGCGGATTGTATCCAACCATGTTTTACTTGGGAGTAGACCCACCAAAGTTAATGGACCCAAGTTAGTCGCGCCCATTATTTCCAACTGCACCTACTCTTCACATTTTGTCTTTGTCCTGGGCTTCTGCATACCTTGTTCCCGAGAGCCAAGCAGCTGTAATCGAACTCCCATCTAAGGTCTGCTATCTATAAAAAAGGCAAATATCTATATATTTGCTTCCAGCCTTGTTAAATACAGAGAGGGGCTCAAAGTCCTCATCTCCTCTTGGCTGGAGGTCCTCCCTCCCTCCTTGCCACCTGCCCATAGGTGTTAACGTTTCCCTTTTTTTAAGGGAAATTCCCTTATTCCGAATAGGATTCCTCGCAAGAAAAGGGAAAAGTTGACAGCTATGCTGACCTGCCCTGCTTCTGACATTTCACTAAGCCTTGCCCCGATTCTTCTTAGCCATGAGGACTAGCCACTTACTCCGAATTAGGCTCCGAGTTCCAGCACCGAGGGCAGTGCCGTCCGGGAGCGCTATTATTCTTGACGGACGGTGGGGCCTGACTCAGAACTAAAAGTCTTATATATATATGTATCCTGTTTCGCTGGCTCTCCCTTGCGTGGAGGAAAGCTTCTCAAATGTCCTGGTCTTGTGACGGTTACTTTGGACATGCCCCAGGTCCTCGGAGCCAGCCTCCTGCAGATCTCTGCTCACGGCAGACCGGCCCAAATAGCCTGCCCCTCCTTCATCTTTTATTGGCTCGGGAGAGACTTTAATCATCACCCTTTAGCCCAAAATCGTAGGGGCGTGAGGACAAGGAGGTCCGAGTATCCGGCTTCTGAGTGAAGTCCGTTCTGCAGCTGTTAGACAAGTGCCCTCTTGGATCAGACAAATCAGGCGTAATCACGGTCTGTTTTTTTAAAAAAGGAATCCACCCGGGAGAGAGGGTCCCTTTCTGCTTATGGATCTCGGAGCATCGTCCATCCCTAAGAAGACATCCCTCGAGGATTCAGCCGCTGAGCCACAGGCTTCCGCCCCAAGTTGCTGCAGGGAATTATGCCGATTTATTCCTTCCAACTTCTGGCAAGAAACAAAGAAAATTTTGGTGCTGGCAGGGCCGCTGGTAAGACCCCAAATCCGTGGTTAATACGCCGATTCTCTGTGCTGGCAAGACAACGTCCTTTCCCACTCTGAAGTTGATATCTGCCAGCTTTTGTCTCCACTCTGTTCAACCTGGGATAGCTGAGTCAGTAGAGCGTGAGACTCTTAATCTTGGGGTTGTGGGTTCCAGCCTCTCATGGTCCCTTCCACCTCTACGGTTCTGTGATTCTATGGAGCTTGCTGCTCACAGTTAAATTGCTGAGAGCTAAGTCATGGTAAGGCCCGGGGGCCGAATCCGGCCCATTCGCCTTCTAAATCCGGCCCGCGGATGGTCCGGGAATCAGCGTGTTTTTACGAGAGTAGAATGTGCCCTTTTATTTAAAACGCATCTCTGGGTTATTTTTGGGGCCTGCCTGGTGTTTTTACAGGAGTAGAATGTGTGCTTCTATTTAAAACACATCTCTGGGTTATTTGTGGGGCATAGGAATTTGTTCTCTCCCCCCAAAAAAATATAGTCCGGCCCCCCACAAGGTCTGAGGGACAGTGGACCAGCCCCCTGCTGAAAAAGTTTGCTGAGTCCTGAGCTAAGTTGATGGAGATGAACTCTGCTGCATAGCTCCCATCTAAAGTCTGATTTCAAGACCTTAGATCTGAGCTCTCTCGCTGCTCTGGTTTCCAAATGTAGGCCTGTTTGGCTGCCAAGCTAGAGGTGCTCATATTAAAGGGTGGGCAGTGGGATTTTAATCGCCGCTAAATTCACAACAATGTCATTTTATTTTCCACAATCCGCACCATAAATTCTTCCCAGCACAATATGACAGTTTCTAGGGTTATATGTCTCCAAATTTCCTTTAATTCTTTTCCCCCAACAGACACTCATCCAGTTACTCGTATTTATGATCCATGTCGTCAGCACAATATTCTGTGGCCACCTTGGCAAGGTTGAGCTGGCTTCTGTCACCCTTGCCATTGCGGTGAGTGTTTTTAAATGTGTGTGTGTGTGTGTCTGTGCGTATGTGTTTTAAAATGTCCCTGGACCTCTGCAGAGTGTCCTCGTTGCATCTCTGAATGAGTCAATGTCCAATCAGGATGTGTGCCCAGAACGGGGACTCATTCAGAGCCAGACAAGGGAGCAGAAGACTCCTTCTAGAGAGGGTCATTGCTGGCCTTTCACACACTTTGGCTGGATTAGTAATGCATGCCTTGAATTTGGGAAAGGGCTGTAGCTCAATAGTAGAGCACCTGCTCTGCATGCAGAAGGACCCGGGTTCAATCTCCAGCATCTCCTGGAGAGCTGCTGTGAGTCAGTGTTGACAGTATTGAGCTCGATGGACATTAATCGTTGGCCTGACTCAGTATAGGGCAGTTTCCTATGCTCCTGTTTAAATCATCCATTAGTTTGCTTTCGAATGACGAGGAATTCTGTCTCATTCTTATAGGATGAGTTCTAGCTCAGTGGTAGAATGCCTGGTTTGAGTGCAGATGGTCCCAGATTCAGAGCCCAGGTGTGTCTGGGAAACACCCCCTGCCTGAAGCCCTGCAGAGATGCTGCCGGTCAGTGTAGACAAGCAAGCCAGGCCAATGGTCTGATTCAGCATAGGGCAGCTTCCCATGTTCCTATTTTATTTGGAGTTTTATGGTTTAGAAAACAGGTGGCTCAGCTGTAAGAAGCATGAGAAACTCCGAGAAGAGTCTGGCAGCCGAAAAATTTAAGGGGTGGTTGTGTCTTCCCTGTGAGGAAAGGCTGCAGCGTTTGGGACTTATCAGTTTAGAGAAAAGGCGAGTGAGAGGAGAACAGGGTAGAAGTTTTTAGAATTATTCACGGCATAGAGAAAAGTTCTTCTCTCTCATAACGCTGGAACTTGGCACATGCAATGAAGCTGAATGTGTGAAGATTCAGGAGAGATGAAAGGAAGGACTTTGTGAGAGATGAAAGGAAGGACTACGGAACACACAAGGCAGTAGTGATGGCCATCCACTTGGATAATAATAATAATAATAATAATAATAATAATAAATTATTTATACCCCGTCCATTTGGCTGGGTTTCCCCAGCCACTCTGGGCGGCTTCCAACAGAACACTAAAATACAATAACCTATTAAACATTAAGAGCTTCCCTAAACAGGGCTGCCTTCAGATGTCTTCTAAAAGTCTGGTAGTTGTTCTTCTCTTTGTCATCTGGTGGGAGGGCGTTCCACAGGGCGGGTGCCACTACTGAGAAGGCCCTCTGCCTGGTTCCCTGTAACTTGGCTTCTCGCAGTGAAGACTCCAGACCATACGACTGTGCCATTCTTTCCAGCATTCAACATTATATCCCCTTGATTTGTCTGTCCGTTAATTTCTCCCTCTCTGATGGTCCTTAGGTTATAAATGTAACAGGCATCTCTGTTGGATTTGGGTTGTCTTCAGCTTGCGATACGTTAATTTCACAGGTGAGTAATGGCTGGCTGCCACTGTGTGTTCGAATTCTGGTGTATGAAACGTAGTCTGAGACAAGGCCAGCGTCAAGGTGTGTCTTGCTTGAACATTTTGAAAGGCTAGTCGCTGGGAGGGAATCAGTGCTGGGTAAGACCTGCAGGGAAAGGAAACTCTGAAGATGGCACTAGTTTCAGTTTTGTGTATCGTTTAGTAGCCGCAAACAGCTAAGTAAAATTTGTTCCTTATAATCCAGACTCTGTAGATGATTGGTAAGCTTGCAAAATGCTACAAGAACCTGTAGCCCTTCAGAAGTTGCTGGACTACAACTCCCATAATTCCCCTGACCGTTGGCCTTGCTGGGACTGACTCTGGGATAACCAGCCTCATATAACCCACATGCTTAAATCTAATCAATGCGTGAAGGGGTTAAGACCATAGAGTAAGCTGTCCTGCTAGGCTTAACTAGGTCACTCCTCTTCACCTTAGGAGGAACTAGGTAATCAAGTCTTTGTTCCCTCTCCAGTCTAGCTCAGAAGCTCAGCATGTTAAGAGGCTATGCTGGAGCAACAGCTTAGCTGCATAGCTCTCACAAGCCATTCTTGAGTTTCTGTACCAATAATTTAGGAACTTTCAACACTGTAACAAAGCCAATTTTTACTGCCTGTGCATTTCCCCCCTGAATGCTGTATGGAAAGGCACATGAATTTGACCTTTGGAGAGTTTGTAAGTAAAACATTTTAAAGTTAACAAACCTGTGGTCTTTTTCTATGCTAGGGGAAAATTTGGAAATCACAAAGGCATATGTTAAAGGTCGAACAGCCTTTATTTTAATGCTTTAAGAGTACTTGCCCCAAACCTGGATCTTGGCATCCAGGGAATTATCCTTTTATATCTATTTTTCCCCCGGTGCACCAACACTGATGCGAGTCAGAATCTAGTAATATCTGGAGGGCCACAGGCTCCTCACCTAGAGAAACAATGCCTTCTCTTTCTAGAACATCCCAGAGCAGTGAAATATTGTGAATAAAACTCCTGTTGTGAGTTACCTTTGTGTCCAAAGGCTGGAGAGTTTCAATGATGTTGCTTCTGTTTTTTTGGACCTTCACCCACACGCCCCCCTCCCCAGACGTATGGAGGGAAGAATATGAAGAGGGTGGGCACCATCCTGCAACGGGGGATCCTCATTCTGCTCCTCTGCTGCTTCCCCTGCTGGGCCGTCTTCGTCAACACAGAGCAGCTCCTCCTACTCATCCGACAGGACCCAGATGTCTCCAGGTGGGGAGAAAGAAAAGGGAAATCCTCCACCCAGCAGTTTATTGGACTTGAGGCTGATCATCGTACATGCGAGTCCCCCCATTCCCATGTTCACACACAATACCCCATATTTCCAAAGGTGGCTGGTGCCCACTGGGGCTGGTAGGGCGGAAGGCAGGGAGCCGAACAGCAGGTGGCGCCAAAACCAATGATGGGAAGAGGCAGAGTCAATGAAAGGCAGAGCCAACTAATTCTTGCTTTGCCATCATCTTGCTCTCTGCTGAGTTATACAAGGGCGAAACTGAGGCCACAATTGCACCATACGTTCAAAGCACCACAATACCACTTTAAATGGTGGTGGTGGTTGTTATTAAATTTACTATTAATTTATCTTGCTACAGGCAACTCAAAGCGACTTACAGAAACGAACAAGCACATCCACAAATTGAAACCAGGAAGGAAAAGAAATACATTAAAACATGCCACCCACTCTGAACGGCCCTAGATCGTCAGGGTTTCCCAAACATGGGTCTCCATCTGGTTTTTTGGACTACAGCTCCCATCATCCCTAGCTAGAAGGACCAGTGGTCAGGGATGATGGAAATTGTAGTCGAAAAACCACCAGAGACCCAAGTTTAGGGAAACTCTACCCTAGATCATTAAACGGCAAAGGTCTGGTTAAAAAAGGAATGTTTTTGACTGGTGCTTGAAGCTATACAGCGATGGTGCCAGGCGAGCCTCCCCCAAAGGATCATGGGAGCTGTAGTTCATTAAGGATGCTGAGAGCTACTAGGAGACCCCATTTCCCCCTCACAGAGCTACAATTCCCAGAGTTCCCTGGGAAGAAGGATTGATTGATTAAGCCACCCTGGGAACTGTAGTTCTGAGGAGGAAACCGGGGTCTCCTAGCAACTCCCAGCAGCCATAAGAAACTACAGCTCCCAGAATTCTTTGGGGGAAGGCCTGGTTCTTTAAAGTGGTGTTGCAGGGCTTTAAACGTGCCCTGAGATTGAAGAGGGAGGGCACAAAGAGTCAGGGCTAGAGTGCCCTTTTCTGCAGTCACACAATGGCCTTGAAGCGAGGGATTCTGGGATAGCTGCTGCATGCAATCGTTTTCTTGTTTTTCTTGACAAGGGTTCCCAGGAAAATGCACCTCTCAGCAATGCCAGAAAACGAAGGCATTGGCAGGGCACGGGGTGGGGTAGCTTCTGCGCTGTTACGATGGGGTGCCCCCCCCAGGGATGGGAACAAATATCAGCTGCAGGATAATAAACTGCTAATTTTGGGGTTTGCTTTCTTTGCTCGTTCGTTTTCATTGCTCCAGGCTCACACAGGTTTACGTCATGATCTTCATCCCAGCGCTTCCCGTAAGTCTCCTATTGCATCCTGCTTTCTTTCGTTTTCTCGGTGGGGTCTTTAAATGGAATGGATGGCAGTTCAGTGCTGGGAATACCTGCTTTGCTTGCAGAAGGTCCCCCAGGTTCAGTCCTCTCCAGGTAGGGTTGGAAGTGGCCCCTGCCTGAAACCGTGGAGGGGCACTTCCAGGCCTCAGGCGCCTCTAGAAGATAGCTGCAAGGCAGGCTGTGACCCAACTGGTCAAACTTTCCTCTGCTTCTATGAGGCAGCGCAGGTGCTACATTGGTTGGACTGCCGCCTGTCGAAAGCCCCGTTTGTTTTCCAAAAAGGGGCAACTCTGAGAAAAGGAAGTCATCGCTGGGGGAAGAGACCATTATTTGCGTGGCGATTTCCCGCCTCCCCCAGTGGAAATAAAGACACAGGACACCATGATTAAGGTTAATGGGCTAAAATTGGCCACAACTTTATTGGTTACAGGTAAGAGTGGTATTGGCTTAGGCATTGGTCCTATCCACTATCTGGCTTCAGCCTGATTGCTTGAAGACCGGGAAGGGTTAACACCAGCAGGGGGAGCCCTGCTGATGCACATCAACTAGGTACTCCCCTGGGGTCACCGCTCGGGGGCGCGCTTTAGGCCCTGGCCTCCATAGGCTTCGGCCCCTGGAATCCTTTAACAGACTACCCTTCAATATTTGGGGGAGGTGATGGCGCTCCTCCCCCCCAACACATCTAAATAACAATACCCCTACCAATGCCTAACCGCCAAGACCAAAGAAGTTGTGACGATTTGCTACGAGGTAGGCGAAAAACCAAATGGCTGGTGCCAATTTGCCAAGTGGAAAAAAATTCCTACCAGGCCCCTTAATGGCGACCAACCGAGGTCCATAGCAAGGTCAGAAGGAAGCCTGAAAAAGAAAAGGAGCGGGCGGGTGGGAAACACGATCAGCTGCGCCGGTCAAAGAGGGAGATCCCGGGGCCTCGCTCGCCTTATATGCGACAAGCCACACCCCCGAGCCAGCCGATTGGCTCGATCGTGCGATGACGCTGCCCGAGGAGTCCCCTGATCGCGCGGGGCTGGAAACCATCCCCCGCGCTCGTGTTGGGGGCGTGAAGCCCGCAACCCCACCTCCTCCGGATGTCGGAAGTGGCTTTTGCTCACACACCCCTGCTTTGGATCGCAGGTTGTATTCATGCCTCCTTGCTCCACAGGCGACGTTTATTTACCAGATCCAGATGAGGTACCTGCAGAATCAGGTAAGATGCTCTTTCTCTTGTTGGGGAAATAAAGGCAGAAAAGGCAGCTGAGCATGCAGAAGGTTTCAATCGCTAGCATCTCCAGGGAGGCCTGGGAATATCTCCGCCCCGACTGAAGCCCTTGAGGAGCCGCTGCTGCCAGTCAGTGCAGGCAATACTGAGCAAGATAGGCTGACTCAGTTTAAGGGGTGCAGTCCCCTGGACCCTCCCAAGTGTCCCTGTTTTCCAACGGCCTCGGTCCAGTATACTTGAAGGAGCGTCTCCACCCCCATCGTTCTGCCCGGACACTGAGGTCCAGCTCCAAGGGCCTTCTGGCGGTTCCCTCATTGCGAGAAGCCAAGTTACAGGGAACCAGGCAGAAGGCCTTCTTGGTGGTGGCACCCGCCCTGTGGAATGCCTTCCCACCAGATGTCAAAGAGAAGAACAACTACCAGACTTTTAGAAGACATCTGAAGGCAGCCCTCTTTAGGGAAGCTTTTAATGTTTAACAGACCACTGTACAGTGGTACCGGTTACGTACTTAATTTGTTCCAGAGGTCCATTCTTAACCTGAAACTGTTCTTAACCTGAAGCACCACTTTAGCTGATGGGGCCTCCCACTGCCACTGCTGCGCGATTTCTGTTCTCATCCTGAAGCAAAGTTCTTAACCCGAGGTACTATTTCTGGGTTAGCGGAGTCTGTAACCTGAAGCGTATGTAACCTGAAGCGTATGTAACCTGAGGTACCACTGTATTTTAATACTTTGTTGGAAACAGCCCAGAGTGGCTGGGGAAACCCTGCCAGATGGGTGGGGTATAAATAATATATTATTATTATTATTATTATTATTATTATTATTATTATTGAAAGGTTGGTATCTCAGTGGCAAAGCACCTGGTTCATCTCATTGCTAAAATAATATCTTGTTTCAGAGGATCATCTGGCCTGAGGTTCTGTGCGGCATTGCTGGAAACATCGTCAATCTGATTGCAAATTATGTCTTCCTCTACCAGCTTCACATGGGGGTTAGGTAAATGAGAAACGGGTGGCAGGACCAACCTGCATTTTGCATGCACCGCCTGCCCACCTTTTTCTTTCTTTCGTCGGTGGAACGCTAGGAATGTGTTGCAAAATCCCTTGTTTGTATATATCAAGTCAAGGGTTTTGGGTGGGGATGTTCTTGGACGATCAAGGTCTCTGCAAGGTTGTTGTTTTAACAGCAAGCCCAGATCTATAACCAGAAAGAACCTCTTTTTAAAAGACAGTCTTATTTGCTCCTTAACTGCCTCCATCATGTCTGTGGAAGTAACAGTCATTCCTCCTTGTCTCTGTTTCCTGCATTTAACCATATTTTTAAATGCATTTCCCCTTCAATTTTCCTGATTAGCTTTTTAAAAAAATTGAAGGAGGTATACCATATTTTTCCATGTATAAGACGAGTTTTTTTGCTAAAAAAAAAAATTCAGTAAAAAAATTGTGGATCGTCTTATACCCGGGTGGTTAAAAGAAACACGACTCACCAATAGCATTGAAAGCTGCAAAAAAAAAAAAAAAAAAAGCTCCAAAAAAACCCCAACACAACAATTTTCGGCAATCCGCTCCAAAAAAGCTCAACAAAGTTGCTCAGTTTGATGTTTAAAATATTGATTTCTTAAGGGTTCAAAAAAGGGGTTTCCTTATACATGGGGGACTGAAAAATACGGCAATTATATCACTTTCAATAGACCCATTGTGATCTTCGGTCCTTCAACAAAGTGTGTGTTGCTTTTGTTCATTCCCTCAGTTATTGTGATTTTCGGGAATGGACCCAAACGGTGCGATGGGGTTGGCGCTTCCTGCCTGCACAAAGAAAGTCGGGGTGACCTCCCAAGGCCTGATTCTGGGGGTTGCCAACCTTTGTAGGCATGTGGGGACATTTGGGTGTCTGTGTGAATGCTGTGGAAGGCTTTCTCCTCTATTACTTCTCTTCCCTCCTTCCCCAGATCAACACACACACACACACACACATGCCACCGAAAGAGAGGATTTGGGTCTAACTCAAATCCAGTCGAATTCACCTGAGCCTTGAAAAGCACCACAGAGCATCACAAACTTTTTATTTATAACAACCAGTTAGACAAATTAAGGATCTATAGAACTTTGTAACATGCAGAGAATAGCATTTATAGAGAAATCAGGGATTGGAACTGAGGGAAGTCGGGGGGGGGATTAAGGATGATATGTTTTAAGATAATATGCTTTGTTTAAATTTCTAATAAAAATTAAATTAAAAAAAGAAAAGCACCACGGAGCAGAAAGAGGGAAAGAGCGTCACTCTCTCAACTTCCTCCCTAAGCTCTACGAATTTTTCTAGCGAGGGGGAAAAGTCACCCCCTTTCCTTGCTTCATGGCCAGGGGAGCAGTATGTGGGCAGGCTCAGAGGGTTTGTGGGTGCCAAGGAAGGACCCGAAAAATCGGTCTCTAGCCCCCCACCTCATACGTTGCCAACCGTTTTACAATGCTCTACCATGTAATGTTTCCAACATGGACCTCGCTTATTTGTTAATCTCCCCTCTTTCCTCATTCCAGGGGCTCTGCCTGGGCCAACACCATCGCACAATATTCGCAAGCCATTGCTCTCTTCCTGTACATCAAATGGAAAAAGCTTCACGCTGAAACCTGGGGAGGTAACCTGCTTGTTTCCCAACGCCCCCGTCTCTTCCGAGTTTCCTTTCCCAGTTTCATGTTGGAAGTGCGACCGCAGGGATCATTCAGTTTGTAACTCAAGGGTTAATTCTGTTAAAGGCAGCTAGCTCAGAGGGAGGGGGAGGTGTTGCTTAGCAACCATGCGGAGGGGCATGATCCTCCCTGAGGTAACACATGCTCTGATTGGAGGTGTAGCTTTGAGGGCATTTTCTCCCCTCTGTTTGGTTGAATGTCTCTCTGCTGTATACAAGACCTGCTTTAAAAAGACAAAACCTCTATATAATTTATATGCTGCTTTTGTCCAGTTTCCTCAGTGAAGCGTTATCAGGACTTTTCTCTTGGGACTCTGTTATTTAACTGACTTTGCCAGCTTTACATACATAACAAATGTTGCCTCATCAGAAAATAGCATTGAAATCTGCCCTGTTTTTTTCTCCCTTTCTTCCCTGCTCTCTCCAAATCCTAGGATGGTCCACCGAATGCCTCCAGGAATGGGATGTGTTTATGGCCTTAGCTGTTCCCAGCATGCTCATGACCTGCATTGAATGGTGGACCTTCGAAATCGGAAGTTTTATGATAGGTCAGTGGGAGGGGAGGTGTCATGGGCAGTGGGTGGGGCCAGAAGACCAAGCCAATCGCATTGGAGCATGGTAATTACAATACAATGCCCAGATGCTACTATCTGCACAGCTAGGCTGGTGACATAATTGCACAGGCACCAATTGCAGCTCAGGAACTGAGGCAGAGAAAACAACCAGTGCCCTGTTAACTTTTTATTCCTACACACACACACTGCATTTATTTATATAATCTGCGGCTCAAAATGTGAAATGTAGAACTTGGCTAATGCTTTATATAATGAATTTTACCATGCAAATAGTAAATAATACTTACCACCTCCTAACAGAAAAAGTAATACATACAGTGGAACCTCAGTTTTCGAGTGTCTTGGAAGCCGAACATTTCGGTTTTCGAACGCCAAAAATCCTGCATCGCTTCTGTTTTTGAAAGCACCTCGGAAGTCGAATGTTTCAGAAGTTGAATGGTCTTCGAGAATGGATTATGTTCGACAACTGAGGTTCCACTGTACCAAGTACAGATTCTGAAAAATAAAAAAGGACACCAACCTTACAAACATTTAAAGCTATGGAACTACAGTGGACCCTCGAGTTATGTACCGCTCTGGATACGTAACTTTTGGGTTGTGAACACGGCAAACCTGGAAGTGGCGTCTCCAGTTACGGACTTTTCAGGTTAAGTACGAACCCCCAGAACGAATTTAATTTGTATCCAGAGGGTCCACTGTATTAGATTGACAAATACCATACTTTTCCGTCTATAAGACTAGTTTTTTTCTTGAGAAATCATGCTAAAAAATGGGGGTCGTCTTATACACGGGTAGTGAATAGGGTGACGTTTGATTGGTTGCTGCTGTGGCTGTTCATGGCTTTTGTGCGTGTTATTGGTTGCTGCGTCAATGGGTGGTGTTGATTGGCTGATGCTGCGGCAACTGGGCGGGCGTTCGGCAGCTTCTGCCGACGATGGGACAGACGGGAGGCGGATTTTGTGATGCGTGCGGGTGAGTGATTTTCGGCAATCCCCCCCCCTAAAAAAAAACTCAACAACCCTGGGGGTGTCTTATACATGGGGGCGTCTTATAGACGGAAAAGTACAGTAAATATCACCTCACATAACTAACAGCCTGTATACAGCATTAAACTATTTCCAAACAACAGGAGAGCAAGAAAATAAAATTATGGCTAATACTTTTTACTTTTTAACTCCCTGCTCCCTGGTTATAAAGGTGTTTGTCTCAGTAGCAGCTCACATTCTTGGGGAGACTCCTGAGAGAGATGCCTTAAGGGCCGCAATGTTTTGAATGTTTGAATGCTTTGAATGTGTACATGTCTAAAGCCCAGCACAGTCCTCTGTCAACGATTCCCACGTCCTGCCTTCCCTCCTCCCTCAATTTCCCCCAACCCAGGTCTCCTTGGGGTCCTAGAGCTGTCGTGCCAATCCATCATTTACGAAGTGGCCACGATCGCCTACATGGTAAGACCTTCTCCATACAAATTATTATCGTGTTACATTTTGGGGTGGGTGGGTAGGGCAAGTCTGGACGATCCCCTTGGGTCGCTGTGATCCTATACAGGTCAGGTCTGAGCAAAAGAGGACGCTGAACTGGTCAGACGAGTTCCTTTGTAAGATAATGGCCAGCGAAGTGCCCTCATCAGCATCTCGAAAGAGTGAGCTGTGTTGCCATAGAGACAACATGGGGGAGCCTTTTCCCCATCTCACCTAGTCATCCTAGGAGGGAGAACAATAGGTTCAGTGGCAGGTGAATACTTTTTTGTTCCAGCAAACCTTGGGGACGGATGGATATCGTTTTATTGCAATTACTTTGTATTGCTTTAATAGCTTTTATATATGTATATATAGGGACGTAGGTGGCGCTGTGGTCTAAACCACTGAGCCTCTTGGGCTTGCTGATCAGAAGGTCGGTGGTTCGAATCCCCACGACAGGGTGAGCTCCCGTTGCTTGATCCCTGCTCCTGCCAACCTAGCAGTTCGAAAGCAAGCCCCAAAGTGCAAGTAGATAAATAGGTACCACTCCAGCGGGAAGGTAAACGGCGTTTCTGTGCACTGCTCTGATTCACCGGAAGCAGCTTAGTCATGCTGGCCGCATGACCCGGAAGCTGTCTGTGGACAAACGCCGGCTCCCTCAGCCAGTAAAGCAAGATGAGCGCGCAACCCCAGAGTCGTCTGCGACTGGACCTAATGGTCAGGGGTACCTTTACCTTATAGATGTATATAGTTTTAATTCTATCAGTGTTTAATGGCTTTTTAATGATTCCCCCCCCTTTGTTTTTAGAGGTTCTTGTTTCTATCTGTAAGCTGCCTTGAGTCCCTGTGGGGGTATAGATATATAATTAGAATAATAATGAAGATGGGCCGAGTGGGACTGTGTGTGTGTTTGAGAGTTTCGGCTGATGGTGGAAAGAGGAGAGACAGAGGCTTGTCTTGCTCTGTGCTGAACCCAGAGCTATAACATGATTTGCTGGGGTGTTCATGCTGTGAGCCCCTGCATCCGATGCCAAGGTTGTCTAGACGTGTAAACAAAACCATCTATCTCCACCGACCTTCACTCTCTCGCTGCTCAGAGATCAGGGTTGTGCTGTATATCATATATTTTATATATACCGTATTTTTCGCTCTATAGGATGCACTTTTTCCCCTCCAAAAATGAAGGGGAAATGTGTGTGCGTCCTATGGAGCGAATGCAGGGGGGGGAGGCAGGCAGGAAAAGCCCCCAAAAGCCGCACACAAGGTCCGCGCGGCTCTTGCGGGCTTTTCCTCAGGAGGGAGAAGGGACTGACGCAGCCAGTCAGTCTCTTCTCCCTCCTCATAGAAAAGTCCACAGGAGCTGCGTGCTCCTTAGAGGGTACGCAGCTCCTGTGGGCTTTTGCGGGAGGTGGGGGTATTGCCATAGCCGTTCGCAGCCTCTCCCTGCCGGGGAGGTTGCGCGGGGCTAAAGAACCCATAGCCCTGTTCAGCCTCTCATGGCTGGAGAGGTTGCGCGCGGCTATGGCAGAAGCCAAGACAGCGAGCGGGATGCGTCTCGCTCGCTGTCTTGGCTTCTTTGCTCTTTGGGGCTGGGGGGGAAAGAACCCGAGCGTTCCCTGCAGCCCTGAGAAGCTTGCGGAGCAGCGGGAAGGCTGCGTGCCTTTCCGCTGCCCCCCGACCTTCTCTTTGGGGTGGCGGTGGGCTTCCCCCCACCAGCCCCAAAGAGGAGGTCGAAAGGAACCCGAAGCCTGGAGAGCGAGAGGGGTTGATACGCACCGACCCCTCTCGCTCTCCAGGCTTCCAAGGTAGCCACCAGAGGGCAACTGAACACACCTTGAACGGCACCTTGTTTTAGAGGGGGAGAACAAGGGGGGAAAATTCTCCCCCTCTCTGCGCAGCGCCTCCTGCTGCTTCGCTGAAGGGCGCTGCGCAGAGAGGGAGAATTTTTTTTCTTGTTCTCCCCCTCTAAAACAAGGTGTGTCCTATGGTTGGGTGCGTCTTATAGAGTGAAAAATACGGTATATGGGTGGAGCAAAAGTTGCAGAAACTGCCCATTCCATAAGTAACCCATGATATTATTTAGGATGTATGAGTATGTTTTGAAGAATGGCAGTTCGAGATATTTTGGGGCGGTGGTGGTTTCTCAAGGGCGAGATGCTTCCAGTGAACATACACACACAATCTACGATCCCGAAAGCTTTGGTTAAGGTGTCAAAAGCAACGCTGTCCTTTCCAGATTCCGTTTGGGATCAGTGCATCTGTTAGCGTCCTGGTGGGCAACGCCTTAGGGGCTGGGAACTTTGAGGAAGCCCGGAAATCCTTCGTGGTCTCCATTTTGTGCACAGGTACGTGGAATTTCGCAGCAAGCTCTTCTCGTTTCATAGAACTGCAGAATTCGAAGAGACCCCAGGAGCGGTCATCTAGTCCAACCCCCCGCAATGGAACACAGTTATTTCATCTTATACCATGTCCCCCTTGGCAGCCATTTTGTGACTGGCTCCCACATCGCTTTCTCGACATTCAAAATGGCCCCCCAAACGGTTGCCAACCCCTGTTTTAACCCTTCTTGGGACAAAGAAGGCAAAAGCCATAACTTCTCCCCTCAAGGCATTGCAGGAGAGCTGGGTGCCAACCATGGGGTTAAACATTAACCCTTTTTGAGAGCAACAGTTACAGTGATCGTCGCCTTTCTACTATTTGTACTGTCTGGCTTGTGTCTGATGCTAGTCCTACCTAGAGTAGACCCATTTAAAATAGTGGGTATGACTAACTTGGGTGTCTGTTAATTTCAGTGGGTAAAACTTAAACTTATAAACTCTCTTTGATCTTCTCCAGTGTTTTTTTTCCTGCTGATGGGCACCCTGACGGCATCCACAAAGGACGTCCTAGCTTATATATTTACCAGCGATGAGTAAGTCACAAACCATGTTTTTTAGGCTGGCAATAATACTTAGCATCAGTATGGTGCCAAGTACACACCTTACATTTAAAAGTGCTACGATGTCACTGTAAACAGTCATGGCTTCCCCCAAAGAATCCTGGGAACTGTAGTTTGTTGAGGGTGGTTAGGAGACCCCTTATTCCCCTCACGGAACTACAATTCCCCAGGTTCCCTGGGAAGAGGGACTGAATGCTAAACCACTCTGGGAATTACAGCCCTATGAGGGGAATAGGGGTCTCCTAACAACTCTCAGCCTACTGTCCAAAATCAAGGCCTCATCCGCAATATATATTTAAAGCAGTTTCATGCCACCTTCAATAGTCGCAGTTTTGGTATGCGTACGCACCTCGCCTGGTGTGTTCTGAGCAATGCCAATTTTTCTTCTGTGAAGCGGGTATATTTGGGGTGACTGCAACCCCAGAATCGTCTGCGACTGGACCTAATGGTCAGGGGTACCTTTACCTTTACCTTATAGATGTATATAGTTTTAATTCTATCAGTGTTTAATTGCTTTTTAATGATTCCCGCCCCCCTTTGTTTTTAGTGGTTCTTGTTTCTATCTGTAAGCTGCCTTGAGTCCCTGTGGGGGTATAGATATATAATTAGAATAATAGTGATGATGGGCCTAGTGGGACTGTGTGTGTGTTTGAGAGTTTCGGCTGATGGTGGAAAGAGGAGAGACAGAGGCTTGTCTTGCTCTGTGCTGAACCCAGAGCTATAACATGATTTGCTGGGGTGTTCATGCTGTGAGCCCCTGCCCCATGAGTTCCTCTGAGCATGAACAGAAAGCTGTCTTGGGACTATTGGACTCTTGGCGCCCTTCCCAGGAAAGGGGTTTCAGAGTGTTCAGATATGTTTCAATCTCTTGTTCTGGCATGGTTCCCGGACAGAAAGCAAGTTGCAATGTGGTTCTTTAGCAAGGCCAGAAGGCATGAGAAAGGCCTGAGAAACAATGGACTGTTCTCTACCTTTGTTACAGCAGAGCGGAATGTTTCTGATGCTTAGCTGCTGAGAAAATGATTTTGAAAAGCTTTGAGAAGCTTTGAGCCTGCTTTGGTGGGGGGTGACTTCGGGCCTAGGTGAGGTCACCTGTCCTCACCTTCCTTCAGTGTGCGCAGAGAGGCATGAAATTCTGTGATTTCTTGTCATGCAGTAAGAACTTGGCGACAAACTGCACCATTGTTATTAAAAGGGGGAATTTCTTTGAGCTGACAAATTGGCTTAGGAACAAAAAATAAAGCAAGACAAATGTTTCTGGGAGCTCGGTTGGGGCAGAACACAGAGTCTGAGGCATTTATGGGGTAGAGGGGCGGTTCTAGTCTGGTATCTCGGGCCCATAGATGTGGCCAGAACAGCCTCCTAGAAAGGCAGGTTGTTCCTTGGAATGAAACAATAAACACACAAGACGTAAACGGCTGTACGTTTGAAAAAATAATATATACTATTCACTGTATTGAATTGTAGATTTCAACAGAAGTACTAACTCAAAGTTCAACGAAAAAAGTAGAAGACCCAGTGGATCAGTTCATTCTCTAATCAGTTTATGCATAAGGTCCATACACGTATGTGTTTATTTCACCTGTCTGTTCATAAAGTACAACAATCCACACGAAAGGTTGTTGCAGTTCCACAGAATCCTTTCACAGAGTCTAAGACAAAGATTTCAGGAATATTAGCCTTGTAGTACAAACTCTAAGTAATGCAAATAAATACAGTATCGTAATCTCACACGTTTTACAGCAAAATTAATATAAAAACCGTCAACAACCGTATATACCATATATGATATCACAGGACAGTGGATCTTATAGCATAGTAGTAGCAGCTGCTGTAAGCAATTCAATACAATGAATAGTATATATTATTTTTTCAAACGTACAGCCAGTTACGTCTTGTGTGTTTATTGAATATGTTTCACGTAACCATAGGTTTGTTGTTGTTTTGCCCTTGGAATTAAACGGCACCCTTTCATGGAATCATAGGATTGTAGACTTGGAAGAGATCCCAAGGATCATTTAGTCCAGCCCCCTGCAATGCAGGAATCTTTTGTCCAGTGTGGGACTCGAATCCGCTACCCTGATATTAAGAGTCTCATGTTCTACTTACTGAGGTATCCCTTTTTGTTTTCTGTCTCTCTGCAAATAGGGAGGTAGTTGAACTCGTGGCAAAGGTCATTCCGGTCTACGTCGCTTTCCACCTCTTCGAAGCCCTTTGCGTGAGTATATTCACTTTTAAGGGAAATAGGATCTCTCATCTTGTATAATAATAGTAATAATAATAATAATAATAATAATTTATATTTATACTCCGCCCTCCCCGGCCAAAACCAGTCTCAGAGCGGCTAACATCAAACGTATAACACATTAACATAAAATCAGGCAATCAATTAAAATACATCCTAAAATCAGATCAGGAAGTTGAATTGAGGTTGGGCTGGGGTTTTTTTAATGCTTTGCACAATGCACAACCTACTCATTGTTCTCATGCCTTCTTAAGGAGAGGTCTAATCCAGTCCCAAGAAAAGAAGAATGGATACTAAAAACTTACGGAATATGCAGAAATGGCAAAACTTGCCGGAAAAATATGAAATCAAGATAACAAACTTTTTATAAAGGAATGGAAATGGTTTATTGAATATTTACAAACAAATTGTAAACTGATAAGAACATTGACAGGATTATTGTAATAACCTGCAGTTTCATAAAAAATATATATTTAGATGAATAAATGAACAAATTAAGTTAATTTGGATATGCAGAAAATATTAAAAATAAAGTTCAGGAGCTGCAGAAAGAGGGCGAAGGAAGTCAAGTTTTTAAATGTTAAAATGACAGTAACATTTTTGAAATGAATCAGGGCTTGGTTCTGGAAAGTCACGAATAATATGAGAGCAGGAGAAAAGAGTTTTAAAGTTCTCTGCCTTGCTTTTTTGGGTGGCCAAGGCCTTCTTGGCACACTGGCTCCAGAAGGATAGAACTGCACTAATGGGGACAGTTTTTGTTACACCCTTTTTGTTGTATTTTGTATTTGGTTAAAGGGAAAAATGGAAATTGATGGTAGAATAAAAGGAGAATTCCCCGGATGCCTAGATATCCGGGTTTGGGGCAAGTACTCTTTGGTGAGAAAACCCCAGCATAGATTTAAAACCACAAAGCATGCAGCAAAGTGTGGGAATATAGGCTTCCAAAGTCCCCCCACTTCCCTTTGCCTAGAAAGAGACCACATGGTCGGTAAGTTAAAATGCTTTACTCACAAACTTTTCCAAAGTCAGATTCACGTGCTTTTCCATACAGCAGCAAGAAAACACAGGCAGTATAGTTTCCAAATGTTACACTGTTCCTGAATTATTTGTATGGAAACTCAAAGATGGATCGCTGAAGCAATGCGTTCTAAGCTTGGAGCAGCCAGCTTAGACCTCCTTACTGGTCAGGTGGAAGGGAAAGACCAAAGAGTCTGGCCACCCTTCCTCCCAAGGGGCGGGTGTTGTAACCTAGCTAAGCCTGACAGGACAGCTTACTCTATGGTCTTAACCCCATCCATGCATTTAGAGTGGTTCTATGAGGCTGGATGGACGCGGGTGGCGCTGTGGGTTAAACCACAGAGCCTAGGACTTGCCGATCAGAAGGTCGGCGGTTCGAATCCCCACGACGGGGTGAGCTCCCATTGCTCGGTCCCTGCTCCTGCCAACCTAGCAGTTCGAAAGCACACCAGTGCAAGTAGATAAGTAGGTACTGCTCCGGCGGGAAGGTAAACGGCATTTCCGTGCGCTGCTCTGGTTCGCCAGAAGCGGCTTAGTCCTGCTGGCCACATGACCCAGAAGCTGTACACCGGCTCCCTCAGCCAGTAAAGCGAGATGAGCGCCGCAACCCCAGAGACAGCCACGACTGGACCTAATGGTCAGGGGTCCCTTTACCTTTTTATGAGGCTGGATATATCCCACAACGTTTTGTGCGTACCACCCCAGAAGGTAAGCCCTGTGTGAGACGCAATCATATTGTAACCCCTTCTTCCCCTCTTCGCAGTGTACCACCAGTGGGGTCTTGCGTGGCACCGGGAAACAGAAGCTGGGCGCCATCTTCAACGCCGTCGGGTACTATGCTGTGGGATTGCCGGTGGCCATAGTGCTGGTTTTCGTGGCCAAAATGGGACTCATAGGTACCACTCTTAATAGCAAGTTCCCTCATTGGTCCGTCTGGCTCAGTATTGCCCACACTGATTGGCTGTGGCTTTCTGGTGCCTCAGGAAGGAGTTCCTATTCTTTTACCTGGAGGTGCCAGCGGGAATCAAACCTGAGACCTTCTGCATGCAGGCCAGACACTCTGCCTCTGACGTATAGCCGCCGTTGACCCTTCTGTGTGGTCTCTCTCCTCCTTTTCCCTCAGGCCTCTGGCTGGGCATGTTGATATGTGCCCTTATCCCTTGCATATGCTCTATAACCTACATTGGCCGGATGAACTGGAAGCAGGCGGCTGAGGAGGTAGGGAGATTAATAATAATAATAATAATAATTTGTTATTTATACCCCACCCATCTGGCTGAGTTTCCCCAGCCACTCTGGGCGGCTTCCAATCGAATGGTAAAAACAATACAGCATTAAATATTAAAAACTTCCCTAAACAGGGCTGCCGTCAGATGTCTTTGAAAGATAAGATAGCTACTTATTTCCTTGACAGCTGATGGGAGGGCGTTCCACAGGGCGGGCGCCACTACCGAGAAGGCCCTCTGTCTGGTTCCCTGTAACCTCACTTCTCGCAATGAGGGAACCGCCAGAAGGCCCTCAGCGCTGGATCTCAGTGTCCGGGCTGAACAATGGGGGTGGAGACGCTCCTTCAGGTATACAGGAGCAAGGCCGTTTAGGGCTTTAAAGGTCAGCACCAACACTTTGAATTGTGCTCAGAAACATCCTGGGAGCCAATGCAGATTCGCTTAAAGGGTGGGGTTTTTTTCTTTTTTGGGGGGGCCGCATTCCCTGTGTCGGGGGCCGTATGTTGGCAGCAAGCGGAGCCACAGGCAAAAGTGTTCCAGATTAACTGATCTGGAGCAAAGACCACTCTGCTTCCATTTTCCGTGTAATAATTTCCCCGCTGGATCGGGGCAAAGGGAGCCCACCTAGCCCGGTCAGAAGCCCACAAGCAGGGCCGAAGCACAGCAGTGAAGCTCCCCCCACTTACGACCCCATGTTGGCGACAGTTTCCTGCACTGCGGGGGTTGGACTAGATGACCCCCGGGTCCCCTCGCAACTCTTCAGTTCTCACGATTCCACGATCCGTGGCCACCTTGGCTTGTAGCTGCCGATGGACACCTCTGTGGATTCGTCAAATGCTCTTTTGAAGCCACTCGGATCAGAACCAACAGGTGTGCCCAGGTGAAAAAGGAACAAATGTGTAGGAAGAACAGGGCAGCGTTGGGGGCCGCATAAAATGATGTCAGGGGCCACATGAGGCCCACCAGGACAGCAGGAGCTATGTTGGAGTAGGAAACAATACGATGGCCAAGGAGAGTTACGTAATTTTCTATTGTTTCTTTTTCCTGTTTTTATCTTGTGAGTCATTCCAGTGTAAAACTGGAAAATTATTGCAAGTGCTGAACATAGAAGCTTCCTTATCTTGATCCAGCCCCTTGGTCCATCCAGCTCAGCATTATGGACACTGGCTGGCAGCCGCTCTCCAGAGTTTGTGGCAGGGAGTCCCACCCCCCACAGCCCAACCTGGAGATGCTGCCAGGGACTAAACCTGGGACATTCTGCATGCCAAGCAGGGGCCCCAGGCACTGAACTGCAGCTCCTCTCCCTGCGGAGAGGTCCGAGAAACCTTTAAAAAAAACCACACCCAAATCCCTGGCCGCACAAAGTGCTTCCTTAACAAACTGTCTGGATCCTCCCTCCAGGCTCAGCACCGTGCAGGATTGACCCAGAGGCTGCCCCCGGAGGGTTTGAACTCGGCTCCCGTCCCAACCAAGATGGCTCCTTCTTCCGGTATGGAACACGAGTTTGTTTTTTGCTTGTTTGATCAGAAGTGTGGCCACTTTTCGACTGCAAGGCTTATAAACAGGGGAACCGGCGGCCCTCCTTCAAAGGCCAAGGGGAGTGTCGAAATGCCCATTAACACCAACCCCGCAGATGCAAAGGGAGGGGGCGATGCCGTTGGGCTGCTGGCTTCGTTGGTTTTATAAAACATGGGGAAAGTCATGTCTCCCTGCCCCCACAAACTTATTTTAGCCTCCTGCTGCTCTGTAGCACAAAGGGGTCAGTGCCAGGGCCTGATTTAAGTCTGACGAGTCCCTAAGCTACTGAAGGTAATGGGGCTCTTTGTATGTCCAGCTGTCCTTTGTCAACAACAAATCGCTGCTGTTTTTGTTGTTGAATATATAAGGTAAAAAGGTAAAGGGACCCCTGACCGTTAGGTCCAGTCGTGACCGACTCTGGGGTTGCAGCGCTCATCTCACTTTATTGGCCGAGGGAGCTGGCATACAGCTTCCGGGTCATGTGGCCAGCATGAGTAAGCCACTTCTGGCGAACCAGAGCAGCGCACGGAAACGCCGTTTACCTTCCCGCCGGAGCGGTACCTATTTATCTACGTGCTTTCGAACTGCTAGGTTGGCAGGAGCAGGGACCGAGCAACGGGAGCTCACCCCGTCGCGGGGATTTGAACCGCTGACCTTCTGATTGGCGAGTCCTAGGCTCTGTGGTTTAACCCACAGTGCCACCTGCGTCCCTTATTCACCTGCCTTGTAGTCAGGACTTTTCCCACAGTGCCTTGTAGTCACTTGTAGTGTTGAATATACGCTATATGGTAATTTATGGACCTAATAGGTATCTAAAGCCATTTGCACGTAACAAAGGGCTAGCAGGCGGGGCCCATTATTTACATCATAGGAGCCTACACAACACAAAACACTGTTGCTGTATGTAGGTTTTATTTTATTTGTTTTTTATCTTATATTTTGGAAACGTGCATCCAGTTTTTTTTTCCTTTAAATTTTTTTAGGGCCCCCAAGAGAGGTGGGCTCTAAGCTGTTTAGCTTATACGTAAATTTGCGCCTGGTTGTTTCGTCCAACGTGGGGCTCGAACCCTGAGACTGAAGAGTCTCACGCTCTGGCCACTGAGGCGCAATGCTTCAGAAACTATACGCAGAAATGAGCGAGCGAAGTCCAAGCAAGGGCAGAGTGAGGAAAATGGATGGCAGAGGCCTATATGGTCCGGGATTCTGTTCTCACGGCAGCTAACCAGATGCCAAGCTGACAGTCGTCTCTCTCTTCTTCTCCGCCTGCTGCAGGCCAGATGGACGCTCAGAACGGAGCCGTCCTCCTTAGTTTCTCCAGGACCGACGGGCCAACTTACCAGCTCCAGCTGCAGGATGAGACGGTGACAGGCCTCTCCACTGTGGGAAAAGTCCTGACTACAAGGCAACTGATCCTCCAGAGGGGACTGGCCGTTGCAGCTGCTGTCATCATCCTGGCCATCGGCGTCACAATTCGGTTCTTCACGGTTAAAGATTAGGGATATTCACACACACCCCATTTTGGTTGGTCCAGGAAGGAGACAGAGGGAGGGGGTCCTGTTGGACTTAGAAGCAAGAAACTGGACCCCAGAATAGCTGGGTGCAAGGTTGTGTTTTGATGTCATCAGCGAGTGCAGGACGGACTTGAACCAAGGACTTGGTGGCGCAAGAAACCCAGCTCCGGCTCAGAGAAGAATAGCCACACTGCTGCCTGACAGATGTCACTGTGCTACACTCCCATCATCCCTTGCAGTTGGCAGCCATGTTGGCTGGGGCTGATGGGAGTTGGAGTCCAACCGTTGCCTACCTCTGGCAGGGCAGAAACCATGCTGTGGAGAGGAAGGGCCGCCTCTCGCTATGTTCTGCTCAAGAGTTGACCAAAACTGAAATGAATGGGCCTCCGTCAGCTGTGCCCATTAATGTCAATGGGTCTACTCTGAGTAGGATGCCACCATGAAACGATATCAATAAAGCGCTCAAGGCCCAAAGGTCAAATCAGGAAAAACTCTTAATCATTAAAAAGCTTCAACCCACTCTCGAGTTTAATCATGTTATATTTGCAGCTTGCGTAAGTTACAAGGATACACCCACATTTCTTAAACATACAGAGAAATATATCCATCTTCCCATATAAAATATTTTGATAATAATTCTAAACTCACATCAGTTCTTTTGTTCTCTGCATCTAAAATACTTTATGTAAGAAGTGTTTATTTTGAAGGGAAAAGAATGAAAGGAAGAGAAATCCTTGGAAAAGGTCAGTTGGAAACAAATCTATAGATCGCTCTGGTTGAATTTAATCCACCTGCCAGCACAGAAATGGGATGAGTCAGTTGTAGTGAATCAGACCAGCCTCCACTGGTGCCTTCCAGAGGGTTGGGACTACAAGTCCCATCGGCCTCAGCCAACCTGATGGATTTTGTAGTTCAAAAACATATTGGAAGATGCCAGGTTGCGGAGAGGCTGTATTAAAACACCCATCTCGGAAACCTCTCTTTTAAAAAACAAAACCCTTTCTCTTCTCCTCCCTCTTTGTAGTGAACTCTGGGAACTGTAGCTCTGGGAGGGGAACTTAGAATCTCCTAACAAGTCCCAGCACCCTTATCCAAGTACAGCTCCCATAATTTATTTATTTTTGGGGGGGGGAGGAGCCATGACTGTTGAAAAGGGCATCATGTGAGGTGCGGATGGGGAAGACCACAGGTTCCCCACCTCGGGGCGTCGAGGAGTGTGGCCTGAAATCGGTCACACAAACACACCCTAAGGCCGCTTTGCGGGGCTCGTGTCACTTTGCAAGCCAAATCAGACTGGGCAGCTGGCCTGCAGCCTGTCTGGATTTTGCAGGACTCCCAGCTCCAGATCAGCCCCAGGCAGCCTGGTCAGGGATGCTGGGAGCTGGGGGTCCTGCAAAATCCAGAGGCCCAGAGGTTCTCCACCTCCACCAGATACAAGAAGGTATTTGGCACAGAGTCAGGTGGGAAACCAGCCTGCTCTCTCGCACAGCGCCCTTTCATTTTGCAGCGGGAGAACTGCCAGGCAATACCCTAACCCTCTCTGTAATCCTAAGGAGGCACAGAAATCCGTCACTGTTTCTGCGTGGACAACTCTGGGACAGAAGCGGTTTAAGGGTCCCAATTTTCACCAGGAAATTTCCCCTTCTGAAGGGGAGTAAAGGCGGATGAGGACTAGCCTCATTATATGGGCAAGTAGGCCTTCCGGAATATACACCCCGTGCCCCATTATTATTTAATTTGTTTAATTATTTAATTTGGGACCAGCACCCCATTTATCGAAGGCTTTCATCTGTTTATTTTCTGTACAATTGCACTCCTTCCCAAAACCACAACCCCATTCTGATTTCAGCCTCCTTTTGGAGCATTTCACGTTCCTCGTTTCTGATTATTGATTATTATTTCAAAGACAACCTAAGCCAAAGAGGCAAGACGGGGACTGATGTATCAGCCCATCTGGCACAGAGCAAGGCCACTTCTTTCTTTTTAAAAAACCTCAGACATATTTTGTGTGTGTGAAGAGTCCTTCAAGAACAGGAGCGAGAATATTGACAGCGCTTTTCGGTTTCGCTGCCTAAAACGCCCTCGTTTACAGCGGGAGGCTGTGGGCGCAGACTGTCGCTCAGATCCTCCTCCTGACTTTTTAGTGTGTTAAATGATTAAAAAGAAATGGCAAAATTCCTTACAGAAGTGTGATTTAGCAACCAGCCCCCTTAACCCGGTGAGAACAGCTTGTATAACACGACTTGTTCCGTCAATGGTGTCAGTGAACCCTGGACTCAGAAAAACGCGACCTGGAAGAAAGAGAGAGAATTGAACGCCATTAGCTCTTTGAATCTACGGTGTATTTTCCTTCATTCGTGCGTGGTTTTTTAAAGGGAAAAAACCCCAGAAATTTGAAGCTATGCATGGAAGAATGTCCAATGCTGCCTTAAACTGAGGCACGCCGTAGATGCATCTGCTCTTAGAATCTGATCAGCAGAGGCTCTGTGGGGCCTTGCCAGCAAATGGGTCTTTTTGCGAGCGATCGCGATGGACACATGTCAAATATAGCAAGCGGCCACCGCAATGGAGCAAGCACTGCAAGGTCCCTTCCAACTCTCCCATTCTAAACTCATCAGCAGATCATTGCAAGCCACACGCAAAAACAGAAACATCTCATTGGATGCGTATCAGAAGAGATAACTTGATCTTCTTGTTATCCACAAAAACGATGAGATATCTTGCGTCCGAGGCGCTGCTAGATCAGGGATGGGGCGCCTGAGGAAGACCTCTCTGCCAATAAGAGCCATTTGACAGTGGAACAGATTCCCACAAGAGATGGTGGACTCTCCTTCCTTCGCTGGAGGTCTTTAAGCAAAGATTGGATAGCCATCTATCACGTATTTATAGCTGAGATTCTGCACTGCAGGACTAGATTCCGACTCCACAAGTCTATGATTCTGTGCTGCTGGACTCCCAACGCCCCCAGCCAGTAGCCTGGCCACAGGTTACATGAGAAGAGCCAATGGCCCATCCAGTCCAGTTCTCCCCGGGGCCAACCAGATGCCCATCACAGGGAACCTGCAAGCAGGATCTGGGCACAAGAGCGCCATCCCCTTCTACGGTTCCCAATAACTGTGGAGGCAGAGCCGAGCCGCTGATAGCATTTGAAGCCTCTTTTAAAGCCAACACCACTCTTGTGGAAGGGAGTTCCACAGCTCAACAATGCGCTGTGTGAAGAAACAATTCCTTCCATTTGTCCTGAATCTTCCAACCTCTGAAGATGCCCACAAGTTATCATGTTACGAGGAGGGAAAAACTTCTCTCTGTCTGATTTCTCCATGCCACGCATAATTCTATAGAAGTCTATCCTAAACTGGTGACTGGGGGCGGCCGCCGAGACCACATAACACCGGTCGTGAAAGACCTACATTGGCTCCCAGTACGTTTCCGAGCTCAATTCAAAGTGTTGGTGCTGACCTTGAAAGCCCTAAACAGCCTCGGCCCAGTATACCTGAAGGAGCGTCTCCACCCCATTGTTCTGCCCAGACGCCGAGGGCCTTCTGGCAGTTCCCTCGCTGCGAGAAGCCAAGTTACAGGGAACCAGGCAGAGGGCCTTCTCGGTGGTGGCACCCACCCTGTGGAACACCCTCCCACCAGATGTCAAAGAGAACAGCAACTACCAAACATCTGAAGGCAGCCCTGTTTAGGGAACAGTAATGTTTGATACATTACTGTATTTTAATATTTGGCTGGAAGCAGCCCAGAGTGGCTGGGAAAGCCCAGCCAGATGGACGGGGTATAAATAAAAAAATATTATAATTATTATATATTATCCTGTCACCTCTGACTTGCCTTTTCTCCGAACCGAAAAGCCCCAAAGGCTGCCACTTTTTCCTAGTAGAGGAGTCATTTTGATTCCCTTGATCATTTTGCTGGAATGATGGGTTTTGTACACCCACCGTGCCTGCAAGACCGCCGGGGTTCCTCACCCCTGAACTAAACTCTTTCCCCGATGCTGCTCAGTTACAGAAAGCCACAACCGAGCACATGCCATTTTTTAATCATGCGGCCCCCACATCTGTGCAAGCCGCATGCAGGGGCCGCACGGGAGACGGGCACGGAATAGCAAGAAAGGAGAGTCCTACCTCCCCTGAACGGTGCCGGCTTTGAGTATGGGTTTCATCACTTCCTACTGAGGTTCCACATTCTCTGTGTGGCCACTGCAGCCAGCAAGGTCTTAATCCCTAGCCCAACCCAGCCGTTCTGAGGAGAACCAGAAGAAAATGAGAAATAGATTGGGCAAGGGGGCAACCCCTGCTTTTGTCAGACTTAACATGCATTGGGCTCATGGGCCGAGTTCTTGTAGGGAAGGAACACACCCATACAGAGGAGTGCCAGGCCTTGGGGAACCTGTATAGAGGGCTGCAGCTGTTGTTGGACTTCAACTCCCAGCAGGCTGCAGGGCCACTGGCCAGTGGAATTATGGGAGCTGGAGTCCAGCAACGTCTGGAGAGCCAAAAGGTTGCCTCTGGGCGATGATGTCAAAGAAGAAGATCCGGTTTAAGGCAGCAATGGGGGCTGGAAGAGCAGAATTTAGAGAATCAGATGGGGCCTCCCAGTGCCGATCTATTTTCATTTTTTATTTCTGTGTGTCTATAACCTGCTCTTCACTGAATATTTCCAATCCCAAGGCGGTGAGCAATGAGATGAAGAAATGATAATAAAAATGTCCAGAAGTAAATGACAACGGTGTAAAGAAAAATGACAGAATCTGTAAAGATAATGAAGAAATGAACCGCACCATCCTAAAGCAAACACAGATAAAGTATAGAGAGGACAATAATTAACATTTTCCCCAATTTAACCAAATTCCTAGGTAAAGAGAACAGGGCAAACAACCACCCCAAACAGCCACATGGGTCTTAGAAACCGTTCCCACTCCATCTCTTTCTGGGGGCAGCTCACTCACTCCTTCTCTGCCCCCCGCACAATTATTCAGATAAATTATATATTCAATTTCACTTACATATTTAAACCACTGAACTACAGTTGCCTCTGAGCGGTTTACAAAGACGAGTGTGTGAGCACTCATTCTGTTTTAAGTAAAGTATGCCACCTTTCGCACAAGCTGCCGGGCGATTTACAACAGGAGTAAAATAAGACGTGAAAACCCCCCATAAAGGAACAGTCCTTAAAACAGTGCACCAACCACAGCTGGCCTTCAGCCAACTCCCGCCCCGCCTGCCTTCTTACAACCAATCACAACTACTGGCTCTAGCTCCGCCTACCGTTTTGCTCTGGCTCCTCCTACCATGGGTCTCCCTGCTTTCCATGTTACTGTTCTGATGTTCCTTCTAAAGTTCAGCTGAAATCTACCCTCCGTTTACCCAACCTCATTAGTTCTGCCCTCCAGGGCAGCCGGGAACCGGGCCTTCGCCCTTTTCCGTGACCCGACAGCCCTTCCAACACCCCACCTCCTTTCAGCAGAGTCCCAGCAAGGACGGGCAACTTAGCTCCAGTTAAGCCCCGCTGGGAA